AAATCTTTCTCCGTTATCTTAGTTTGACAATTATTTTGAGTTAACATAGACTTTGTCTTTGGAAAAATTAATACCCAAGATTTTTCATTGAAAAATTTGTTACGTCTTCACAAATGATAACTGAAAACTCCCCTGCTCTCCTCTGCATTCCCCTCCCAAGCATCTGAATGACTTGAGGGTCAGTGGATGAAGGACGCGGGAAATGTTGGTCTCCTATCGTGGGGGAGAAAAGGAGTTAAAAAGAGATGGACTCGAGAGAGAGAAATCATTTTATATTATGGACGGATGCGGATTGAATATAGGGAGCAATGTGGCTCCAGAAGTAGAAAGCTAGACTTAGTTTTTTTTCTCTTTTTTTAATGTGCATATAGTTGTAAATATTATATAAAATAATAACTCAGAACCTGAAATTTTTATATATATATATGATATAAGTCCTGTTATCCTTTTGAGTGTACAAAAACGAGCCACAAGGAAAACTTATTCACAGTAACCTTCTCCCCTTTTTTTCTTATTTTTTATTTTATAACCGTCATTAAACAGAAGACTATTAGTGTTCCACTCCGTAGCCTTGTAATTTTAAACCTAATCCAGAAGACAAGGGAGCTCCTGGATCAAGCATTGGGAGAAATTTGCGCTCGTGAAGAACTTTTTGATGGAACTAACCCGCATTTGAGTAATATGGAGAGGAAAAACTCGAAAACCTCCTACGGTTAGCCGGATGACAAAGGGACTCGAACCCGGGATCCGTCTACCACTGAGGATATTTTGAAGTCAGCACTGTAGTAGGTGCGAATCGGGTACGGAATTCATATCGACCAGTCATCGCTGGGATTCCAACCCGGTTCACCACATTGGAAGGCACACACTTTATCTCCGGAACCACCCCGACTGTCTCCTTTTTTTTTAAATTTTATTTTATAACCGTCGTTGAACAGCCGACCCAATTTTCCGGTTTATGACTACTAATGTTCTACTCCGTAGCCTCGTATTTTTGAACCAATCCAATAGACAAGGTGATTCGAGGGGACGAATCGAATTTCTTCTAGACAGGAGAGTGAGTCATTGATACTGGTGTATTTTTTCACGCTGAATAGAATGTGATTAATCACGAAACGGTTGGACCAATAGCTTAAAAGTTATGAGGGTTTTATGTACATAATAAAACGAAATAAACGAAATAAAACAAATTTGTACTAGTATCTATTTAGTCATATGATACATCTGGTGTAAGAAATTGAGGTTCATATGTATTTTTTTAATTCTGAATCAAATGTAACTATGCACTAGTTAATGGATCAAATAGTTCAAAAGTTTCTAGAATTTTCGTGTATTAAAAGTATTATATTTGACATGACTCATGTACGCTTTTTACTTTGTTAACTAGGGATGATCAGAACATGTGAGGTGTGCCGTTTTTGATGGAAAGTTTTTATGCTGAAATGAATAAGATGGAATTCCAGTTCATAAGATTAATAGTTTTGAAGTTATTAGGGTTTTCTTCATAATAAGTAAAATTTAAAAATAGCACATTTTATACGAAAAAAAAAATAATAACAATAATTTCAACTTTTAAAATATTCTCTCTTTTGATTCTCGTTTGGTATTATTCGAATAAACAAGTAAAATATGGAAAGGGAACAAAAATTCATAACAATACCTCACATGCCTATATAGCAAATTAAGATGCTTTAATAAGTGTAAACAAACTTGTACTTTTTGCATCTAAAATGCTTATAACTTCTTAACTATTAGTCGGATCATCTTCATTGGTTTCATTCAATTCGAAGTGAAAAACTACATCGTAAACAAACAATGACTGAAATAGCAATATCTGAACAACGTTCAGACAGTTCAGTCATTGTTTGCCATGACGTAACAAAGCTTTCTGTGAAAAATTTCTTGGGTATTCTTCCGAAGAAACACCCTTTTTTTCTGCTTTAATTACTTGACTACCAAGTATGTGACGTTTTCTCAAAATGTTTTTTCCCCTTCCTCATGTGATTCATAATTTTTTTTTATTTTTTAAATGTTAATCCCTCGTTTTTTAAAAGAAGCCGAGTTCATTTATCATAAATTAATCAAAAACTATGAAAGCAGCAGTAAAAATTGAAGGTGTTACGAAAATTGCATGCTGTTGGACTTATAAGTAATTTTGGTAAATCAGATGAAAATTGGAGAGCTATCCACACTGCGCCTGCAAAAATGTAATTTTTTCTAATGTTTTTTTACTATTATTTTATTTTATTTATTTATTTTATTTTTTTAATTGAATTGGATTTTTAATTTAAGCACCATTGGTGGTCTCTGATTGCTTACTTCATCTCTATACAGACAGCTCTATATCTTCCTAATTATATGAATTTCAACTTACGTTTTTAGTGTCAGGAACATTATTTTCAAATGTCTATGATTATGTAAAAAAGATGTTTTCAATAATACTTATTTTGTTTTTAAAAAAATAAAAAGTTACTTTATTTTTTTTAAAAAATTTTTAATTTTCAGAATAGCTCGAGTTATTAATTTTTACAAGTATCCTATGACATCCTAAATTTCGTTTTATAAGTTTATAAGTTTAAAATATGAAAATTAAAAATTAAATCGTTGTGCATGAAGTCCTATAACTTTAGAAGAATTCTACTAATCCTAAAATATTATGGAAAATATTGGTAAAATTTTTTAAAATTTTGAACTTTAATAAAATCAAGCTTTAATGAAAACTAAAATTGAGTCACATGATAAAAACCACCAAAGTCTTATAACTTCTACGTTTTTTTTATCAAAGAGCAGGAATAAATCGTTGGTACTGACCATTTGCTACTTTATTTTGCATGTGATGAATAGCCTTCTTTCTTTATTTTCTTTCTTTCGTTCATTCAGAAATCTAGTCGGGACCTTATGCTTAGAATTATCAGTAAAATTCCTATGATTTACACTTTCTTATACTTTTAAATAATGAAAAGTGACGGGGGAAATAATTTGAATGCCTAAAAAATTAAGAAATTTAAATGAATAAAATGATACCCTACATGATTGAAACTTAACAAATTGTTACCTCTTCTGTATCAGCCAGCAAGTAAACGTTAAATCAGCTTTTAGCAAAGTTATCAATGTGAGTATAATTAACATGAAACCGATGTGGATTTGCAGTAACAGCATAAAGAAATATTCGCGTTATTTAAATATTCACGTGACGAAAGAAATATTCACGTGATGAACATAGTAAGCATGAAATTTTCTTTTTCAGAATTTAAAGATTAACTTGACTTTCAAATTATATAATGTATAATTTTGTTTTTAATTTTCAGACCAGAAAGTTTCCTTTGAGTTATTTATTTATAAAAAGAGAGAAATTTCGTTAATAACGATTTAAATTTTCCTTTTTTTTTTCGGAAACTGCATTATAAAGGAAATTACCTTTAGATTTTGATACTCGATTTAATTGATTAATTGAAATCGTAATTTGATTAAAAACACTTTCGTTAATTTTAAAATTTTTAATAGCAAAATAATGCTTCCTTTTAATTTACTCTTTTGTGGCATATTAATGAAGTTAGTAAAAAAACGCGTATTTTAATGATTATGAAAGAAAAATAATTATCGAAAACACGTGCATATTTCTTTTTGTCATGTGAGTTTTTATTGTAAGGTACTGACAACATTTTAACTGAAAAAAAAATGAAAAAAAGAAAGAAGGAAAACATGAAAAATAAAAATAGATAACTGAATAAAAAATACTGAGATAATATAACAGAAAGCGCAAATCACTGAACTATCGCAATAAGGTTTGATAAAAACGAAATTAAAAATGTGTAAAGGTATATTCTATAAAATAAGGATATATTTTAAATATGCAATAAAGGGAAAATCAGAGTAAAGATAAAAAATAAATTTCATGATATATTAATATCCTATTGTCGTTAACTGAAGTTGCAATATGCGGAACATTTGTAAGCTATTCTTTTCTCTGCAAATTGAAGTAGAACACTATGGGAAAATAATAAAAAAATTTCAAACTTGCAGATAGGAAGTACAAAATTTAATAATAAATGTATTTACAAAATAAAAACATTACAAAAAATTTTTTTACATTGCTTCCCTCAAATTTACAATTTAATTTTTTTATAACACTAATAGATAATTTTTTCATATGATTAATAGATATAAATCAATGCAGAAATTTTTGTTATATATTCTATTTTGTTTTCAGGGAATAAGTTAAAATTTTAATTACATTCTGGAAGAAAAATTATTTAACTGGCTTAATTTTTGTCCTTTCCCTTTTAAATTCCTTTGATACCATGGTTATAACTCTTTTTATGATTTTTTTATCCGTAAACCAATATATACTTTACATGAACAATTTTTCTCAAAAATTTACGATTGTGAACATGAGATCTCTAGGCTGCATATTGTATGATATTGAAAAATTTTTAAGTCCTTGAAAGTTTCAATTTTTCTCCATGTAGTTATTGCAATTCGTAATAGAAAAAAAGGTGAAAAAATCCTTATAAACAACATTTATATTGTTTTTTCAAATTTTAAAATAAATATGAGTTCTCTTATTTTAGTTTATTCATAACCGAAAAAAAAAAATCCCTCTCTTTTTCCTCTAGAGGACCGTCACTCATTATATAGAGTTTAATTTTGTAAGTCATTTTTTAATTTATTTTAATCTCTATATTTAACTGAACTTTATTTTTAAAGAAATTATATTGTACCCGTATAATAAGTAATGTGAGGATGTGTATGAGAAATTGCGATATTTTGGAAAAATCTCAAAAATTATAGATTCATATTTAATGATATAAAAATTTAAGTTTATAAATTTCCTTTTAAAACAAATAGCACTCAAATTAATAAGTTGCTCTTTATGATTTATATAAGTTTAGGAAATTGAAAATTGCTTCACAAGCATGTGAATTTTAAGGAATGATTATCTATTATTATAAAACAATCCTAGAAAATTGGGCGTGTTACTAGCCAAGCAAAATATTTTATCAAAAAGTTAGCGTTTAGATGGAATTTTGTATTTCTCCCGTTCCATTAGCCCTCGGAAATTTCGAGCGTGCTTTTGTTGCCGAGCAACGGCTGACGTCACGGTCCTTTCACTTACATGTGTTTCCCCGTATAAAGAGAAAGCATCGACCGGCATAAACTTAACATCGTTGGGATTCTTCATTAGCTGGTAAATACAATTTTAAACAAAGTACTAAGTGTTTTAATGTCTAATTAAATTTACCTCAATTTAATATTTTTTATATATTTGAATTGATATTTTGGCTGCTCCGCGCTATATATATAAAATCTGCGCAAAGGTCGCGTTTCAACCTTTCTGGTGTTCCATTTCCGCCATCTTTGTATCGGGTGCTTGGCCGTATACCGGTCGTATCTTGTTGCAGTCTTCGTTCCTGCTGTTGTATCTTATATTTTGTGTCTTTTTTCAGTGCTTAATTTAAAATCACAATTACAATGGATAAAGATGAATTGGTGCAACGGGCTAAGTTGGCTGAACAGGCCGAACGGTACGACGATATGGCCTCGGCTATGAAACAAGTGACCGAAACTGGTGTTGAGCTCAGCAATGAAGAGCGAAATCTTTTGTCTGTAGCTTACAAAAATGTTGTTGGTGCCCGACGGAGTTCATGGAGAGTTATTTCCAGTATAGAACAGAAAACAGAAGGAAGCGAAAAGAAACAACAAATGGCAAAGGAGTACCGTGAAAAAGTCGAAAAAGAACTGAGAGAAATCTGCTACGATGTTTTAGTAAGTAAATTTATATTCAATTCAGTAATGCTCTTTATTTTAATCTAAAATTAATAACTTGATAGTATAATGAAGCATTGTTTTGTTATGTTAAGTGCTTGTGTTTCTAATTGCATGTTTTGTAATAGTTGTAGTTATTTGTAACTATTAATGAGTTGTGATAATATAATCATAAAATCTTATGAGCAAAGACTTGTATCTCTATTGACTCTTAAATAAACAAATCTGTGGAAAATTTCCATGATAAATCTTAATGTGATTTAATATTTGGGTTGCCTGTCAACTCTTTCTTAATTATTTATTTACTATTAGTCAAACTTATTCTCCTTTCTAATAATATATTAGTGCATTTACTATAGAGCATTAGGTTCAGAGAAAAATTTAAACTTAAATACCTTTTTGTAATTCGTTTAAATGAATTAAATGCAAAATGCACTGTATTCCCCCCCCCTTCATTTAACTGATTGATAGGGCTGTATTTCGACTCATTCTAAAGTTCCACTTAAATAATTGCTGTTATTACTAATCATTCCTTTTTAAAATATTTTACTTCGTTGCATAGTTTTTTAAACTAATGTTTCATTGAGAGAACTTTAAATTTTGATTACTGTTGTATTTTAAGGTTGTAATTGCAAAATTTTAATTTATTGTCCAAAGGAATATATTTTGGAAACTCTTTGAGGGTTGTGTTAGATAATTAAACAGCTAAGAGGTAACTTAGTATATTTGCATTTGATGAACACAAATACTATTGCAAAAACACCCCCCTTTTTACCTTGGTAGTTTTATTCCCTTACTAGCAATTATTTATAATTTAATTTCATATTTGAAGATTGGAATGTCACATTAGCGTAATGTAGTTATTGTGTGTTAGCTATAATTGCATACAATGTTGCAATAAGGATTTTGGAGACTATTTTGACTTTTCAGATAATTAATTTGAGTAATAAATTAAGTTTTTAACATATCCATTTTCTTTACTAGATTGTGAAATGACTTGGAATAATTGCAAAAGTACATTCCATTCATGCAGCGGATTAATTTAAATAAAAATGTATTGCAGATAAATTCCTGTCACACATTTACCTTAATTTTTTATAAATAGCGTATAAAAAATTCATTTTTTAAGAACCTGCCGTTAGTTTACCTGTACATAGTTATATTTACAAAAGTAGTTAAGTTGTATATGTATAGATAGCTACCCTATAGCTGGTTCATTTATGAATTTTCTGTCATAATTGGAGAATTTCCATATTAATCTGGTCTGGTCAAGTTTTGGTGACTTCTGGGCAGTGACCCTTGTGAAACTCTTAATCATCTCAGAAGAACAACTTAAATGATATAAACTCGTGGCCACCTCCCAAAAGAGCTTCATAATATTTAGGAAAAAATTTTGCAAGTTGTAAATCCTTTTGATGGTTCTGACGTAATCGGACATAAAAGGTGCCAGATACCAAGGTAGAAATGCCCTTTGAAGTATTGCTTTAGTGAACAGCCATAGAGAAAGACACTCATTAATTTTAGGGGGAATCATTTCCGTATTGTGATGTGTGGTAGAATAGTATTATTGTGGTAGAATAATCGCCCGGTATTCGCAATTTCCTTCACTGGTCTTATGGAAACTAGAAAAAACATGGAAACGATCCAACTCAAAGGAATAACTCATGACCATCACCAGCAAACCGTTTTTTTTTTATTATTTATTATTTTTTTGTAATTTTTTAAACTTTCAAAAATTTCCCTCTTAAGATCAATTTGGTGCCTTGGCAATAGTAGTTGTAAAAGATCACATTATGAAAACGTCCCTGTTTTTACAGAGCATGATTATTGATTTGGATGATAAAAGGAGTTGATTGTTAAGATGTTCAATGTTAATAATAGTGGAAGTAAATAAACAATTATTCTATGGCATAACTTATGGGTTGATCATCACAAAGGTTATATCTAGTTCCCTACTACTATTTACTCAAAGTTGCTTACCCTGTAAGGTAAGATAAAAGAGGCAAGTGGTAAGGAGAGGTATACAGATGGCCAGACTCGTATAATGTATCCGAATTTTGCTTAAAATTTTATAATCTTACTGCAAGTTTTTAAAACTTTTTTTCCTACCAATGCAAATGTGATTTAAAATCTTACATCTCAGTTTATATTTTCAAAATGATATTTCGTATTAGTACGATTTGATATAAAATATAAATGTTTCTTACTCAAGCGATTTTAAAATTTATTGTGGATTTGTATTCGCATGATTTAAAAATTGGTATTGAGAATTATAATTATACTATTGAAGTAAATAAAATATCTCGTTGAGATTCTTATTATAACATTGATAACATTCTGTGGATTAATATTTATTCTGCATTAAGATATGCACATGCTAGTGTAAAAATTTAGAATTCTGCCTCACATATGTCCTTACCAATTGCCTCTTCCATGTTTGGCCTACCTAAGAGACAAAGGGCAGTATTAAACATACAACCTGATTTATTTCTGCTATCAGTACTTACTGAACAAGTTTCAAATTTGAATTGTAACCCATTAACAATCAAAGTTATGTATAAATATTTCAATGGGCCTCACATTTTTGAGTGGTGATGGATCTAATGAGAGTTAGTAAATTATTCCATTCCAATAAACGTAATACGAACAAATTTTTTACAAAATTGTCCACATCTCCATAAATATTTATGCAAGGTTTACAAAATTTTATGCAGTTATTATAAATTACTGAAGTAATCTAAGTTATTTAGATAATCTGAAATATTTTAAATTTTGAAAAATTACTAAATTCCACATAAGACAAAATGTTTTCATATAGATATATATTTTAACTTTAAATTTGTTTAACCAGTTATTGGGCAGGTGTTAATTTTTATCTCTTTATCCATGTATTGATATTTTTTTTTTAACTTGAAAGAAAATTAGCTTTTTATATATATATAAAATCCTATATGGTTATCAACATTTTGATTTGTAACTTTTAGGGCCTGCTAGATAATTTTCTTATTCCTAAAGCCAGCAATGCTGAAAGTAAAGTTTTTTACCTGAAAATGAAAGGAGATTATTACAGGTACTTAGCAGAAGTTGCAACAGGAGATCAAAAGAATAGTAAGTAATATTTGTTACTTAAATTTTGTTCATTTCTATATTTAAACTAAAAAAAGGAGATGATAGTTATTAAATAAATTTTTAAATAGTCTAAAAAATAGGATTTAATTTTGTGTTCACCTTAATGATTATTTCTAATTCAAATATAAATAGCAATATTTTAAACTGGAATTAAAGGCTAGAAATAAAGAATTTTTTATATATATATATATATAATTTGTTTATATATATTATATAATTATGTTTTCTAACAGCATTTCTCAGTTATGTCACTTGTAGCAACCAAATAATTTCTAAGGTATGATTGGCTTATGGTTTCTGTAATAAAAAAATAGTTACATTGCATTATTTTTAGGAATTTTTAGTACTTTCTGATTTGAATATACTTAATACTTGAACAATCTTTAGTTACAAAAATCTATTTCTAAGTTGGTTAAATTTTTTTAGATTTAACTGATTACTGTTAAATATCAAGAATAAAGTACTATTTGCAAAGAAAGAATCATAAATACCAATTTTTGAAGTTTAGTTATAAAACTCGGCTCATAATTTATTAATTTTTATTTATTTTAAGGGTTTATTATCAAATTCAGTTATCATAAAATTATAAATATTTAAAATTAAGACGCAAGTGTATTCATAATAGCAGTCAGGTTTAAATTTATTTTAAAAATTAAGATAGCAATTAAGAAGCAATAAAAAACAAAGGGGTGTGGCACTTTAGTAAGATGAAATTGGCAGAGTGTGCTGAAAAGATTGAAAATTAATCTTCAAAAAGGCTGTTTCTAGTTTTCAACTAAATAAATTTTGTTTAATTTTTAAATAGTTTATATTTAGACTTATCAGCTTTTGTTGTCATTCTCATTGTTTTAGCAGCAGTTTTTTTTTTTAATTTTAGTTTTAAAATTTAATTTAGTTAAAAAAAATTTAACTCTTGGCTTTTAATGAATGTTTTACATTTGGTTGTATAAAGAAAAGAAAAACATTTGTTCTGTTAAGTGAACAGAGTAATAAAATATGGAGCATTTTTCATATGGATCTTTATTTTTTAAAAAAGATAAAATAAAGTTATGTAATATTCTCTGTAAACATTTCTATATAAGGAAGTTTGCAAGAAGAAACTGGTTAAATATAGCAAAAGCTAATAAACTGAAAATTACTGATTGCGTATTGTTGCTCTAGGGATTTGTAGCTTTAGAATATCTAAATATGATAAATAAGTTAATTATCTTTCAATAATTTTTAATTTGTATGTAATGTTTAAAAAAGCAATATTGCTGACATTGTAAAGAATATTTTGTAATTTTTCATTTGTCCACTTCAATTTCAACTAATATTGAATTGACTTAACTGATATTGAAGCTTTTAAGCTTGACTTAAGCTATGCAATATCAAAAACACTAAAAAATTTTGATGAAAAAAGTGTATTAGAATACTGAGTTAGTACATTTTTACAAGTACAAATCAATACAAAAGTATTATAGTAAAAAAAATGTATATTAGAATTTTTACTTGAATTTTTATATTTCATACTAATTTACTTTAAAATGTTGCTAACATTTTAAAACTATCTTATATTTAATATGAGCATTAAATGTAATTATTTACAAATTACTATAACTATTTCATAATTATTTTAATGATTAAATTTTCTAATTTGCACCATACACTTTATTTAATTAGGATTAATGTTCAACATTATTAACAATCTAGCATTAAATTCTTGTTGACATGAAAAATGAAGTGAATTGTTATCTTGATTCAATATTTTGAAAAGAGTTTACATGCTGTACAGTCTCAGGGTTACTGGAAGCATTTATATAGTATTAATATAAAGTGTGGGAGACTGCTGAATAAAATATTAAGAACCTAGTTTAATCATTATAACTGATGTCTCTTGAATTTCTCAGGTGTTGTAGAAGAATCACAGAAAGCCTACCAAGAGGCATTCGATATCAGTAAAAGTAAAATGCAACCAACACATCCTATAAGACTGGGTCTTGCCTTGAATTTTTCAGTATTTTATTTTGAAATATTGAATTCTCCAGACAAGGCTTGTCAATTAGCAAAACAGGTATGTTTAATAGCTTTCTCTTTTTTTAGGTGTTGTTGAGGAATCTCAGAAATCTTATCAAGAAGCATTTGATATAAGTAAAAACAAAATGCAGCCAACTCATCCGATTCGTTTAGGGTTGGCATTGAATTTTTCAGTATTTTATTTTGAAATACTGAATGCGCCAGATCGTGCTTGTCATTTGGCAAAGCAGGTAAAAGTGTATATATTTTTCTTAAGTAATGCCTGGAAAGTAACAGATAAAATAAGTTTGCAACTGCATGATTTGCTTCAGCAAGATTACTGATGGTATCTGCAACACTAATACATAACAAATTTTACTTATTTTAGTTTTTTTTTTTTTTAAATACTAATCTATTGTGGTTGAATATTATGATTGCATGCTATTTTTGATTACAGGAAAAGCAGAATTCTGTTTAACCTGTATGAGTTTATTGTTTAGAAATGTTAAAAACAATTTTCAAGCTTGTCGATTATCTTTGCTTAGTCCTGCTTATTCTAATTAAATGAAGGCTGGTATGTAATGCCTGATTACACGAACAAGGTTTTGAGAAAATCAGGCAACTTTAATGACATTTTTGCTTTGTCTAAACTAACTTATTTGCTGAAAAGACTATTTTCTGTTACATTAAAGAGAACACAAATGACTTTATTTGAGTTAGAATTCCTTAAGTTTATGAGTGGGACTAAATTTAAGTTTATGGAGTTAAGAGTTGGTGATTTTAGTACCCTGAACTGGATTTTAAAATTACACATAATTTACTACTAAAAAGTGTACTAAAGTGTCTAAAATTAAAATAGATTTTAGTATACTTTTTCAGAGGATAATTACGTAATAAAATAATTTCAAATGTAACTGCAAAATGCTACTTGCATGTAAGATAGAAAATGTATTTTAACCATAATTTTTATTTTGTTTGAAATATATTTATTGACATCCACTGTATAGTGTATTTTTAAGATAAAATTGTAAGCTTGTCAAAGTTGCTTAAAGAAAAGTTAAAGATGATTTATTTTTTATGTTAGCCTATAGAGGGTATATGCAAATTATAATTAGTATAACATATTAAGAAATTATTACTGTAATTATCCAACTATAATGTTAAAGTTAAGAAAATGTAACCTAGATAATAAGGTTTAACTTAAGAGTCGGTCTTTTTCAAATGGTTTACATGAATTTTTAATAAATTCTTGCTAGTGGTGGAAACAGCACTATAATTGAACAAAATTTCTACATTCTTGTCTTATATCTGCCCTGCTAAATATTTAAATTTTTTATTTGTTGGCCTATTGTGGATTAAATGACTGCTTACAATATGTTTACTGTCATTTCACTATCACTAGGAAAATGCTTTTACACGTTGACTGCCACTTCTATTTGACCAATTCTGAAGGCTTTTCGTATGTATTTGAAAAGATTTCACAGGATGTATCAAACTAATAAATTGATGTAAAAGTAATATAAAAATAATTTAATTTAAATTGTTGTGAGCCTCGTAAAAGCTTTCTTTTGCTGTTATTTGACTCACTAAGAAATAAGTTTCCATTTTTCTTTTTGAAATTTCAACGAATTGGGGTACAGATTTTAAGTTATACTCCTTTACTCACCAACAATTCAAACTGATCTTCTAAAGTAGCGAGATGAGAAACAAACGGGCACAAATAAGCATCATACCATGTCAACAAATTGTAACCACCAGATACTCTAATTATTAAAGTATCGGTGGGAGTACTTAACAAAGTACTCTTCGTTCGTTGGTACTCGTGGTCTTGAGATTTCATCGTAAACTCATGCAGCAGTCAGTGTTAAAAAATGAAAGTTGGCGGGTCTGTGCTTGTTTTTTTTTATATAGCTCATTGTGAAGAAAAATTATTCTTTACATGCTTACAATCTAATCCAGTCAAAAAAATTTTATGTGGAAAGTTTTCATTCAGCAAAGGGCAGCTATTAAGATTGTCATTCTAAATCTAATTTTGACTAGATGAAATTAAATATGAAATCTTATGGACTGTTTATGTAATAATTTTATGAACTGTGCCAGCTTTTATCTATCGGAAGATAATGTGCTAAGTTAGGTTTTGTAATTTAATTCTTACTTCTTCCAATTGTAAATACAGCAGCAATTTTTTTTACTTGTAATCATTTTTATAAGTCAACACAAATGACATAAAATAGCTTGTATGAAACGAAGAAATTTATTGGTGTAAACTAGTGCTCAGTACTGCACAACTTCATTTTGCAGATCTGCAAGTTACCTTGCTTCCTTGTGTGCATATGCCTTTCCCCCTGTTATGTATGATCACTAATTCCTTTTAACATTGTATGTATGTCTCATCTAATTACTGTTTGATGTGATCCAACAAACTCTATTCTAACAGTGCTTATTTATGTTTGATAAGTATTGATTATATTGATCAAGGGCTGTTGAAGCCTTTATAGTGGACACATATTACAGTTCCTGTGCAATAAAACTCAAGGCTCAACTGTTGATTAAAGTCAAAGCATATGTCTCTCTCTTCATTACTTGGATACAATTTTTAAATATTCAAAATTGAGTTTCAAAGTTTGTTTGCCACAACAGTATATTGGGTTTTAAACATTATACCTATATTGTTAATTGTGGCCTCTCTAAAAGTTAGCTGCATCTAATAACAAGGTTTTTCAAAGCTTTGTCGCTAAGGAAAATAGAAAAGCCACAGTTTAAGAGCTGTAAAAAGTTATCTGGGCTTTTGAACAGACAAATAACTTATAATTTAATAGATATTAAACTTTTTTTAACTATTGCCAATCTGGCTGCATTTTTTCACCTAGATTAAATTATGAAAGTAACAGCCTTAATCTCAGTTTTGCAAGTTATGAGCCCAGATAATGCAGAATAGGAGTAAATTTTTAAATATTTTGAGGAGTTTAAAAAACTTAGGGAAAAACTGAAAGAAATAGTAAAAAGAAAATGTATATGTAACTGCACTTTTAATTTGGTTAAATATCTTTTGTGTGCTATTAACATCTTTTTTCTAGATAATGGCCAAAGAAATTCCCCAGTTTCTTTGATTAGTAATTTTGTGATTGCAATTAAATAAATTTTTTTTATTTGAATTTCAGGCATTTGATGATGCAATAGCAGAATTAGACACACTAAATGAAGATTCTTATAAAGACAGTACACTTATCATGCAACTTCTAAGGGACAATTTAACGGTATGCACATTCTGAATTCTTTTATTTTTAACAGATTTAATATTTTAGTATGAATTAATAGAATTGTCACAAGAATTCTAAATTTATAATTTTCCTTCCCTCAGCTATGGACATCAGACACACAAGGTGACGCTGAAGAACAGCCCGAAGCTGGTGACAATTGATAGTCGTGAGCACTACCTATTTTGAAAACACGTCCCCAGCCTCAAACAAAAAAGCCTTTAATTGTTATTGATTGCACCACCATCTGAGCAGAGCCCAAAAACTGTTTGAAGATCATTAGTTTACATTTTACAAACTTATGTGATGCCTTCAATCGAAAGTTTGAAATTGAGAGAGCCTTGTGGTGTTTTCTCAAGGCACTCCTCATTTTTGCAGAATTATGGGCTTGCCAGAACTGAACCACAAAAGCTGGTGGTTTCTTTTCTTTCATTGTTTTCAAATCGGACATTTACAAGTTTGTGCTCAATGTTTCAAACTAACTTCATCTGAGCAGAACTTGTTCAGTCTGAAGGAAACTCAAAAGTGGGAATTCCCAAGCAGCAGAAAGTTTCATGTATTTGCTACACAATAGTCTTTGTTCTAGGTTTAATTTATGGCCAAATACGTAATTTCAGTTGACTTTTTAACTAATGTCCGTAATCCTGTATAATGTGGTGGTAGCTAAGTTATTTTGAACATTTAATTGTGACGTGACCAAAATATTCTATTTTTTAAATCTAGTTTCTGGTTTGGCCCAAAATTAAACTTTGGGATTTTAATTTCATAATTAAGCATGTCATGGCATTTTGTAAATCCATATGGTCAGTATTAGTTTTTAATTTATGGTTTTTCATAGTTCTAAACATTGATTGATCAGTAATAAAAACTATTATTGGCCTTAGCGGGTAATATCAAAATTAGTTCAAATCTTTTTAAGAAATGTCACATCCCATATATCTTGTGCTTGCATCTTTTTTAATATAAAATGCTGTGTAGAACAAATTGTCTACTTCAATTAAATTTCAGTCTTACAAAAACATTGATCTGCTAGAAATGTTGCTGAAAGCTTCATTTATACTTTTCTGTATATTGCATACCAAGCCAAATAATGTGAAATTTTCAGCAGTTAAAAAGTATATGAATAAAAAGTTACGATGCTTTTTTGTTTCATTATTTGTCTGTTTTAAAATTTGTCTTTAACTTCATTCACCCACTCTAAAAACAGTACATGCTGTGCAATGCAGGGTTGAGGCTTTTGAATTTCAGTTTTTTCACTTGCTGTAATCTCCTGTGGGAAATTTAAAATTCATCCAAACAAGCAAAACATGGGGAGATTTTCCTTGTTATTAATGTTTCTTTAAATTAAAAAAATTTTTCATGCTTTTAGAGGTTCTTCTTGTGAGCAAAAAATTTTCTCCACTTCTAGCAATTCTCTTTCTGGTTTTTCTCTTCACTTAAAGGATTCATGTGGCAATACAGTTCATCCCACTTGCAGGCAAAATATTATAAATTTTGAAAAATTGACAAACTTTTCTCTGAACCTCTCAATCTTTGAAATATGGTTCCAATAGTTTGTTCCGGAAAGTCGTCCTAAGTTTGGACCCCATAATTTTAGTTTTTGGCGTATTTTATCATATTTCAAATTTTTTAAGTACATTAAAGAATTGTTGCACAAATTTATAAAATTCATTTGTTCAAAGAGAATTTTATGCAAGAAATATGTAAATATTTATTTTAATTAATATTTTTAAGTAATAGGGCATACAAATTTTGAAGAAAAATTTTAACAAGATCTAATGAATACAACTCCTAATCATCAGACACAATCAAATTCTGTCATTAGAAACAAACTGGCTATTTTCACCCAGATATAGATGAAAGTGATCATTTTACAATGGGTTGTGAAAAATTAAGTTAGTATAACGTTTGTCTACTTAAAAAGTAAATTGGTACATATTAATGAAAAATATCTAGAATTTAAAATTGCACGATGAGAAAGCATAATAGGTATTAATGGGGATTTTTTTTCATCCCAGCAAACAATGTTTAGTTCATACAGGTGTTTTGATCACATTATAAATAAAATTACGAGTAATCCTTGAAATAACGTAAGTTATATTTATAAAGTATAATTTATTAAAAATTAGCTTAGTTATGCCAGCCATATTTTTATCCTTGCAGGTTTTTTTTCTCGACTAAGACTAACCAGGCTAGCAGTTAATCCTCATTATGATCATATTCCATTAGCAAATAATTATTCCTCTTTTTTTTTTCCCCCTTAAAAGTTCACTCACTACTGTTCCAGCACATACCTTAAAATTTTGAAAAAATTTCTATATCTAGCTCGATAAGAATTGAGTATTTTGAACTAAATGCCAGCAGTCAGGCCTGTAAAGATTTTTGTATGTTTTTTTAAATATGTCTAGCAGATAAAAGAGCTTGATTATAAAGAAAATTTTAAGAAATTGACCCCTAGTTGTTTACAAGCTGTAAACTGTTTTAATTCACTAAGAAGATCCAACTAAAGTGTGTTAACTTGTACTATCTCAAATTTAAATATTTTTATTAAATTAATACATTTTTCTAAATTCTATTAGATTGGGTATTCTAATACTTAAAACAGAAAATTGAATTAGAACTTGTAATCGACTGACTTTAATTAATGTTATTTTTACCATTTCAATGATGTATATTAATACAGGGCTGATTGTGCTCCGGAAAAAATCCGGATTTTCGGAATTTTTGCTAACAGTGATCAGAAAGTTTCCGGTGATCGAAAGTCCAGACATTTTGAAAAATCGATCACAGAAGGTTCCGGAAATCAAATTTTCAAAGGTTGAACTTAAAAACACATTTTATTTATTTGTAAGGGAGAGCTAAAAAGATACAGTGGAACCTATAAAAGTGACCACCTGAGTAAAGTGAAAATCTGAGTAAGGTGACCATTTTCTGCAAGTTTTATTTAGTCCTTTTTAAAGACTTCATAAAGTGACCACCTCTATATAGTGACCATTTGACTTGGTCCCGAGGGTGGTCAATTTAGACAGGTTCCACTGTACTTTATAAGTTTATATTAATGATTAATATAAATTTTTTATCAGTAAGTAGTTGCTATAATCATAAACTCTAGAAAGAAAGACATATTTATAAATTTTAATTACTTCTCCAGGTCATCATAGGTATGTGTAGAATTTTAAATATATTTTAAGAAATATTGAGAAAAGGGAAAAAAACTTAGTTTAAACTTTTTTTTAACTCAATAAATTTTCCGGAATTTTGACTTGGACTCCCCTGTTAATACCCTAAGACTAGTTGACATCAAAAGACAAGCAAACAACAAATAAAGTGGCCTTTTAATTTTTTGTTCAAACCCTCTGGTGCTAACACTCAAAGTCATTTTGTACAAAGTTCTCTGCCAATTAAGATCAAATGGTCTCAGAAATCATATTTTTGTGAAAATTTATTTGGTAGAGATGCTCGTATTTAACTATAAGATGCGATTTAAATATTTAGTATTTTTGAATATTTTTATTGAAAGTGCATGAACTCAGTTATAATTTTTTTTTATTAACATGACTTATTTTTCACTAATTTTTTTTTAAGGGTAAAACCCTTAACCCCTTACCCTTTTTTTTTTAAGATATAGATAAAATATTAGTAATTCAATTGGAGTTTTCTGTAGAGAATTTTTTAACTTGCAAGATTTGTTGGTAAATTCATCTTTTTGATAATGTATAATCATTCCAATTAGGGTTAAGGTTGCAAGAAGTTCTATAAATAAAATTAAAATACAAATTTCATAAAAAAAAACTTATGGTATGCTAACTAAATGATTTGTCCATTGACTTAAAAAGAAATTTGACATTGAGAATATTTTTTCTACTCTAAAACTTTTTTTTGTTTGTTAATGAATGCAATATCACATTTTATAAAATTTCTATGCCTGGTTTTAAATAGGTTAATGAAACATGCATTATACAGGATTTCAATAATCCTTAAAAACTTAATATTTTTTAAGGGGAGGGGGAGAATAAAATTTTGGTTCAAGGTTTTTTAAAAGTCCTTAATTTTTAGTATCACTTTAGTTGATCGTAACAATTTTTCTGTCTTGCAAGAAGAACTACTTTTATTACCTAGAATGCCCATACATTTTGAGTAAAGCGTTTTGAGAAACCCTACTTTCATTAATATCTTATGCTATTATTTGTATTTCTTTAGTACTAACAGATTGTTGCATAAAGGAACGAAATTTACTGATTTTATTATTAAAATTTTTGTTCTGTTAACAATGCAGTTGAATATACTGCTTAGTTTTTCAAATTTCTAATCAACTTTTAAATGCGTTTTTCGCCAGATACTTTAATAATATTATGCAAAGTTAATTCCTTAGAACAGTTTTGGCTGGAAATAATTTATATAAAACTTATTATGAAGTAAATATGGTGATAAATAATTATTTCAAAATGTTTAAGTTACATACTGTTTTCTAAAAAGATATAGGATTACTTTATAATAAAAGAATACCACTTATTGTTTTAGGCAGTTAATTTTATGATAAACAATTATACTATTTTTAAGATCCTTAATTTTTTTGAAAAATAAGTCTTAGATTTTTGTTTTGATAAAAGAGTGGGAACTCTTTTATCAAATATAGGATTGCAGTCAGTTATATAAGAATCGATTAGTATAGCCTTATTTCCAATAGTTTCATTCTATTTAGAGGAAGAAGTGACACAAAAAAAAAACCCCATGGTGTATGGGAGATTTGAGGGAGCACTCTCCAGAAAAAAATAGTAAGACGAGTTAAAATAAATTTTTTATTTAATCACTTCATAAATACAGTACAGAACCCGTTATCCGGAAATCAAAAAACCGGAACAAAATTCGATAATTTTCCCGCCATTTAAAAAAAATTTTTTTTTTTTCCTCATAAGATTTCAGGATTTTTTGTTCTTTTTTGAAAGATGTTTACCTTACCATCATTTTTAAAATAATCATTAGTGTATTACTTCATCGTTTTTTCTTTGTAAGATTATTTTCAAATATATATTTTTTTTTTAGTTGGGTTTAACAATAAAAAAACGGCTTCTTGCAGAGATTCAGAAAACCGAAAAAATCAGTTATCCGGAATAGCGGTGGTCCCGATAGTTCCGGATAATCGGTTCCTTACTGTAATAACCCTTAACTAAACTTTGAATATAATAATAAAAGTGAATTATTTTCATGTATAATCTAAAATTCATTTAATGTATGGTATGTGTATACAATATTTCAATTCAGTATCTGAATTCTGCAATTCAATTAAGATTTTCACTATCTTAAAATAAAATTAATGATTATATGTATCCGAATATCTCCTTACCACAATGTTTATATTTCATATTATAATCTTAAGTTTTTTTTATGATAAGATAGAGTGCACCTAAGTCTATTGATGCTACTGAGAGAAGGTAGAAGTCTAAATTTGAATGCTAAATATCAATTGCTTTCAAACATCATATTTCTCTATATTACAGTAGGGAACCGATTATCCGGAACGATCGGGACTATCGCTATTCCGGATAACTGATTTTTCCGGTTTTCTGAATCACTACAAAAAGCCGCTTTTTTATTGTTAAACCCAACTAAAAAAAATTTTTTTTTTGGAAATAATTTTAAAAAGAAGAAAAAACTATGGAGTAATACACTAATGATTATTTCCAAAATGACGGTAAGGTAAACATCTTTCAAAAAAGAAAGAAAAATTCTAAAATCTTATGAGGAAAAAAAATTTTTTTTTTAAATGGGGGGAAAATTTATCGAATTTTGTTCCGGTTTTTTGGTTTTCTGATTTCCGGATAACGGGTTCTGTACTGTACATATAATTTTTGAAGCAATTATATGAGCAGTTGTTTGATGCTTAGATGTAACCTTGGACATGCACTGTAGTAATAAAAATATTGTTTCATGAAACAGTCCTATTGAGAGCTGCTTATAATCAGCAATGCTGAATACAAAGTACATATTTCTATGGGCAAAAATTTTTTGGCAGCTATTCAACATTGTGACGTATGGTCTGAACATGAGTGATGTCAGCAGGTCAGATTTTTTAAAAGAAAATATTCGTTCCTGATGAACTAAGAGGATGTTGACATTATGCTATTTGAAGATGGCTGAGTTTTATGCATAAGATTTTAAAGTTGTTATGGTAAGTACACAAATCCTTATGTATGGTGGTTTTGTTGAAAAAGTGAGGAGCATCTTTCAGATGTCAATAAAATATTATATCTATCAGTTTTTTATTTTCACTGAAATGGAGGATACTTTTCAGATAGCCTACATTTTTCATAATTCATACTATTGTACCTGGACCAAATTACTAGTTATGGTAATTTAAAATTACTATTACACATATAAAAAAAAATTTAAAAACATTTTATTTAGTGAAATATTACAATGGAAATGACATGATTATAACGGATGGGGTTGAATGTGAATTGTATTTACAGCCATGGATGCCAGGCAGGGTCCATTCTACACAAATTGTCATGACTGTTAGCAGCAGCAACTAAAGTATTTACTTTATTTTCTGTTCCGTCAAATGCTGCAAGACCTACAAAGCACAATGCAAACATAAGGGACTACAAATTAAAAAAGAAAAAAAAATTAAGTGAAGAATTAAACTTAGTTTAAACAACCTCCTCAATTATGAACTGCTTACTCACAATAGAATGCAGATCACAACTGTTAACTTTCCTGTCAGAAAAGCAGAAATTTTAAAAGGAAATTCTTTTTAACAAATTTGACCAAGAAGTGCAACAGTTGAAAAGTTAAGCACCAAGACTACTATTCTGATTTTTGGTAAAATCAGTAACATAAGGAACAAATTTCAAAAATAATTAAACAGTGAATTACAAAAGTATTTAATTTACACAGTGAAAACTTTTACAAAAAGTTACATATTGTAAAGTTTTTTTTTATATATAATAATATTACGATTTAATAATTAAAGGATTATAAAAAATAGAACAAATTGTAATGGCTAACAGTTTAACGATAAATACCTTCAGTAACAAGAAAATATTTTTTAAGAGAAAAAAAAAATCTTGCAAGAAATTTTGTATGAGGGCCATAAAAAATTTTTTTTACTAGGTTTTTATTAGGACACACTGATAACTTCTTTTCCATTGATCTATATCAATGTCAATTAGAAATTAAATCAATGTTTTTTCCATTAGGGGATCGCTTTTAAAATAAATTTTAACATAATCGGCCGTATTGTAAGAAATATCAATGAATAAAAAACAGAGTAAACACATTGAAAATCTTACTCTGCAGTCTACTTGTAATTGCTGAAGTAGCTTTAGTCACCATTTGGATTATTATAGCTCCATCAGCATCTGGTTTATTCTCACTAGATTGGACATCATCTTGCCTCTAAAATGAAAAGGATATTATTATTACATATGTTCACAAGACGTAAAGACTACATTAATTACAGTAAGACCTCGATTATCCAAGCTAATTGGGACCGCTAGTACCTCGGATATCGGAAATCTCGGTTAATAGAAACCAGGTATAAAAACCTTCCGTGCTTGCGAATTTAACTACTTTTAAAGTAAAAAACAATAGAACGTTTTTTAAATGATAAAAATAAACATATATGAACTTATGTTTCACAGCTAAAAAGATTTAAAAAGGAAATCAACTCTAGTAGTAAATTTTAAAAAGTAAAATGGAATTTTTTTTAACTATACTTAGTTAAATATCGAAAGACGCATTTTCAAAAATAATTCAAATCTCAAGAAAATATTTTATTTTTAAAATTTAATATACATTAATTTGTTAAATTTACATTCTTTTAAAAAAGTCTGTTACCTTCCGTTGCAAAACTTGGTTAATCGAGGTTCTACTGTAATAACTAAGTACAGGGATACAATGAAAACAAAGCATGACATAAAATAAAAAATTGGGATTTCTTTTCTTAGAAAACAAGATAAAATGGTTACCCAGTATGCAAGGCTTAAATTTTTTTTTAGCTTAAAACACTACAATATGAATATCTTACCTTTTTATACCATGCAATCATTTCATCTCTTAAAACAGCTTTTAATAGAGCAACAACCTTAAAATTAGGCATGGCAAGGCAACGTGCAGCAGCAATCATAGACGCAGTCATTGGACCAACAATTCCAATCACAGTTATAAATTCTGCAATATTTGGTGTCAATCGGAATGGAACAGGTCTAGTAGCATCCAGTTCTCCTGAAATTTCATATTTGGTAAACAGCATTGAAAAATAACAAAATTTAATGGGAAAAAAAAAACATTTTTGATAAAAAATGAGATATTTGTATTGCCAATTTTAAATTAATATTAGAAAAAGAATCTAGGAAGTAAAAGCTAATTTTTTATAATTAAAAAATATATTTAATTTAATTTTTATATTAAATAAACACATTCATTCAATATTTTTAAATTTATTTTCTACTTTAAAAATATTATAACAGGTATAGCATAATCAGATGTTATTTGCTTTTTTTTAAGCCCAGAAAAAAATAAAGTTTATGAACAAAAATAAATCAACTACGTTACTGATATTAACATAAAAATTTAACAGCTAGTTACATTGAGATAAATATATTTTAACATAGAGAAATAAACAGCAATTTTATGATATGGAACTTTTAATTTAAACGCAAAAATTAATTCTACGGTTTAAAGAATAACCACCATAATTATTAGTTTACTAATAATTATGGTTGTTAAAAAGTAAATGATTAGTTTACCAAAAGATACATTCCAATAAATATTTTCCTGGTTGTGTCATCACATTGGTTCCAGAAAAGTAATTTTCTGCTCTGTCGAAATTGTTTGCTGATAATAGTTAGGACTTTTATAAGCCAATTACATGTCCCACAAAAGCCTTTCCGTGGCTTCTACAAAATTTTATTTTTACTTGAAGAATTCTTTTAAAACTATAGAAAAATTCTTTTTGTTTTAATGATTATATCCTGATACACATTTCAAATTGTAAATAACTTCTTATAATTGAGAGTTTTATTTTTAGCACATTCGTTGAATATTAATACAAGGCTAATATTAATATGGTAATTTGATTTAGCAAAAGTTTCAAAAAATTATATAAACCATATCTTTTAAACAAAATTAAGGAAGAGTGACATGACCCCTTACGTATGGTCAAAAAGTTGCTGAAAAATGAATTACTTCACATTAATAACTAATTGTGTAATTTAAACATTAACAGGAATAATTTCACCAAACGTTTCAAAAAGTTGCTGAAAAATGAATTACTTCACATTAATAACTAATTGTGTAATTTAAACATTAACAGGGGTAGAATTGACCAATATAAAGAATATAGGATTTTTTTTAGATACTATAGGTTGAAATAAAATAAGGGAAAATCAATTAAATAAAAACATAGATCCCAAATAAATATCTTATAATAAACATTCAAGTGGTGACAATTAGCATGAATACCTTATTAAAACTTTACATTAAGTTTCCACCAAGAAATTTTTTTTATTACAAATTTAAATTTTTTTCCAACATTGAATCTTATCGAGCACCAACTGTATTTTGTTTGAAGACTTAAGAGGGTTTAGTGGTGGAAACTAGAAAGTGATTTAAAATCCTTTATCGGGCAAAAAAAGTTTTTTTTTGTAAGCTTACCACTAGTATCGTCAACATTGAATCGGAAGTAGGATACATTCATTAATCCACTATCTTGATGAATGTACATCATATCAGGATTTAAACGAGTGAGATGGAGAACATATTCAATGAAACCAGAAAGTGCAAGTTGTAGAGTAAACTGCAAATTTTAAAAAGCATATAAATTAACAAATATACATATATTATGTCATGTAATAGATAAGGTAATTTAATGAAAAAAATATTTAATTATTTCATCATATTATAAAAATGAAAATAGAGATTATAAAATATGCAACTTCATTTAAAAATAAAACTATTGAAGTCGATAAAAGAAATCTAAAATGCATCTGAAAAAAAAAGCAAAACAAATCAATATCAAGTAAAAAAATCAATATAATTGAAAAAAAAAATTTTTTTCGGCTAAAAAGTACTTTTAAATTTGTAGTGTTGAAATGTACCTGTTTTCTAAATGTCCAATAATCTGTGGCGCTGGGGTACGTTTGTTCCGCCCAGTCTTTCAATAGAGTTTTAGAAACCATAATACTTTGAACATCCTTTAAGATGTCTCTGAGTACTTGATGACTAGCCTGTGAGCCACGTGCTTGAACAGTAGCTAATCTTTCATAAAACCTAGCTAATGGAGCATCATATTCTATACCCCGTTTAGCACACCGCTATAAAAGATAAGGAATTTTATGTTTTAAAGTAATGACACACAAAAATAAAATACAAAAATTTGACCTAATAGTTAGGAATGACTGAAATTTAAAAGAAAATTTTAAAATTTGTGGCAAATAATGCAGCAACAAAAGCTTTGAAGTTTACAAAAATTTTAAAATCATTACAATAAAATAAATTTATAATGCTTTACTACATTTGTTTGAAAATAGAACAAAGTTTAGAAAATTAACGAAAACTTTATTAGATAAGTCAAATAATATAACTTTTTCACAACAAAAATGTTTTTACATTTAACAACATTTATTGTCAAATGTAAAAACATTTTTGTTGTGAAAAAGTTATGTAATTTAACTGTTATGTTATTTAACAACATTTATTGTTAAATGAAAGAAAAACTTATTGAAGAATTAGTTTCGAAAAAAAGGAAATCTAAACTGAAAATTAATATTAAAATTTAAGCCACACAGGACATATGGTTGCAAATAAATTGAAAGCACACTGGCCTTCACCAAGCTAAGAGTTCTCCAAATCAAAAAAAAAAAAAAAAAAAAAAAAAAAAAAAAAAAAAAAAAAAAAAAAAAAAANAAAAAAAAAAAAAAAAAAAAACAGTGCCAGCAAATTTAAGTTAGGAAACAAAACTTTAAAACAAATAAAATAAAATAATAATTTCTGCTACTAGAAAAAATATATATATAAAAAAATTACTGATGCTAGAAACAAAATATGTGTTTACAAACGTATGGGTCATTTAACTTCTAACTGCTGGGAGTTTTATATTATATTAAAAAAGGCTTTATAAAGAAAATGAATCTGAATAAATAAATCCGTCTTAAGGACCCACAATTTCCAAATTTTAGCAGAAATACCGTGAGTGCTAAATCGAATGCTGTCTCTTTAGCTGTCAACTGTAGGAAGTTTCTTACGCTTGAGGTCCGTCTACTTAGACTTTATAACCCCATCCTGGCATGAGTCTGTATGAGCTTAAAGCCCATGTTAGAAGAAAAAAAAATCTTAAAATTGAAATAAAATATGTACATTGTTTAAATTAAATCACAAACTGCAGCTCTGACTACAGAGTTAGAAAAATGCATAACATTTACTTGTTTATAAATATCAAGCAAAGATATTGATGATTCATAGTCTTCTACAAGTCTTAACTGGGGACTAACGGGAACCACTCTAGGAACAGTGAAGTTTAAGAACCGTTTTGATGTCTCTTTCTGCTTTCCCAAACAGTGATTAAGCATGCGTAAAAGTTGCAAGACTCGCTCTTCTCTCCTAGCATCACTCAAACAAGCATCATTCACTACTAGAAAGGGATATATCTATAAAAAATTAATGTCAATAATTAGATAAAGATACAACAATGAATTTAATTAAATTCAAGATAAATGTTATAATGAACTGACCTTTCCATTATGGCCTTTTATATACAATCTTCTGGCTGCAGTATTATGCTTCAAAACAATATCTACTCTAGGCATGAATCTTGAGATGCGAACAAAATAATGGTTATGCTAGAAAAGAAGAGAAAAAAATCATAATGCATAAAAGAAAATGAACTTAAGCACAAAAAAGTATACAAATAGAATGAAAATTAAATTAATTTTTAAAAAAAATGAAAATAAAAGAGAATTATCTTGATATCTTATTATAATAAAAAAAAAAAACAGAAAAGGTGATAATATACTAAAGTATTCTAATCAGACAAACAAATAATGGAATTCAAAAATAATTAAAGTTAATGAATAATTGAAAAAGAAGCAGATAGATTAAGCTCTTATCAACTTGTGACTAACTAATTAAAAAATATATTTATCAGTATACGATTTTATTATTTTTTCATGCTCTAATATTTTCTTCTGCCATTACTTTGCTTTTGATTTTGCTTATTAGCAAAATATTTAAAAATAAAAATAGCGCTTGAATTACTTTACTATTTGAATAAGTAGTCAAGTAAAATTAAATCATAAATAATATTAACCTTTAAAACAAGATATTTCATAGTAAATATAATTTGCAATTAATGTTTCAACTATTTTAAACTTATTAAAACATAGATGCGAACTGCCCAAACATAAGTAGGATTGTCTCCATAAATAATTAAATTATGAATGATTTTTTATTAAACTGAATTTTGTGAATAAACTGAAATTAAAAAATTTAAACAAAATGAGAATTTAAGACTACAAAGATACACGGAGAATTTTTTTAGATGCCTTTTTATAAAAACTAATTTAAATGTCAAAATGTTAATCCGCTTAAGATTGAGTCAAAAGACAAAATAGTCGTGAAATTTTTTTTTCTGCACTACCTATTAACTACTATTGAGGATGTCATTACACATTGAGTATTATAATAAATCTGCTTACAAAATTTTCTGTAAGCAATAACTTTGTAAAATATAAGTGTACCTTAGGTAGAAGAAATTCTCCAGGAATTTCCACATCTGCTGTCTGTTGAGCAAAGTTATTCAAAAATCGACATTTTTCTTCAATAAGGAATGGCCTAAAGTAAAAAAAATTATAATAATATTAATGATCGCTAAGAGCTTATTATAACTAATCCTTTTTTAAAAGACTACATAATATGCTTATAAATTTTGAAAATTTTTACAGGGAAATAGAAATTTCAACATGAGAAAAAAAAATCAAAATAATGCAAGAAAAAATTTGCATTCATTATTTTCCAAAAAACATTGCTTTTTCCCTTATATACTTTTTTGATATTCATGAATATGCAATTTTTTTGTATGGGTTTAACAGCAGATTAAAATGCAACTTTTTATAGGCAGTACTGCATTAGAGTTACCACTGTACTGTACATTACCACTGGGAGCCACTCTAAAAACATTTTAAGACTGAACTTATTTTTTGACTAATTAACAAGGTCTAGCGTTGTTAACCAGAATTTTTCGAAATGTTTAGCTCGTTGACTTCAAAATGTAACTTTCCATGATAATGGCTCATACATCATAATCAACTAAGAATTTATTATTTTATCTACAATTTTTCTTTTCATTTTATTCATTTTTTTAGAATAAACCAGACAAAAATAACAGCTAACCTTGAACATCTTTTTACACCAATCACTGAATAATGAATTACTTATTTTTTCATGAGTCTATTCATCTCTACTTATTTTTCAGTTCACCATTATTTATATTTTGTTCTATGTCTAAGTTCAAAAAAAAATTTCTTAATTTAACTTTGGCCAGCAATGTTGGGTAAAATGAAAATTCAAGCAAATTTAGATACAACAACAATACAAATTTCGCTTAAACAAGCAGGTGCTAAATTTTCGATGCTATTCACGGTAGTTCCATTTTTCAAGCTAGCTGCTTTTCAAATTTTTTTTTTTTTAATAAAAACATCCTAGTTTTGACACTGTTAAGTCTAGTGTTTCTTATTTCTGTTCAGTGAAAGAATTTCTTAAAAAAAAGTCTAAATGATCTTTTAAAATTAATGTGATGATCGAAATGCTAAGTTACAAATGAACAAAGTCAGGAATATCAGGATAAAAAGCTAAATATTAGGACAAATATGTATAGAATATTTTGTATCAGAAAAATCAGGACGACTATGAACCCTGCATTTACATGAACAAATGATATTCATGATTGCAAAATAAATCCCAGATAAAGTGAATTAACATTTGATTTAATTAAGAAGCTAACAAGTGTGTTTCATAAATCTTTAATTTTGTTTCTGTGTAGTCACCGTCCTAACTCTTCCAAAAATTTCACTTTTGAAAATCATTCTAGTGTTCACATTTTCAAGAAAGTTTAAAAATTGCAGATTTGATTTTTAGGTATGTTCTAGGTGCCCTTTGCCCACTTATAATAAAAACAATAGAAAATATACACTTCAGATTTTTTTCTTCTTCTTAAGTTTACTGAAACACAAAGCCATCAAAGTGTAGTTAAAACAGGAAAAGATATTTCACATTTATAATATTTCCAGCATGCTAAAAACTGGATTTATTTAACTTTCAGTAACATTTATATTTTGAATTTTTAAATAAAAAGTGAAATAACACAGTTAATTTTCATTTACTTCTGGCCTGTTGCATAACATGTTACCTAGATTTACATTATGTAACAGTTTTAAAATTTAACTAACAAATAAATCATTAATCAACTCCAATTTCAATTCACTTTGTGACTTTAAGTTATAAATTACAAAATATCATTTTAAATAACATATAAATAAAAAATAATATTACTTACTTAGTAACAATTTTAGTTTTTCCTTCAAGAATCTTGATCCATTTTTTAAGCTTGTTAATTAAATTGTGTAATTTCATTGCTCCGGAAACACTGAAAATACTCTTTATTAGAATCAATTTTTCATACAATTTAAAAGATGTTATAAAATGGTTTAAAAGCAAAATTAATGACCATAAAAATTTTATTCCATATTGCTTATATTTTATTGTACCTGAAGTCAAAATCAGCAGTAAATTGTCCTTTCATTTTTTGAAAAACTGGATCTTGAGCAGTGGCTTGAGCTCTCCTAGCCAAAGATTCAGAGCAAGAGCTAGATATAGTTGTGGATATACTAGATATATTTTCAACACCAATACCAAATGTTGACACCAATTTTTTTACAAAGTTCAATGTATGAGGTGTTACGGTAGCTTCTGAAACAGCTGCAGCATTTTCGTAAGCAACTGAATAACATTTGGCTAATGCTTGCCTCAATTGTCGAAGAACTTCTTCATAGACACCTTCACGAAACCATACCATCTGAAAGAAAAAATTTAAACTTTTTAATTAGATTTCATCTTAAAAAATCTAACTCTGATTCTCTTACATTACTGGAAAATTCTTTTAGATAGTAGATATTAATGATCTCTGGGTTTATTGGATTCATATGAATAAAATTCATTGATAGAGAGGAATCAATCTACTAAAACAATTTAAGGACCCTCCACAAAAATCTAAACATTAAAAAAGGACCCTTTACAAAGTTCTTAATTAGTAATTAATTTTTCTTAAATGCATGAAAATCAATCCCTTACTCAAACCTATTTTTCTAAAATGTATAATTAATATTTCATTTTGTTACAACCAAAGATTCATAGTTATAGCCAAAGATATCGGTAATAGCATTTTTAGAACTCAATTATTAATTTTGATATACGTGTATTTGTGTAAATTATTGACTAAAACACACTTAAATGAAGTTGAAAAACTTACAAGGAGGAATGTGATGTAATTTTTTACCAATCAACAATAGACAAATCAGTTTGTAATAAACTTGCAATATATAATTGTTTATAGAAAAAATGGCCTTTGTAAAATACATTTCACCAAAATTAGGACGAAAAAAAAGTACAGCCCAGTCAACAAAATAAAAGATGAAAATATTTATAAAACTCCATACTGTTTTTCAAAAATTCTAAATATAGCCTGTATTGAACTCTCATAAATTAAGATAGCCTACAAGACTTAAGTAGAAAAGGACTATAATTTTTAAACCCATAGAACTTAAGATTGATGTAGTTTATAGTCACAAGTGATAAGAGCGATTATACTGCATGAAACTCAAATGATATTGTATGTTAAAAGTCAGGAAATTAATCATTTTTTATCTCAAGAAAGAAACTCTCTTCATCTTCAGAAAATTCGAATTTTGTAGTTACATAATTTAAACTAAGCCTTTTGTAAGTATCTAAATATTAAATCAGATCATAAAATCTTTTTCTAACTCATTATTTATATTCTAACAAAATTAATCACACTAAAATTACAGTTACTGTAAAATTTCGACCTACCTGATCAACAATGCCTTCTAAACTAGATACAATGGTTGGGTGTATATCCCGTAACATATGCATAACTCTGCTACATCTCCACATTGGCTGCGTTGCTCGAATAGGAGCAGATTCAGAAGAAGTACTGCTTTGTGAGAAATCTGAAACTAGAATAAAATATATTCCAGGAAAACAAAAATTTGAATCTTAAAAAATTTTCAATATTGAAATGTCAAAAAAGAACTAAACAATATAGCCTTACCATTACTATTCGAAGCTTCATTAAGTGACACAGCGGGACTACCAGGAGTTGATGCAGAAGGACCAGGTTGAGAGCTGTTTCCTTTAACTAGAAAATTAATTTACCAGTTACATTGATTTTATAAAATACAAGGTTAGTCTAAATGATTCATCAAGGACTGTTTACTAACAAGTAACATAATATACAAAGACAAGCCATACACTGAAAGATGCATACATTCATCAAGTTTTTTTTCTTAAAAGTGTTCAATCAGCACACCTTCGGTCATTAGGCATACAACTCAATGGTAATCTAGTTCTGTTGATACGAAAGTGTTTACATTTCATAATGTCTACCATAGCAGCAATTCCTGCAGTAATCGCAACATTGAGAGTACACAATGATAGCATTGAGAGTACATAAACCTTTGTTTTTCATGCAACCCCATAGAAAGAAATTACAAGGAGTAATATCTAGCTACCTGGGGGGGGGGCAACGAAAACAGTGGAATATAAGGCAGACAAAGAGCAATGTAGTGATTCTCAGTTGAGAAAGAAGGGAGCTTTAGTGAGGTGGAGCACCATCCTGCTGAGAAAGAAAAGTCGAGGAATATAAACTTGTTGAGTACATGTATCTTGTCAAGTATCATTCATCTTTGTATGTCTCTAAATGCACAATGTTTTGAGGCCTAATGAATCATTTTGGCTGTATTATTAAAAAAATTATGTTTCAACTTTCATTCATTTTAAATGTTTCATTAAATAAATAGAAAGAATCTTACACTTTTCCCTTTGTTCTATTTTCAAGATCAAATATAGAGTGCGGATAGGAAAGTAAACTGCTTGCGGATAAGTTCTTCCAACTTGGCTTATAACGTTTAGCATTAAACGCCCTTCATTTCTAACAAGACAAGTTAATAATTGAGGTACCCATGGAAGCCATTGCAAGGGAGGTATTCCAACACTATTTTTATCTAAAGTGTCACTAAGTTGCAACGATTCATCATCATATGTGAGTAGCCATAATGCCTGAAAACAAAATTTATAAAATTTTATGAAATAAGAAATGTAGATGATTATAATATTAATATCCCAGTAATTGTAAGCGTTGAAAAAACAAATATTAAGCTAAATTAAAAAAGTAATTTTACAACACTCTTATGGCTGCAAAACTAGAAAAAGAAAATTCTAGTTGGTATTGTGAAATAATGTAAATTTAAAACTTCTGCATATCACTGTAACACTAACAACATCAAATATTAAAAACGTTACATTTTATCACTTAACTATATTTCAAGAAAAAACTGAGAGGATTTCCCTTAATCTACACTACTTAATTTGACATAAATAAATGAAATATAAAAATAATTATATTTTATCTTCATAGTCTATGAGTCAAATAAATAGTTATTTGTTAAGTTTTGTGATATGTAGTTAACATGCTGTGTGTCACCTCAGTCATTGGTGACTCACACAGAACTTTTCGTTCTGGCTGCATCAATAGCCGATAATTGACACAGAACTTTTCATTCAGGCTGAGACAGTGTAAAACATGACATAAAAGTAAAATAGCTAAACTATTTTAAAGTAATTAATCAAAATTTATTTAAAATTAGCACAATTGTTATTTATTTAAAATTAAATATTTATTAATTTCAATCCGTTAGAAGTGCACTTTACATTGCTATACCATAATACAAGTACTTCTAAGCAGCCCACATGACCTGAGAGAGATTTCTTCAAAAATATGCATGGCACTCAAAATGTTTAAGTAATAAATGAAGAAAAATCAAAAAAGGGCCAGAAGAATAATCCTGTTTCATGAAACGCTCATAAACAAAAGTTTAAAGTTACCTTTGCTAAGTATTTTCTTGTTTTGCTTTCATTTTGATGTCGACATGAGTGGAGATAACAAGTGAGAGCATTTATTCCAACAGCAATATTACGGCTGAAACAAATTAAAATGAGAGTTTAAAATGTTTCATTTTGAAATAAAGAGTGATGCATAAATAACATGTGAATTGTTAAATAATATGATTAAACAATAGATTTCTAAGAAATAACTACGTAAAAAAAATGAACTTTAAGAATTTTTTTTTTGGCAGCAAATAATAACAGTTGTAGTGAACTTATTATTTTAATACAGATTGCTGCTCCACCTTAACATAATAACATAGGTTTTGCATACACTCATAAATAAATGAAAATCTTAACAAAAAATTCCAAATAGCATTTTTGCAAATTTAAAAAGTTTAGTTCATGAATATATAAATGGATCAGGAAGATGTTTTTTCCCAATTAAAATATAACTAAAAATTTAGCGTAACAATGTTCTAGAATGTAAAGTCAACAAATTCTAGATTAATTCTTCAGATTCAAATTAAAACAATTTCTCAGGTTAACAAGAATTTGATTCTCAGAAAAAAAAAACTACTTTCAAAAGGTCATTTATATCTTATTCCATAAAGATGTTCAAACTCATATGAAAGAATTGGAGCAATATAGAAATTAGCCACATTTTCAAATAGTTCAGAATAGCTTAATATTTTACATGTTTTAATCAAAAACAATATCACTTCCATGTAGGCAATATGACATTTCTGTATATTAAGTTGCTGTCTAAAGTAAATTCCTAGAACATGCTAAGTACCTAATTGGAAATCATACTAAAAACAGTTTATAGTAAAAATGTTTACTTTTAAAAAGTGTGGATCATCACTATATTGCACAGCTCTTCATATATACCCATAATTGTAAGATAATTAGAAACAAGAACAAAAAATTGAGATCTTAAGCTTAAATGACTTTGCATAGAAATATGTAATTCAGATAAAAACTAGTGATAAGTAAAGCAATTGATGATTGCAAAATTTTGATACAGTGCTTACAAATTTAGTCTACTTTTTCCTTTTCATTTTCTAAAAATTTCCACCATAATACAATAAAGATGTTGTCAACAGTATTCTAGTTTATAGTAAAAGAAAATTATATCTTATTTATCATAATTCAATTTTGCTACACCTAATATTTAGATAAAAACAATATAATGTTAATATGAAAACAAATATATGTTAACTCTTGCAGGAAAGCTTTTCCTTTTGTTGTAGCAGCACTGGATTTCTTATGTTTTAATATTCTAAGTTCATTTTGGTATAATGGGAAACTAGATTATTACTTCAATTATGATTCAATTTATACTTCCACAAAATTTGTATTAATTATACTAAAGAAAATGAAATTTGAACTTACTTTTTGAATAGTAGCAATTTTAAATATTAATTTTGATAGAAATACTATTTGTGAAGACAGCGACATAGACTGAATATGCTTGGCTGTATAAAGAAGTAAAACATTCAGATCCAGTTGCTTATAAAAGAACAATTTTTAGAATTTTGTTTGCTGACTCTACAGTTTAAATATTTTGCATGGTATAAATGGCATCATTACTGAGAATTTTTATCACGGATCTTTTTATTTTTATCCTATATAAAAATTTTTAGGGCTGTAGCAGAGATAAACAACATAGCTCACTTAAAATTAATACCAGTTTTCTTGTTTGCAATTTAATGATAAAGTTGAGCATAATTAAGAAATTACTAAATTTGTTCAAATTTAAAAAGTTTGGTCGATTAGAAGTAGGTAAAGGTCTTTTTTGTTTTTAATTTTGTCTTGAATTTCTTTAAAAAAATAAGCGTATGATTTTATTTAAATTGATGAAAAGTTATTTGACTGTTTAATAAATATATGAAAAAATCAGTCTTTAAATGATATAATTTTTATGAAAAATAAACTACAAAATAGTCGGAACAACATCTCAAATTTCTATTGCACTGCTAATTTGTATTTCATATATTCTAAAAGATGTTGTTGAGAAGAAAAACATTAATCATGAACATTTTTGTGAAATTAAAATGAAGATGCAGAATCGCATATAATAGTTTCTAACATTTCCAAATAAGAATTTTTATGCTAACTAAATATGCAAGCAAAAAAAAATCAGCAAAGATTTCTCAAGAGATAAAAGTATTTTCATTAAGATTACAATTCATTTTTATATGAAAGGCTTTTTACTCAAAATATAATTTTTTATTCTAAAAATTAAGAGAATCAAAGAACACTTTATTTGTAAAATTAGGTAAATAACAAAAGATTAATTTAAGATAATGTTATTTTAACGTAACGTAAAACATATATTTTTTAGAGAATATATAAATTCTGATAATGATAATGAGATTAAAAAGATAAAACACAAAAGTTAGGGAGATTCTCAAATAAAGAAAAAAGTACTGATATCTATATTAAACTTTTTTTCTCGAATTCACAGTCCTATGATAGATGTGTAAACATGACAGTTTACTATACTCTGTTGCAAGTTAAGAAAACACCATTGTGGTATAGGATTTAAGTAATCATCCGTAACTGCACATATTTTCGTTCTATTTAGCTATTCAAATTATATAATTATGCTTTCAAAACAATATAAAAGCTTTTAAAAGTTAAACTTGTCGGACAGAAATTTAATTCATGTTATTTTTTATAAGCAAAATGAAGACCATGCTTAATTGTTTCAAGAGTTAGCGATGTTGATATTCATTGGTGCTTGGAGCTTGGCATCCATTTAGCGTGCACTTAGATGCAAACAGACTCTCTCCATAGAGATAATGGTTTTTTTTTTCTTAACTTGCAACAGATCTAATATTACCTTAGATCTAATATCTAAAATAAAATGCTATTTTGATCATTAATTTATAAGAGTATAGGGCAATATTTGATACATACTTCTCAGGCTTTTCTTTAGTAAACATTTGTTCTAAATAATCACCCCATAAGGCCCAAGTTTTAACTAATGTGTCATGTAACTGACAGGCATAACTGAATACTTTATTCGCTTCTTCATGTCTATTCAATTGTGATAGGAACACAGCTCTCAAAGTGTAAAATTCTGCAGTCATTTCCTTCGTAAAATATTTGCAGTTAGTAGAATCTATAATATTTAATCCATCATTTAAAGCATGTTGGACCTAAAAAAGTAATGATAACAATGATATTAATGCATTGGGAAATAAAAATCTTATAAATGTTACTTTCTTTCTCTAATGGACATCATCTTGGTAAAACTAATTATACTTGATCAACTTCACATTTTACTCCAAATATAGTTTTTTAAGTTCTTAAACCAGATCAAGTGTTTTTAAAAATTGAGCAGAAAGACAACAATTTGAAACATTTTTTAAAATTTTATTTATTATCACTTCTTTTAAATCAATATACAGTAAGACCTCGATTATCCGAGCTAATTGGGACCGCTAGTACCTCAGATATTGGAAATCTCGGTTAATAGAAAACATGTATAAAAACCTTCTGTGCTTGCGAATTTAACTACCTTTAAACTTAAAAACAATAGAACGTTTTTTAAATGATAAAAATAAACATATATGAACTTATGTTTCCCAGCTAAAAAGATTTAAAAAAAAAATCAACTGGTATTCAATAGGGTCACATGACCACTGTTAACAAAGCATTCGTGGACTTCTCAGAGTGTAATATTTCTTGGAAGTTGAGTGCTTTTGTGGGGAAGAAGTGCCTGTAACACGGACAACGAACTAAAATGTGTAGAATTTTTTCTAAGCTCAATTTGGAAAGGAGAAAAAAAAAGGTAAAAAAAAAAAAAAAAGACTTCAATATTGCCTTGGTTAACAGAAACCTCGGTTAATCGAGGTTCTACTGTATTATCTTATTAAATTTCAAAATTATTTAATAAATGCAGTGATATCTCATAAATAGATAATTTTAGGAGAGCAGAGTGTGTCTGATTGTGCCAATGCGGTTCGGGGGAGATTCAGACAGGCCTAGAGAAAGTTTTGGACTATTTAAAAAAAAATTGCTAAATTTTTTACAGTAAAAAAAAAAATTTGTCACTAAATGTGTTGAAATACAAGTACATAAACTATGTAAGCAAATTTATTTTTCCGTTTGAACTCTTAAATTAATGAGTGGGACCTTTAAATTTAGTTTCACAAATTATTACTTCAATACATTCTGATTTCTATTGCCTTTAACACAGTTGCTAGTTTAAAGAACTGTGTAAAATCACCATTTTTTTCGGTAACAAAAAATTATCAAAACATTTAAACGATATACTATGCAAAAATGTTATTTAAATTCTGAGAATTTTCTGTACCTCTGGAACCTTTTGGAATCTCTGTAACCTGTTAAAAGCAAAGCAACAAAACTAAATATTTATAAAGAATAACAAAATTAGTTTATCAATATTTTTTTGCTAATTTATTTTAATTTTCAAATTAGTATAAAGATTTGTATACCCTAACATTATGCTATGCAAACGCAATTAAATACACATTTGGTAAAAATGTTTCAAATTAGTTTGAATTGCAAAGGAGTAACAATAATAACATGAATTTTAAACCCTATAACCACCAATAGTTCCATTAAAAAGCAGGTTCAGTAACTATTGTATTAACACTCTATTAAAATGTTTTAAGTTTGTATTCGTAGTTTCTATTAAAATAGTATTTTGTCAAATTATAATTACAGTATATTAAATATATTGATTGAAAAAAGAAGATTTTCAATTCATGGCGTTTTCAGTTTAACGATCAGATGAAAGGTATAAATAATAATTGATATTATTTAACAATAATAAGGCAACTAAAATACTTAATACCACTAATAATAAAAAGGTTAATATTATTATTTAATCATTGCAAACTAATTACTGAATAAATAAAGTCAGTTACCTATTTTTTTAAAATTTTTTTTATCAAACTAAGAACATTAATAAATTGAAAAGACAGAGAAGCAACTGACAGAGAACCAGATTATTGAATGAAAAGTAAATTAATTTAGATCATAAAATATTTTCAAAAATAAATTATTCTTGGCCGAGCAAGTCTTAATTCCTGTCTTAATTCCTTAGTTACAAATAGATATTAAATAAGTTTTAAAATTGCTTGCATTGAACTAATGTGTTTAGTAAATGGGTAAAATTGAAATATATTTTTTGATAATAAAACAGGTTATTATTTTACATTCTACAAAGAGCACATTAAAATATGAAAATTATAGGAAACGAATAATGTAAAACTAATATTTAAAAGTTACATAATTTACATTCAAGCTTTAAAAAAAAGAGATTTTTTTTCTTAATTTATCAACTTATTTTTTGATTCTATAAATATAACATTTATTGACAATGAGATTTAATATCAAAGGTTTATTACTACAGCCTTAAACATAATATATTAGTTAATGGAGTCCTTTATGAATAATACTTAGATAAATCAGTGATTAAAAAAAAAAACTATGTGATTCAAATCAACGATTTCTTAAAATGAAATATACTTTAATTAAATATTTTTCAATCATTCTAACCCTGCTTTTTATTTTTCTTGACATTTTTCGTAGTTATTAGGGTTTTTTCCGCTGCACACATTCTAAAACCGACAATAATTGAAATTTTTAATACATTTGATTTCTATGTCATAAAAGTTGAAAGTTGGCAAAACGTTCTATTTTGTTATTTAAAAATGACACTCTTGAGATATCGGAACATTAAATAAAATGAAATTTTCATTTGGAAATATAAATTATAACTTGTATGAATTCTATATCTAAGGAATAAGAAAATAAAAAAATAAACCAAAAAATTTAGAAAATATAAAGAAAAACTTATAAAACAATAGAAATTATAGATACTTTTATAACAATAAATACCTCTTGAGAATCTACTTTTCCCAAAGAATGAGCCATTTGTAAGTAACATTTCACTTGTTGACGTATCTTTTGGAAACAATCGACAATTGGAACACTAGGTATGGAATGTATTCTGTAGAGAAGAAGAGTCAATTAAAATCGGCAATGTAAAATAAAGTATGCAGTTTATATAACAATATGTTTGGGCACTATAAACTCCTATTAGATAAAAGATTTATAATACTAGGAATTCATCCAGAAAAAAATAATCTTCTGTACAAAGTAGAGTTTGTAAATAAGACATTTTAATTGCACTATATATTGTAAAGGTGGTGTAATTCATTTATATATATACAGTAAAATAGGGGTGCACAACCAGCGGCCCTTCGACTACTGAAGTGCGGCCCGCCAGAGCTTCTAAACACAATAAAAAATATTTAAAAAATGGCAATTTTTAATCGCACTTATAAGTCATCACGTTTTGACAAAATCAATTTTAACAGATTCTTTAGTAAATGTACGTTTAACGCGCTTTCTTTAAGCCGATTTTATCGTAAATATAAATAATTTTTTTTAAACAGTTACTTCCGCTTTTCTACGTGATTTCGAAAATCCCGAATTTTTATTACGACGCGAGTTTCAGATCGCAAATTTAAATAATCACTTTCAGTGCACTTTATTTGTGACGGTTTCATCTTAAATGTAAGTGATTTTTTTATCTTTTTTTTGCAATTCAACAATTTTTCGGCAGTTATTGCTATGCGTTCGCACGTATTAAAAAAAATTTCCAATTGTTCTATTACGACATACAAATTTTAAATCATGCATTTGACACGTTTTATTCGTGCTGAGTTCAGCATAAATATATTTTTTCCCAATTATTTCTATACTTTTCCACATGATTTTGACGATTCCGTTACTTAACTATGATGTTATTACGACACGTGATTGTTAATCGCGCAGTTAAATAATCCCTTTTTGATACGGTATTTCGGTACAGTTTTATCTTAAATCCTAGTTATTTTTCCTTCGTTTTTATTTCCGCAACGAATATGATTTGGTCGAATGTGGTAATGAATTGTGATTTGATCAAAAATCAAATATTTGGCACAAAAAAAAAAAATCGACTGAAAGCCGTACACTTGGGGCCAAATAGCAAAATCTTTTAGCAGCATAGCAACACTGAAACTAAAATTTCAATGCTCAGAATAATATTTCCTGGAAAAACGTATTCATAAATTAACTCTAAAAAATAAGGCCAATCAAGAACGTTTTTGAAAATGTCGAAAAGCGAAACAGAGAACATAAAAATCAATCTCAATTTTTGAAAAATTTTTTTAAAGCTGAACATCTTAGTTTTTTAACTACCAGAAAAAGCCAAGAAAAAAGATTTAAGTCAACAAAAATGCTATTAAAAATTACTACGTTATAATGAAAACGTCTAAAAAAAGGGTTTTTTTTATTTAAAGAAAATAAAAAAATAGAAAAAAAGAGCGTTCTTAATTTTTTAAATAAAAATCTTATGCTGAAAATCTCAATTTAAATTTTTCTCATTGCCATAATTTTAGAAGAAAAAAAATTGATATAAAATAAATTTTATTAGTAACTTTATTTTTAAAAAAAATGCCGAGTCATAATAAAAATGCATAAAAAAAGAAAAACAGAAAAAAAAATTTTTTTCTTAGTTCCTGAAACAAAACTTTAATACAGAAAATCACTCTTTTCTATGTTACTGGTTATTTATATTACAGTACAGGGAAAGAGTGATAATAAACTCAATTCTCAAAGTATATAAAAAATGACAAAATAGACTTGTCTGATTATAATTTAAAAAAAAAAGTAATACTATAAAAATTCAAAAATAAAAAAAAACTTGGAAAAATACATTTCTAAAAAATATTCTGCGGAATATTTGACTGATCATTCAACCAACTGAATTTTTCACAGAAGGGTCAAATACTCGTTACATCCCTCCCTAATTTAAATGCAATGTTATTGCAACTTGAGAAATTCATAAAATGACGGAAAACGTGAATTTTTAAACTGCTCACTGTTTGTAGTAAAGATTTCAATTTTTTGCTGCTTAAGTGATCTTTTTCGATAAAAAAAGGAAAATGTTTACGATATAAAAAAATTTAATAATTAATAAAATAAAATAATAAAGTACATTACAAAATAAGCATTGAATTTTATTTTCAACTATCACAGTTTTGTTTTTATTTTAGGCTTTTGTTTAAAACCTATAAATTTTCTTAAATTAAAATATTTTATTTGAATTTATATTACTTAATTATGACTTAACTTTTTCCTACTTTCATTCTACGGGAATTGCAGTTTTTTTTTTATTTATTAAAATTTAATTCTAAAATGAATTTTTGTATTGCATGATATGATAAAAAAAAACATTTCTTTTCTTCAATGTTTATTTATTCTGATAAATCTATTGTTCATATGATAAAAATAGCAAGTTTTTTTGCAAAAAAAAAGTATAAGTTTTTTTATTTTTGAATGAATTCTAATAATGGAACACTACTAAGTTATTGATACTACTAAGTTTATTGATAAAAATAATGGAACGTTAATGTTTAAATAAACATTACTACATTTGTCATTAACATGTCTAAATACATCTGAGGCCCTTCGTTAGCCAACCTGCTGTGCAAGTGGCCCTTCACTCAAAAAGGTTGTGCACCCCTANAATCGACATTGGACATGTTCTTCAACGCCCCATAGCAAAAAATGAAAAGGACTGATTAATATGCAAGACTATATGTATATATTATTTTTTAAAAAACTTAATAAGAAATTATACATTTTTTTAAATTTAATTTTTAGGGTCTCCAGAACGAATTAATCGATTTCACATAGAAGTCTATGGTGAATCGATGATCGGTTAACGAACAATTCGGATAGCGAACATAGTCTTGGAACGGATTATGTTCGTTAACCGATCACCCACTGTATAGCTAAAACGCTTGTATTGCATTTAATTATTTTGTTCATTGTAATTATCATTTCTTATTAAAGTATAAAATCATGTTTTATGGTTATATTATTGAAAAACATTTCGCCAAGAACAAAATTCTACTTCACAAGATTTTAGTTTGCCATAATTTAAATAAATCTCATTAAAATCAATCCAGGTTTTTCTGAGATATTTGTGCCAGAAAGTCACATTTTTCTCTACAGAGTTAAAGTAAGAAAGAAAAAAAACAATCTTTAGTGATTAACCCCTTTATACCATAATAAAACCGTAAGAAACGTTTAAATTCTATGAAATGAAATAACTAAAAATCAAAACTAATTTTTAACCACCATTTAAATAAAAAAAAATAGTGATGCATAAAAAAATATATTAAAAGTTGGTTAATTTTATTATTTAAAATTTATACTCACTGACTTAATGCATCTAAACACACTGATGTAAGCCCATGCTTTCTAGCAATTTTTCCATAATGAATTATAGATTGAGCTGAAGCATGTACTCCAAGCATTGCATGATTTGCTTGAGCTTCAATCTGTTGCCCATTTGGACCAGGCTCATAACTTGAAACAATTGTTTTATAATGTTCTTGACGCCAGTAAAAAATCTCACTCCAATGAGACAAATCATCACTTATCACAGGCAGTCGATTACGCCAGGTCTTCACTATCGCTTTCATGTCATGAAGACTTGGAGGTCGACCGATATTAGCGGGTAATAAACCTTGATGAATCTGAACAGCATCTTGGAGTTCAATAATTTGTTGAGCAGCCTAAAACACAGAACAAATTAATGGAATGAAAAAAAAAAATTTCATACACAAGGGGAAAAAAATTAAATTTGATATACAAGAAAAATTATTTAAGAAATATAGTAGTTCTAGATCAGGGTGCGTAGCCAAATTTTTCAACAAAAAATAAGCACTTTTTAATAACTTTTCAAGCACTTAAAAATATTTAAGCACTTCAGAAAAAAATATAATTAGGCAGGGTTGGCAAAGTTTTTGACTATTGACAGTTCTAACTGTCCAAAAAAAAAAAAAAACTTTAGGCATAGTTTCCGACAGTTGTTAAAAATCATCAAATTTTGAATCATGTAAAACGAAAGGCGTTTTCATACATTAAGGACTGATGGTCTGCTGAAATAGATTGATGTTGTATTAATAGTAAAAATTCTGAATAGAACAATATCTTTTTGCATAATTCGTGGAGAAAATCAACACGGTAAAGGAAAAATCTCATTTTGGAAACGGGAAAATTAAGCATTTTTTAAAAACACTCAATGAAATAAGCACCTTTAAGGGCTTTTAAAAAACGAAAATCGGAAATAAGCACCTTTAAGCACTTTTTATAAACGCTACGCCCCCTTTAGATGTAAAAATAATTAGTTTAAATGAAATCAAGGATGAATGTTCACATTTTATAAAACAGTAATGAATAATTTTAAAACCAAAGAACTACTATTACGTTTAAGTTTTCCACAAGATAACTTTTTAGTTTTGATGAGCAGTCTAAATCAAAATTAAATGCAATAAATAAATAAATAAAATAAAATATACGCTATATTTATATATTAGAAATATATAAATTACCAGGGCAGCCAGCTTTCTGGACTTTTGGGGAAACTTTCTAGTAGTGGTAGCTATGTTTATGTTTTAATTTATGACGCTACTTTGTTCCAGCTCTCTCAAGGTGAGGCATTTAAAATGTAAGCATTATAACTAAAAATTAAATTCTGAAAGCTTTAGTTTCTAATTGTCCATTACTTCATTCTATAAAATATTTTGAAAAAACCGTAGTAACTGGTAGTCTTGAATTACCTACTATATAGAATGAATATTCAGACTGGAAAATCAAGAAGTAATATTTAAAACTTTTAATTTTAATTTATATATATATATATANCACCATGCCCAGTTAATTATTTATTTATATATTTATTTATTTATTTATTTATTTATTAGTGGAGAAAACCAAATATTTGGTTATATCTTATGCATTTAGTCCATCTCTAATTAATGTTGCCTAGCACAGATAAGCTCTCGCAGCTGCTTCTGTGTTAAAACGAGAAAAAATTTCTATGAGATTTCCTTTTTTTTCAAATTTATTACTTCTTTTATTCTCAACAGATTATTACTTGTGTTATTGTTTCTTTAATTTTTACATAAATCATACAATATTTTAATAATATAGCAGGAATTAAATATAGCAGGAATTAATATAGCAGGAATTAATGTTAGCATTTGACAGATATCAGTTTTTCACAATAACATACATAAAACACTAAATTGATCTGATTATTTTTGAGTCAGCAGAATATTTTAAGCAAACAATTTAATTTCAGTAATTTCATTTTATAAATTTTAAGACATTATTTCTTATATATATGCTTTATTTATATATTTTCTTATATAAAGTGCTTTATGATGAATAATTTTAAAATAAGTGTACATTAGAATACTAATACTATAATGTGGTCATTTCCTTAACAGTGTTGCATTATGTCCAATCCTTCAGGATCTAGCAGCAGCTAGATCAAATCCATGAGATCGTGAACTCTAGCAAAGTCAAGCACCAGAAGTGGGTTATCACGGATATCCGCAAGAGCGAGTCCCAAGCAATCGAGGATATGATCGGAATCAGATGGCACTTGGTGCACGTTGGGAAGACTTTGCAGCCACATTCAAAGGTCATGCATTTTAGGTGCCCACTGATAAGTCTTGAGGCGGCCGTTTGATCCTGTCTGTTAGCCTCAAGATCTAACGCGCATCCTGGTCTTTTCCTACAGAGCCAGGGATGGGCAGGAGGGGAGAGCCAGACCTGCCGGTCTCTATTTTTCGTCACTGAGAAAATCTCTTGAAAAGTGAGGTCATAGTCAGTAGTTGCCATCTCAGAGCAGCCTCTTTTAGCCAAGATTCCAAACGAGGCCCTCTTCCTAAACCTCGAACGCGTCTCTGATTTACCAGCGCGACAGTATGACTTACTATAGGCGACATAGTCTCATGGAGAAGGGAAAGAGCAGCTTCTGTTGGTACAAGGTACTTGGAGCTCCAGTGGAGTAAATGATGCTTGTAATTTAATGGATTTTGTGTATTTTTTAAATTTCTGCACATTGAATTGAATTGATTGATTCGATTTTTATTGATTATATCATTGAATTGATTTTTAAAAAAGAAACTGCTAATTATTTAGCATAACTAAGTGCATTGAAAATTTCATTCAAACACAAATTTAAACTACTTTTCTCCGTTGTTACATAAAAAAGATATAGGAGAGAATTATAAATTAGTAATATTTCTGAAACCTCAGTGGATTAAAACCATGCTTGAACAAATAAAGTACAACAATAAACATCCAATAAAATTGGATGTTTACTATAGTACTTAATTATTTTCATTTTGCAGTGAAATGCAACAAACAATTAACAGGGGTGATTGTGACACAAAGTGAAAAACCCTGAAATATTTAAAAAAACAAAATTTTTTTTCTTCATTATTTTGCAGTGAATTGTATTTGGCAATAAAAAAAGTTTGATTTAAATATCTTAAAAATTTAAAAAAAATTCTAAGTAGGTTTTGTACTTTTTAAAAGAAAGTAAAAATTATAAGGATTTTTCAACAAATATTATTTTGTATCGTAAGACAAAATTAAATAGCAAATGATAATAACTTACTATAAACGTTCATACCTCGAAATATGATTATATAAGGTAGGGGTGCACAACCTTTTTGAGTGAAGGGCCACTTGCACAGCAGGTTGGCTAACGAAGGGGCGCACATGTATTTCGACATGTTAAAGACAAATGTAGTAATGTTTATTTAAACATTAGCGTTCCATTTTTTTATCAATAAACTTAGTAACATCAATAACTTACTAGTGTTCCATTATTAGAATTCATTCAAAAATAAAAAAACTTGCTATTTTTATCATATGAACAATAGATTTATCAAAATAAATGAACATTTAAGAAAATATATGTTTTTTATTTATCATATCATGCAATACGAAAATTCATTTTAGAATTAAATCTAATAAATAAAAAAAAAAACTGCAATGCCCATAGAATGAAAGTAGAAAAAAGTTTAGTCATAATTAAGTAATATAAATTCAAATTAAATATTTTAATTGAAGAAAATTTATAGGTTTTAAACAAATCTTAAAATAAAAACAAAACTGTGATAGTTCAAAATAAAATTCAATGCTTATTTTGTAATGTACTTTATTATTTTATTTTATTAATTATTAGATTTTTTTACATCGTAAACATTTTCCTTTTTTTTATCGAAAAAGATCACTTAAGCAACAAAAAATTGAAATCTAAACTACAAACAGTGAGCAGTTTAAAAATTCACGTTTTCAGCCATTTTATGAATTTCTCAGGCTGCAATAACATTGCATTTAAAATAGGGAGGGATGTAACGAGTATTTGGCCCTTCTATGAAAAATTCAGTTGGTTGAATGATCAGTCAAATATTCGGCAGAATATTTTTTCGAAATGTATTTTTCCAAGTTTTTTTTTATTTTTGAATTTTTATAGATGTTACATTTTTTAAAAAAAATTATAATCAGACAAGTCAATTTTGTCATTTTTTCGATACTTTGAGAATTGAGAAGGATTTTATTCCATTTTTTGCTGTTTTTATTATAATCCAGTATTTTAACAGAACGTCTCACACTAGTAATTTATTATCGCTCTTTCCTTGTACTGTAATATAAGTAACCAGTAACATAGAATAGTGTGATTTTCAGTATTAAAGTTTTGTTTCAGGAACTAAAAAAAATTTTTTTTCTGTTTTTCTTTTTTTAGGCATTTTTATTATGACTCAGCTTGAAAATAAAGTTTGAAATAAAATTTATTTTATAGCAATTTTTTTTTGTCTAAAATTATGGCAATGAGAAAAATTTAAATTGAGATTTTCGGCATAAGATTTTCATTTAAAAAATTAAGAACGTTTCTTCTATCTTTTTATTTTCTTTAAATACAAAAAAAACTTTTTTTAGACGTTTTCATTGTAACGCAGTAATTTTTAATAGCATTTCTGCTGACTTAATTATCTTTTCTTGGGTTTTTTTTCTGGCAATTGAAAAACTAAGATGTTCAGCTTTTAAATTTTTTTTCAAAAATTAGGATTGATTTTTTTGTTCTCTGTTTCGCTTTTCGACATTTTCAAAAACGTTCTTGATTGGCCTTATTTTTGAGAGTTAATTTATGAATACGTTTTTCCAGGAAATATTATTCTGAGCATTGAAATTTTAGTTTCGATGTTGCTAAAAGATTTTGCTATTTGGCCCCAAGTGTACGGCGTTCAGTCGATTTTTTCTTCTTTTTTTTTTTGCCGAATATTTGGTTTTTGATCAAATCACAATTCATAACCACATTCGACCAAATCATATTCGTTACGGAAATAAAAACGATAGAAAAATAACTAGGATTTACGATAAAACTGTACCGAAATACCGTATCAAAAAGTGATTATTTAATTGCGCGATTAACAATCACGTGTCGTAATAACATCATAGTTAAATAACGGAATCGTCTAAATCACGTGGAAAATTATAGAAATAATTGGGAAAAAATATATTTATGCTGAACTCAGCACGAATAAAGCGTGTCAAATGCATGATTTAAAATTTGCATGTCGTAATAGTATAATTGGAATTTTTTATAATACGTGGGAACGCATAGCAACGACTGCCGAAAAAAATTGTTGAAAAAAAGAAAGAAGAAAGAATTGCAAAAAAAAAGATAAAAAATCACTTAGATTTAAGATGAAATCGTCAAAAGTGATTATTAAACTCGCGTCGTAATAAAAATTCGGAATTTTCGAAATCACGTAGAAAAGCAGAAATAACTGTTTAAAAAAATCATTTATATTTACGATAAAATCGGCTTAAAGAAAGCGCGTTAAACGTACATTTACTAAAGAATCTGTTAAAATTGATTGCGTCAAAACGTGATGACTTAAAAGTGCGATTAAAAATTGCCATTTTTTTAAATTTTTTTATTGTGTTTAGAAGCTCTCGCAGGCCGCACTTCAGTAGTACTTACTTAAGGGCCGCATTTGGCCCGCAGGTTGTGCACCCCTAGTATAAGGAAAGCAAACATGTAAAAGAAACGATACTTTTATGGGAATGATCCCCAATAATGATGGTACCATTTTTAATAAATCTTGTTCAAAATAAAATTTGTAGAAAATCCCTTATCATTTTGAGTTTACTTTTAAAAATTACAAAAACTACTCAAAAAATGGCTTGAAATTTTTTAAATGTTCAGATTATTTAAGTCAGATTTTTTTTTTATTAGTTGCCAATTATGATTCACTACAAAATAAAGAAAAAACAAATCTTAATTCCCCTCCACGCATGAGCAATATAAAAGAACTACTCTAATTTCTCATATCTTGCACAGTTACAAACACATTTTTCTCAAATTTTGAATCAATAATTTTTTAATTTTAAATTGCTCCAAAAATTTTGCTTAATTTTATTGAATATTTTTAAAGTTATACCAAAAAAACAAAAGGCAAAAAAATTAGTTTTTTATAAAAACGTCCAAATCTCTATAAATATTTAATCCAGGTTTATGAAAAGTTGCTTAGTATATATGAGAAATCTTATACACTAAGCACTTCTAAATTTATAGAATGATTCTCCAAGCAATTTTTGAGAAAGATAAAATTTTTTTTTTTGTTTAAAAGTGTTTGCATTATTTTGTCCAACCCTTGTAAATATCTCATTAACAGGATTTAGAAAAAGTTACAAAATTTAAGTTATAGATTGCAGAACTCTGTGAAAATTTTGCCAAACCAATGGTCTTGACATATTAAAAAAATGTCCTGCTTCTATTTTTTAGACCAGGAAGGACAATACGATGAAACCGAAATTCCGGACTGAACCCCAGAATACAATCTAGCAAACAACAATCAACTTAATTTATTATGGAATACATATTAAAGAAACTTAAAACTTTAACTAATTTAGAGCTTCGAACTTACTTGCAAGATAGGTAAATGTATATGAGAAACAACATGAGGTAATCTTCTCCACTCCCTTATGCAAAAATTTGAGCACACGTCAACAATCCTTTCAACTACATTTAAGTTTCGGTCATCAGGGTGGCATATATTTAAATACCCTCTATAAAGATTTGTTTTCCACAAAGATTCTCTAGGGCTATTTTGTTCAATCTAAAGAAATAAGAAAGTCATAAAAGAAAGTAAAAATTAATTTGAAAAAAAGAATATCTTCTTCATATGCTACAATTCAGAACATGCAAAAAAAGTTAATACAGTTTTAAAAATTTTCCATGTTTTTCCCCTCCATCAAAAGTAATAAATGCTAATTTTTCAAAATTATAATAATATGCTCTCAATTTGTTATTTTTACCATATAAATGAATAAAAGGCTAAAGAGAAATTTAATCATCTAAACTTATAGAAATTTTCCAGAGTTTCTGAGCATCATCCAAAATTATAATAATAATATGAAAAAAAAAGTTGTGAAACATTATGTAATTGAAAACAACTATAATTATTAATAAATTAAAATTTAATGACATTGTCTAAAACATTTAGGTAATGTAAATGATTTAATAAAATATTAGCATACATTATTAAATACTTTAATCCAGCATTTTCCTTATTCAAGAGCATTTAAACTTCTTAAAAAAAAATAATATGGTTGCGGAACATTATGTTTTTGTAACCAAACACATTCCACTAATTCCATCTCGTGAAACCTCTTTCCTTTTCTATGAGTGTCTTTATTTCTAATCCATGAAATAATGAATCTAAAAATCCTCAACTACATCAATTTCTATTTTTTAGTTAGTTTTCAGCATTTAATAAACAATTTTGAAAGTACTTAGTATTTCAAAAACACATAAATGTAAAAAAAAAAAAGAAAAAATCTTAATATTTTGAATTTTAAAAAATTTCCGATAAATAAGTACAAGAATTTTTTTTTTAATATTTAATAGTGTTTAACAATTATAGTCCATTCATTCAACTTAATTTAATGTGTTTAAGTAACATATTTCAACAAAATTTTTACTATTTTTATATTTTATTTTATAACCATTGTTGAACAGCTAACCCAATTTTTTGGGTTTATGACTACTTATGTTCAACTCTGTAGCCTTATAATTTTGAACCCAATTTAGAAGATAAGGGAACTCCCGGATCAAGTATGGGAGAAATTTGCCTTCGTGGAGGTTTTTTGATGGAACTAACCCGTATTTGCATTACATGGAGAGGAAAACCACGAAAACATCGCAACGGCAAGGGGACTCTATCTCACGATCCGTCTACCACTGAGGATATTTGACATTAGCAGAGTGGTCGGTGCAAGCCGGATGCGGAATTCGTATCGACCAGCAACCGCTTTATCCCCTGAGCCATCACAGCTCTACTAGTTTTATAGACATTTTTCTAAATTAGACCCATTTAAAACACACACACACACCTGTTCTAAAGCTTCTTTCATGGTTGCCCAATTTGGCTGACGCCATGCAAACTCTGCAACAAGAGGTGGTTCAGATGCTAGTCCTAAATTAAGTAAATTTTCCCAGTTGTTCAGCTCTCGGTGACATCTGAAAATTATTCTGATTAGTACATTGATTGAAGTAGGTAATATAGAGAAGTAGTAAGTCAAGAATAGAATAATCAACTAACAAGTATTTCTAGTCGTGTCTAAAAAATTTTTATAGTAAAATAAAATTTAATTAGAAAAAAGTTGCTTAAATTTTACTTCAGAGCATAATAGTGAGACTCATTCCATGAAACTAATCTGTAAGGGACCATTGCTACTGATTAAAACATTACTTTTAGCATGTTGAAGTTATATGAGTATTAATTGACATATCGCAACAATAATTAATAACTTAAAATTATATTTCATTAAAAAAAATATTAAATTTTTTGGAATTGGAAAAAAAAGTGTACAAATGCATCTCAGAGCATTAGTATATCTGGAGAAGATAAATATAGGCGAATAATAGGCTCAAAATAGGCGATTAAATTTTTATATTTTAGTTTGAAAGGGCAATGATTTAAAAAATAAATAAATAAATGAATTTGATTTGATTTAAGTTTGGACAAGTAATTTTTTAGAAGCGGCCTCTAATTACCGAGCACATTATTTTATGCCTATCCTGTGTATGCAAAACTGTATTCGTACCAGCACTTTTAATGAATAAAAATAAAATATACAAATATTATGTGACTAAAAATAAGAAAAAAAGTTTAACTTAATGAAAGTCAGAACATGTTAATCAACAAGATATTTAATTTTTTTTTTAACATATTGCATACCTAAGCATTGTTAAATTGCAATAAAACAGACATAAATTATTAATTGAAACTTAGCAATTATAAAGAATCATTTAAATGTTTAAAAACACATTTATTTATTTTCTATATTTTTCAAAGTAAGTAATAAAAAAAAAAGAAAACAAAAATAAATATTCTGAGATAAATATGGGGATGAAATAAGAATGCATTGAACTGCAACAAAATTTGAACAGATATTCTGAAAAGAATCTGAATAAAATTTCAATAAAAGCTTACTTTTTCCAATTTTTTTTTTTTTCAATTTTAACATTCATTTTAATATAAACACATATTTTAAACACAATTAATTTATGAATCATAAAGACAAGGAGAAGTTTCTAAATTTTATTAATATGACTTAAATTTTAAATTAGTATAATAAACTTTTTAATGCTGGCCCCCAATCCTCGACAGTCATACAATAAAAAAAAAAATTAAAATAAGAAAACACATTTTAAAAAGAAATAAATTTGAGGTAAAAGAAGCCAAGCAATTTCCTAAATTTTATCAATAAAATTTGGGCTTTAATACAAACTAATAAACTCTATAACTGTTGACGTCAATAATCAGTTTAGAGTTAAACCTTACAATGTTTTTCATTATGTTTTTTTTCATTATTCAATGGGGAAAAAAAAACACTATTACAGGGTTCCCACTCTTTTATCAAAGCAAAAATTAAGCACTTTTAAGGACTTTTATCAAAAAAATTAAGGACTTTTTTTGTAGAAATTAAGGACCTTAAAAATGATTATTTATCATCAAATAAAACATCATAGATTAATAATAATAGATTAAAAAAATGGAATAGCTTTTCTTCAACTCAGTCATCCATTAAAAATTTAAAAAAAAAACTAAATAAAGAAATGTTAAATACAAATAATCTGTATTTAATTAAGATTAAATTGCATTAAATCACCTCACATAGCTTTTAAAAATATAAAGAAAAACTCAAAGAATTCAGATTAAACATTAAAATTTTCTATTTCAAAAATAGAAAGAAATTGTGTTAACAGATAGAAATATATAAATTAAGATGGTTAATTCATTAAATTAATAAAAAGAAACTAACATTAAAGAAACTAACAAATATAAGTTTATTGAGGTTAAGACAATTATTTTAAACCAAGTAAAATCTAATTATAATAAGCTAAAGATTTATTAAAATCACAAAATATAAAAAATTTAATGATTAAAATCAGAATATATTCAGTACCTAATAATCAGGAAAAAAGAAATAAATAAACTACAAGGAAAACTTATTAATTAAAATTAAGAATTGAGAAACAGAAATGATAATTAAAATAAGTGCTAACATAAATATTGAAACACAGGACAAGGCAGGATGTAATGATCAATTGAAATAAAAATGAAAAAATTCCATCTAAAAATTGAAAATGAAATGAAATAATTCATTAAGTACAAAATTTATTGTGAATGAAGGGAAAAAAACAGCAAAACATAGTGGAATCAGAAACATCATTCATAAAAAAAGATGGAATTAGAATTTCTCCAATTAAAAAGTATTGTGTCTTGTATAGAAATTAAAGGAACTAAATTAATCGACGATAAAAAAAATTTGTTCTTAATAAAGTATTGTCTGAAATTATAAAACAATAATTTGTCAAATAAATCAAAGGCAATGAAAATTGGATGCAAATATGGTTTATATATATATATATTACTTATTATAAAATAGGGAATAATGAATAGTGATTTGGTCGAATAGTCAAATATCTGGCCAAATAAAACGGCCACCTACCCAGTGATCAAACAACATTTTTAAAAAAAAATCCTTAAGAATTTTTATTGTTTATGTAAAAATAGGCCTGGGCATTGTAAGAAATTTTATATCGTGATTGATCGTCAGTCAGACATCGCGATGTATCGCAATTTAACATATGTTTGAAATTTATCAATGAGAGATCTTTAAATCAATCAAAAATAAATTTATAACAAAAGAAAATGTTAATTCTAAAAAAAAAATTTATTCTATAACATCAATAGCATTGCTTAATTTTTTCAATTAAAATAAAGATGGATTGACTTAAGACTGTCTTAAGGATTGACTTGCCTTAAAGTAAAAACAAACACAAGCTTTATTTAAATTTTTTTTAAAATTAAAAACAACTTAGATTTTTTAAAAATAATAATAAAACTGTTACAAAATATTTTACATACATTACAAATTAAAAAAAAAAGAAAATGTCCACTTAAATAAAACATTTTTTAAATTATTTGTTGAAAAAAAAATGTGCTTTTGAAACATTGTTAGGCTTTTGTTAATTACTTATTTAAAATAATAAAGTTGTATTGACTAATGGTCAAATGGTTTTAATGTAAGTTTTTTTATTTATTTATTATTATTTTCCTTTCTGAAAATGAAATAGACTAAAGATTTAAATGTTTAAAAATAATACTCACTATCTGACAAATTATTAAACGAACATGTATTGAAGGGATTTTTAAAAAAATATATATATATATTCTATATTTAAGAGCACTATTGTTAAATTATTGAAAAGCGTTAAAACATTGCTTAACTTTTTATTTAATTTAAAAAAATTTAGTCATTTTAACTAACAACCAAATTAAAAAAAAAAAAAGAAAGAAAGAACACAAACTGTTTCAATTTCTTCAAAAACAAAAGCAAATTAATTAAATGTAGCCTTTGTTCTAATTTTTTTAGACTAAAAGCGACTGAAGCTTTATTGGTTTAAAAGCTAATCAAATTATTATACTTAAAAAACTAAACTCAATGGCGCGACAGCCCATAGAGGACCAATGCCTACTATGCCCATATTAGTTTTCTTATCCTTGGGCTCTGGGGTGCAACGTGAATTAAATATATTTTTAAAAAAAAATTACTTTTATGACAAAATATAAATTACTTAAATACAAAATATATAAAATATTAAATTGTATCACTTTTAAAAAAATTGTGGATATTTTCCCAAGATAAAAAAATTGTTCCAACCAACTAGTGATACTAGAAATTAAGGACTTTTAAGGACCGTGAATCAAAATTAAGTACTTTTAAGGACCCTTAATTTTCAAAATAAAAACTAAGCAGTTTTTAAGGACTTTTAAGGACCGTGGGAACCCTGTATTATCCATACAGGTAAGCAAAAAAAAGTTAAATGCATATGACTTAGCATAAAATTTTTTTGTTTACCTAATAATTTGAGTCCACCAAAGATTTGCTTCGCTATTCATATGGGCAGGACTTGTTCCACCACCAAAATCTTGTTGCTGTCGAGAATAAGCTTTTTCATAGGCCTCCAGGGCTTGAACAAACATGCCTTGCTGCTCAAGGGCAACTCCCATGCTAGTTTCAGGATACTTAGCTCTCTTTTGCCATAGACCACCCCATAAGTCTTCTTCTTTTAAATGAGAATACATTAGACTTATGATATCAAATGCATCATGCTGGGAATTGAGGGTACCATCAATATCAAATACTTCCATAGCTCGTGCTTTGACTTGAGCTCCAAGTCCTTTGTCAATACATATTTGTTCCAAAAGCAAACAAGCTCTATGCCAAAGGTTGTGAGCTTTACCTTGATACTAAAAGGAAAAATTTATAGTTATAAAACTTAAAAGAAATGAGAGATTCATGAAATATTTTACAAACATAAAAATACTAAATTAAATTATTATTAGCAAATGGATTTAATATCCATACAGCCTTATCAATTTGCATCAGACTTTTTTTTCTTTCTTTTATTCTTTTTTTTTATGTAAAAGACTAAAATTATAGAAAATAAACAGCCTGAAAAAGGTTTGGATCAATAGTCAACAAATTGCTGATGTCAAATACATTCTTCATAAACAGAAAGCATATACAGATGTTATGTTAAATGGTATAATTAATACAGGAATTTTTGCACAGTGGTTATCTTATTTTAATCATAATGCTAACCTTGTTTTCTATCTCCCAGCGATATGAAAATTTTTTGGTGCATACACAGTGAAATTCAAATGGTGTTAGCAATTGAAATATGGGAAACCCTAATGCTTTGCAAAATTTTTCTTACATCAAAAATCATCAAAAAAAATTTTATATTGAAAAAAATTATCTCCAATAGGAAGTTTTAAAATTTTTTATTAAAAAAAATAGAGCATAAAAAAGATAGTAAAATTGTGTTAGAATGAAATTTATAATAATATGTATTGAACAAATTACAAATTATTTCAGACAATACTAATCATTACATTAAAATAATAATAGTAACAAAAATACTTACTAAAATAACTAGAGGTTTCATTGGAATTTGTGGAACACAATGGGACATTCCTTCAACAAAGACTCCAATTGCACTAGGGTGACAATCCTTCTGACCGGTATGTGCACCACTTGACACAAAAGAAACTAATTCATTATTCAATGCCTAAAAAATTAAGAGAAGATGAACGATTTTGCAGTCTAAAATTCTTAAAAAGCATTTCCTTGAATCAATGATTGAGGAAATAAGTAATGCAACATAAATGCAAATAGTATAAAACTAAACAATAATAAAAAGTAGGTATTACTTTAGAAAAAATTTATGTTAGTCCTAAAAATTATGTTGTAAATTTTGGGTAGTTGAAAAGTTTAGCGATTCAATATACCAAAAATACATCTAATTTCTAACTTGGTACAGTTACTCTTGATAAAATAAAATTTGTTTTAAAAATGTGGCATTTAGTTTCAAATGCAATAACCTCATTTTATTTCAAGATGGAACACAACTTTAAAACTTTCAAGCAGTTTCCTTATTTTTAATGATTTGATAATATGCACACAATAGAATATTTTCCTAAAAATATAGGATGAATTTCATACAACTGAGAATTATATAACTTTTAGTGAATTATTTCCATGGGTTTAAAATAGCATTTTTTCAATTCAGAATTTTTAATACTCATAGATACAATAACTTCTTAATTCTCAAGTGACATGATTAAATAATTAATACCATATATATTTTTATTTCTGTTATTCCAACCACTTCTTAGAAGGAAAAACCGTAGAAAAAAAGAGGAGAAAAATAAAAAAATTGGAGAAATAGAAAGAGTAAAAGAACTCTGGTTGCTTCATTTCTGTAAATTATTTTCAAAAGTATTAAGAAGCAGTTTCAATGGATTAAGGAGTGAGGAATATAAGTTTTAGTAGTAAAAAGAATAATCACTGTAGTAAATGCATAAGACTATAATTTACTTATTGCAATGGATGTATTGTATCAATAGGAGGTATAAGAGGAAAACAGAAATTTCTGTCTTATGACTGATATTTTGGCTTATTTATATACTTTCGATGCCTGTATACGATTGACTTTGTTTTTCGCTGATAATGATAACTCGTATGTAAAGCAAATTTCTGTAAAAAAATATCACAGGAAGTTGTGAATCAGATTTAGTAAAAAAAATTTTAAAAATTTTGTTGCAGTTGGTAAAAATGTTTATAAGATATGGGACATTTACAAGATTAAATGCAAATTGAAAAACGACCTTAAACTTCTTGAAATATTATTATTTACTTTTTCTGTATTTTAAATAAAATCAATGAATTTTTTTAAAAATATGTTGCTTAATTTTCAAAATAAATCAACTGAAAATTAGATAAGTTATCATGTCTTTGAATATAAAAACATTTCACTAAAGCAGAACACAAGGTATAAAAAAAGGCAAATAGTGTAGTGAAGACAAATGAACTTTAAGTACTACAAAAAATTCCAGTATCTAATGTCCTGACATAGATGAAGGTGGTTCTCATAACATTAAAACAATCATATGTCTTAACCAAACTAACTTATTTGTGCTTTCATTCATTGTGTTTCTGCTTAATTGTAATACATAGTTTACGAGAGATCATTTTACCAATGACTATAATGAATGTCAATGCTAAAAGTGCTGTAGCTTTCTCAATTCTGCATGCACCAGCTTATACTTTTAGCATTTTCTTACATGTGCATGCTGCCAAATTATGTAAAAATAAGAAAAAATAACTTGTTTTGAAAATTTTCCCCAAAATAACAAAGTTTTCCAAAACTCATATTTAATCTAATCTTTTCAACTTTAATCGACAAGCTTTTATCAACAAAAAAAAAATAATCCTTACAAAATGTACATTTAAAAAAAATTAAATAATAAAAATAGTTTTAAAGTTTTTTTCATCTAGTTGACATTTTTCCTGAATAAATACAGCCTACATACCAAAAATTATAGGTACCATAGCTTTTTATAACATAATCAACAAAACCAAATAAATAGTTGCAGTTGTAAAGTTAATAAAATTAAGTTCTCTCAAATTTACAATGCTCGTAGACAATATTTTTTTTTTAGTTGTAGCTTTCCAGTACACAATATTTAACATCAAAAAGTTATAAACTCAAATGTTGCACATGTTTAAGAACTCATTAAGTAATTTAACTGGACTTACTTCTGTTATTTTATTTAATACTTGTCTGCCAAAAGGATAACTACGCATAATTCATTTTGAATATTCTAAAGAATAACAAAATTTTATCTAAAAAAGTCAAAGGAAACTACAAACCATTGAATAATGTTAACGCTTGTGAAAAATCAACTATCTTATCCCAGAGAAAGATCCTAAAAAAATTAAGTTATTGGTCTAAATGACCAGTAAATATATTACTAGTCCTTAAGCATTTTTACTGGTCTATTTACATAACTCCATTTGGTTTTTTAGAAAAAAAAAAGTCAATAACATGAATTTAAATAAAAAATTACAATGCAAAGAATGTGTAATGTTCACAATTATGAGCATATATACGCAGCTAGATGCACGTTAAATCTATTGTTTGGGTGAAAGTTCTCTCTTTGGTTATGGTGTTAGGGAAGAATTTTTGTGAAGTTTGGAAAGAAGGGTACCAGCGCAGGCATTATCCACATCATCTGATTGGGGTCAAAATTACACGGTGTTCCTTAACATGGTCGTTAAAAGATAAAGCGCTGAAAAACGAGGCTAGATGCTTGGCCATGGTTGAGTGAGGTATCTGTTTGCCATTATGATGAAATCTGTTGTTTTGTGAGGAAAAAACAGACCAAAGCAGGGAACAAAAAAAAAAAAAAAAAAAACCATCCCTTCATATCAATTGCTAGTTTGGAGATCGATTTTGTGGTGGTCTGGTGTCAAATTTGATGGGTCCCACATCACCATTAATTTTGAATAACTTAAGATAGAGTTACAAAATTCTAATTTGAATAATTCATCAGAATTTGAAGTTAAACAGATTACAATACAATTAGAAAACTGTGAAGTTAAATGAGATAGTGACTTTAAATAGTAAACAAAAGCTGATAATTGAATGTGCTTAAAAATTCCAATAACTTACACTTTGTTGTTTATCACTCAGTATTTTCCAAATCCTTGGAAACATTTGAATCCATATATATTGAGCAAGAGATGTATCCAGGTGACATAGCTGTGCAGTGGCAGCAAGAAAGTTGATAGTTTTGATTTCACGTAAAGTTTCTTGCAATTTTAGAATGCTAGTTAATATTTTTTTAGTTGTAGCTTTGGAATATGCAACATTTGAGCTATGACTTGAGGCATCAAAAGGTGGTTTCACTGGACTTTCTTCTGTAGAAGTCATTTCAATGTCTATTTCTTCCTGCAAGGTTTATAGATTTCTAAGTTACATATTTATATGCAATATCTTCATTTCACATTTTTTGTAATGTGACATACATAAGCCATACATTATGTATATAGGTTCTGTATGTGAATTATTATTATTATTATTTTAATGATATAATCATAGTGCTGATAATTATGTTGTTGGTAACAATATTATTCTATTAATAGGGAAATTGAAGTCATTAAAATATAATTATATCACTTAAAGAAAAATTTTAACTCTATCATTAATAAAAAATATTAATATAGAAAAAGAAGTCAACGTGCTTCAAACGCCTGAAAATAGGACACAATTCTACAGACTTACCAAATGTGAATGAAGAGATACAAAAGTGATTTAAAATATGAAATGTAAATTTTCCAATGAAATATGGAAAATAAAAGGTGAAAAACAAAACTAGAAAAATTGCAGTAGCTGAGAGTGAAACAGAAAAATAAATGAAGAGGGAAAAACAAAATCCCAGTATTTTTTCTAGTTTAAAAGCACCTCAAATCTTAAATTAGTTCATTTTCCCTTATTTTGTTGGGTCTTTTAAAAAAAATTCTCTGATTTTGACAGATTAATATTCTTTGTTCTCCTTTTCCTGCAGCAACTCTGTAACCTCTTTCTATCAAGTTAGGACAATAAAAATGGCCTTTAATATGTTATTTATAGCTACAGGCCAACAGCACAAACAATACAAATTCTTATAATTTCTTTTTTATAATTCAAAGGCAGAAGTCAAATTTGGAGTCAAATTTTGTAGAGCTAAGAAGTTTGTATTTGTATTCATTGGATAAAAATATACTTAAAATAAAAATTTAAGTGATATATAAATTTTACAATAAAGAATAGATGACTATATAGCAATTAGTTTCCAATCTATTTGCTTTTTTTTGGTACTTTTTGGTTAGTCAGGTGCAAAAATATTAAACTATTTTACTTAATTTTTTGAATCATTTTATTCAGTTTAATTTAATAGAACGTCCATTTTGTCCCATATTTAAAAAAAAATAAGAACAAAATAAAAAGCAAGTTGGCAGAGGTTAACATTTTTTGGTAACTTTCTGCTTGTGGAGGGCTAACCAAAAAATACCCCTTTTTTAAATAAAAGTTAAGTTGTAGTTTACAAGTAACTAAAGTTGTAATTAAATTTTCAATAAACGGAAAATTCAATGCTTGCGTCATAAAATAAAATTACCTAAACAAAAAGAAAAAATATATATATATATATAAGTAAATAAAAGAGTTCAAAATAAGAGGAAAACTAAAATTAGAAATTTACCTCTTCTCTTGCATCCACAGATACAACATCCATTGGCTCTTCTTTAATCAAAGTAGCGGTTGCAAAATTTGCTTTTTCTTGCGCATCTGCTTGTTCTAGAATAGCAGTAATAGCTGGTAGCATAACAGTAGGGGTGGAACTTTGAACGGTAGCACCTTCAACTGCAGTCACCAGTAGGAGTTCAATGCATTGTTTTATCCAAAAATGTGCTCCAATATGTTCCCAATTTTGAGAACAGGCTATATATAAGATACGTTCATGAAGTCTGCGCCTGATGCTGCTATCAAATACTTCGAAGAACTTTGCTCGAATGTGTGGTTGTGTACATCTTAGACCCGCCATAAAAGCAGGCTCTAATTTTGAGTGTAGTTCAGTTCCTTTCAAAGATTCATCTCTAAAATAGGAGAATAAAAATTTAACACAAAATAATTTTCTAAAGAAAGTTACTTTATGACTTTTATTTCATAGGTAATTTTAGAATAGTAAGATGTTCATTAAAAAAATCTGCATGAATAGGTTATATGCACATTACTTAGGTAATTTGCAAATTAACTAGGATAATCCGTTAAATTGCAGTATCAAGAGTTTTCTGCAATTTACCAATGCCATATGCATAAAAATGGTTTCTGTTTTATTAGAGTTTTAAAGTTTGTTTCTCTCATTCTATGAACTAGTTAGTTGATTGTATTTATTGACTAGATTCCTTAGGTACCTAAATAAAAATAAGTAACATTATGTTAATTTCCTTACCTGCAATAATTTTTTAAACCATTTGTTTCTTCATAATATAGGTTCTAAAATATTGATAATTGATTCTACCAACAAATGTCTTGACTGTAGTATCTTGATTTTTATAGATATTGAATAATAAATAAAAAGCGTTCTGTTAATTTAAGTGTACAGGGACATAGCTGTTATTTCAGAAAATATCTTATTTTCACTTTAACAAGAGTCTGGTAGATTATCTAGGTAGTTTGCAGATTACCAAAATAATTTGAGAAATGAAATTATTTTCTGGGACTTTAAGAGATAACACTATTTATATTAGCTAGATAATCTGTAGAATAATTGATTTTTAGACTTTAGTGGTTACTAATATACTTAATAAGCTTTCATAATTTAAATTAAGAATAAACTTCTTAATATGGCAAGTCTTGATTTATTCTGAAAGTTAAAGGCTTTTTTATAATTTCAATCCCTCTTATTTCTATGAATATTTAAATATTTTTTATGAGTCGTTTTTTATATAGTGGTATGGATTTGAATCTTTATAATTTTCCTAAAAAATATCAAAGTTGTCAAAGAAAAACACTGATATTTAAAAATTATTATTAATTTTCTAAAAATTATATGTCTGTAACTTGATTTTTCAATAATTTGAGATAATTCCAAAATAACATTGAAAATATTAACTGTAAAATTGAAACGTTGATTTTTTTTTTGTTTTTTTCTGTTAATTTTAACACATTTTCAGATCATCCTATCTCATTTCTAAGTACATTTAAAAAATTTAAACTGATCATTTAAAATGCTGTGAAGGAAGACAAAAACTCATAAGAGTAGAAAAATTATCAGAATTTCACTTCCATTCTCTATTTTTATACAACCTCTTTCTAAAAGTAAGATGATAGATTGACAAATGATAGATTGACAAACGTTAGTCAATTGTTGGACAAAACTTTTGATGATAAAAAATTTTAAAAAATTAAATTTTCTTTATTTCTTGTACAACTACGTGTTAACTTCTTCTTCACCTACTGTATCATAATGAATCATACCAAGGACATAGAATGATAGAAAGTGAGAGAGTAATTGAAAGGCAAATTAAGAGGAACTTTTTTTTCGTTTTGAGATTTGAAAGTGAAGGCTGATTTGTCTGCTCTAGATTCAAATATTTTTCTGGGATTAGAATGTTTAGAAAAAGGTAGTTTCCCATTGCTATTTGCTTTTAACAAACTTTTATGTGCTCTCATAATATAATAACATAATTTATTCATTAAAAAAAATAAAGATTTATTTAAAAATGAATTTCATAAGCAATTTAAAATTTCTACGGTTTTTTATCAAAAAAATAAAATTGATCAAAGAATAGATAAAGTTTTAGGAGTAAAAAATAAAGACACCATAATCATTCATAGAAACAACAATAAGACTGACTAGTACAACAACAAACTTACTTCAAAAATAAAGAAAAGTAATATAAGTCAGAAATTAAAAAATAATTTAAAATGAAAACTTACCTATACACATAATGAACAAGTTCCAGAAATTGTGCATTCAGATCCATGTCATTTGGAAATCTTTTTTCAATGAATTGCATCATTTTTACTAACAGAATTGATTTTTCTCGAATGGTCGGACTTTGATTAACTGCAATGGTAGATTTACTTTTAACCCAGTCTTCCACCATTTTTGTTAGAGCTTTGAGAACTTTAACATCAGGTGACTTTTCAATAAGACCAACCAAAATGGTGCCAATGAAAGTTTTACGCATATCTTGACCCATGACCCCCACACGATTCTTGACTAAATCTAAGCTAAGAATCAATAAATCTGTAGCCACTGCAAGAGAAAGAAATAGGAATAATTGGTAATACAAAGGATAGTGAATTATTAAGATACTGATACAATATTAAGAAAAATACAAAATTCAAGTAACTATTTATAATTGGGAGAATTTTTTTAATTTTACACTTCATATGTACTTAAATAAGTTTTAAATATTTTTAGTTTCATTTAAGATATTTAGTTTCAAAAATAGCTCATTTTCCTCAGAGATTAAGACTGACACCATTTTTTTCTTCTCAAAAACGCAATTTTTTAACTTATATTTGAAGAAAAAAAGCTCAACCACAAAAACAACCTAGTTAATAATAAAACTAGTTCTGAACCAACCCAAAGATATTTTAATTTAAAAAAGAAACTAAAACTTCTTTAATTATAAAAATATTATTAAATTATTATACAGTTAAACTTCTCGGGAGCGAGCCCTCTCTGTTCCACAGAAAAATGATTTATAATGGAGGTTGGTTATTTTTAGGAGTTACTTCGCTTTACATAAATGTAATCGAAGGTACATGATTTTTTGCAAACGATTTTAATTTTAGTCAGTGTCATTTTCTTCCTGCAGAAATGCCACTTAAATAAAGATCACATAAATGATTCCTACTGATATAATTATGTGTAAAAACAAATTTACCAATTATGAGATAGAACTATTTTAAATAAATAAACAATTTTTTTATATTTTATATCATAAAAATTAGTTAGCTTTAAAGCTTGTTTGTTTGAGATGCTTAGTTTCTTAGAAAAAAACTTTTTTTTTTTTTAAATTAACTTTCAACTATAAAAATAAAACTGCTAGTGTGACATAAAAAGTTTGCAGTTTTATGCTGATTTTCTTTTACTTAAAAAAAATAAATAATAATAAACACTTTTCAAAGCAAAAATTTAAAACTTTTTAAGTATCAATACTCTTTCCAACTCTTTTGTGCATCTAATAATTAAAATGAATTTATTCAATTGAACTGAAAGTGCCATTTAATGGTAGAGAGTCTAAAAAAAAAGAATAAATCACTAGCATGTAACCTTGTATGTGACATAAGGATTTTCCAACTGAAACTTATACAAGGGAAATCTTCCTTAGTATTAATTAACAATTAAAAACCTCACAATAAAAATTAATAACCTCAAAATATTTTCGAAATTTGACCACTATTTTACTGAATAATACTGAGCTCATATAAAAAAAATAATAAACTGTTCCTTTAGCCTTTACTATATCAAGGATAGACATAATATTATAAATTGCATCATATTTTTTCAAATAGCAAAAATTATACCATTAATCTGTCATCCTAAGCATGACAAAAGTTTCTCCAGTTCTTGAGAATTTCCTCTTCCCAATTCCTATTCGGTTAAAATAATTGGAGAAACTAAACCATAAATACCATTGTGGTAAAACAATTATAGTTGTAAACATCTATGTATAAAAATCTGCTTCATCTCACAACTAACATTTGTGGAAGTGCTGCCTTCCGTCGTAAAACGACAGCATAATACAACAATAAATTAATAAAAAAAGTTTTGTTTAATGTATTGGCAATATTACTTGGGTTAACTTCATTTGTGGTAGGATTCAGATGCTCTTTGGCCATTTTCTGCAGTACACGCATGAATGATGATATCAAACGATCAATATAGCAAGGATTATTGACACAAGCTGATTTTAAGATCATCAGTGTAGCAAACAATGACTGTGGAGCAGCATTAGCAGACCTTGAAAGAATTAGACATTCAAATTTGATTAATTAGATTGCAAATATATATAAGTATATATACGTATCAAAAAAAAATTTTAAATACACACTTTTCATAAGAAGATAATCCCTCAAGTACTACATTGCTTACTACGGCATACAAACATTCTAACTCTTCATATTTGGAAGCAACACTTGAATTGGTGGGTTCAGTGGGAAATAAGCTCATTAAACGTGAAAGTAAATTATGAACAGATCGTATCACCTAAAATAATTACAGACATTTTTTAATATTAAGTTTGAGTTCAGCATATTTTTAATTAAAAAATATAAAATCTTAACAATACACAAATTTAAATTCAATTCACACTGAAGCTATCTTACATCAGCTAAAAAATGAAAATCAATAATAAATTAAAGCAACAGCACCTGCATGTGATCCCATTCCTATGCCCTAGAAGGGGCATTTATCGGTTTAGTGAAATAAAACGCAGAATATTCTAAGAACTATTTAAAAATTGCTTTTTGATCTTTAAACAATGAGATTATTAAACTGTTCTTTAGTGTTTGCTGCTTCAGTAAATATCTCTATATTTTTATAATGAACTTAACATGATGGGGAAAAAAAAGGTTTGGAAAAATGAATTGGAAAATTAATGATTTTATTTACAGCAATAAACACTAAATGTAAGGGTGTACTATCTTTTTAAAAAGAAAGTCACAAAAAAGTAACTTTAGCTTACTTTCATAGCCCACAATAAATTTTGTTTTTATACAGTTTGATAAAAACATAATTATTCTTTCGTATAATGAGAATAACATTAATTTGTTTTAAAATGAAATAAATGATTTTAGAATTTAAAAAAATTGAAGTTTTGTACACTTTGTCTGCTTATAAAAATTTAATTAAAGTAGGTTTAGTATTAATGTAAGTGGATTATATATATATTTAAAAGAAAGAAAGAAAGGATTGATGGAAGGTTAAAGATTTTTGACACCTGGAAATCTCCCTAAATTTCCTACCTCCTACGTTTTGAAATTTAAATATTATAATTTCAGTTTTTTTTCAAGGTTTATTGACATCAACAGTTATGCATTTCTTATACTAGTTATTTACACTATTTCTTACACTAGAAGGGGTTTCACATTGACCATACAAGAGTTGTATTTGACCCCTGGGCCGTAGATTGTGAAACTCTAACTAAATGGGAAATATATTTTATTTCTTAAAGCTATAATACAACATCACAATGTAAGTATTAACTGAAATAACGATATTTCCAGATTAAATCTTTAACAATGAGAAATCTTTTTTCTTTAAAATTGCAATCTTTAAAAAAGGTTTTACATGCTAAATTAATTTACTAACATTTTTGAATAAATTAGAGAAGTTTTAAGTTCTTCTTACCGCATCTGACTTTCTCAAACTTTGAAATGAATACAAAATATTATGGAATTATCTAATCTGTAACAATAGATCAGTGAAAAACACACTATACTAATAATAGAAAATCCATAATTCAATTCGAAAATTGTGAAATTGCTATTAAAGGCTTAAATTAATGTAAAAATCACATAAATTTATTATTGAAATTTAAGAAAATAATGTAAAATAATTAGATAGTTTCTGAATTTCAACACATAAACTTGAATGAGAAGTAAGAAAGAAAAAAAGGAAAATATATAATTTTTCATAAATATAAAACTCACTTTGGTGTTGTTACAAGACAAACAAGCCGCAATTCCACGCTGTAAGGGTCTAAATGTAGTTAGTACCGTATCTTTCCTTAATATGGACAGTAGAAATGCTAACAATTCTAAAGCTGTACAAATATTACCATAATTTGGTGCTGTATTTTCCTAAAATAAAAATAATAACATAACTATACAAACATTTTGTTTATTTTCATTTAAGTAACCGTTACTTAAAAAAGGAATCTATAACATATCTTTGAAATGAAAAAACTAAGAATTTAAGTGATATAAATAGTTTGTTGCAAATATAAATTAATAAGTTGTATTAGCTTTAAGTAAATAAGTTATTAAAATAAATATGTGTATTTTCAAAAAAATTGGGACAGTTGCAAAGGGAGTAATTAAGATTCAGATAATAAACTTTTTATTTTTAAGGAAAGATATTACTTACCTTTACAGTATTTAACAACTTGTCAAACCACACCAGTTTTAGTTCGGCATTTGGCCAAACATCCGATTTTAAGGCAGTTTTCAACAATGAAACACATCTTCTTGATAAAAGTTCACCGGTGCAAGCAGATGTGGCCGTTGTCTCATTAACCTGTTAAGAGAATATTATTAGATACATATATTTGAATACAAATTAAAAACTATTCAATTCAATTAAAATCTCTACTAAATAAAAAAAAAGTTAATTCAAGTCAATAAATAACTTAATCCAGCTTTCAAAACACCATGGAAAAATTATTAAACAGTATTACGTATTTTAGGAAACACACCTAATGAAATTTACAATTTTTTCATTTGAAGTAACTTCAGATAACAAAGCTAATAATCTCTAAATGTTTTATACAACACTTTATGTAAGTAATGAAGTAAAGTTATTAAGACAATAAACTGTTTTATGGTTTTTAGAAAATTATTAACAACTACTAATACCTTGAACTTTTTTTTTAAACAATTTATTGATCAAAGTATCAAAAATTGATCTCAAATTTCAAAAACGCCCTTTTAAAATAATAATAATAATATTTTTTTGTAAATGAAAAGTGAACAGATGTCTATTGACCACAAAATAGAATACATTCAGAAGCTTAAGCCATTAAGTTTATACATAAAAAATAACATAGTTCTAAGGTCTATCAGGTAAATTTGAATTGAAACCCAAACCATATTTTATCTGTACCATGTAATTTTTCATCAAAAAATTTTGATTTTTTTTTACTTGTAAAACCAAATATTAGATTTTGTGAGCAAACATATAATAGAATAAGAATGGAAACATTAAAAAGTTTCACTAAAAAGTGTAATGTTATAAAATAATAGTAATAGATGTTAGAATTATTTAACTCAAATCTTGATAACAGATTACTGTTAATGGCAATTCTAAGACTGGTTTTATTTTCCAGGTATATATAGAATTTTGTAGGTATTTTTAAATTTTTTTTCATAAAAAATTACGATTTTCCCTAACTATTCTCAGCTTTTTAGAACTAAAATAAAATTCCTGAAATTTCTAGGTTTTTCCTGAATTCCCTAACCCCCTGGGAACCCTGTTAAGTTCAAAAAATAGGGAAAATCTCCCGCATTTTAGAAAAATGCATGAAAAAATTAGCTGCAACCACAAGTTGTTGTTTTTTTCACTCTGTAGAAAAATAGTTTTTTTAAACAAAAGATTTGTCTCATTTAAAAAGTACCTTTTTCTTTTATTTTTTTTATTTTTTTTAAAGTTTTTAATTGTTAAGATATTTTGCTCCTTTGCAGCAATTTTTTTATTTGCCTTAAAAAATTTTCTATTTGAAATATATGAACTTTACCTGGAATAAACAATACAATTTAAAAAAATTTATAAAATGTAAAAAAGAGCATTAAAAGCAATAACTTTTCAATTGAAAAGCTTAATTAAGAAACTTGATGCAAAACCTGCAAGCTACTTTTTTTAAACACAGAAAAGTGTGATAGCAAACAGTGTTAAAAATTTTGTTAAATAGAATTTATAGAGCTTATGAAATTTTAAACAAGAATATGTTCATATTGAATCTGAGGAAAAACCCTCACAATGATCGGTTAACTCATTTTTTTTTCTCTAAAAGTGCAGTCAGCAAATTTTGCATATGGGCAATAATTATAACAATTCATTAAAAACAATATTTTTATCATACATTTAAAAAGCGTCTATAGAATAGATATGCTTTGGTGGTAGCAAAAGAATCAAATAAATATTTTACTGAAAGAGATCAATGAAAGGGTAAAATAGAGACTTCACTGAAAGTTAGCACCCAAATGAGGTTAAGCCTTTACTGTATTGATAAACACTTACTTGACAAGCCATTCGAAGTAAGAAGTTGACAACAGCATCAGCATGTTCTTTATCCACTGGCTTATATCTATCCATGTAATTTGTAATTGTACCAGACAAAGGTCTTATCCTTCTGATGTCAGATGGATCAGAACTCAGTGTACGTTGTTGTTGTTGTTTTAAAGCTAACAAATTACTTTGAATAGCTTCAGGCGGCTGAAAAAAATAGTCTAACTTTTAATACATAAATTTAATAAGAAAATAATTACTAATGAAACATTCACTAGACAAAATTTTCTACATTAAATTCTATCAAAAAATAAATAAAAAAGAGAATACAAATGTTATCAAGAGGAAAGTTATTATAACTATATTTATACAAAATTGTAACATTAATTAAACATTATAAAGTCATTTCTGATACCTGATAAATTATCACTGTAATTTTATGAAATTTGTCTTAGAAATTCAGTTTGATCACATGATTTTTATAAACACATGATTTTAGGATAACATAAATTTTCTCAATAAAATTCTAACCATGCAACGAGAGAAATTATTGCTAAATTTCTGTAATTCTAGTGATTAAAACTCTGTTTGTTTAGATGTATATACATGCAGCCGAACCAGATTATTGCTTGCACCAATTTAATGAATTGGTAAAAATAAAGAATTACTGCAATAAAGAAATTGTCACTATCTGCTTCAAAAGTGAAGAAAATTAAGTTATTAATCATTTTTAATTAAGTTATGGATCATTTAAAAAATAGTTACATTATCATAAAAAATAAACATAAAAATGCTATTTTAAAACATTAAAGTATGAATGTGAAACAACTTAGAAGTTGAAATGGAATGAGTAATTGATAAAATATTAAATGAAATAGCAACTATGGAATTTCTAAGCAGTTTGGAAAATTTCTTAGGAGTTCTTTGGAAATTAGGAGTGAATGGAATGAATACTCTGTAAAGCTTACTAATAGTCTATAGGTACTGAAATATTACATTTCTAGGCATGATTTCTCAGTATTCATAAACTTAAACTTTGCTAACAAATCATAATAAAATGGGTTTAAAAACTGTATAAATAAAAACTAAGACTATTAACAAGTATTAAGTAGAAATAAATATTTTTGTCTCATTATAAATTACATGAGAATCAAAGGATAGTACTGATTTAGTGTGGAGTGGGATATATTACTTAAATATTCATTTATCCCCATTAAATGTATGTTTTTTTAGTATGATATTTAGAATAAAAATGCAACCTTACCTCATTTTTGTCTACACCAGTTTGAGCTTTTTCTTGTTCTTCTTTGTGCCTTTGAATTTCCCATCTGATAATTACTTCTGCCAAATCAACAGCAAGCCTTTTATGTTCGATAGTAGCATTAGGAGTGAAGACTAAACGTTGAACAGAACTAACCATATGATTAATAAGATGATGTCTAACAGGATAATAAACCTGAGCAGAAAAATTTTAAAAAAATTAATCAATGCAAAAATACTATTAACTAGTGATATATATATATATATATATTAAATCCTTATAACACAATAAAATATATTGATCAAAAATGAATGAATCAGTAAATATCTTAAGTTTCTGCTTATTATTATATTGTAATGTAAGAGAATTTACTTAAAAAATTGTCTTTAACAATTTTATAGTTTTTATTTGAATTAAGTCCTAATAATTCGAATGTAGTAAATAAACAAAAAATTAAAAATTCTAATGCATCAACCTTCATTTTTTGTATATTGGATGAAACCTATAATAACTGTTTCTTGCTCACAATTTATTTGGTCTTTACAGAAAATGAGCATAACTCAGCTTTAACACTAGCTCAAATTTCACTCTAGTAATTCTTGGGGCATTCGTTCAAGGATTCTCTAAACCTTAAGCTGGTGGCTTTCCAGTCTCAAAAAATTCAAAATGAAAGTGGTGTGCACAATTCCAATCTTTAATGGTTTTAACTTTTTAAAGTAAGAATTAATAAGTTGCATGGCAGGCAAGTTAAAAAGATATTAGAAATACTTTTGTTACATCTCTTTAAAGTAAACATTTTAATCAAGTATTAAAAATAATTTTAAAATTCAAAATCACTTAAAAAATTTATCAATATACCCCCGAAAAAAGAGAAACTTATAAAAAAATTTAACCAGTTGAGAATACTCCTGATAAAAGTAATCAGAATTAAACCTATAACCAGAGTTAATTTTAGCAGTATGTAATTATTATTTAAGCAGTAAATTAATTTTTTTAATATAATATGAATAAAAGGCAGTGCTTTTAAGGGATGGTGGCTTATTTTTACAAAAAGGTAAAAGAGGGCCCACACAAGGGCAGGCCGCCCTTCTAAAAACGCTTAGGGAAAACACTGTATTAGTAACATGCGTTTTTTAGCTTTATTCATTTGGAAGAATTTAGAAAACTTAAAAGCTACTTAGATATCAATTAATTTTTTTTTAAGAAGACTTATCATAAATTTATTACAAAAAGGCTAGGTTAAAACCTACCACTTAAAGAACAATCTAATAAAAAAAATAGTAAAAACCATATTAAATTTTTTTAAGAATATTCCACTATAATAAATCTCTGAATGATTTTATTGCTAAATAGATATGTTATTTATCAAAACATAGATTGTGAATGAATATTGATGCCAAAGCAAAGGTAAGAAAGAAAATTCTGTTTACTTTATAATGACGAACGAGAAGTTGTAACATATGAACAAGTTGTGCAAGCGTATGACCTTCTTCAACTATAATTTTCTTAGTCCAATGAGTCAACATATTATTTCCATCCTCCATTCTGACAGGCATTGCAGGAGTCAGGATTTCCAGTGCCTGCCTCACAACTGATCGAGCTTCAGCTGCATGAGCCTTGAGCAAACTATGAAACACCTAAAGACAAAAGTATGAAATTTTTACTTGAAGTTAAGCGAAAAATAAATAAACAAAATAAAATACATAATAAGATTAAATTTTTTAACAAAAAAATTTGAACATTTGTTTGAAAATTAAGGGTTTGCCAATAAGATATTTCTCAAAATTACTTTCGAGGAAAAGTGATAGATATAATTTACTATTGTTTGCTCTTTTTCTTTCAAATAACTGCTGTAAAAAACATTCCAATTTTTGATTTAAAATTCATAAAATTTCTATTGCACATAATATTCCATTTCACTTATATTATAGTTGAATTTATTCCAGGTTATTTGTCAGATGCATTCATATTCTATGTTTTTTTTTCACTCAAACATTTATTTTTAAAAGTTACAGGCAGACTAATTAACAAAAAAAAAAAAAAAAAAAAAAAAAAAAAAAAAAAAAAAAANAAAAAAAAAAAAAAAAAAAACTAAAAGATAAATATTTTGTCTCTCTTTTTTTAATGCAAAGTAGCAAAGTTTTTTTAACAAGGACTGCAGACTGAGGTAAGATAAATAATTTAATACATTTTCAGTGTGAAATCAACATTTTATACTTAATATTAAAGTCGAAAGAGAGGACTGAACTTACTTGCAGTACAATCTTCTTATGAATTGCAAACTTGGCAATGATATTGGCTAACAGTAAATGGCCATGGTATTTAGTTGCAGGATCTACACAGTTTTTAGTGATCAAGCAAGGCCAAGCAAATGTCATAAGTCTCCGAAGCTTATTTCCTTGTCGCCTAATAAAATACATAAGCAGAAAAATTAAAATCTGGCAAAAACGTTTTGAAAAAATAATAATTTTATCTACACGTACACTTCAAATTCAGGTGTTAAACATGTAATTCAACATGCTCATACTTACATACAGTACTAATCATTCAAAATACAAGTTTTTTTTTAAATTTACACTCAACTATTTTTTGAATAAGGCAAGATTATTAACATTTTTAAACATGTTATAGACAGCTGAAGAGTTTAGTGTAAGAAAGTTTTAACGTTTTTGAGAATTTAGGAACATTTACTTTAGAAAATTTTGAAAAGTGAAGAGGAAACACAATTTCCCATCAAAAACCATCTTATTTAAAGATTGGGCAGGGGAAAAAAATCTACAGAACATATTATTAAATTTACAAATGAATTTTTTTTTTTTTTTTTAAGTGCCCATTGATCACTGAGCAATTTACAAGTATTCAATTGTGAAACAGTTCGTTAAATGACAGCTAAAAGTCACTTTGTAAATAGTTTCTCAATGTTCCTATTCATTTTTAAGTTAGTTTTCTTAACTCATCAAAATGTCATGTTCATTAACTATGCTTAATTTCAAGGAATATCTTATCAAGGAATATCTTATAATATAAAATCAGTATTTTAGTAAATTAATGGAACTAAAAGATAAAATTTCATGCATTTTTTAATTCATTTAATTTTAATCAATAAAGTACTTTGTTGGTAATATTTTAAATATAAATAACAGTTATGCTTCTCAATTAAGTTCTAAACTTTTTTCAGAAACTAAATTCTAAATAAAATGAAGTTAACTTAAATAAAACAATTTTTGATAACAAACTTAATTTACGAATAACCAATATGTACAAATTGTTAATTAGTTGAGATATTTATAACAAAAACACTTTTAATGCAATGCCAATTTTATAATTAACTATAATAAAAATATTTTTATTTCTATTATAATAACATCTTTGAAACATACAATTAAATTATTTAGTGAGACCTAAGAGCTGCATTAGCTACATGTAGTCAATAAAATACATCTTCAAATATACTAATGGTCAACTTTCAGAAACAATATTTTCTTAATTAATATTAATATTCTATTAATATAAAAGGATATTACTTAAAAAAAAAACTTGATAGCTCAAGTTCATTTTTAATAAAAAGAAAGCATAAAACATTAAATTTTTAAGGGGTTTATTCTAGTGAACAAAATTCAATAGACTTTAAACCAATTCATAAAAAAAATAATTAAAATGAAAAAATAAACATTTTTTAAGCTTTTTATTTTTAAAATCTTTGTGTTTTGTTTGGCATCCTAAAAACTTCACACATTCAAATTTTCAACAAATTATAAAATCTCTTGTAAATTTGTATTTCAGTTGCAAGTCTTTCAGTCGTTAAGTTACTATTGGTTAATGTAACTCAATGTGTGTATTCAAAAAAAAGGGAAAAAAACTTACTTATTTGCTGCATCATGTATATGCGGTGATGCCTGTTCTACAAGGAGGCACGAGAATTGCAGAAGCAATATCCTTACTGCATCAGATGTGCCAAAAGGATTATCAGAGTCGATCACTTTATTGATAAATACACTCATTACATTCTCATTTTGATCTTGCTCGGGAGCTGGTGGACCTCCAATCAGTCGCTCCCCTTCTCCTTTCTCAAAAGCAACAGCAAATGATGGGATAAGGATATACTGCAATATCTTTGCTTTCAAATCTTGAGAAAAATTATCATCACAGAACAGTTCAACAAACTTAAAAAATGCCATTCTTTTCCAATCGACCGTATAGTTGTTGGCCACTGTGTTTTCCAAAAAGTCTCTTAAGAATTCAAAGTCTGGAATGAAGCGACCAGTAAAAGCCCTCAAAAGCTGAAACAAAAGCTCGATTTCATTCGGATGGTGTTTAACAAAATTGAGCAAACACTTTGCAAGCAGTTTGGGTTCTTTCCATTGAGTATAATCGACAGAGTCTGCTTTGAGATGGCGATCTTGAAAGTCTTTGGAAATCCAGATTTTTCTCAAGCATGCAACTAATTGATGTTGTTCTGATAACCATTCGTCATCTAGTTTTGCGAGTAAGCTTACAGTTCTAATTGCCTGGAACTGTATTTCATGGATTATTGGAACATGGGTTACACCAGTAATGGTAGACGTTACAGGTGTTGTAGTTTGATTAGCTCCAAAAGCCATTGATACCAGTTTTGTTGGATTTTGTTGCAAAACTTCACGGAAAGCTTTACCTTCCTGATTCTTTAATAGATACTGGAAAGTTAAAGTAAAATAGATAAATATATTTCATAAACTTTAATTATTCATGTACTATTAATTAATTGCCAGCAAAAAAAAAAATTATAAATGAAATAAAAAGAAAGCAATGGCAAATTTTTAAAAGACAAAAATTTCCATAAATATAGGTTTTATATTTGATATTTCATTTCTTCTTTTATGAAGTCATTCATTTTTCAATGGAACAAAATATCAAATCATTCTTAATAACACTTTGTTTATTGATAGTACTTCAATTTCTCAAGTAGTACTATTCTTATTTCAAAACGGCAATCAGAAGATGAAAATTAGCATAGGCGGAGAAATTGGTTTTTAATTGTTGTAATAAAGTATAAATTTAATTTTAAAAAAAAAATTTTTTTTGAAGAAATTTTTTTTTTATTTAAAGGAAGAAATTTTTTTATAACTTTTTTTTTTTATTTAAAGAAATTATTATTTTATTTTTAAAGAAATTTTTTTCATAAAATTTAAAAAAAGTTACTAATTTCTGTCATCCCAAAAACTGGAACTGTAGATAATTCCACATTAATTCAACAATTTTAAAAATAGAATAAACACTAACTCAAAATAATCATTTGTGACAAATATTTAAAAAATTTTCAAAGCTGAGAGAATGACTTGACAAAATTACAAGATGGATAACATAAATGAAATAAAGGTCAATATATTTATTAAAAAAGTTATAAGCATTGCAACAGTGCGTCAAAAGTATCTAGAACATTTTTATTATTCTTTTTTACAATCATTTTTTAAACAATACAAATAGCTTTAAATTATAAATTTAATAAGTTACCTCTGAAAATCTGGTCACTTGCTCTTCATAAATATTTTGATCTGACAAAAGAAGTTCGATTGTTTGGGTTGGATATCGCTTCAAGAATTTGATCAAAGGTTCACGATATGGACTACCTGCTTCCATCAACAGATTTCTTTCAGTTTTAAGAACTGCACTTAGTAATGGTTCAATGAACTTTGCAGTTGCAGCTGGAATCTGAAAAACGGAACAAAGAAATGAAACAAAAATGCATGAATTGTTACAATAATTATAAAAATTAAATTACTTTTGATAGTAACAAACCTAAAGCAAAATGTTTCAAGTATTTAGTGCTGACAAATAAAAAAATATTGATTAGAAATGTTCTATTAACATTAAAAAAAAACATACTTTTTCAAATTTCATACTACAAATAAATGCTCAATACCAGAGCAACCTCAAATAAGTTTTAGTTTTTTATAGCAAACTACCAAATATACAGTGTTCTGCACATATAATTTGAACATTATCTACAGTATAGCAAGATGCATTATCTTTTTTTAAACTCTTTGCCAGAGGGAAAAAACATCAATATTACAGAATGAACTAGATCCTCTATAATCTCATGTCATAAACTATCATGCACGGGAAATAAGGGCCCCCAAAACTTACTAACCTTTTAGCTACAACACTATGATATATTAGCTTATTTGTATGGAACAGTTGAATAGTAAAAATAAAAAAGCAGTATATATATATAATTGTTAGCACAATATATATTTTTATGTATACAAGTTGATACCATAATACAGATTTTATTTTAATTTAAATAAATTATTCAAGCCATAAATAACAAGGAAAAATGTCACAGAAATAACTTGGAGAATAGTAATAAATGATTAAACTTGAAATTGAAGAATTACTAGGAAAAATGTACCTGATGAAAAATATTGATTATGCCAGAGCATATTTTCACTTCCGTCACAACAGCTGATCTTTCATTAGCCTTTATTGTATTTTCTGCCACTTCCAAACATTTATGCAAGTGCGTAAGAAGCGTCCCACAAAGTTTCTCATTAAACAGTTTAGGAAAAAGTAGTGTCAAGTAACTCAAGTGCTGAATAGCAGGCAAGTTAAGAGATCGATAATCACCTAACTTAAGCAGTAGAGGTCGAATAGTAGTATGCACCTGCAAATAAATATAAAAAATAAAATTAAATCATTTGAAACTTAAGAGAAATATTCTAAAAATGAATTGAAAAATACCATATCAATATCGATCTCATATTTTCCGAGGATATCCTTTATGCATTGATAGCCAATCTCTTGCATTTCAGAATTGCTGGAGCTTAAGGCTCTGTATAGATGTTGAAATATATCGTTCTGCTTCTCTTGCATGTAATGACAAGCAGAAAGTAGTCTCAGCATAGATTTTCGAATCGGAATCAAATTAGTTAGTGACTTGTAGCAGGCAAATTTAAGGAGATTAGCATCATCACATTCACATAACATCACTAATTCATCAAAGAATGATTTGTGATCAGGAACGGACATATCTGGAATAAAAATATTAGTTATTAGATGACACATATTTAATTTTAATTTCTTTTAACTCAAATTAAGTTAGCAATAATTTTTTCTTCTGATTAACAAATTAATTGATTTCGAATGTCTTACAAATTGAATGAAAGTAATATTTCTGATAGAAAACAATCACACAAAATATTTTTAAAAAAAATTTAACCAATCATTCTCACATATAAATACTACATAAAGTCAAATACAACATTAGTTTAAAAAAATTTTCAAATAACTTCTCTTCTTTCATCTAAACATACAGTCTTGTTTCTCACAAGCTAAAAGAAATTACTTTCATCATGAGTACTTAATTAAAAAAAAAAAGAAGAAAAAGAATGTGATTTCAAAACATAGTTTTGGCCATTGCTGAATCACCTGAATTAAAAAATAAATAAAATGTAAGATTTTTTCCATCAGAATTTCTGCTATGAATATCTATGAAAGATATTCATAAATATTCTATCATTGATTCTAAAAAAATTTCTACGCTTTTCCCCCCTGAAATAATGTAATAGCCTTATAACATTAATTTAAAATTTTATTATCACTATGTGGATGACAATAGAAAATTAAAAATTGAAGAAGTAGTTTTCAAGGAAGTATTTTTCAAAAATCATCCAGAAATTTAACTTTCTAATATAATTCTACGTTCAATATTTTCTGATTTTATTACAACTGAATTATATAAGAATGAAGGATAGGTTTTGAAAAAAAACATATTGGGAAGAGGTAAGAGTTAGCCTGCTTTATGGCAACAATATCATTATTTTAGAAGTTCATTAATAGAGATACCATCATAATTAAAAAAGAGGAAAAGTGGGTAGGGTCAGTGATTCCACTTATGACATAATGCATCAAGTACATCAAAAATCGTACAAGTGAGTAAAAAAATAAACTATTACGCATCCCAAGGGATACGCAATTCACCAGCGTGGACAAGGGAAGCTTGAGGCAAAATTATAACCAAACTTTAAATATATAAATAAAATTTAAAAAAATTTCCTTTATTAGTAGCTCCAAGAGAACTTAGAAAAGAAATCTGAGTAGCGTATTACACCATTTTCTTTCCTTAATGCTGGCGTTTAATCAGTCTCAATTAAAAGCCTTGATTGTTCAAATAACTCTTTCCTTTTTTTCGTTCTATTTTCATTTATTTATTTTGAAATTCTTTGTTTTCTCTATCAATAGATAGAACAATTACAAATTATCATAGTAATAGGTAAAGAGGAAAAAAAGTCATATTTCTTTTAGGGACCCACTTTTAATAAAAAGGGATCTAGAATTGTGGAAGTCCTAGATCCTAAGGACCCATAGTTTCCAAAATCTAGCAGGATCACTGATGGGTTTTAAATGTAAAATCAATCTTCACAAATTATTCTTCTTATGACACATCGTTTTTATCCATTTATCCCTTTAGTTCAGAGACAAGGATTGTGTTTTGAGAAATAATGTTAAGAAATAAAGTTCTGCAAAGATCAATTTAGAATAATTTTTTTTAATGTTTTCTGATCTAAATTTATTTATTTTTCATTTGATATTTAACTGGCAAATTGGGTTTTAGTTTTTATAAATATACGAAAGTATTGAGCCTAAGTAAAAACAACAATAATTTTATTTTTAGAGTTATAAGTTTTTAAATTAATTTTAACTATATTTGAGATAGTAACATTGAGTTCTTTAGTTATAATATTGTTTGTAAAGAATATTAAGCAATATTAATACGTTTCATTAGAGTTTTGCTGTAAATAAATAAAAATATATGATTTAAACTTTAAAAAATATAATTTTTTTTAAAAAAAAATATTGCGATTTGTGCCATTTAGTTTTATTCTGAAATGATTTATGTAGCATGTATTTTAGAAGAAAAATTAACCAATAACAGTGATACATTTTGGAAAAAAGGCACGCAATTTTTACAAAAATCTTAAAATCATAGAACTTTTAAAATGTCTCTTTTACATACCATATGAGAAGAGACGAGGTTCTAAAGTAATGCAGAAAGTATTTCCGTCTAACAATCCTATTTGAGATAGCACAGGCTGGTGTCGTAGATTGTGTTTTCGTAATGGAACATAATCAACGAGCAGTTCTTTATGTGGCTCAATAATATTAGTGATGGTTGTATTTCTAACTTCTGCAATTACTTTCAATGAATGCATAGCCTATAAATATTAAAACTGAATTAACTCCTATAAATATGTTTAGAAATTTAAACAAAACAGTTTAGAGGTTGTCAATGTTACTTAGATAATAAAAGCTAAGAATATATTTAAAATGAAAATTGCAAGTTACAATCTAAACAATCATCACACACAGTTTCTCAATAATCTAAGTTAAAATTTCACAAATTATCGAAAAAAAAAAAAATTTATTTCAGGAGTCCCCAAAAATAAAAAAAGCTGAGAATGTATTTTACAATTAAAAATCAATTAATTTTATGAAGAAAAAACGTAAATATTTCGATGATTTTCTTTCTCCATAAATGCAACAGCTAACTTTTTAATTTCATGCAATTAAACTAAATATAATTCAATGTCATGACAACTGTGTACCAAAATCAATTTATAAATTTTATTTTTTCTTCAACCACATCAAACATTAGTATTAACAATAATAGTATTTAATATTAATAATCAGTATTTAATTGTCATAAAAAATATTTTTTATGACTTGACACACATAAAGACTTGAAATAATTGAGCTACAAGTTACCAACTAATAATAGCCTCAAACAGTTTCTCAATGTTCTGAAATTAAAATTTCCCATATTCTTGTTAAAGCCTCCAAACATAATAAATACTAAGATTATATTTTCCCATCAAAAATCAAGTATAAAAGGATTTTCATCAATTAATCCACGTATGGGCAAATACCACTCACAAGCCAGCTCTTTCCTGTCTGAAAAAACTTTTTATGACTTGCCACAAATAAAAAATATATTTACATAATATTGACAATATTTATATCCTTATCAAATGATTGTCTGAGTCCCAAAAATATAATGCCAAACATATAGAAAATTAGAGATAATATATGATTGCACCATCTTATTTTCTACGAATCAACATGCATTTTCATCCATAAACCTTGTGAAGAATTTTATTAAAAATGGAAGCTAAGGGATGAGCATTTATCATTACTTTTCGAAATTTGAACAATGCAGTTCAAATTTTTTTTAAAAGAACTTTTGAAATAGCAATTGCAGTTTAATGCAAACATATTGCTATTTTTGCTGTAATATTTTTAAGTTTTTTGAAGTTTTAAATTATTATCATCCAATTTTCAAAGAATTTTGCTTACCATTGTATTAAGATAAACTAAACTATATTATGATAAACTAAATTTATTTATGTTTCTAATGTTAAAAATCTCTGGTCTTATAAACATTTTAGGGAAAAACAATTATGGTCCCTAAAATTTAAGTTGTAATTTTCTATACTCAGTTAAGCTGTAAGTTAAAAAAAAATTAAGTTTCTATATTCAGGGTTGTCAATCTCCTATAACAACCCTGAAGACAAATTTCTTTGATGTCTCGAAGTTTTTCAACTAATTCTTTGACTGATAAAAAAATTATTCTTCTTTTATAAATAGTATACCATATAAATTTATAAGGAAATCATATACGATAATTTAAATATTCGTTCATAAGATTTAATTTTTTACCTAATTAAAACTAAAGAAATAAATCTGTTATTAAAGTTATTGAAAAAGACATTAAAAATACTTACTTGATCTCTAACACATGTATTTGGTTGAGTCAGCTGTCGTACAAGTTCTTGAACAACTTCAATTATAGCTTTGTTTTGAGCTGCAACCATTTCTGCATCATCACCAGGAAAATGTTTACAGTAAGTAGTGAGCATCGTTTGTAAATTATTTCTAAACAAATAAAAATGTAGGAAAAAATTAATGAAGTAAAATCATTCCTCTTCTTTTTAAATAAGTAAGGAATAAAAGGATTTTCATTAGAACTAATAAGAAAGCATACCAGATGCAGTATTTTTGACACATTAGTTACTTTTTCAACCAATCAATTACAATTAAAAATAGGAAATATAGATGTGTCATGATATCCATTGAGTAATGAAATCATTTTTTTCTTTTTTTTTAGGTAATGCAAAATTTGAATTGATACTTTACACATTGAGCAGTTTTATTTTTAACTGAAGAAAGTAAAATTATTATATTAAAAAAAAAATTCACAATTTCTACTGTTTTCAAGTTCAGTTAACTCAAGACAATACATATGATAAAGAGAAATATTTGGTTGTTCTTGTAATCATTGTTTCAGAATGAAAAATTTGAAAAACTAGTTTGAAAGTATAATTTAAAATCATGTAAGTTTGGTGAGGGTATGTTGCACAGAACTCAAGGTAAAAATAACATGATAATTCATGCTCAAGTTGAAAGTAATGTAACAATGGTATAAACTAAACTGATATAAAACTATAGAGGTAAATATATACAAAAACAATATTGATTGGAGGATCAGGATAAATCTAAACAAAATATTAATAAGGAAATTAATACATCAGATATTACTTGATTAACTAAATAACTTTGAAAAACATTATAAAATTATTTTAAGCTCATAAAAATAAGTTATATTTTTATATCTCAAAAAATAAATTTGTCTATCTTACTTAGCAAGATCAACAGCACCACTTGAAACTTCACCAGTTAAATCCATCATTACAAAAAGTAATGCTTTGAGAAAACTATACATGTGGGCAAAAACCCATTTCTTATGACATTTTTCAAACAAGGTCTTTAATGCTATGCATCTGTAAAATACAATGGAGAAATATTAAGAAAATGACAGCATATTTTCCCTAAAACAAATATTCATATTTAAGTCCCAAACAGCATAATAAAGGTTAAATTTATAAAGGTTAAATTTGTATTTATTAATTTATTGAAGAAAAGAAGCTAAAGAAAGGACTATGAAGAAAAAAAACAGAGATAACATCAAGGATGATTTTCAAAATTGTTAGAAAAACTGAAGCTGTTCCATAAAGAAAAAATTATCAACAATACTTCTTGTATAATTATTCTTTTCAAAAATGTATTTGAAAGAAACAGAGTCCCATTTCAACCAACAAGAAAGGAAATTAATCTTTAAAAAACAGAATTTGGATGAAATGGAGTGGTGGGAGAATGGAAAGTGTCTTAAATTTTAAAAAAATAGTATTCTTAGCTTACAGCTCAAATATTTTTATTCTAAACATTTAAAAATATTGTCTTTTATTCTTTAATTTTTTTCAATTGAATTTCCTTTTGATGATGGATGGCATTGCAATCAAACATAATCTCTCTGATCTGAACACTTCCAAAGAGTTTTTGAGAATGAAAATTCAAAATTCATAAAAATTTTATTTTAGTTACTTATTTATTTTATTTTATTATTTTTTTTGAACACACATGCCTTACAGAAAGTTGTCACATTCTATTGGCAATCGAAATGGGCTACAGGTAGCATAGAACAGAACTCTCTACCTATGGCAACACTTAGCATGCTTTCACCAATAGCATGTGGAGAGTCATAGAAGAAAGAAGGATGCTAGTTTCTGTCTTGATTTTCAAATAGATTAAAATCTTTTACGTTAGGAAACTACATGGAACTGAAAACTACATTAAACATAGTTCTAAAAGAAAGCGTCATGGAAATTTTTAAAAATATTTTTAACAATTAAATACGAAAAATATTAGGATATGGATAAATATCTTAGTACATTCCCATACAACTGATAAGAGGAGGAGAGGGAAGGGAGAAAGGCCAAAGGCATGAAACTGATCTTCTCTCCAGATGGCGTATTTGAGCACTGCGATCGCCAATTTATGGTCCACATGCTAAATGTTAGCTATCCTTCAGATCGAGAGAAAAGAATTTTTTTTGCCAGAACAATTTCATTGAATACTGCTACTATACAGTTAAAAAATACATTGTTTTTTTTAGCGTAAAATTAATTTCTAGGAAATAGTTAACATAAATTAAATTCAAATACAAGAATAGTTAATTAAGTTCATAGATGCAGTAAAAAAGTGCCTAAATACACTTATTTACTTAGAAATATCAAAATGATATTTCTTTTAGGACAATAATATGCAAATAATCTTACCCGCCAAGTTTAGAATACCAAGCTCGTTCATAGCAAAGGGAACACATTTTTTCTTGTAAATATTCTAACACTGGTAAACAGCAAGCCTAAAAAACATTAAAAATTTTTTAAAGTTTTAAAACAAATAAAAAAAAATTTAAAAAAAAGCTAATATTTCTGAAAATTTTTAGAAATTACAAGGTATTGAAAATTTAATAAGTAACTTTGCGCAAAAAAATTTTATAAAATATACACACTTTAGTAGCTCATTAGATAAATAGTGCGTAACTGGTGATACACTAGTGCTACATGCAAGGCTCATAAAAGGTGTGCAAGAAGAATACAGAAACTTCTGAAAATTTTTTCAAAATATAAGTTGAAATAAAACTATTTGATCAATTTCTTTAGAAACAGGTCAAAAAACAATCATTTATCTGTTTGATCAGTAGTTAGTTGTAATTTTTGCTTAAAACAGAATTAAACTTTTTGGCAAAAGGTAAAAGAAAAAAATATCTTGCATTGTTCAAACAAACTCCAATTTTCGATCTGCTCATATCAACTTACTGACATAAAATAAAATTTTATAATTCATTCCGTATCACAAATTGGATACGGAAAAATATAATCATGAATTAATAAAAAAGCTGTTTCAAAAGAGATATTTTATTTGATATGCTTGCATGTAGATTTCAAATATTTGATTATTCATAATCAGTTACAGGTGGGGTTAAATCAGTTACAACAGGGATTAAAAATAAAACTTTTATTGCTCACCTTTTAAAAAAAATACATCTAGAAGTGTTATTTTTTTTAATAAAATTTTTCCGTTCTGTAGAAAGAAATTAGGAACAAGTGTGGCAATTATAATTGAATAGTAGTTTTTAGAGAAAATAAAGTATATTCAAAACTATTGTTATTAAGAAAATAAACAAATAATAAACTATTTCCTTTTACAATATAAAAAGTTTGAAAAATTTGAAAGGAACAATTTCAAAAAGCTTTTAATTTTTATTATGAAACTTTAATATATTATGCAACCAGTTTCTTCACATACATTTTCCAGAGTTGTACTAGATAGAAATTCAATTTTCATAAATTCAGTAGTCATTCAAAAACATTTTACAAAAATGTATTTTTTAAACTTTTGTCCAATTAAAAGAATAAAGTACAGCAAATATAATATAATTAGAGGAGAAAAAATAAACCATTTAGTTTTCAAATTTATTTTTATCAATACTCTGCATTAAAATTAAAAATTGCAAATTTAAGCTAGTTTGTCTTAATTTATTCCTTAAGAAGGTCTTTAACAAGGTTTGAAAAATGAAATCTGTGTAACATTATAAATGTACAGATAGTTTTGAACAAAAAAAAAATTAAATACTGGCTTTATGACTGAAAAAAATTAAAATTATGACTTTATTCATGTTGCCAAAAATAAAGTCATAATTAGTCAATATCACTGATTTACTAACAACAAAGTCAATTGGTTTAGCTGGTGCTTTAACCAATCAATAACTATTCAATACTTTATTCATAACAATTAGTAAAAACAAAATAAAAAGAAACTTACTCTTTGCTTTGTGCCAAGAAATATACTTGCAGTTTCAACAATAATACCTAAAGCATCATTGCCAGGTTTGCATAGCTCCTTTTCTTCATGACCCATAACAGCCGCAACAGCATCTATTATTACTAGAGGATCCATACCTTGAGGTTTAACATTCCTGGTATTACCTAGAACAAATGGACCTGCTTGCTGGCTAATTGCAACAAGCGTATAGTGACGAACAACAGTAACCATGAAACTTGAAACAATTTCTCGCAGCTCTTTAATAGCAGATGCAACTGAAATGAAGTAAAAGTTAGCAATGTGTGAAATACTAAAGAAAATTATTAGAATTGTAAACAATAGTGATTAAATTTACCAAACATGCCAGTAAGTGCCAGCTCGTGAATTTTTCTCGATTCTGAATCAGAGCACACGTAATTCAAACTTTCTGAAGATGGTATTTCTCCAGTTACAAAACTGGAAATACAATTACAAATGTTTTAAAAGAAAAAAGAAAATTAAACAACATTTTGAATAAAATTTATTTACAGAAAAAAGCATTTTAAATATATTTATTAATTTAAAATTTGTACTTGTTAACTTCAAGCAATGTCCTGAAAAGTTAAAATGCAGAAAAGTATCATGAATTTTGTTTAATAATAAGTAATAATAATTTTTTTAATAATAAATAATAATTTCTTTAATAATAAATAATAATTTCTTCTTTTAATAATGATATTAATTTCTTTAAAAATAAATTTTCTTTATTTTTTTTCTTTATTAGATATGAATCCAAATGACAATTCTAAAACAATAATGGTACAATATTTTTGCTTTTGTACTTATTGTAGCTTTTTTTTAGTTAAATAGATTTTTTCTGAAGATAAAATGTGATTTACACCACAGCTACAGTATTCTATATAAATAAAATGTGTGATAAAGAATTTGGAGCACCTAATTAAATATAAATTTTGTATCAAGAAAAAAGACCTGAAGAATGGAATTCAAATAATAAAAATTAATAACCACAACAACAACTCACAAAACAAGAATAATTTATAATTATTTGCATTCAACTGAAATTGAGTTATGATGAAAGAGTTATTTTTCAAATGCATAAATAACTCAGCAATTCAATAAGCTGAGAAATTTTTTCCCCCTTCCCTTAACTTTTCTAGTGATCTTTTAAAAGGTAAGTTTCCAATTTTTTCTGGGTATGGAACCCTAAATGACCAAACTTCTTAGGGCAGATATGTGATTTAATGCATAAAACTCAAACATATTAAATAAATATAGTTAATCATTCTGAAAATATTTAATGTGAGGAATGACATTAATTTTTTCATTGTTTTAACAATTAAAATAAGATAGTTTAATTTACAGATCGAGCAACACTGAGTTAAATTCTGAGTTTGTTTTTGGTAATATGTTAATGCTGAAAATTTGTAAACAAAAATAAATGAAATTATGGTTTTTGGTGAAACGAAAAAGAACTGTAATAAATGATGAAAATAGTTATCAGAGAAACATTTTTTTTATTGTTAAATTCGGTTGTTTTCTTTGATTGAAAGGTTTGATAGGGAATATTAAAGCAATTTTTTTTAAATGCTTATCTTTTTCCTCGTTTTTCAATGTATGGTTATCAGAATTTTTTAATTGTTTTTATCTTAATAGTACTATTTTTTTCAGTGACATTTCGCTTGGGTAATTTCGTTAAAAAAATATTAAATATATAGCCAATTTTTGATTTGATACAAATCAAAGGTTTAATCATATAGGTTTCCAAAATTATTACTAGTTAAAAATAAATCCTAATTTGGAACTTCTGTGACCCTTCCAACCTTATGATTTGGCAGAGCATTTTTTGAGAACTTTTGGGATAAAGCATCTCAGCAAATTGCGAACATCATGCATTGGCAATATATAGAACCTACAACAGACATTTCCAGATTGCTAGATAAGGCAAGGGTCACCATGGATTTGGGGGTCAAGAACCCTCCATTTTCATCTTAGGAACCTTTTTGAAAGAAGTCACAATAAATCCCTTCAGCACAAGGTCAAGATCATCTTTGTTGGTCAACTCAAATATCAGAGATACTAAGAACAAAATAACTCCCCAGATGATGAAGTAGGAATTCTTTAACTATATATTAAACAATAACTTCTCTGTGTTGACCAGGTTGAACATGAACTGTCATTGGCCTTTGAAGTACTTTCGACTTGTGTAAATTAAGTTATTTTTCTAAAACTTAGTGGTTATTGAAATAAGCTGCAATTACAAGTACAAGAATTTGTCGAATTCAATATTAGTAAAATGAATACTTTAGTACCACATTACAAACCTGGGATGTCCAAACAACTGAAAAATATTATGCTTGCTAACGTCAGATTCCATGTTAGCTGATAAGAAGCCCTTTATAATCTCCCAGCACTGCTTTCGATAAAATTCACTAGTGGCACTCGTCTTCAAAGCATTAAATGCTGTCTCAATTATCTGTTTGAGATTTTAAAGAAAAATCAAAAAATTCAAGTTATAGTAATATTTTAAGTATAATCAATAAAATTGTACAAACTTAAATTAGTTTTATTTAAGAAATTGATTTTTACCTTTCCAATAGGTAGCGAGATATTATTCTTGTGTTCTTGAAAATATACTGCTACACAAGGCCCAATACTTTCCCGAGATGAATACTCCAACTATTTAAACAAACAAAACAAAATAAATATTCCTCATAAAAAATATTTTAAATTTAAAAATAAATTGACTTAAAACAAGCATTAAATTAAAATTAAATTACTTTTATACATATTTTTGAAAATTTTAAAATTCAAACGAAGTAAGAAATGTTAAATACTTTACATGCAGATATTAACACCAATCATAGGGCCCAGAGTTTACAAATTATTGAATAGCAGTCTTATCGTTTTCTTTATTTTTATTTCAAAACTTGTATGCCATTGAGGCAGAATTTTCTCATTAAATTATCCTCACATCATCAGTTTGCGCTTTGCCATATATTTAGAGTATTGTAGATGTATCACTGTTGTAAATAGCCTATGGCGTAGTAGCTGGACTACAGCAATTTGAAATTGAATTTATTAAAATTATTAGGAACACGTTTGTACAGCAACTATACAGATACTCATATTCTTGCAGTATAAATCAAGACTTTACTGTATAACATATAAATGATATGATTTTGTAACAATATAATTTCAATATAGTGTGACTTTTTCATTTTTAACTTGAGAAGATATCCATCTTTGTATCAAACATTGAACGAGTCTTTGAATGAAACTGATATTGGTTTGGTAATAAGTACTACCTGAAGGAAGGAAAACCAGTTACTTTTTTTTACCCGTACTCGGGATACATATCAATCCATTTTTAATTAGTTTAAAATCAATTCCATTTTTGAGCTGATTTCTCAGACTCTCGTTCATTTAGATTTTCTAAGCAATTTGCTTTGGAACAGTTTTATGATGCCTGAAGCCATATCAATCTTTTTAACATTGTTACAGACAATCATTTTAAGCTTCTTGCCTTACCCTTTTGTATTATATATCACATATTTAAATTAACCATATTCAACGTTTTGCAAATTTTTACAATATTAACAATTTTTTCAATATTATTGACAATATTTTGTATTCTTTCAACAGTTGACTAAATTACTAACAATGCTTACTAGGCCTAAATAAATCTTTATGTTTATAAGTAAATTTTTATCCATTAAGTAGAATAAATTCTTTTATTAACCACTGCATAATTTTGTCAAAAACAATGGCACTGTTTATTTAACAATAAAATATGCCAAAATTTTAAGAAACTAATTTATGTTCTATTTCACATTGGAAAAAAAAATAAATCTTAAAGCTCAATTTTATTTAGATGTCATAAAAAATTTACTGGATGCCATAAATTTTTTTTTATCACATATAAGTTCAAAATTAGAATATTTGATAATTCAGGTACTTTTTTTTATTGTCACATGTAACATGTATGAAAATTTTTTATCTTTAAGAGTAATGCAAACTTTGAAATTAAAAAAGAAAATGAATATAAAAATAAAAATGATTCCAAATAATATTTACTCTTTGAGGTTCTACCATCATTTTACGATTTCCCCCTCCAAATTTACCCAAAACTCTGAATGCAACTTGCGCTACACTATCAGTAGGATTACGAAGAGTTCTCCAGAGAGCCTGCATCAATTCAGCTCTGACAGGTTGAATATGATCATACAAAAAGTCCGGTTGAAGATTATCTACGCACAGCTCTAATGTGCGCAGTCCCTAGAATTTAAGAGATAATGTAAATTCAAATAATGGTATTTTGAAAATACATAATAAATGATGTAATTGATATAGAATTTACCTGACTAACTAAAGTCTGAGAACCATTCAAAGCTGACACTAATGGATCCATTAACATAGGCAAATAAGGAAGTAAAGAACTAAGACGAACTGGTACAGTTAAGCATAATTCTACAAATAGATCTTTCATGTGCTGTTTATGCAAACCACTCTGCAAACTATTTAAACCTATTGAAAAAAATATTTTAAAGAAGAAAATTTGGTTATATTTTAAAAAACAATTCAAGATAAAAAATAAAAAAAATCTTCTTTGAAACGAGAGAAAATTTTATCTCTGTTGTCTAAAGAAAGAAAAATAGATTTACACCAAAAGTTATAGGGTTTCTTTGTTGCTAAGTTGAAATGATTTTTTAAAAAAATCTATAAGTGTCAGTACCTCGTCAATTAAAAACATAGTTAAAATTTTTTAAAGAGTAATTAAAATTTTAAGTAATTAATCAAATAAAACTGTTGTTTAATTATGCCACTCCATACAAATTCCATACACAAGCACAAAATAGTTGTTAATAACAGAAAATCTTGTGAAATGAGTGTTAGTTCATGCAATTGCCAATAAGTACTGAATGTTTTAGTCCAGAAATGCACCACTTATGATTTGAACTCCTTTTATTTCGGAAAATAGCTTTTTCACCCTGAGTTTAGATTTTACTCATTCTAATAACATAATAACACTAAAATTAATAAATTATATCGTACAAAAATCTTCTGAAGTTATTTCAAACAAAAAGTAAACCTACTGAAACATATAAAATAGGCTTTACTCTTATAATTTTTTTATTAGACTTAAACCTGCTTCTTTCTTTATTTTTTTTTTGTCATGTTGTAAATTAGGAACTTAATTATAACCACATACTATAAAAGTAAATAACAGATCTAGTTCAGCTCTCTCAGAACACAATTTTTATTTGTAACCATTTTGCTTTGAAAGTTTTATTTATGATCGTGAGCTTAGTTTTTGCTGTTAAATATGATTTTCTAATTTATGATTTACTGTTAAATAAGAATTTGTGTAAATAATATTTAAAAAAATTCCAAAATTAAAAAAGATAAATTCATTAAAAAAAAAACTTACTTTGTCAAGTCTAATTACATTTATTGCATTTATCTAATACTGACTTAAAAACATTTTTTTCTTCTAAAAAAGTAATTTTTTTATTTTAATAAACTGCTTTTTAATATTATACTTGTTTAAATTTATTTATTGAAATAAAAATTTTTGTAATTAGTAAAAATATCAGTTAAGCACCAGTAAGACATTTTATTATGAAATGAAACCTAAAATCTTGTATTTTTACAATTACAGCTTTATATTACTTCAGTTGGCATAAAGTTTTTTTGTCCTGATAACAGAAAAAGATTGTTCATCCCTATTCTGGCAACACCACTGAATTTCACACCTGTGGCAAAAGAATGCCATTGTCCATTAAAAAAAATTAAATTAAAAAAACAAAAAAAAAACAAAGCATAAACACTAATTTGGAAGCAGGACACATTACAGCATAGGTGCCACTCTAAAGAGATTTCAAGACTGAACTTATTTTTTGATCAACTACAAGGATCTAGTGTTATTTAGCAGAATTTTTCAGAAATTTATAGTTCACTTTCCATGAGAATGGCTCTATTATATCAATGACTTTGATTATTTTTCTCTTAAAAAAACATTTATTTTCCATAAATTTATTAATTTATTTTTTACAGCAAAATAAATAAATAAATAAATAAAAAACTTTGTATGGTTGCCTTATAATTTTGCAATTTCTATGAAAATTTTTATACCAAATGCTAGTTACACCACCAACTATTTTCTTGGAGTCATTTATATTTTTACTTAATTTCTACCTCAGCACCATTAATGTTTTGCCCTAGTGCCCTAAAAGTGAACTGATAGAATAAAAACAAATTTTCTAAATAAAAGTGAGAAAATTTTTTTTATGAATTAATAAATAAAAACTTCTTTTGCTTACCTTGCAATAAATTTGGTAATAAAGGTAAGAATTCTTGATACAACAAATCATGACTGCCACCTCCTATAGATCGAAACAAAGCTCTCAAAAGAAGGAAATAATTATATGGTTCTTTAGCACTTAAAGCTAGCTCCATGGATCTATTTACTATTTGATGTAAATAGGGCTAGAAACAGTGGAAAAAGGGTTACTTTCACAATTAAAAACAACAACAAAAAGTATACTTAAAATATTTTTTAAATGTAAGTAAATATTAAAGAATATCAAAATTACTTTTAGCATTTCCTCATTTTCAGCAGGAAACAAAGACACTGATCCAAAAACCAGTTTAAAAAGCTTCAAGTACAAGTTAGATCTGTCCATATTCGCTGCAAAGAATATAAAATGTTAAGAAATAAGTTTTATTGTTTAAAAATAAAATTGGCAGAATAAGTTTCTTTAAACATGTAAAAAATATATTTGTTAATCACAAAACCATAGAAAATGCATTTTACAAAAAAATTTTTACTTAACAAATAAACATTGAACATGATGAAAATTTATCTTTTTGTTGTCTATCAGTACCAAAATGACAATTTTCTGTTTGAACATTACAGAAAATAACTAGTTATAAAAGAATTGAGTACATCTAAAAATTGTAGCACTTGTTCAATGACAATGCAGTTAATGCTAGATTGATAAGTGTTAAACGTTATGCATCATAATAAGTAAATATACAAGCATTTATCACTTTTAATGTAATTATTATTTTGTACATTGAAAATTCACCAGTACACTTTAAAAAAAATAAGTAAACTCATTTAATTTTGTGAGACACACATGTTAAAATAATTTATTGCAATAATAAAAGGGAAAAAAAATAAGAAGAAAAAGAATAAATAAAATTATTAGCAAAAGTTATCACAATAAATATCACTTACATCCCATTTCCTCCATTCTTTTTAGAAGATATTCTACTAGTATTGTAGCAAATATGGGTGAGGTGGCAGTATTAGCAAGAAAAGAGTTTGCTAGAATCTGAAATAAAGACATAATCTATCTTATCAAATTATCAAACCAAAAGAGTTTTAATATTTACAAAAATATTATGACTAGAGTTAAACACTTTTAACTGATTGACTGTTTTACATTTGAACAAGTCTACATAGAAATATCTTGTCAAGATACATTTTCTCATTTAATTAGAAAATAAAACAGCTTAAAGAATGTTTTTAGTCATTTGAAACATTTACTGTTACTTTTTTTCCATGTAGATTAATAATCTATACTTATAAAATAATAATTATTATGAATGCAATAAACATACTTGCAATGCAGGATTCTTGAAAATTCGTTCAACCATGTACTGAAACAATATAAAGTTTAAAATTATTACGAATAGTATTTAAATTGTAATAAATAGCATTGAAATATTATAAGTCATTTAAAGCTTACATGTATAGATGTTGAAAATACTTCTCGAAATGTTAATGGATGCATCATGGTATACTGAAATGAAATATTATTATAGACAATCTAAAATAATTTTTTTTAAATGAGTGATATATAGTAGAAGATCAATATAATTCAATTCTAAAAACCACAAATCACCATCGACTACATTATCTTTACAATCTTTAAAGTAAATCAAAACAGATAGGTAAATTTGTAGGATATTATTTCTAATTCTCTTGATAACCTTACATATTTTTGCAAAAGCAAATTTTTGTGTTTTTAAGTATTTTTATTTAAAAACTATTGTAAGACATTAATATTAATTTATCCTTTAATATTAATACGTTAATAATTTAAATTTAATGATGTGTGAATAAATCTATATAACACAAAATTCTATATAACCGAAAGTCTCAGCATTCAGTGCTTACATTATAAAGATCTTTTATTGTACATCTAGATTCTAAAAATATTTTTTTCACTTATAATTACTTATATTTAAAAAAAAATTTACAAAATTATTTAGAAATGACTTTAATCCTGTTGTTGGATATGAAGCAGAAAATTTTATCACTGACCTATTTTGACACTAGACCTATATTTTAGTTTGTAAATAATTTTAGTAAGCAAATATATCTAAAAATCTCACAAAAATTTGCTTGAATATTTCTTTTAATCGAAAATGTTTAAGATTTAATATTCAATTTTGCAAGATTAAATATAATTTGAAAAGAAACTGATTCAGAAATTGGGAAAAATTAACAAAAATTACATACACTATGGTTGAGCTTAAGAAAATTTTTTTTAATTCCCCTACACCAATCAAGGCAGCACAAAAAACTCTGTCAAAGTTGAATTAAAAACACATGAGTCTTCTTCAGCTCGACACCAAATATTGACACAAACACAAAATAAAAGATCGCTTTCTATATCAGTTATCTTTATAACTCTCCCCCACCCTATCTTAACTGAAGGTGAGATAGTACTAAGGAAAGATATAAAGCTGTCATACCACTCCAGCAAGATGTTCTAAAACTTCCTTTTCTTCCTTGGAGCGAACAGTTTGTATGCTGAAAAAAATTATTCAAACACTGATGAATAAAATAATAGTAGTAATTCACAGTATTACAATTAAAGTGGAGAAACAGACTAGCAATATTTAAAAACAACATATGTAACACAATAATTATGTACTAATAAAATAATTACAATACTAAACAAGACTTTTTTTGTTGATTAAAAGGCAGATTAACCATAGGAGATAATAGAATGGAAATTAGCAAAATAAAAAAAATTAAATATGTAGGCAAATGTAACTATATGAAAATTTTCCGTTTAAAAAAAATTAATTAAAACTGACTTCATTCCCACAATAAATTTTCATTAGCAATATACCACATATATATTAAAATCACACAGATCATGGGTAAGAGTTCCCTTGCTGTCAGACTAACAGTGGGATTTATGTGGTTTTCCTTTCCATGTAATGCAAATGCTGGTTAGTTCCTTCAAAAAGTTCTCCTAGAAGGCATAAACTACTTGATACTGATTATAATACTTGTCTTCTGGATTGGGTTCAAAATAACAAGGTTACATAGCCGAACATTAATAGTCGCAAACTCAAAATTGGGTGGGCTGTTCAATGACAGTTATAAAAAAAAAGTGCATTGAATTCTAAAGTGAAATACAGGGCATTACAATGAGCAAAAGTGGGATGCTCTGAAGAAAAGGACATAAGTAAAAATGAGGTTATTCTATGAGCAAACGTATTGATGGTCTAAATTATATGGCAGAAAAATTAATTTAAAATAAGAGCAGTATTCAGATTGACACAATACTTACGTCATTGGTCGCTGTTGAACAGCTTGTCCAGGAGTAGGGACTGTTAACGTATAAATATCCAAAGTTTGTAGAGCATACTTGATCAATCTAATAAAAACTAGAGTTTCTTTAGGTTGGTACTGCTTACTTGGATTAGTGTTTGAATCTGAAACAATTTAAATAAAAGAACAAAATTAAATGTATAATTTGATAGGAAACACCTATTAAAAAAATAGTAATGGCAAGTTAAATATTTAGACAAAAATAGCATTTAAATTGTAAAGAAATAGCATGAAACACAAAAAATAATGTAGTGTGTTTTTTTTTAAAATTTTTATAATAATAAAGGAGAAATAACTCAAATTTTATGAGGATAGCACGATAGAAGAAACACGAACAACATTCACTTTTTCTTGAAGAAGAATGTAATCTCAGAAATTTTTCTTATAATTTCGAAAACTATATAATTTTTACCAGAGGAATATATTACTATCAAATTTTATACTTACACCCTATGGTGACAGCAGAAGCTACAACAGGCATTGCAACATAGTACAAAAAAAATTGTAAAAAGAGTAAAAAAGTATGCCACTAGTTATTTGCTATGTTTTTTATGGGTTACAACAGCAACCAGCAAAAATAAAGGAAAAAAAACTATAGTCTAGACGAGATTTTGATAAAATCATAGAGACATGCAATTTTAATGGTATTAATATAGAAAAAGGGACGATTCTGGCCATATTTTTTCAGGGTTAATAACAAAAATTAAAAAAACTAATTTTCCAAAGTAATTTGTATAAATAGTTTCGATAAAATATGCTTTAATGCAATTCCAATTAAGCATGTACATTGAGGAATATGTAAAACAGTTTGAAATATCGCTTTAGTATTAAAATTAATATAAATCTTCTAAAGCATTAAAATAAGCCAAATATATATTAAAAATGTAAAGAAAATTACATATAAAGGTTTATATCCATTAATGAGAATAATTTTGAGAATTAATAAATTAATGAGATAAATTTTAAATTTTTAAAAAGATTATAATAAATTAAGAAACAATTCTGTTAAACATGACATGCATTTCATGATAAACAGAACAATACAATTAAAAAAAAGACATAAAAATCACTTGAAAAAAATATTTAACTTTAAAAAAAAAAATTCAATTTTAAGTACTATTTTTAATATTAAATTCACATCACACAGAATATAAGCTAGCTTAAAATTTCACCAAAAAAATATTTTTTCGAAAATAATCATATAATAGAAAGTTTAAATATACCAATAAATTAAGATATAAATAAATTACTGCTTTTGAAACTGTCATGCAATTTGAAAGTTTAATATTGATAATAAAATTAATAGGAAAATTAAGAAAAAAATTCATAAACACTCATTTGCTGTTTCAAAAAGTCAAATAATTCATAAAAATTTGTGATGTAATACAAAATGTTAAATACCTAAATCTAAAATTATGCTTTACTTTGAAAAGGTAGCCAAGAAAAGTTATAATTGTATTTACTTTATTAAAATATTCTCTGAACATCAATAAATAAATAAATTTAAAAGCTTAATAACTTCTGGACACAAGAAAAAAAAATTTAACTCAAACTAAAAAACATAAAAAGGCTATATGCCTTATACCTCATACCTTTAAAGATATACATGCCTATATACAGTGGGGCATCGTTTATACGACGATCATTTATACAACGTTTACATTTATACGACGTTTTAGTGTGGTCCCAAATCATTCCTATTCATTTTAATGTAAAAATATATCATTTATAGGACGCACGGAATCGGTTATACGTCGGTTTTTAGATTTTGTTCACGTTTATTTAATTTTTTCTTGTGTATTTTAAAAAAGGGCGTAATTTGCCAACATGAAAGATACAGAAAAGGGTGCCAACAAGAATGCTTGGATGACGATCGTAATTTTTACTAGATGACTGAAAAAACTAGACAATGTTATGAAGAGGCAAAAACGAAAAATTTTGCTATTCATCACCAATGCCCAGTACACCCATCGATACTAATTATTTTGGAAAATGCAAAAGCTCTCTTTTTTCCTGCAAATTGCACAAGTGCGCTTCAGCCATTAGATTTGGCCGTGATTAGAAATCTAAAATTGCATCATAGAAAGCAGTAAGTTCAACTCGCTATTCAAAGCATTGTAGAGACTAATAGCAAGAAAATATAATTAAAGGTAACATACATTCAAATTGCTCACTGAAATTTTTTTTTCTTTGGTTACTTGTTTGTTTTGCTTTGTCTAATTTAGAAATTTATGTAAATCAGCACGTTAAACATTAAAATTAACTGAAAACAGAGTTAGTTTCAGTTTTAGAAGTAAAAATCTATTATACGACCTAATCGTTTATACGACGTTTTTCATTGGTCCCTTCGGCGTCATATAAACGATGCTCCACTGTACCCTTAAATGTGATACTTAAAAATAATTTATATCTATTTAATTCAAAAAATATCTCTGAGTTTCTGATACAATTTAAGAACTGTGCCAAAAAATAGATAGGGAAACAAATGGACTAAGTTCTTAAAAATTTATAGTTTTTAGTATCACCACATTTTAAATTCTGTTTATTTTTACTATCAAAAAGATAACGCAAGTAGGAAAAAATATCATTCCAAGCAGTACCTTACTAGGGTCATTTTCACATAGGAAAAGAATACTTCCTTTATTGTTAAATAAGGGATAATTATTTTGAACACAACTTCCTTATTTATTAAATAACTAAAAAATATTTTAGAATAATTTTTGTTTAACTTTATTTAAATAAATGTAGCAAAAACTGACTTGCTACTGAAAGTAATTATATTCAACGGAACCTTAATTACCTTCACCTTAACTCATTTGACCATAATTATTTTTTCAATGAATGAAAAAAAAAAGATATTCCAAAATACTAATTCGATATTTAATATAAATTCGAAAATTAAATTTACATAATTCTCTGATGGTTAACATGAAACCCTTTTTTTGTCCTACAAAGACCTTTAGCGCTAGACGACTGACCTGAAGTTCACTGATTGCTGTTATAATTTTTGCATTATAAATTCATTTAAAATTCAATTCAGTGTGGGGATAAGCTAATGACAATGTCAACTGTAAGGTAACCCTAGATAGAATTGAGTTAACATGTCTTATATACTAGTGAATTGAAATTGAATGATTGTAGTGGTAGCTACGCTATAATACTCCCTCACCAGAATTTTATCTGATATAGAATTCAATGAATGGACAAAGCTAGTTGATTCATTGCTGTTTTGCCACAGACCAGGAGAGTTGTATTAAAATCACAGTTGTTAGAGCAGTCACTCTTGTCTTGCAATTAGCAGTCGAGTGTGTATGGGCTGCTGTTTGTGAGTGATCAAGGCAGTGTAGCAACAGAGTGAGGAAAACAATGTCCCAGTCGCAAATAGCAAGTCAACTGTTCACAGTGTTCCATCCATCAAAGAAGGCGTGTTCATATCAAATCGGGCATTTCTGTTAAGGTAGGTGTGTTCAGATCAAGTCCAAAAGTCACCAATGTAGAGCTAGGCTACTGACAATGTTAACCGTTATCTATCCAAAGATACCTCCAGATAGAATCGAGTTAACAAGTCTTATATACAAGTGAATTGGAATTGAATAATTGTAGTGGTAGCTATGCTACACCAGATAATAAAGCTTGTAAGAAAAGAAATAATTAAAATATAGATGAAAAAAATCTAGGTACTTTGAATAAATATTTTTTCATAACTATGGTTAATGTTTTTAAACCTCAATACATACCTTTCAACTACTACAGAATCTCCATAGTTTTAGAATACATTTTTCCTAGTGGTGTCAATGGTAATGAGTTACAAGTTTAATAAATTAAAATTCCAAGAATTTATCCCCATTTCATATAAATAATTTAAATGGATATATTAAAGCTCATATAAAAAAATGGTTGTGCTCTAAAGTTATGGTAAAAGTTTTATAAAAATTTTATTTGCTTTAAATTTTTTTATTTAGTTCACTAAAATTGATAAATATATTTTGTACAATATTTAAATGTTAGAGGGTATGTCATTATAACAGAAAAATCAAATAATATAGATACTTTGCAAGTGAAAAAAAAAATCGCATTTTTAAACACTTAATTTTAAGTTATGGATATGCCTATAGTCATATTAAAACAAAATTTTCTAGGAAGGTGTAAATAAAGCTTACCGCCAGAAAACTTGCAAGCCGTAATTCCCCAAGTAACAGTTTTCGCTGCACATACTAAAGTTTTGACTAAGCTTCTACATTCTGCTATGTTATAATTAGCTGCCTGAGAAGCAGGAAAACCAAATTTTGTCTGAAATTAAAGAAAACTATTAGAAAATATATTCATTTAAAACAAGAAAACATTTCAATAATATTAAAAAAAATTACTTACAAGATAACAATTTTTTAATAGTTAATAAATAATAATTTAATAAAATGTACAGAAGCTTTCACATGTTTATGTGACTACAGCGCTTTTAACACCTTAATGGTAGACTTTTTTTGCATACCCGTTTCCTTATTTCAAAGAATGAATAAAAATATAAGTTTCTAGATGCATTCTTTAAATCTATTGCAACATTTTCCAACAAATTATTAAGAAATTACTCTTATAGAAACTATACTTTGCTTCATTTTATTTAAACTTATACTTATGAACCTAAAACTTAGGAGCCCTGTTAAGACATATATGGATGGGTACACGTACAATTAATGTCTAGGAACAAAAATTATTAAAATATTCTTAAAGTTGATTGTAAAACTATTATTGATGGTATAAAATCTTTTACACACAATGTATAAAATATTATATGCTAAAAATTAGGAAGAAAAAGATACCTTAAATATTTGAGCCTGCTTTTGAAATACTGTTGTTTCAAAATTCTAGGGTAGAAACTTTTGTTTGAATGCAGAGTGAAAAATTTATGATTCTGCATCTCAGGAAGAGTCAGGGAAAGATGCAAACACTGCATCATTCCCTGACTCTTTTCTCTCTAAATAAAATTCCCACACATTTCCAGGTCTTCCTTATCCAGTGAAAAACCTTGATATTTTGAAGAACAAAAACACAAAAGCACATGCAAGCATTTCTAATTATTTAATTATTAGAAAATGCTGTTCTGATTCTACCTCATTTATTTTTTTGTTACAGAAACACTTATAAAAACATAACACAAATCAGTACTCTTAATTTCGATAATTCTCAAAAATTCAACAATGTTACTACAGAATTTTAACAAAAAAAAAAAAAAAAAACAGACATTGGATTTATTTACTTTGGCCCTTATTGGCCATTTAGTGATAGCCCAATTTGAAATAGCCCAATTTGAATAGTGATAGCCCAATAGAAATTATTTGGTTTCTAGGTTTGTTGTATTTGTCCATCTATTTTTTCCCCTCTAAATCAAATTCCCAGACAATTAAAGGTTTTTCTTAGCCTATAAGAATTTTGATATTTTAAAGCAGGGATGGGCAAACTACGGCCCGCGGGCCAAATGTGGCCCGCCGGAAGGTTTTATCCGGCCCACGGATAGAATTTTAACTTGCCGATGCGTTACGAATATAAATAATATACAGTATACATCCATTTTATATTCGAAGATACAGAATGGCATTTTTCACAGATCTTCTTTATCTTATGAACAACTTGAATGTTAAGATGCAAGTGAAAAATCAATTCATTGATGATATCTGGGCCCATCTCAAAGCTTTTAAACTGAAGCTTAATTTGTTTGCCGGGCAGCTAGCAAAGAACGGCTTGTCTCATTTCTCGAGGTTAAATTCAATACAGTAAATAAGGAAAAGCTTAAGAATTATGAAGATAACTTGAAAAAACTATATTTTTAGTTTCAGTTATCAATATTTCAGTGGCATTCAAACAGAATTAGATATTTTTACCATGCCTTTTAATGTAAATTGTGAAACAGCGAGGTCGGATTTGCAGCTTGAATTCATTGAGTTGAAATCTAACAATCATCTCAAGCAGCTGTTTCTAAATGTGCCAAAGTTTGAGTTTTACAAATCATTACCAAAAGCTAGTTTCCCAAATTTTATATCTCAAGCCCAGAAAATAAGTGTTATGTTTTATATGTGAACAAGTGTTTTCAACTGTGAACCTTAGAAAAAATAATTTCAGAAGTAGACTAACAGACAAACATTTAGTCTCGTTCCTGAAAATAAGTGCATCTTAACTTGTATATTGTTTCTTTAAAACTTGTATATTGTTTCTTTATTTTAGAAATTTTTACATTGCCCACCAAACTTTTCTTTTTCGATTTTTGGCCATCGACCTAAAAAGTTTGCCCATACCTGTTTTAAAGGATAAAAATATAAAAGCATATGGAAGTACAATTGAACCTCTGAATAGCAAACTGTCTAAAAACCTAGCAAAGAGTCTACTATAAACAAAAGTTCACTATATCCAAATTCTTTGAAAAATTATTTTTTAGCATATGACAATAGTATGGTTGGAGTTCATGATTATGATAGTAAATTATTTATTTATAAATTAAGTCCTTAAACATTTAATAAATTAAATATTAAAAAAATATATATAAAATTTTTTTTATATTCTATGGAAGAAATTAGTACTTCTCAATTGACTACAATTCAATATTAAATAGAATTTACCACTTTTCCTAACAACAATTATTAAAGAACCTAGTATTTTCTAATTCTCATTTTTTGCAGGAAAAAAATTCAAAACATTTAATGACAATTTTACTTTTGAGATAAAAAATGCCAAAATTTCTTATCCTACTACAACATATAGGGGAGGTAAGAAGAGGGACATGCTGCTTAACAACTTGTTTACCCTAGTTTTAAAGCAAAAAGCATGCAAGAATAAGATTTGACATAATGTAAAAAAATGCAGTCACTTGCAATTGCAATTCCTGCAAATTTAAAGTTAGAGAAATAAAAAGGAAAAATGAGAATCTGAAATGAGATCACACTATAAACGAACTACAAATATTTCAGCTGTCCACAATAAACATGCAAAATAATGTTAAATGGGAGTTAACTACAACTGAGTGTTCTCTATATTCCGCATTCATTGTAACGGGGTTCAACTGCATTAATTATATGAAAATGCAGTTCTGATTTATTTTTCAAAAAGTAACTATAACAGTAATGATAAAAACCTTAAAATGCCTAAATGCAACTGCTTCCTCGAATCTTACTTTTTCATCTCGTCCGTCTAATAGACCACCTGAATGGAAAACACTCTTGGGCTCTTCTTTAACTTCAGTCTTTACTTCAACTCCACCTGGGAGGACTCCAGGAGCAAAACTAAGTGGATTAACATGTGGTGTGGTGATATGCTGAGCTGCAGGTACGGAAGGTGTCACATTTGAAAGGGAAGAACTTGAAGAAGCAACTATGGCACTTGGAGGGGCAGAGTGTGAGGCAGAAATGGCCAAGGTTTGAGGTTTTAAAGGTTGAGCACTAAAATTCAGAAAAATATATAATAAAATTAAATATTTCAATGCTTTCAAAAATGTAAATATTTTCATGCATTAACTTTAAAAATCAATGATTTTATTATATTTTTATTTTAATAAATGTAACATTAAGTATGTTGTAAATGATTTTAAAATCCTACGACAGGTATTTACTTCTTCAGACTTTCAATTATAAATTTAGAAAAAGACCATTTTATTAGAGCACAGCATATTTGTGCATTGAAAATATAGAAGATACCCCAGGAACAGTATAGATATGTACTAACAGGGATAGTTTTCCCATCCACAAAGCTTGATGAGATAATAAGAGAGGAATAAAAGGAACAGTTCTTGAGAATCTTCAGTTTTAACTAACTAATAGTGACTATAAAAAAAAGTTTATTTAACCTAAAAAAGTTGTAAGGTAGGAATCTTTTTTACAGGGAAAAATAATAAATGAAATGAGATATTTGTACACCATTTATTTTTTATTTTTAATCTTTGACACTAGAAAACCAGAAACAAATGCCTGCAAAATAAATACTAATTAAATTTAAAAATTTGTCTAGAATTTAAAGATTGATACGTATAAAATTCATTTCGAGAACGAAAAAAAAGCTTGGTGCATAGGTGTTTAACATTGAAATTGTTCGTTATGTTTGCACTTTGTTTGCTGGCAATAATATATGATAGAAATTTATTTACATTAAAAAAATTAAATAAAACGAATGCCTCTTAATAAAGTAAAAGTTTCATTCTTTATGTTTTAATTATAAATATGTGTGACAAGAATGATTTCTAAAATGCATTTGCAGTTATCAGCACTGAACAGATACAAATTTTTTAAGACAATATTTAGTTTTGAAAATATCTTTCAAATTCTTTTTTTTTCTACTCTAAATGATTAATACTAGTCGATAGATGTAAAAAACAGTGGATAATTTTTTTTTTCTTTTTTCAAGGCGATTCCACATTTTCAAGTTTTATTGTGAATACAAGCACTATAAGCAACCATATATATTTAAACAGAAAGTAAATGTATGCTTACGCTTTTTTCTGTAGGACAGGCAATTGTAGCTTTGCAATAGTTTTAAATTTTAGAACCAAAACTTCAAGCATCCTCATTAACAGCTCACGGCCCTAAATAAAGAATAAAAAAATTTTTCAAAATATAATAAACATCATAGATGACTTTTTACTGCTTTATGCATATTATACTAGAGCTAATTTTGCTACAAATATTATTCTCATGGAAATTACTAATTTGCCAAAAATAAATAAAAATTCTTGAAAATTTCTGCAATAGACTTAATAGTTATAATGCCATGAATTATTAACTAGTTATAATACCATGACATAATCTGAACTGAAATACACTTTAAGAATAGTTAAGGTGTAAAAATAGTTGAAACTCATAGCTAGAAGAATATAATGTGAAAAATAAATGGCTGAAAGTATAAGGCTTTGATATGCTGCCAGATGCTCATGGTTATTGGACATCATATTTTATAGACATGTGGGGAGAGGAGTAATCGACCATGCCAACCTTCATCTATGAAAAGGTACCCCGACATAGAGTCGAGTTAACATGTCTTATATACTAGTGAATTGTAGTTGTAATTTTGTAGTGGTAGATACGCTACAGTACTCCCCCACCAGAATTATAGCTATGATAGAATTCGATGAATGGATGCCACTAGTTGATTCATTGCTGTTTTGTGCGAAGCCGGGAGAGCTGTATTAAGATCACCGTATTTTTTGAGTGCTGAATGTGAGAGGTGTATTAACTTCACGGTCGTAGTCGCTCCTCTGTTGCCGTTAGCAGTCGAGTAATCACAAGTATGCAAGCCGACGTTGTGCGTGATCGAGACGAGACTGAGTAGCAACAGTGCGAGGAGGTGGATAATGTCGCAGTCACAAGTAGCAAGTCAACTGTTCAATGTGGATCATCCATCGAAGTGGGCGTTACTGCCTAGGTAGGCGTGTTCACATCACGTCCGAAGGTCACCAATGTGGGGAAAGGAGTAATCGACCATGCCAACCTTCATCTATGAAAAGGTACCCCGACATAGAGTCGAGTTAACATGTCTTATATACTAGTGAATTGTAGTTGTAATTTTGTAGTGGTAGATACGCTACAGACATAAGAAGTGTAACAAAATAAATTTAACTTCACAAGCAACTCTCATGATTTTATTAAAATGCAACTATTACTCATAGAATAAAAAATCTTCACAATTTAAACGCGTTATTGCCTTGCATTACAATAAACTTAATTAGTAGCCAAAACTTTTTATTTTAATAAGAAAAAAAAGAACTTACATTGCCATTTTCTCGATCAGATCTTATTCTAATGCATTCAACTAAATTCAGAATAAGCTTACAAGACATTGTTTGAATTGTAGTTACTAAAGATTCATCATGAACATTTTTTGAGAACACATTTACAGCCTTAGCCAGATCCTTCAACTGTAAATGTTGTCTCACATGATGCACAAGATCAGCTAAAGTACTATAAGCAAGAGGCCTAAAAATATACAAGATTCTTACATTAAAATAAGTAATACCACAGTCAGTAAAAGCAATTAAAGAGCTGTGAAACATAATACAATTAACAAAAAAGAATTAATTTAGAATATATTTTCCAAGCCTCATAATGAACCAAAGAAAAAATCAGAACAATTTTCAAAAAAAAAAAAAAAAAAAAATCCTGATATTTTTTGGAACAGTATATATGGTTAAACTAATTTTAAAAAAGACAAATGACAAAGTAAAAAGGTATATTTTGTTCTACTAAAACAAAGCTCACTAAATATTATGAAATGTTGGTTGTTAAAAGTAAAGTTAGAGTAGAATCAATTTGTGCATACACGAAGTTACTATGAGCCGAGATACTAAATGCATTATTTTACAAAAAGAAAAGAAAAAAACTTTCAGTACAATACAAAAATTGTCATTCTATGAACCTTTTCTCGTTCCTAGCAGTTTATTATTATTTTAAACAAAATGAGATAATTCAAAGAGCAACTGAAATCTAAGTGCTACTATTAGCCCACAGACTACACAAAAAAAGATCTTTAATATAAGTAGTTGATGGACGGTCTTTGAGTTGGAACTATTAAATTTTGAAATTTTTACAAACATTATCAATTTATATTAAAATTTTAAAAACTATTTTGAAAACCAAAATCTTTTTATTCTACAAATCAAATCTTTTACAGTTCATGCTTGTAGAAAATGGGATGATCAGAAAATACACAAAAATTGGAAATATTAGATATTGCAGATATGTTTAGCATCTCTGTATATTATGATTTATCCATTTCAAACAACAATCAAGTAGATAAAATAAACTGATTATACCTTAATTTTATCTAAATTTTTAACAAAACACCAATATGTTAGAATTAGAAAGTTAGGAACCTATATTAAAATTAATTATCCCTCTCTTGCTGTTGAATTTCTGACTATATTACATAATCTAATAGATGTTTGGTCCCAAGAAAAATTAAATTTATTGATTTATATATTTCTCGAATTTATTTATGTGACACGTTTGCTTAAAAGGCCTTCTGGCCAAATTTGAAATTATCATAATTACCATTTTAACCACAAACCTAATCACAGCCAAAAAACTTGGCCCTTTTTAATGCTTCGTAACAGCCTTGGTAAAAGTTTTACAGAATTTTGTAGTTGTAAGGATAATCAGTGATTGAGCTGGTGCCCCCTTTTCCAAATTTTTGCAAAATCAGGACTTTCAGTTATGACATATAACTTGCCATCTACACTTACAAGATTTTTGGATGGACACAAGAATCAAACACACAGCCCCCAGCTTTCAGAAATATCAACAACAAAAAAAGAAGATATTTATTCGTTAATGAAAAACATAAATTTAATATAAGGCATAATTTTTTTAAGAGATTCAATTTTTGTGGAACAGAAATGTTGATAAGTAATCCTAAAAATTTCTTAGGCTTACATAAAGGTAAAAAAAGTGAACATATTGCATTAACATAATATTTGTTACTAGTTTCGCAATTAAAATCATAAAAATTGGTTTTAAGATTCGAGAACTTTTCAATTTCAATACAATTTTCTTATTTTACTCTTCCGAATAGTTAGAGAATGGAATGGTGTAAAGAATGCAATTTAATGGCACAAGAATCAAAACTATCACCTTAATGACTCATAAGCTGTCCATCCAGTTCCAATTAAAATATTTTCATCAAAAAGCTCTTCAAGGGATGACACAAATTCTGAAAGTAGAAAACTGTAACTACACTTGAAAGAAGGGTTAAAAGAAATTAAAAATATTTTTTTGTAATTTCTCCCCCCCCCCTTTTAAAATATAGATACTGTACTTGACATGACAGAAACAAACCTGTTAATTGATATATGATTTAAAAAGTGATTGATAAAATAATTAGAGGAAGTGAGTTTAGATTTTTTTGGAAAGAGCATACAGCCCTTTTTATTTGCCTCTCAAAAAACTTATAAAATATTTTAGTTTGAATTCAAGTTTTTATCAAAATAAGCAGAAGTTTTATATAGATTTCTATAACAATAAACCAAATATTTAAAAAAAATTTTCAGATAACATATGGGAATTTGTTAAATTAAGGTTAGCAACCTTTCTCAAAAACTCTAAGAAGTAACTGTAACAACAGTATATTTTCAACAATAAAACAGGATGATAAACAAGACTCAATATTCTAAGATAAACATCATTTGTCATCGCAAACTCTTTTAGAGAATGATTTTCTTTAAAACAATATTAATTTGGGTTGAAATTATGTTTAAAGTGAAACCTAAGAATTGGAGAAATCTGTGAGTTTGGTAAGCTAAGCTCCAAGGAAATGAGATGCTCTAAATAGCAACTAGCAGTTCATGCAGACACCTAATTTTCAAGTAAAATACATGTATTTAGATTTTAAAAAAATCTTGAATAGCTCTTCTGGAATGGTTTGTTTCTAAACACTAGTGATTTTCAAAGCACCTTTGAGCATTAATCTGTTTTTGAATTGTAAGCTAAAAATAATAAAATCATTATAAAACCAGTTTTCCCCATGTTATTCACTAGAAAAGTGGGTAGCAAAGAAATTTCAGTAGATTTAGCCCAGATGCTCAACCCTTGGAGGGCTAATAACATTCTTGAAACTAAAAACGTTTAAAAACTAATTAAATATTAAAGCTATTATAAATCAATGTTAAAAATGCGTTCAGCCCCCCCCTTCTTTTGGTAAACATAGTTGATCTATAGCTACTAATAATTAAATGTTTGAATTCCAACTTCCACAAACCAAAATAAACTAGAAGCAAAAAGAAAAAACAAATAAGTTTTAAATTTTTTATTAATTATTAGAGGCACTTTTTTTTACAATATATATTTAATCAAGTATTCTTTACAGGATATTTAAGGCTTATTAACCGGAGTCTGCAAGAAAATGAATTTTTATTTTCTGTTGTAATTAGACATGCAAGATTTTTCTTGGGGGAATTAAATTCACATTGAATAAATATGTGAAGAAATAGTTATTAATGTTGAAAAATTTGTAAGACTTTTACATTATTGAATTTATGTAATATCGTAAGAGCTATACAAGGACATTTTTTCAAATGAAACATTTTTCATATTATATTTTTTAATTTAAACATTAATAGCAATTATGCCATTGAGTAAAACCTTTTTTTAGTTGTTTTTTAGTAGTTAGCAAATAATATTTAGTAACATAGAATAATATAACATTTAATAATATATAATAACAGTTTATTTTTAAAATAATAGTATTTAAATTATAAATTATTTTAGACTGAGAAAGACTGTTTTAAAATATAATTTTGCTATTCCTTTTTCAAAAACTTCTACAAATTTCCTTTACTTGTAGTCATTAATTTTTAGATATAAATATAATTAGTGAGATATGCACAATTTTCAGTTCCGAAAATGGTGCAAAAATTAAAGAATTTCTTTAAAACTGAGGAGAACTAGTAGATACAGAGAACATTTCAAACAGAAATATTTTTCAAATGGTATCTAAAGTAAAATTTTTTTAAAAGAATGAGTCATTTATTTAAAAATAAAGGAAAAAAACATGTTTCAAAATAAAGGAAAAAACAAGACATATTTAAGTAATAAAAAAAGCAGTTACTATCTCTTAGCTCTGTGGCTAAAATATGACGAGCTGCTATAAGCAATTCTTTGCGCAAGTGGGCCACTTCTTGAGGACATAGACACAACAATCCTATCATTCCTTTAGCAAGCTGTGAGGAATGTTCATTCACAACATTCTACAAAAAAAAATCCAATTAAAATCACAGCTGGGTTAAATTATTATCATAATTTGAATGATAATTATATTTGCAATTAATATTACTCAGATAAACATAAATATAGTGCATGCTGCCTATTAAAATCACATCCATTTTCAGAACATTTGATTTTAAAAGGCAGCAGATTTTAAAAACCAAAATGCAGTAAATTAAATTGATTAAAATCTAAATTGATTGCTACACTTATGCTTTATATTTACAAAATCTACATTTGACATTAACAAGAGCTACATTTTTAACTTACAAAAGGTTTTGAAATATAATATTTGATTAGAAAAATTTCAAATTAAAGATTCACCATAGTTTGAAAGCTTATAAGAGTTTTGAAAACATTAAATAACCTTTTCCTTTCTGTAAAGTTCATTTTAAGAAATAAAGAGTTTTTCTGAAATCCATTGAAGTTAGATTTAGCTTATTGAATGATTGAGAATCCTTGACACTGAATGACAGGCATTTTACAGTTTTCCTTAGTACATAAACAACTTTCATTCCTTTACACTCCCTTTTTCTCATTTTTTTTAAACTCTTGCCCTTCAATTTCAACACGAAATGTTATCAACACCAGTAACTTTGCGCATAGAGAGCAGACAAAAATTAATTATTTATATGTAATCAAAACTTGAGAATATGGAAAATTTTAATCATTCAGACAAGAAATATCAATGTTTTTCATTGTTTTAAACATAAGCTCTACAAAAATTTGTGTTTACAAAATGGTAATAATAATTTTATTAAAAGGTTTTCACATGATATAAAATTATTGATATTGATATAAAATTATTATTACACAATTGATATAAAATTATTTTGTTCTAGCATACTTAATTGTGAAAAGCAGCTAATTTAATGAGCTAATTTAATAATTTAAGAGCAGTGATTTTATAATTGGGGGTCCCTCTATTAATGATACAGTTAAATCACAGTGGTAAAAAATAAAATATAATGTTCAGAAATTTTTTTAATATTCACAACATAATAAAGTGAATTTAATAGTCAGAAACAATGAAGGTAATCAGAATATTTCTAAAAATCATTTCTATTTCACATTATCTCTATTTAATGTCTAAAGAGCAAATAGTTCAGCATCAATTTAATTTGTTACAACAGGGCTATTTAATTTGTTACGCCAAAAATTTGATTCCTAATGCATTGTGCATAATTTTTTTTCTATGTTTTATTATAGAATCTAAAAAATTCTACCTGGCAATTAATATGTTAAATGCAAAATTTATTGAAAAAATGAGCCAGGAAAATTAATTTATCAACTAACATTAGTAAGTACTCAATGTATAAATAGCTCATTAATTTGCTTGAAAGTAAATTGTTGACAGCAAATTATACATTCTGAAATCATTAACGTAAAGCATTCTCACAACAGCCTGTTGTAGGTCAGGATGATCATAAAAGTCAAGACTCTAAAATCCCTAACCAATGGCATGATTTTGTCAATAGGGTCAGTGCTAAGCACAGGTTGCTTAAACTTCCTAAAAAAGCTCATACTTAGTGCCGCAATTAAGAATCAATCCTCAGCCCAGCACATTGATAGCTTGGTGCCTTTAACCTCTGAGTCGATCCTGAAATCATTTTTGTGAGTATTAAAGTGTCTTATCATGTTGAGGTCGACATCAGTCATCTGTGACTGACACTGATCCTTTTGTTTTGGCTATGTCAGTCACCGGTAAGTAGCAATGTTAAATAATATAAAACCAAAACATTAATATTATTTTAAGTAATTACAGATAATTTATTCAAAATTTGCTGAATTTTTATTTATTACACATCTCATTTTTTTTTTAAATTTAAAATTTGTTAATAGTGCGCTCAACAATGTTATACAACATTATAGTACTAAGCAGCAAAGGGATTTCCTTAAAAATATGGGATAAAAAATATTTATTAAAGAAATTAATAATTATTCTTAATATATTAGTCATTAACTACTCACTTGATATATCCTAACAATGTAAGCCAGGAAGGACAATGTTTTTATCTGTGCAGCCATGAAGTCAACATAAACTTCTTTGTTGAAAGATGGATTGCTCCTAAAATAAAACAAAACAAACAAAATAATTAAAAAAATTTCTGTCAACATTCAACTTTTTTCCCCCCAAGAACAAATTAAATCCATAAAATTTAATGTATAACTTTGTCCTACAGAGTCATTGAACATAAAAACTCGTTCACAGAATACAATTGAATACATAAATAACAATACTGAAGAGTTTTACAGCATCTCTCACTTGATCATTTGGCATAAAATATAAAATAAGTAAAAAAGAAAGATATTGAGGTACATCGTTATTGATATGTATGCATGCAGGTATATTCTGCATGCAAATAGTTCATTTAAAAAATTTCTCTCTATATTTTCTGCAATATTTTGGCTGTAAGCATTATTAAAATAAAATTAAAATGTCAAGTGAGTGAAGGATAAAAACAACAATCAAAATCAATAAAATAGATTTTACAGTGAAAATCATGCAAGTTCACCACTTGTAATGTACCAATTCGATGGCCTAGTTTGACAAGTGGTCAGTACATTAAGAGGTGATGCTTCTGTGATGTTTAATTATAGTCTTGGTATACCTAGTGCGCTGATCAATCTAACAGGCTACAAGGTACTTTAAAATATGTTTCACTTAAGAAAGTTTTATTTTTAAGAAGTGTAACGTAACAAAGTAATAAAATATGTGATATCATAAATATTCCATAGACTAACTATTTCTTGAGTTAAATATAGGATATTGTTTAAGAAACTTTTAAGGCAAGCTTTTTCAAAGGGAAAAAAAAAAGGCATTCCAGCTTCAATCAAGAATAAGAATAATAACAGAGGCCAATAAAATAAATCTGATTTCATTTGGATACAACATTTGTTTTGATTAAAAAAGATTAACAAGCTTTTATTTTTAAAAAAGATTAAAAAATATCAAATTTTTTGTGATATTGACAAATATTTCTCAGACATCATATTCTCTATTTCGTAATTAAATAATGATCTTGTAGCAAGATATTCAAAAAAAAATTATATTCTAAATTTAGATGATTTGATCCAAACAGAATAAGAATTAGAAAATTATATATTCACATTGAGATGTATTTTATCAAAGAGAATACTTTATTGTTATCTTATATAGGACATGTTGTGAATTAATTTAAACTTTATTGGACGTATGAGTTTCCTACAAAATTACAAAATTATTTTTCATGACTTCTGAAATTAATCAAACTTATATATTTTAGTGATATTTCACACATCTAAATTTAAATTAGTTTTTATTTAGATACAGGAAAATTTTAATAAAATAAATACTTTATAGCAAATATCAGAATCAATGCCAGATAAATCAAAAGCTATGTAAATATTAGCAATGATCATTATCAACTGAAAACTGTATCCAATTTCTGGAATTTTAAGCATGTGCAACATTTTTAATATTTCCAGAGATTTCTTAGTTATCTTATATAGATAAATTATCATCTAAGAGTAATTTGGCAAACAAAGAGACAATTATTAAAACATTTATCACTTCATAGACTATTTCAACATTGAAACATAGTCCCTAATATTAAACTTTCTATTATCAAAAAATATGTAAGTAATATTAAAATTAAGTTACCTCTGTTGAGCTGAAGGTTGTAACGTAATAGTTGTCATTATCAGTGGTATAAATTCTTCGACATCTTTATGAACACTCATTTTATATAGCTGATACATCAAGACAACAATTATAGGTAGCTCTGCCAGTGCCTTTAAGGACATAGTAGCTTTTGGGATTAAATTGACCTGTAAAAGAAATCAAATACATAAACAATATGCTAGAAAGTATAGAAGAAAGTGGAGAACCATGTTATTTAATTTAGCTAAAAGAACTACCAGTTTAACTTTATTGATACAATAAATTGTTATGCCTTCATTATGTATTATAAGCAACAAAGTATGACATTTATAATAGAATGGGTGAGTCCAGGGACAGAGAGCTTTTAGAGCTTGCTCCAAGTCCCTTTAATTTCTGAAAAGTAAACAATCATTTGACAGTTGACTTTTTGAATGATCCAGTTCATATTTTTCACCTGACATCATTATTCTTCATTTAATAATTCTTTTAACAATATTTTAAATAATTCTACCAAGAAAAATAAACAAAAAAAGGTCAAAATTTTAAAAAAAAGTAAAATACAATTTATGATTTTTGGAAACCTAAGGAACATTCTCACTGAGTCTGGCTTGATCCTTCTATTTAAAATGCATCAATCAAATTTTCAATTTCTAAGTTTCATATGAATTTTTATTTTTTTGAAAAGGATAAAATAAAAAACTGTATGTAGATCGTTGAAAATACTCACATTAAAAATTAAAGTTTATTTTCAAAATATTTTAATTCAATACAAAAATGTTTGTTAATAATAAAAATGTAATAACCCCAATCTTTGTCTCAAGATTAAAACAAATAAATAAAAATTCTGTTTTTGAATTGTATTGCTAGAATACCTAAGAGCAAGTTCCAAAATCTCCAAGGCAGAGAACTAACCCAGTGTAAAAGGACACAGGTAATGCTGTAAGTTAAATAAATATACCACTAATACAGTGTCTTTTCAATAACTTAACAAGGTTATTTTTCAATTTTTGTAAGTCATTCAAATTGAAACATAATAAAAACTTAGTTTGAAAGTTAAATTTCCAAATTCTAAATTTAACTTCTTTTTTTTCCTTTCTAGCTTGAATACATATACACATTGAAAGTATGCACACATGATTATTTTTTTTTAAGAGATGTTAAAGTAAATACCACTAAAAATTTACCTGCAGTTCGAATTAATTAAGCAAGAAAAAAGATTCTAGGCATGTTTTAGAATTAAATTAGAAAAAAAAATGTTCCTCACATAAAATTTTTTAAATGAAGTTACTTAATAACCTTTTTAATTTTACTTGAATATCATTGATTTTTGAAATTTAATAGCATTAAGAATAATAATGAAAACAATTATAAAATGCAATTGAAGTCTTCAAAATTAAAATATGAATGAGCTTTAAGAAAGTTTAGAAAGAAAAACAGACCTTTTTATGGGCTCCTAAAACCATATTACCAAGGCTACGCCAGTTAGTTTAAATTTTATAATGGTTTAGCCAATTAACTATTTTTATTGCTTACCCAGGGAAATGAAAGAGAAAAAATACAATAATCTAATCTACATGCATTTAAAAAAGCTTTTAAACACAAGACTTGAAATGCTCATATTATATGATCTAATAATTATTTTAATAACTAAAAAAACTGATTCACAGACCCTAAAATTATTTTTACTCACCATCTGAGTAGTTGAATCCGGGCCTCTTTTTTCACTTTTCTCAATTTGAATCGGTGTTATGGTAAATGTTTCTTTCAATAAAGGTTCCAACGTAGCTGCCGATAAATCTTTTACTTTTGGAGTAGGCCGTGGTTCAAATATAAGATGCAAGTAATTAGGCAGTTCTTTGTAAATATTCTTCACATAAAGCAGAAACATCTGTATCTAAAAATAATTGGAAAATCACAAAAGCTTAGTTATTTTTTACAATTTAGAATATATTTTCTTCTTTGAATCGGTATGTAGCATGATAATGTAACAACCGATTTCATGATGCTGTTAAGAATCATGCTAATAACAATCATACTATTGACTTTTCAAATATTTTGCCTTTTTTAAGATAACCATAATTAAAATGATGTTATATGATGTGATAATTATATGATATGGTAAATACATCATATAATTATTATAATTTCATACGTAATAAGCACAATAAAGGTGGAGCTTATTTACATATCACAAAAATGTATTCAGATTGAACAATGCAGAGTATTAAATATTTACACACGATATTTTTTCTTCTTCAATAGAGAGTTTGTCAAAAATCAATTCTGATTAAATAAATTACACACAATACAAAAGAAAGAGTCCACAGTCAATCATTTTTAATTAAAATTTTAAAAGAAAAAAAAACACATAAATTTTTCGTAGAATTTCAACAAGAAATTAAAAAGAATATAGTTTTTTTAAAAAAAATACAGCAGAAAGTTTCATTGATTTAAAATATTTACAAGTGATTAAATTTATGATGATATCTACTTTATTTTAATACATAGTAGATTTAAATTTGTTGAACCCTATTTTTAAGTGACACAACCATAGCATAATTAATATTTTACAAGTTTTCTTTTGCTTTGAAGTCACATGTTGATTATACTATTTGTCATGATTTTTTTTTATTTGTTGTAAGTTGAAGAGGTGTTAGTAATAGCTACATTTTTTTAATACATCATTATTTTCACATCACTGCATGCAACCTTTAGATTTCCCACTCACTTAAGTTTTATTTTAATATACTTGATGTTTTGGTATATTGTGGTTTAACCGGCCGTGCAGGCCAAGAGTACCAAAACAAACAATATAAAATGAGTGAATAAAAGAAGTATTTAAACCATGGAAGTAAAAAAATAGGTTTTAATTACATTAAATAGATCTACTTAGAGCAAATTATCAATGAATAGAGAGAATTTCTATATTTCTCCATAATTCTTTTTTTATTTATTTATATATTTTTCTCTATTTTATAAATCATGAAAATTTTAAAAGTTTCGTTCACACTGGACTTTAAAATAATCAAAAAAGTGTAAATAATTCAAACTATTAATAAAATCTTCCTGCTGTGTTGTGGCGGAATCATTGATATTTCACATCCCCTAATATTTTGAGTTAGTCACACTAAAATTAAAAACAGCCCACAATATGTATATATTTTTTTTCATTATGACTTCCATTTAAATTTAGTGCAAAAATAGCATTTTATAATATTTAAAAAATTAATTTATGATTAAGACTCGTTATAATTCAAAAAATATATATTTAACGATCATAGCAATTTGGATTGGAAAAACAATGCTCATCAGTATTCCTCAGAATTTTTTCATTAAATAAAAGCAAAAAATATAGAATTCTTTTAAGCAATGTCTATTAAAAACCTTGAGAAATTAAAACAGGAAAATAGAGATAAAATGAGTTAACTCCTTGTGGCCATTGACATTTATATCGCAAATTATAAGCTTATAAACTTTATTTATAAATTGATTCATCGCAGAACTATTATCTTCCTCTCTTTTCTCTATTCTTTCCTTCTTTTATTCCCTCACTTTATCAAGAATTATTTATAGAAGCATTTGTCATTGTAATGAAAGCCTATAATAATAAGTTTTCAAACTTTTAAGTGCAAACTAACTAATTAATCAAACAAGTGAAAAATCTAAAAAAGAAATCTCTTATAAGATACATTAATAAAAAAATAGTAGCCAGAGTAATGTAAAATGATAAATAACTAGTCGTATTATGCTAATAAATGACATCTGTTCAAGTCAATATTCTTTTCCCCATGCAAATTAAGTTAATAAACCTAAAGAAACACACTCCACTCAATGTAATGCAAAAATTTACAAAAGTTGATTAATAAAATAGTTTTCAATGAATCTGTACACGTGTGAAATATATTAATACAAAAGCAGATTCATTGAAAATGATAAGTTATATAAATAACACACTCTTACTTCCACACTGCATGGTGGCCTGAAGGTCTTATGAAATTCTATGATTATTCTTAAAACTACTAATATGTTTTCCTCATTTTCCACCTAAAATATAAATATTTGAATAAAAATAAAACATCATAAAAATCAGTATAGCAGAAGTCATAAAATTCTAACATTAAACATATAGCAAACAAATATCTGCATAATTTCTCTTTAAGTTTTTATAAAAGCAACAAAATTCTAAGTTTATAAATAGCAACATTTTATTAGCTAATCTGTTCAGATGTAAACATCACTCTAATGTAGCAAGGTAATTTCTGAAAAAATAAAAAAATTGTTACTTACTTCCAATAATTTGAACATTAAAGACAAGATTGGTTTGCTATGAGGTAGCAAATGATTATTCGTAGGTAGCCTGTGAATTATTTCTAAAATTGTCTTACGAAGTTGCTGAAAAAAATAATACAATTCAGTGGAAATATTTTTTAAGGAAATCATAATAAAAAAAACAAATTCAAATATATAAATAAATGATAATTTTAATTTTTTTTCTTCCAAAACCATGGCAAGAATCACATTAGTTACTAGAGTTGAGCAACAAAACATTCATTCTTAACCATTGTGATAACAATATTTGACTTATATTGAGTAAATTTGAATGGCTATATGATAAATTTAAACAATGTTAAATGTCAAAAACACAATTATCAATTACAGTTCCTGAACATCAAAAAATTGCACTTTTTATTGAAAATGATAAATATAGAATGCGATAATATCAGGAGCATTATTGACAATGATAATTATAGATTATAATATTATGCTGAATTTTATATTTCGTTTGGTTAACAAAAACTTGGCCAAGTCAATAGTTAAATTTGAAAAATATTGTAATACACTTTGAAATATGTATATTTCATGACAATTTATCATACTATTAAAATTCTAATTAGGTCCGATTAGTTACATTTCAAAAAAAATATCAATAAAATATTAGACAACAGACAGATTTTCATGCTTAAAATATTATATAACAAGAAGTAGAGTTCTCAAATTTAATTTTGAAATTATACCATGAAAATATGGATTATCCTACTTCTTAGTAAATTTAAAAACATTTAATAAATCTCTAAAACTTGAATAGACAAAAAACTGCAATATATTTAAATTAAAAAAAAAGCTTACATACATTATTATTAAATAAAATACAAGCATTGCCCAAGCTAAAGACATTAAGCAGGCTTTGTAGGGAGCCAAAGAAAAAAAATCAGGACAGCAATTAATAAATAATAAATAAATAATAAAAAAACAGGACAAAATCAGAACAGATTTGGAACAGTGGAGCATTTTTTGGAAGAGTTAATTAAAAAATACAATTTACTCTACTTAATAGTAACAAAACAAAATTTCACAGCAAAAAAATTACTTGTTCGTAGCAAAAAGTTTAAACAGTTTCAAGAATAATTTTATCCATTCAGAACAACACATAATAGTTCCAAATTAAAACATAGAAAAATATGATGGGACTGTTGCATTAAAAAAATGAACAGTATCAATTCATTAATATTTTACTCATACCAATATATAACTCAAATGTGTAATTGAGTTGAAGATTTCGTTAATCTAATTAGAGTAGGATTTCAATTATCTCAAAACTAAAATGCAATGAATATGTTGCTTAACATTTATGTACAACATTAATTTTAGTGAGCAATCCCGCAATTCATCATTTAAAAGTTTTATGACTGCTTGTTGACTGAAATCATATGAAAGAAAACAATCAATATTGTGAAGCTGGGAAATCTTACAAGATTTTTTACTGCATTTGGTGAAAATAATAAGTAAGCATATCACCCTTGAAATCAACATCGTAAAAATTTGATATAGCAAAATTGCTTCATCAATCAAAATTGCAATACAATCTTCCTTTCCATTGAATGACTTAATTCCTAAAGAGGTTGAAAGAATGAATCCTTTGGGTAAAGCTCTAAATATCTAAACCATGTAAAATCATCAATAGACTATCAAATATTGCTATTGGAACTATCAAATATTGCAATTTTGTCAAGCTTTTAAAAAAATAAAAAAAGAAGAAAAAAAAAAAGATATTGGATGAAAATTTTCAATTTATAAAATCTACTTTTTCAAAAATCTGCATTTTTATTCCTGGAAAATCGAATATTCTAAACACACAAAATTCAGGACGAATACGGATAAAATACTCAGGAACATCAAGAAATAAAATAATAGGAATAATCAAATAAAATAATCAGGAACATCAAGATTATCAGGACAATTACTAATCCTGATTTAATCTAATTTTTAAGACATTAAAATGAGGTTGATTTCATACTCACACACCGTAACCTACAGACATTTGTAACGATGGGATTATTTGTTTAAATACGGTTCAAATTTTGTTATCTTAAACCCATATTAATGACTATTAACTGTGTTCAATAAGCTCATTAGTTATGTAAACTAATAATGACAACACATGGGGCAAAAAATACAAAAGAGTAACAAAAAAAATTTAGATTGGCTAAGTTCATAAAAAATAACACAGGATATATATATATATATATATATTTGAAATGTGTACATCAAATTATGCAAAATGATCCATTGGCATGACATGAAAATACATACATGTGTGGTTTTTTCTGCAATGAATTGTGGTTCTCCATCTCCTAAAATTCTGATGAAAATTTTTATAGCATGATCCAAAAATGAAGGATATTGTGGATTACTAACAATAGTCTGAAAAAATAAAAAAATACTTTAATTACAAAATTATAACACAAATATTTTATTTAAATATTATTCGTTTTATTATTGTTAGTTAAACATCTATTCAAATTCTTTTATTTTTATTTGTTATTTAAAAAAAAAAATATTCTTATAAACATAGCATGCTTGATTTCAATGGTGTGCCTCTAGTCTTTAAGTTTCAAATTCAAAATGTGATGTATCAAAATAAATATAAAAAAATTTCATTAGAGTAATAAAACTAATAACATGTTTATCATTAATAGTCAATAATACTAATATAGGAGAGAGGATAAATAGTGATTTTATGTCTCAGCCTGCTTAAACAGTTTTTAAAAAGCTTTTGAGCAAAACATATCACTTAAATGCTCTTTAATTCTTAGAATTTAAATTCTTATTTGTCATTCAGGGGAACTTGCATGCGTTGGGAAATCGCAGAATGTTGATTATTTTAAATAGTCTACATCTTAAAACTGTCTGAAATTAATTCAGAATTAAAAAAACTGACCTGAATTCTAAAAAAATTTAACTTAAAATTAGCCCAAAACGAAACTACTTTATTTTTTCAATAACTTTTGAAGTAAATTCATTTTTCTTCATTTATACTGGTTCATTTTTACTAATATTTATCTATATATAAAAGTCTGAACTATTTTGAAAGTTTTCATTTCATGAGTTGATCCCAATTAGAGGGAATGGAATGAATGGTATTTGACCTGGAATTTTTAAGTTTTTAGGTAAATAAAATTTTTTTAAAAATTCTTTTTTATTATTAACTTCTAAAATATTTTTTTGAATTTTTTTTTTTTTGGAAGGAATGTAAATAATGCTAAACCCCTATCATTTTTCATTTTAAGTTTGATAATTTTTTCTTCTAGATAAAATTTATTAATTATTTTTAACTTTAAAAGAAACCTGTACACCACAGTTCTCTAAGAATAAAATCCTTTCATTTTAAAGAATGAAAATAATAAAAAAAAGAAAGAAAGTGATCTGAACAGCATTTCATAAACATTTTAATTCAGTAAAATGAATTATTCATTCAGAGAAGCTTATCAATCAGAAAAACAATCTTATAGAATTAAATTATAATTAAGTAACTAACTGTAAAATGGTCTTCGCAACAGTATAATACAGTAGTTGCGATTTGATTTTTTATCGCGTTTGATATCTTTGCACCAAATTTGTCTTTTTTCTGCTTTTGGTACACTAAAAAATAATTTATTTAGCGTATTTAACATAAAACTATTGCAACATGGTATAATGCAACACATGCTTTCACCGTTTCGCAACATGATGGGAGTCATGGTAGTACTATACTATGACATCATCAGATGGGAAACCTAGCAGCGATTCAGGGGGCATGGCTAATCGAGCAATTTTAACTATTAATTACAAAATAACTAGTTATTGCACTGGTCTGAAATCGGTGTCTATCTTTATAAAGTGGCATGATGTTTCATTTTAAAACAGAAAAAAAAGCATGCAGGTTAGTCATTAAATTCAATGATCTTCATGCAATTGGTGCTAAAGCATGAATTTCTAAATAAATAAGTTTATTAGTACATGGGAAACTAAACTGCCAATTGCATTTAATATAAAAGAAAAAATAATTGGTAAAAAAGTTAAAAATTAAACCAAAAAATATGAGGCAAATTTAAATATCTAGAAATGGGGAGGGGTTTAAAAGGTTCCTGTAATTCAGTAGTCAAAATTAAATTGAATGCTGAGCATAACGGCACAATGACTTTAAAATAGTGGTATATATAATCTGAGAAATTATGAAAAATGAGCTGTCATCTCTGAAACTGAAAAAAAAATATTTCGAATTTCCCATAAAATGACATTATAAATACAGCATTTTGCAATATTAAATTAAAACCTTACTTCAAGCTCTCCACTTAATTCCTGCAAAGCTTTCAATTTACTTTCATCCTCTAAAAAGAAAAGAAAAAGTAAAGTTTTGCAATTTAAAAATCAATAGGAAAAGTGAATTAATGAAAGATAAATAAATAAAAAATAAAATAAGCTATAACTACAGGTTACTACAATAAATGCATAAAATATATTTGATTAAGGTTTTGCTTTAAAAAGAAATGTGGCTATGATTAAATTAAAAATGAGATGTAAAAATATATAAGTATGATTTTTGATCAGAAGCAAATAAATACAATGATTTATTTATAGATGTATAGTTATCTTTAAAATGAGACCAAAAAAAATTTTGAAGAATGATTTTGTATTTGATGTAGATAAGTAAGATTTATTTATAAGTATATTACTTTGGTTATTTTATTTTTTTATGAATATCAATGTATGAGAATTGTAAACATTACCAAAATAAAAAAAACCAGAGCCATAAGTATATAGTTATTCATTAAGTACTACAATTATAACTATATCTATTACTAAATACGTTATCTCAAATACTATATTGCTATGAGAAATTTTTAAGTGAAAATAAATTCTGATTTTTTAATTCACAATGACTAATTATTAAACTTACTTGCAACAGGATCTTGGAGCATTGATACATATGAGCGGTAAGTATTCATAACGGCAACAGGATCATTAATGGGTGCTGATACACTCATTACTGGTATCCTTGCCATACTTAAGGACTCCAGAAAAAGCTATTCAATGATAAAACTCACCTCCAATTTTAACAATTCTAAAAATAAAAAAAATTACATATTTTTAAGAATTTAAATAAATTGTAAGGACTGCAATTATTCACAGGCAAAATTAGTAAACATGTAATAGAAATTTATAAAAAACAGTGATTCTGTTTTATAAGAACAAGAAATGTTATATCAGAGTTTTCACTAAACACCACTTAAAGCTTCATTCTCTAGCTGAGTTATATGGTATAAAATAAATACAGTTGATGCTCAATATAATGACTCCTCTGGTCCAAACAAAAGCGAATGAGATAACATGAGGTTGCTATTTCGCGATTATATGTAGTGCAGATATTCACTTAGATTTTATACTAGATACCTTTTTAAAAAAGTAGAGTTTTAAGCATTTTGAGATTTATAATCCAAAATCAAGACAATACATAACTACAAACTCATATTGCTTTAGGAACAGTGGATTTATTTTTGCCTCTTACATGTCGCACTTTCAGATCGAGCTGTTTTAAGATAATTTGACGAAAATAGTGGTGAGTTTGTTTTTAAAATGTTTAGTACAACATATTGCAACACTTTAAACAAAACAAATATATTAATTAGTTCAATGGTCCTTTTAATGGTTAACAAAACAAATTTGCAACTTCATCATCATTGTGTTACAAAATAAAACATTCTGATGCAAGCCAGTGAATTAAATTTGTAAGTTTTGTTATTCGCCAAAACGAAATGAACTTTAATTGTTATAAATCTATTTAAGTTAGAAGAATAGATAGATCTCAAACAGTAAATAACAACAAACAGTCAAAGGCAAAAAGTAAACAATTAGTTTAATAGCACTGTTGAAGAGATAAAAGACAGCAAAACCATGTAAATAAATTTCTACATTAAAAAATTAAAATCAGTCTTTACATTCACATGGACAAATCATCAAATTTGTTTTGGAAATTAAAATAGACGTTTGGTTGCCATTCAATTTCATTAAACTTTTTTAAGCTTAGACAAAATATTTTTTGATGTTAAAAATTTTTATTTTATAATATTTAGACACAGGATTTCAGTCTTAACTTTTTTAGGCCTTTATTGTGAGTACACAAACATATAATTTAAGTATGTTATTATGTATATAGTCTATGTATAAACATATATTGTGTGAATAATTTATGTATACACCTAACCACTGTAGGTGCCTAATCTATCACCCTTAAAAAAAATTGATTGCTTATATAAATTTTTATCTAAAGCATAAGACACTGAGAAAATAATTAAAGAAAGAAACAGCTATTTTTTTTTTAAAGAACAAAATAAGTAACACCTATAGGGAAATAAGATATAAGAAGATAGTTAAGATGTTCACAGACACCTCTTCCATGCAATGCCCTGTGACGTTGCAAGGCAGTGGAGCTGTGACGAAGTTCGTGAAGAGGTACCACATTTGCTCCCCGAAGCAAGTAGCGTTAAGACGTTTCAAAACATAGAGCTTAGCCCAATCCTTGTTGTTTTTTTTTAGAAATTTTTTTTACTCATTATTAGTATGGCCAGTTGTCATTGTCTAGATGATGCCACAAGATGGTTCATAGTTGGAAGACTCGAGGCAGGCCAATCATAGGCTACTTTCTGTAGCGAACTCAGCGTTTCGAGAATAGTGGTGTCTATTATGTGGAAACAGTTCACAAAGACATGGAAAGTGATCCACCGACCTGGTCACAAAAGGACAACAATGCAGTCTCATGACCATTATTTCTGACTCTTAGCCTGCATTTATTCGACTGTGATTCACAAAAATGATCACCTCACATGGTGCAACTGCCAAGAAAGTGCCAAAACTTGACAATTTTTTCAGCGCAGATACTGATGGAGATACTCATACCCGTAGATACTCATATTCTTAAAATCTTTTTAAAAATGGATATTTATTAACAATTTATTAGGTCTTTAATACATATTCTCACAAACACAAAATAACAACTAAGAAAAGCACATGTATACATTCGCAGTGACTTTTTGTTTGCGCCCAGTGAAGCGAAAAGTACCGGTAGTTATACTCCAACAGCCATGAATTTGGTTAGCCTTGATTAGTTTACCCTCACATAAGGTTTAACAATTGTGCAATATTTTCGGGAATAGTTCCGTATCCTGATCTGTTGCGCCAACGACAATCGCCAAGGTGCCAAATGGATTTCAAACTTGCAATTTTTTTAAAAAAAACATGTAGATGTTGGCCCAGGGGTGGCTACGAGTTACACATTTTCAGTTGGTCCCTTTCTGTGGTGTTTTTTTTTTATTTTTAGATTCTCGCGGGCCACTACCCGGAAGTTGCCAAGACTTGGCGATATATTCTGCCACAGATCAGGATATGGAAATCTCTCCATATTTTCACACAGATTAAGTAAGAAAACAGAATTTTATTTACAATTATTAGTTAGGTTTTCATCTAGTAATAATGAGGGAAATATTTCCATATCGTGATCTGTTATGCCGACTGTAATCACCAAGGTAACATATTTATTTTAAACTTGCAAACTAAAAAAAATAAATAAAACAAGTAGAAGTTTGTCTGAGTATGGCTATGAGTTATATCCTTTAAGTAGGCTCCCTTTTAAAATATTTTTCTTTTAATTTCTTGAAGGCCACTGCCTGAAAGCTGCCAAAGCTCGGCATTTATTTAGCTATAGATCACGATACAGAAATCTTCCCATAATGAGCTACTTGATACAGCAAGGTAAAAAAAAATTACTGTAATTAATAAGTGATTAAGGTAATAAAAGTTTAATAGGGTTGCAAAAAACTAAGGTTAACCCATTTTAAAAAGGGAGAAAAAAAAGGAATTAAAAAGATTATAGAAAAACGGTCATTACAGCAACTTTAGACTCATTGAACTTGTATAATTATAAAGATAAAGCAACTGCATTTATACCGGCACTAGGTTTGATAAACTTCCACGACTCAAATGAAAAAAAATGTTACACAAAATTATTTTCTTCGAAAATTATTAGTTGCATTTAAATGTGCAATGCAAAATTGCTGAGCTTTTAAATAAATAATTCTAAACATGATTATGTTGAAAAATTAAGAAAACGTTATTGCGCTTATTACTATGAGAAATAAAAAAAAAGAACTCACACCATTCTTAATTAGCATTAACTAATGCTGATGCACATACTTTAATATTTCAAACTATTTTCATTAAATAATTAAGGGTATGCTTAGTAAAATGTTCATCTCAGTCTCTTGTTTGTTTGCGAACTGATTTCATTATTATATAAAGGATCCGGCTACCTATTTCTGCTAATGTTGCTAACCAGTTCAATGGAAATCTTAAATTTGTAAAGAGCCGTTATTACTGCATGCAAAAGTGAATCTCAAAAGCGAGTTTTTCGCTAGTGAGTATTCGCTCAAAATTTTCACCAATATCGTGAGAAAGAAAATCTTATTCGCACACAGTGTTGCGAAGGCGAACAACTGGACCACCTGCACGAACTTCGAGCTTCGCAGTTCTACATTGTTCCTCACCCTTTATCTGCAGGAGCTTACCGCTTCGTGACTCCTTGTTAGTTCGGGTTGCTTTCGGCAGCATTGCTGCAAAAGATTATTCACACTGAATACGAAAAATTCAAATATGTGAATGGTCCAAATTTTAGAACCATCTGAATTCTCAGCATTAGAATTTTAAGTTCAAGTTGAAGGGTTAAAATTTTTTTCAGACTCAAGCAGTTCATCTGCCCAAAGAAACTCATCGATTCAAGGTTCTACATAGTCGTCCACCACCATGAATTCACCTCTTTACTGTTTAATGGAATAAAAGCAGGAAATGGCTATGCTGCGCTAAGTACACGCGTATAATTTGAGGATGCATGTTATCTAGCATAACTGTTGAATGGTTTAATTACCTTGATGGTTGCAAAATATCAAAATTGAGCCTTTTTGTTTTTTTTCCCTTTGCCTCGTAAGAAGCACATAATTTATTTAGCGATATCTATCTTGGCAAAAGCGTGCTATTTAACATTTATGGCGTAATTGGGCTAATTATAAAAACCTGAAAGTAAACATCTTTTAGTTTTTCTTATTCTCCCATAAAGAACACGTGGTCCAAATTTGAGTATTTATTTAATATTTAGCATTAATTACAATAACTAATAAAAATAAATAATTAATACCTATTACCAACTTCAGTATATTTTATTTTCATCTTTGTCTTATTATCACCGCTACAATTACAAAATATCGAATTGAAACTTTTAAAATTTTTCTGTTTACCGCACATTTTAACTTTCTAACTTCCTGGGATGTGAGAAAATTAGGGACGAAAGAGAAAGAGTTTTGCCTTTTATTAAATATCGATATTATAGCATTCGGTATCACACATCATACATTATAATTTTTTCTTTTAATTTTTTTTTAATTTTATTTTCAATGAGCTGCACAATCGGTCTTGCCGATGAGCAGACCTAGTGCGTTCTCCAGAGGTGGTATCCACTCTTTCAGGACCACCACAATGGGTAAGATACCAGAATGGGCTAGATGGCAGCACCGAGACTCAATTTGGATGCTAAAGTGCACTAGGAATTTAATTTTGCCGGAAATGCTAAGAGCCAATAAGGCACTCCAGGAAACTTTTACATGCCGCATAATCACACGACATGGCCGCTGAGGATTTTCTGCATCCCGAAAATTCGGTGTCTGGGCCGGGGATCGAACCCGCAGACTTGGGCTCAGAAGGCCGACGCGCCACCCAGCCACTGCATTATACATCATGTATATAGATTTTGACATCATTATAAAATGCTATTTCAGAAAAAAAAAATACAAAATTTGATTGAAATGTTTAAATAATACGACGATTGCGATTTGAATTATTCAAAGCATTCGCGTTTTCTGAGCTATGTACAAACATGATACGCATACACATGTACATTATATGTACATCACGCTAAGAAAAAAAAACTGAACACCAAGAATAACTTTTAATTTAATGATTGGATTTTCACATGGTAAGACTTGATTTTAGTTGTTAAGGACCTGACCTTAAATATGCTAATAAATTAGCTAGACGATAATTAATTAGCTAGAAATTATGAACTCAGACACAAGACGTGCTTTTTCTGAATAAACATACTTTTTTCCCTGATGGATTTGGATTCCTCCTCATCAAAATACGGATATGGGGTAGTAGCAATCTGGAAAATATGCCAGAGAGCGACCGAAAGCTTAAATTAACGTAAACTTTGCGTTTTGCGTATTTCGCCCTATCAGAAAAACTTTTTTAGAGAATCAAAATTTTTTTGCCTGTAATCGTAAAATTCGCTTTTGCTAAGGTAATTCCGCGAAAAAAAATTAATTTTTAATAATTATATATTTTATAATTATTTAATTTATAATAATCGATGGGTTTAAATTGAAAGGTAATAATTGAATTCGTCGGTTTAGGGTTAGCAGCTGAGATTAAAAAAAAATACAAATCTTTTTTTAAAAAAATACCGGAACTTACTTTTTTAAATATTAAAGTAAAAGTATAGCTATAATTATATTCATTTTGTGTTATTTCAAGAACTATTCTATTAACAGGTTTACTAGCTTCTCTTACATTTTTGGAGAAAAATACCCTTGGAAATAATTTTTAAAGAATATGCTCCATCATTCTAATCTTGCGCATGCTTTAAGTAATAAACACTGGTTATCATAAACTAAGGATAAATTATAAAGCAAAACAAATTCCAACAAATATTCGCCTATCTCAATGAAATTTGAAGTTGTTGTTGTCGTAGTCGGCCTTTAAGGCAGTGGGGGTGCGATTGTTCTTGTTTTCCAGTGGCGCCATCTATGGCCAAGAATTCGATTTCTGCCTCACCCATACGTCCCACTCGTTTATAGGGCAGACCCATTCATACATTCATCCTCGGATCGTAATTTTGACCTGAACTAGAGAACGATCAATCTCCAATTCAGTACCACCAGAGGTATTGATTTGTTATGGGAACATGAAGGACTTTGTGCCCCGACCGATTTAAAGTGCACCAGTCACCATTTACTACACGGGGAGTCTTCGGTCGGGTAGATTTGAACTCCCGTTCTCAGAAGAGTTGTTAAGTAAAGCTGCAATAAGTAAATTAGTGAAACTGCAATGAAAAGACGTCATCTGCAATGAGCAAAGAATTTTATGTTTGATCGCAAGCCTGCGAATTTCGCTACGCATCTGAAATTGGAAATAGCCAATTTGTAATAAAGATAACAAAGTATCATTTTTCCAAAGAACTGCGATGGAGATCTACTGGAAGAATAGGGCAGGATAAGATCTGATAGAAGTGACCAGATTGCAAAATGTGAGTCCTTTTGTGGTTCATACATTTTAACAACCATTTCTAACCACAGATTCGTTATCAAGAAGGTTCAGATAAGGACTACAAAATGTTACGACGAGCACCCATGTATAACGTTATGTACACAACAAAGAAATAAAACCGAAACTTCTCTCTTAGTGCAGCAATTGGTGTCAACGTCTATTGTGCTTAGAAGATTTCGCGAAGGTGGTTTGTTCACTAGACGACCAACTATCATATGCCACTCTCGTCACGCTATAGAAAGGAACGTTTGAGGAGGGAGCAGTAACATATCCACTGGACCGCTGAACAATGGAGAGTCATTCTCTTTACAGATGCGCTCAGGTTTAGCCTCCAAAGCGATAGTAAGCGTTGTTTGATTTGGAGAGAACCTGGAACTCTTTGGGTGGACGTATAAATCTGCATGTCTTTCCACGTAGTAACGAGAATGCTTACGTCGTAAGCATTCTCGTTACTAACGTGTATCGATGACATCCTTGATGTTTATGTGTACTCATTTGATGTTGCAATAGGTGATTATTTCCTGAAACAGGACTATAAAGCAACGTCTCACGGGCTCGCATCGTGGTTGATTACCTTCAGCAGCAAACAATTCAGTGCATGGAGTTGTCAGCTCGATCCCCAGACTTGAATCCTATCGAGCATGTTTGAGATGTTTTAGAAAGATGAACGCTGCACTTGAATCTTCCTCTTCAGACTCTTGCAACTGCTTTGCAAGAACAATGGCTTGCACTTCGAACGGAACTAGTAAATCGCAGTATGTGCCGTATTGCTGCTAGAGTATCACACTCCATACTGAAGGTCCTTTTTCTATTCCAAACTGTCGCATCTGATTTATACATTTCATACATATGATAATTTCTGTGTCACCATAATTCTCCGGTAAATTTTTTTTAATATTATTTTATACATTATTATGTGCACTAGTTTCATTTAACTCTGAGAGTATACGTAACTTTTTGAGTTATGGCCATTTTTCCTTAATTAATGATAACCAGTGAACATAAATTTTTTCCATCATGGGGTGAGACATCTGACCCAGTAAGACCCTGTTTCCTCGATAATAATAAGAAAAATTATAAATCAAATGCGATAAATTGAGCGCGATATAATTCAAGAATTTAAAATTAAAAGCAATAGTTTTTATCATACTTTTTCACAGTTGGAAGGAGATTGATGCCCCGTGTGGTAGAATCGCAGCGACACTGTCGCAGAACGTTTAAGAGTTCATGCAGAAATATTTTTCTTTTGAAAGGTAAAAAATTCTACTTTCCCTTTCTACAGAAATTTACAACGCTATCTTCGTAAAATTTACGTAATATTTGAATCATGCATTTATATAATCACTTTTGAATGCGCGCAATTTATGTCGGTAGTATCGTAATTTAATGTAATGTTTTGCATTTTCGGCAGTTATTGATTTTCACGTGGTTTTTATACACCACGATATATTTCAAACCATATGGAAAATTCAAATCGTGCATTTGAGTATTTACTTTTTAAGGCAATAATTCTATCAGCAGTTATTGCTATTGATTTCTCCATAGTTTTTAAATTTGATGTTTTTTTTTTATTATCTGAAATTGCTTATTATAACAGCCTATTCTCGAAACGAAGCATTTGAGGAGTCCGATTCGAGTGATTTTGGAAATTACTGTTACTGATTTCATGATTTTTAATTATGTTTTTTATTGTGATGATTCTTTACAAAATACGAAGAAGGAAATAATTTGTGCCCAACAAAATGCGAGAATATCCCTCATAATATTAGAATAAAAAATTATTACATGCTCAATTAAGAACAAATTATACTGTTTTTTCTTCGTAAACACAGCGCTTTTGTTATTTTAAATTAGTAACATATAAGTTTGTTATTATTAAAAGTATCTTTCTGAAAGATATTAGTGCTAGAGAGTTTTGTCGCAGATAGCTCGAAAAAATTCTACCACAGGGATTTTAGGAAACACGCCCGCCGAGAACTCGTTTAGATTAAAGAATTTGAAAATAAAGACTAATAAAATATATTTATAACGAATAAGAAAAAATATTTATAAGAGAAAGTACATAACATAAGTTTACATACTTTTGAAATGATTTTTGCGATTGTAAAAAACGGAAAACTTTTTTTAAACTTATTTATTAATTTATAGCCACTTTTTAAGTTTTTGCCACAGAATACATAAAACACATTAGACCTCCGCTGTGAAATTGAAAAAAACAACGTAAGTGCTTCATGATTGATTCCGTGAAAAGTGGCTCGACAACTTTTCCTTCATTTAGCAATTGCTAATGCTATGAACGCTGAATTAGAATTTTAAAAAACTAAAATAAAAAAATGTTTGATTTTTTTTCTTTTTGCAATATGTACCATATAAATACTTACCATATAAAGATGCCAAATATATAAAAATCTCAATTTTGAATTTTTTGACTCTTACGTTGATTTTTCAATTGCACGGTAGCATACCTTCAATAGGTCAATTTTTTGTTTTATTTTCATTGGCTCTTCTGACAATTGTAAATAACCAATGACTGACGCGGACTTGGACTAGTTTACTGAAATAAGGTTTATGGCTCTCAGAGTCTTGATGAAATATTTATAAGCTCTTTTACTACTTTTAAACAAACGTTTGGTAATAAATGGAAAATTTATAAGGTATTAAAAATTGCAGGGAGAGTGATATACTTCTGATTGATGCTTTTCTTTTTTGAGGCTAAATGTTGTTTGACTATTGCAAACAAAAGTAATTTGTCTTTTGCAAGCAATAATCAAATGACTTTTGTTTGCAAAATCTTTCTTAACTTTTGTTTTCGATTTTTCTTTCTTTAGTTGTGTTTTACTTACAAATCTTTTTTATTAAGGGAGATTTACTCATTTAAACGTAATGAGAAAAATCCACGTAAAATGAAAAAAACTTTTAAATATAACTATCTCTGTTATAAAAAAAAATTCATAAGTATATCGTAGCCGTTTTTCATGCATTTTACAACACAAGAAACTAGGAAATAGGTTTTATTAGCCAATAATCGACAGAAACTTTAGTGTTATCTATACTTATAATCATGAGAGGGAAAAAGTCCAAGGAAACTAGATACCCTTGAAATGAACGGTGAACTTCATTTTCACTTATGTGTTACCAAAATCGAACAAGCAAAAAAGAAAACTAAAGTATATCTCAGCAGTTTTGTTGTTAGTAACATCAGACAGTTATAACTCTATCAAGATACAGATTATGGCGGAAAACGAGTAAGCTTAAAATTTCTTTATTTGTCTAATATATTAACATTCCACAAAATACTAACTATTCAGCAAAAAAATATTTTTTATTTATTTTTAGGCTTAAAACATAAAGTCAGTAAATAAAATTGTCATTTTATTAAAATAAACATCAGTTGTATTAACACATATTCGTAACATACGATTGATATATTATCAATCGTGGTTTAAAATTTGTTAGAATAAAATTTTTCTTTTTAAATTACAAACATGGTTTTGGTAAGTTAACCGGCCGGCAGAAAAGGGCAGAGTAACAATGTATGAAAAAAAGTAAATTTACTTCTCAGGAATCAAAACCACTGTAAAAGACAGAATGATATTCTGAAATTAAACTTTAAAATTAGGGACTTTTAACCATGGAAAAGTAAATTTATAACTTTAATCATTCCGTTTCTATATTTGTTTGCTAGGAAAATAGTATTCGACTGTGTACCTACCTATCTCAAAGGCTTCCATGATGATATTCTTGCATCTAAAATGGTTTATTCAAAGTTGGGCCAAACGCAATTATTAGTTTCTCGATTAGGGCTGGGTAAGTTTTTTTTTTTTCTAAACATATTTCAAAGGCTTGCATTCTGTCTTTAGTACTCGGTTATGCACAGAAAATTCCCGGAAATTGCTTTTAACTTCAAAAGAGAAAAACATCAGCATAGGAAATATCGGGTATTGACGAAAATTGTGACTGGAACATTAAAACGATCCCTCTTGCAGTAAGGAGAATGCACTTTTTCTCTTCCTCTAAGCTTCTTTCAAATTTCTGAGTACAAAAGGTAGAAAGCAGGCCGTAGAAAAAAATCTTAATGTTTTAATCAATATCAAAACGTTTTGCAAATATGTATTTTGTATTAAAGTTATATGGTCATTCATATTTTAATGTAGTACTTATAATTATGCTTGTCTTAAATATTCACGTTTAAACGAGAAAAAAAAATAACAAAGACAAAAGCCTGATGAATCATAAATGATGAAGGCGCGTTTAAATACATCAAAAATTTGTTTGATTGTTTCAGTTTAACCTGACAATCAAACTAGTTTTGATGCTCTTAACCCATTCTTATACGTCAGTAGTTTTTGATAACACTTCTGTTTTTGCTCACAAAAATATTAATTAATTGCATAATAATGAAAAATATGAATATGAGATAAGTATGATTTACAGAAAAATTTTAAGCGTGCTTAAACTTTGTTGTTGTTGTTCATTTACGTCACACTAGAGCTGCACAATGGGCTATTGGCGACGATCTGGGAAACATCCCTGAGGATGATCCGAAGACATGCCATCACAATTTTGATCCTCTGCAGAGGGGATGGCACCCCGGCTTCGGTAGCCTGACCTGACGGCCTGCACGCGAAGTCGAGCACTTTACGGTAGAACAGTTTAACGAGGATCAATACCGCACACTCTCGGCCCCTACGCAGACTGATCCAAGTGGTCACCCACCCGCACACTGTTCGCAGCCAGTGATGCTTGACTTCGGTGATCTGCTGGGAACCTTGTCTTAACGATCAGTCCACTGCGGGCCGTGTTTAAACTTCAGTGACACACAGTACCAATCACATCTCAGGCTTCAGTTTAAACAAATCTTTATGTGTCAGCTAAATGCTGTTGGCTTCCCGCACTTCTATTAACCCCTTTTTATTAAAATTTATATTATATTTTTTCTTATCATTTTGATTACTTTAGGTAAAAAAAAAGTCAAAATATTATATAATATTACGTCAAAATAGCAAATTTAGCATTTTAATAATTTATGGTTATGAAATTTCAAACACGGTCTACTTTCAAATTATTATTATTTTTTTAAATTTGTATTTATTTAGATTCATCATTGAAATTTCTTTAATTTGCAAAATCAATTCTTGATAAATTTTTGAACATGAATGAAGAAAATTTCTAAACACTTTTAGGATTTTATATTTTAGTACAAATTTAATCCTTTTTAAAATTAAAAAATACCAAAATATATTTTTTCACCGAGGCTTCCTCTGCGTCTAAAAGGGTTAAAAATATGTTCGAAACAACCTTCATCAGTTGTTGTTTTCAATCCCAGCTGGGATAGCGGAGCTATATCAAATCCATGAGGCCGTGAGTCTTCAAAATATCGAGGAAAAGGAGAGGTCTCTCAAGAACCTCTTCCATGGTGAAATCCAGGCAATCAAGTAGATGGTGAGGACTAGCCTCGCTGGAGTTGCACTTTTTACAAGATGGAAAAAGTTTAATTTGTCCACTGAAAGTGAGGCTCTTAGTATGCCAACTGACAAATCTACAGGTAGCGGTTTGGTCGGCACGTGTACCCTGAAGGTTAAGGGCTCCTCCAGGACGAGTGCGGGGATACCAATTGTGATCCGGTGGAACAAAACAAGCTTTATTAACTTTAGATTTGCGGATATAAAATAATTCAGAGTAAGTGAGGGCCGTGTTTCGAGAGGCTGGGAGGGAAGTACCTTCTTTTGCCAACTGATCAGCACGATCGTTGCCAAAAAGTCCCACGTGTGAGGGCATCCACTGAATATGGATGTCATGGGGAGGCTGAGAGGGCATTTAATAAAAGAAGTATAGAGACCCTTCTTCATCTGTTGACAGGAAAACGAGTTCACATAGAAGAAATAGTTTTCTTGCAAAAAATCACCCCAGAAATTCTGCTCGGTTGCCACATTCAAAAATATTTTTAATAATACAAGTGCATACTTATTACAATTTTCATCGTTGCAGGCGGTGCCCAACTGAAAGATGTATTAAATACCCCTAAAGAGCAAGATGGAATCGATACAGTCATCAAAGCAGTTAAAAGTGGAATAAATTACTTTGACACAGCTCCATATTACGGACAAGGAAAAGCTGAAACAATGCTTGGGAAAGTAAGAATCAAAAGTTCATTTAAAGTAATAAATTTTTTAGCTGTATTGCAAGAAAAATCAATGCAAAACCCATACAAAAATAAGCAAATGATCCTTTCAACCGAACCAAAACCTTGTTATAAATACGAAATAAGTGCCTATTGATTATTAAAAAATAAATAGATGAAAAAGAATTTTTGTTCACAACAATTTGATATAGATTGTTCGTTCGTAAGGCGGTGCAAATTGTATAGAACTATACAATTTGCACCAAATATAGCAATAAAAAAAAATCGAGGTGGTATTTTCAAGCGAAAATCAAGTTTAAAATTTTTTACTTTACGATGAAATCAAGTATGACATTTTTAAGTTGTAATATCTCTCAGTTATTTCACCCCCACCCCTTCATGTAAAAAAAAAAAATACAGGTATTTTGTTTTAGTTAATTTTTAACAAAACGTTTCTTTCAATATTTATCAGATTATTCTAATGCTTTATATATCTGGATATTTTTTTCACAATTACGTTTCTTAAAAGCACCCAATTGAAATCGTTAAAGAATGTAAAAACTTAACCCAATAATTAAGTATGAGATCACAAGAAAATGAAGCCACATACCTGAGTGAAGGTTGAAACTGGACTAAATATTTTATTATAGAAAAGAGGTTATATTAAAGACAACACTGCTGCCATCTATGTCAGCATTTGTGATGCCATCTATTTACAACAATATAAACTAATTCTTTCAACACTCCCACTTTAGTTTACATTTTTGGGAATACTAAAAGAAAATCACAAATGTGCAAAAAAAAAAAATCACTAAATCATTTTAGTCTCATTGATCTTCCACAATATTCATACTTAGTTCTATTAACAGTTTTTGTTAAATAGTCCACATTTATATTTATCATATTCACTCCCACTGTCCGAAGCAATCCTTCTCCTTTTTTTTTGGCGTTTTTCTTCTTCACTTTGACTATTGTCAGGTGTAATTCTCCTCTTGTTAATTCACTGTCTGAAACAATTTTTCTGTTCTTGCTTGGCCTGTCTTCATCACTCTGTCTGCCATCACTTGCTCCTTTTCTTCTTTTAGATTTTGCATTACCACTGTCAGAATCTTCACTTCCACTATCAGAAGCAACTTTCCTCTTTTTAGGCCCACTGTCTTCATCACTTTGAGTAATATCGCTAGTACTTGCTTTCCTCTTTCTTTTAGACTTTTCTTTTCCACTGTCAGACTCCTCACTTGATAAAATAGCTGCTTTAGAAACGATTATACTCCTTTGCTTGGATTCCCTATCTTTCTTACGTTTTTGTCTTTTACCACCTTCTTCTCCTTCATCATCAAGTTTCACGATCATCTCGTGGCACACGTTTTCTCTGTCAGAGCCTGAAGCCTTTGCTTCTTCATCTGATTGTTCTTTATTAGAATTTTCATCATCTGATTGTGCCTTATTGGAACCACCTTCATTGTCAGATTGGGTTTGATTTAGGTTAATGGACCCTTCTGATCTATTACATTCTATTTTAATCCCTAAACAAGAATTTAAATCTTTCATTTCAAATCTTTTACTTAGTTGCCTTTTTGCTAAATTTTTAAGCCTTACTGAGTTGCTAAAAATTAATAAATAATCTGCATAAATATCTACAATTACAAGTTCTTTATCATTTAGTTTAATATACACACAACTATCAAAATAACTTTGCCTAAATCCCATTTCAACTAAGCCTTCTTCTAATGTCAGATACCAAAGCCTGCCACTTTGCTTTAAGCCATCTAGAGCTTTATTAAGAAGTTTCCCATTTAAATTTTGTTCGTAATACTCACTAAACCCATCTGGAATTTTCATATATATTTCTTCATTTAGTGTCCCTTGAACAAAAGCCATAACAGCATCCATTTGATCGATTTCCCAATCATAAATAGCTGCATAAGCCAACAAAACTCTTAATGTTACATAATGAACTACTGAGGAAAACGTTTCTGTATAATCTATTCCTTCGATCTGGGAGAAACCTTTAGCTACTAAACGGGTTTTGTACCTTTCAATATCTCCATTAACATTATGTTTTATTTTGAATACCCATTTGCAATCAACAATGTTTTTATTTTTAGGCTTATTTACTATGTCCCAAGTTTTGTTTTTAATGTGACCCGCTATTGTTTCACATAAAGATTCTCTCCAATGCCTAGCATTACTACCATTGAGTGCCTCATCAATAGTATTAGGTTCAGAAAGAAGTTCATTTATTGCCACTAAAGCATCGGCAAAGCAAATAGGATCTAAATTTGGCATTTGCAAATCTGGCATACCATTGGTATCAAAATTTTGATAACGAACAGGAAGTTTAACTGTTCTTCCTATAGGTGTCAATTTCGGCATGTCATTATCTACAGTTACATTATTACTCTCATCATTATTTACAAAATCGCCTCTATTCAAACCATTAATGTCATCCTGACCTGCATTAATATCATTTTGGAAATTTAATTCATTATCACCCCTGCTAACATTATCATCATTTTGGAGTTTATCTGATGTGTTGTCAAAATCAACAATGCTCCCACTGAATAAAGAGTCATCACTGAACTCTGGTGAACTTTTGTCACTGTTATTGTCATGATACATATCATGTTCCAAAAAATGCACATCTCTGGCTACAACAATACTATAATTAGTTGGATCAATTAGACGATAGCCCTTCCTATCCTTACAATACCCAACAAACATTAACTCTCTAGCTTTCATATCCCATTTTAAACGCTTCTGTTTGGGAATATGAACAAAAGCCCGACACCCAAACACCCTTAAGTATTTCAAGTTTGGCTTTTCACCACTCCATTTCTCAAAAGGTGTCATGTCTGGAACCGCAATGGTTGGAGATATATTTTTACAATGAGCTGCTGTTTCAACTGCTTCAGCCCAATATTCCTGGCCAAGGTGGGCATCCACCAACATAGACCGAGCTCGCTCAACGAGTGTTCTGTTGTTGCGTTCTGCAACCCCCATTTGCTCCGGTGTATAAGGGATAGACTTTTGATGCTGAATCCCTTTGGAAGCTAGAAAACTATCCATCTCATTATTAACATACTCCGTCCCATTATCAGAGCGTAAAACCTTAATAGGTTTGCCAGTTTGTCGTTCTACATATGCCTGAAAGTCTTTGAATTTTCCAAGAACTTCAAATTTATTCTTTATAAAGTAAACAAAAGTCATTCGTGACAAATCATCTATGAAACTTATAAAGTACCGAGAACCGCCTATTGATAAAACACTCATTGGTCCACAGAGGTCACTATGCACTAAGCCTAACAATTCTTTTGCTCGTTTAGCCTTACCCTTGGGAAATGGTTGTTTATGCATTTTACCTTTAATGCATGGTATACAATCATTAATTTTCCCATTAAAAGAGAAACCCTCAACCATATCTTGCAATCTAACCATCCCTCCTTCACTTAAATGACCTATTTTCTTATGCAATATTTCATTTGATGAGTTTTGAGCAGTAATTAAAGCCATATCATTATGAATATCTAAAGAATATAATCTATCGCTTACACCTGTTCCACTAGCTACTAAATTATCACCCTTATGAACAAAACATCTTTCCCCTGTAAAGGTAGTAACCATCCCAAAAGTTTTGTTTAAATACTTAATAGATAGCAAGTTAGCAGTTAGTTTTGGAACATGCAATACATTATTAAAAGTTACTTTTGCTTTCTCCCCATTTCTAGATAAAAGAAAACTAACACTCCCTTCCCCCTCAACTTCTATAACAGAGCTGCCTGTTTTAATTTGACTAATACTTGCAGTTTGATAATCTGTTATCAATTCTTTATATGGGGTCATATGGAACGAAGCACAAGAGTCCATGTACCAAACATTAGGATTTGGATTAGAATTTGCAACATAGATACCTGCTACATAAGCTTCTTCCTTCATAGGAGTCTTACTAGAAGTAGGCTTTACATTACCCTTTTTGTTAAATTTATCATACGCATTTTTCTGGCGTAGGGGTCTTTGACAATCTATACTTTTATGCCCAAACAAATTACATTTGAAGCACTTCCCCTTAAACTTATTCCTGCCTTTAAACTTCTCATTAAGGAAAGCTTGATCTAAATTCCCATCAGAATTTGGTTTATCATCCTCAGCCATTAATCTAGTTTTAACGTTATCAACAGTTATCTCTTCCCCACAATTTTTCAAAGCCATAATAAGGGGTTCAAATCTATCAGGTAAGTTAGCTAAAATTATTCCAGCTATTAATTCCTCATCTGCTTTAACTCCTGTTGATTTTAATTGCTGATATGCTGAAATTACTTTATGAAGGTAGTCACACATGTCCTTACAATCTGAATACTTAGTGTTAACCAATTCTTTAATTACAGACACTTTTCTAGTTATTCCTTTATCATCATAAGTTTTTGATAATACTTCCCAGGCTTCTTTGCCACTAGATAAGTCCCTCAAATCATTAAAAATTGTTTCACTAACCCCTTCAACTATGTATGACAAAGCTTTGGCATCTAAAGCTGCATCTTCCTTTTTCCCTTCAACATAATCCCATGATTCTCTTTTAATTAAGTGCATTTTCATGGCAAACTTCCAATCAGCATAATTTACCCTCCCAGTTAATTTTTTATGGCTAAAAGAACCTTCTCCCCCTGGCATGATTATTTTTCCCTGTAAACTTTAAATTAAACTATCAAAAAATATAACTATAAAATAAGAAATTTTCTATTAAAACATAGTTAAATTAAATTAGTTACAAAGTTTAAAAAGAAAAAAACAGCAACATTTATTTAAGTGTTATGCATTTAAGCCTAACCATGTGTTAACACATGCTACCATAATTTATCTATCTTTAATTCTAAAAATTATCAAAGAATTTAAAAATAAATATATTAAACTTAATAAATGTTAGCTATAAATTTCTTGGATCATCCTGGGCCCATAACCTAAAAACTTAACCCAATAATTAAGCATGAGATCACAAGAAAATGAAGCCACATACCTGAGTGAAGGTTGAAACTGGACTAAATATTTTATTATAGAAAAGAGGTTATACTAAAGACAACACTGCTGCCATCTATGTCAGCATTTGTGATGCCATCTATTTACAACAATATAAACTAATTCTTTCAACAGAATGGTCAAAAACATTTCACATGACGTTTTGAGCCGAAAGATTTAGAATAAATATTTTTATACAAGAACGCACTCACAACGTACTAAAACTCGAATCACTATTAAAAAAAAAGAAATCTTTCATAATGTGATAATGTATGGTTATTCAATATTGCAGTAACTAACTTTGGGAAGTGGGAATGCAAATCATGAGGATTGAGAATTTCTAACCCTCGCAAATTTTATTCCAAAAGAATCGAAAACTTAATTTACGGTAACACAATAAAACGTTTTAAGGATTAATAATTGAATAATTTTTTTTTTTTTTGGTTTTGCAGTAGCAATCAGTTTATCATCAAGAAATAAAAATAATTGCATAGCGATTGTGGAGTTGGTGAGTGAAACGAGGAGGGGACAAAACCACCCAGTTCATTATAATTTATTTATTTCCGAATTGATGACTGTTTTATATCTTTTCAGGCATTGAAACTTATTCCTAGAAATACTTATTATCTTGCAACCAAAGTTGGAAGATACGGCGTGAATGAAGAGACTGCTGAGAGATTTGATTTTTCTGCAATGCGTACATTGCAAAGTGTAAAAGAGAGCTTTGCAAGATTGGGAGTTAATCATATAGATCTCCTGCAAGTAAGTAGGATACATCTTTATAAAAGTAGCCCTGAATTCATTTACTGTTTTGCTAATTCAATAATTTATTGGTTTCCCGATGTAAAGCATTATTTGATCTGCCACAGAACTGTAAATTTTACATCTACTTAAGTTTTTTCATTTTCAAAGGAATAAAAAAAAAAAAATTCGCAGTAAAAGAAAATTAGCTTCGATACATTTTTAAAGTAAAGTGGAACTTGATCGTAACTAAAGTTATTGTTCTAATTCAGTGTCTGAAACATTTCTCTAGTGTTAATGCATGGTTTTTTCTAAGTCACAATGGAACTCAATTTTCAATTAATATTTTTGAATTAAAAAAACCATTTAATTTTTCAATGTACAGTGGCGCTCACGTACTTAAGGACTGTGTTTTCAAAATAAATGCGTCATTATATTGGATGAATATTATGTTTTGATCAAGATATCTACTATAATGACGAATTCTACCTTAGTTGAACCTCAATCCTCAAATAATTCATTCGTGTTCACAAGTGTTTCATAAAAGTTTATTTAAAAAATATATTTTGTTAAGTTTCTTATACTTAAGGACAGTTTGTCTAATCATGAGTTATTGAATGATTACAATCAATTTATCGATCAATGTAAGTGTAATTTACCACATTATCTTTGTTTGATGCTTTAAAATATTGTATTAATTTTTTTTTATTTTTTTAATACAAATTTCTACATTATTATGAGTAAAGGTAAAAATGTTAGCAATGAACAGAGATGTCGAATAGATATTCTGAGAAAAGAGGGTTTAAGCATTAAAGAAATTTGTAGGCGGCTAAAATTATCAAAAACAGCAGTTTTCCAAGTATTGAAATCTATTCAAGAGACCAAAAGTATTGAAAAAACATCCCGAAAACCGCGTCCTCGCAAAACTACCGAACGAGAAGATCGCATTATTCATTGAATTTCTGAAGCTGATTGTCACAAAACCGCCCCGGACATCAAAAAAGAATTCGCTGAATTAACAGACAAGCACGTAAAAAATAATACCATCAAACGGCGTTTAAATGAGTTTTGGCTTATGGGTCGCGTATGTAGGAAAAAACCGTTGATGTCAAAGAAGAATATAGCAGCTCGATTAGCTTTTGCAAAAAGACACCGAAACTGGACATCGGCTGACTGGAATCGAGTTATATTTACAGACGAATCGAAGTTCAACAGAATGGACTCAAATGGCAAAAGTTATGTGAGGCGTCGAGTCGGTGAAGAATTTAATGTACGGTGTACAAAATCAACTGTAAAAGGTGGAGGCGACTCGGTGATTGTGTGGGGTGCCATGACATGTTCAGGATGTGGTCCAATTCACAAAATAGAAGGCATCATGTGTATGTGGACATTATCAAGACTGTTTTTCTGCCTTATTACAGGAAACTTCGCTCAAGAAAACCAATCATGCAAGCCGATAATGATCCAAAGCACATGAGCAAAACTGTGAAGGTCTTCTTGTCAAGCAAGAAAATTGAGGTTTTGCAGTGCCCTTCCTAATCACCAGATCTCAACCCGATCGAGATGCTGTGGATAGATGTGGATAAATATGTGAAACAGCAAAAACCAAAAAATTTAGGTGATTTATGGAAATGTGTCCAAGAAGGCTGGGCAGCTATACCTCCTGAGCGATGTCAAAGATTAGTAGATTCGATGCCTCGTAGATGTGAAGCAGTAATTGCCGCAAAAGGCTTACCGACTAAATACTAGCTCCAAATCTTTATTTTTTGTTACATTTTTTACATTGTTATTAATTTTATTAACGATTAAGAAATATTTATTTTGTTGTCCTTAAGTATGCGGAATGCATATTTTTTCTAAAATGTTACATAATTTAAGTATAACAGTTAGATAAATGATTTTCATTGTGAAAATATATTAAAAATAAGTTATTTGTTCCAATACATAATTATCAATTCAATAAACTTATGCGTGAACATTAAATTTTGGATTTTACTTTTCATAAAGACATGTCCTTAAGTACGTGAGCGCCACTGTATATATATATATTAATTGGTTGATAAATTGCTTCTTACAAGGGAATTACACACCAGTAACATTCCTATTTTAACTAAATTAAGCTTGAATTAAAAAGCATGCTTAAAAGCTTTGAATAGGATAAAAATTAGTCGCCATTTCTGCCTGTGGAGTAAAATATGCTTCATTAAAGTTTTAGTTGGTATACTTTAACAAAACTTTCCACCTGTTGTGGATTCCGGGCGGAACGATTAGTTTGCCTTCTACCACGTAGGGGAAGATCAAGTATCATATCCTAGTAGGGATGTTTGAATTTTATCGCAAATTTCTGTTCTAAAAAGGTTGATAACTATTTAGTATGTCGTATTCAATTTATTATTTCTAATACAAATAAACTCTAAAAAAAATTAATTTTTTAAAAATTGACTCTAAAAATTGAAATCTAAAAGCAAAAAACATTTTTTTTAAATTTTTTAATTAAAATATGAAGATTATTAAAAAATAAATTGAAATTTTATATTTTTTAATGAATCAATTATATTTTTATAAATAATTTAAGCTTTTATTAAATTCAATTATGAAAATGTCGACAAAAGTAAATAATTTAAAAAAGAATACAATTGGTAATACATTATAATTACAAGTAAAAGAAGAAAAACAGAAAGAAGAGTGAAGTATAAGGGGTTCTAGTTAAGTAATAAATGGCGATTAATTTTTACCCTATCCAACGTTTTCGACCAGGCTCCTTAATTTAAACTTAATTTCGTTATAATAGGGATTTTACAGGCGAGTGCTTCCTTTATTAGAATGATATTTATATTTTAATAAAATTTGTTTAAACTTGTTAAGTATGTATGCAGATACACGATGTCGAATTTTGCCCAGATGTGAATATCATCATCAACGAAACTCTTCCTGCTCTTCAAAGTTTGAAAGATGCTGGGAAAATAAGCTACATCGGCATTACTGGATATCCACTATCAAAGCTAAGGTACGATATTACTTGAAAATGTTTATTTAATATTGTGCAAAGCAAGTAATTAAAAAATGATCATAATTAATGAAGAACACACTGTTCGAAATTTTGGAACGTGTTGTTGAACCATAATATCTGTCAAATTAATATGGTGTTAAGAAAAATAGCTATGCTACTTTAATTCTTAAAATTAATGCATACTATTTATTCATTGCTCAATTTAACACTTCTTTAAGGTTGTAGGTTCTTTATATTTATTCATTTTCTATTTCACGAAAGGTGTTTGGTGCTCCGAGCTGCAGTACAAAGTTTTACAGCTAGTTTTCACAAGTAATTTCCTCTGCCATAATATAAATTAGGTCAATATTAGATAAAGTAATTGTATCAAGGTTTAAGCAACAATTTATTGACATTTGTTGTGCATAAAACTCAATAACCATAATACAGATTTGGAAGGTAAAAAATATTTGTGTATTAAGATTAACCCTTTGAGTGTTAGTTCCGGTATTTTCGCTTAAGTTGCGAGGTTTCTTGCATTAAAATAGAAAAAAAAATTATATTTCTTATGTCATTCAGTTTGAAAATTGTGAGTGTCTCAGTACAGTTTTACAGAGGGGCTCAACACTTAGTCAATAAGAAAATTACATTAAGAAGTAATGTGGAAAGAAATGTTTTTTTTTAATTTGAAAATGTCCATTAAGTTCGTAAAATATTGACAAAATGCAAAAGTCAAAAAACCCATTAAAATCATATAAGACTTCAAGATAAAAAGTTATCGTGATTGTTTTAGTTAGAATATTTGATGAATAAAAATTTGATATTTAATTAAACAGATTTAATACTTTTTTCCCAAACAGTTGCAGGGGTCCGTTCCTTTCTCGCTCCGCTCACCAACCTCCGTGGAGGCATCTCATTCTTCTTTGTCAACTCTCCTTAAAAGCTAATATTTATTAGAATTTTTAAATTTATAAATGCTTGTTATGATAAGTTTATGTAAGAACACTTTGTGAATTAAAACATTTTATTTTTGAAAAACTTTGTACCTAAAAAAAATAAAGATACTTAGGCAAAATAAGAAGCATTAAATGACTTGTAAGCAATTTATAACAATAATTTTATATTATGTAATAATTCAAATTGAAAGCAGTTTTTATCTCTTGAGACTTATGTATTTTTTAAAAAATTTCGATATAAATGTTATGATTTACACCTGGTAACAGTTAATCTTTTACCCTTATTTACTCATTTTTTCGCTACTTTTGATGTCAAGTGCGAGCTTATACAATAAAGATTTTGTGAGAGATAAACTTTTTCGACAACAACGGATTAATAATCATTATTTAAAGCAAAATGCGATATATTTTACTTATTTACCTCCGTAATTTCAAGCTTTAAATCTAATTTAAGAAGAAAAAAACAAACAAAACAAAATGTTTGAACAACAAAACAAAATGTAATTTAAAGAAGAAAAAAAAGTGAGAAAAAATTCGCAAAAAAAGGAGAAGATATTTAAAATTGCTGTAATTTCCAAACAAATTAGAATTTTAATAATTAAAAAAAAAAATCTCGCGTTAAGTTTTATATACCAAGGCCCTTTCAGCAAGTCAAATTTCGATTGTGTAGTTCTATTTCTGCGAACCATACGGTATTTGTTCCAACAAGAACTGAACATGTAATTATTTAAAAATGCTCCATTTTGCAGAATTCCAGTAAAATTTAATTTGTTTCTCTAAAGAAAAATAGTGAATAGAGTTTTAAATGAATTAATTATGATTCAATTTTCATGAATATCCTTGAAACCATAACACTCAAATTAGTAGTTCAGTTTTTCAGAAGTAACAAAGAGTATTGAGAATCACTTGCCATTCTACGCGCATTGGCATAAACGATATTACAATCATAACACAGTATATTTTATTACTTTCTTGTATGAAATAATGGAAGCGTTATTTTTTATTGTTGACAAAGTTTTCATAACATACAAATGTGTTACCAGTTTTTTTATAATCTCTTATGCTTGTAACTTTACCTTTATCTAGTCTCCCGAGGAGTGAAACGTAGTTAGGGGCTGTTGAAATTTATCACTCCTAATTATATAAGTCTCATTATTATTTTAATTTTTAGGGGAGCATACTTGATAATAAAAAAGATAAAATTATTTTAATTTCAAATCAAGAAATCATTATTTTAATTTCAATTAAAAAACTTAGTTTAAATACCAAGGTCCTAGGTTTTGCTCCTGAAAACCGTGGGCTTCGAATTTCTATTTATAGAAAACAAAATCATATAGTTAGAAAATAAGATATATTTAAACACTTTCCCATGATTAACATTGCATAATCTCTAAAATTCAACAATCATCCGAAATCTGAGCATAAAATCAAATATAATAATAATGATAATGGAAAAGAATGTGTAAATGGGTCATTCTTAGGACCTCCACGAAATATTTTTTCAAGGGCCTCATTAAGTCTAGCGATGGCGCAGGTCATCTGATTTAAAAATTCAATTGAATGACTCTTCTTTATCAAATTTCTGTCATGCTAAAATTTAAAAAAAAAACAAAACAAACAAAAACATTATAATAATTTCCTTAGAGCCGTAGTGGCTCAGGGGATAGAGCATTTTCCTTCCGATGAGGTGAACCGAGTTCGAATCCCGGCAATTGCTGGTTCATACAAATTCCACACCTGGCTCGCACCTACTACAGTGCTGAGGTAAAATATCCTCAATGGTAGAAAGATCATAAGACAGAGTCACCTTGGCGTCGGACTTACTGCGGGACGTATTCTTCTCCATGCCGATAAATGCGGTTTAGTTCTATCAAAAAAGTCCTCCAGGGAGGGAAATTTCTCCCAATACTTGATCCAGGAGTTTCATTGTCTTCAGGATTGATTTAAAAATTACAAGGCTGCTAAGTTGAACGTTAAAAGTAGTAAACAAAAATTTTATGAGCTCTTCAATGATGGTTATAAAATAAAACAATTTCCTTAAGAAAACACATATGATTTCAATAATATACTACCATTGTATAAAATACTCCTGCTAAAAATTAAAAAAAAGACAGATTTTAACGTTTGGCAGATAGAAAGGCAATGCTACATTTACTTTAATCTATCAACTAAGGCTTTTCTTCACTGTTAACTTATTTTTGCCATCTGTATTAATAATTCATCGAAAGCACACACAGCTCCTACTACAACAAAATTTTTGTTGTTACAGAAAACATTTTTCCTACAGCTAATAAAGGTGCGCACACATATATATATTTAGTCAGACAGACAAGTCTTAAGTTCTGATAAAATTTTTATAAAAATTTAGTTTATTTTAAAATTTTCAGCTTTAATTCCCTACAAATGGAAAATAATATTTTGCTCATAACTCAAATGTTGAAGGAGTTATATTTTTCTCAGCATTATTTTTTATCCACAGATGGACAAGCATATTCTTTTTTCATTAATTTAGGAATAGAAATTGCTTATGAAGTTTGGTACTAAATACAATTTATTTATGATAAGCAAATTTTCTAAAAATTTACAGGGTATGCAAACTATTATTATATTATGCATTGTAAGTTTCCGCACTGTTTTATACAAATGATAATTTTTATTTTAGAGAAATTGTTGAGAAAAGTAAAGTGAAGATAGACACTGTTCTGTCTTATTGCCGATGTACATTGTTGGATAATGAATTGAGAAAATACATTCCTTTTTTCCAAGTGAGATCTTATAAATATTTTTAATGGATAAATAAGAAAATAATAGCCGATTAAAAATTAGATTTTCTTCCTTACCTTTGTATGTCAGTAATTTAATCTAGTTTAAGCGCTAAACTCAACCAGAGGTTGCAAGGCAGAAAAAAATCCAACTAAATAATTAATCAAAAGAAATAATAAAAAATTCAGAGCATTCATGGTAGAAATTTAATGATTAAACTATAAATACCATCTCTTTTAAATTTGGTTAGGCATTTGGTTGGCATGTTTTTTTTGTTGCCAATTAGTAAAAAGGAATTAAATAAAAAACTCTTATTTTCCAATAACAAATATTAACTAGAAACTATAATGAAATAATTAACTCTTTTAGAATGGTCATGAAAGACATGCTTTAAGAAGATACATTAAAAAAAGGTTATTGAAAAGCTAAAATCATTTAAATCTGTAATGTTTTACAATGTATTAATGTACAATGTATACAATTTTACACATGTATCACATTTCTCTTTAAAAATATTTTACTCATAAACTTACAAAATATATGTTTCTAGGAAAGAAGGCTAGGTATAATCAATGCTGCAGTGCTAGGTATGGGTTTATTAACCAATAATTCAAATCTTCCTGAATGGCACCCTGCATTCCCGAATATAAAGCAGATTTGCAAACAAGCAGCAGACTATTGTAAAGTAAGTTTTTTTTAAAAATTCTCTTTTTATGGGAAAAAAAATCAAAATTTCATATTCATCAATAATTGAAGAGTTTGAGTAAAAATTCAAACAAGAATTATCTATATTTTGATCTAACAAGAAAACAATAAACTATTTCTGTTGTTTAACCCTTTCTTTATCGGATTATTTCTTTCAAATTTCCCCCAAAAGCATTTTTTCTTATTGCTGAAAATTAATACATGTTCTATTCTAAATTCTAAATTTTTTTGTCAGCTTGCAGTTTTTTGGAGGCGAAATATGTGATGTCCCATCCATTGATCTCCAGTTTTCCCTGCAATATACCCAAGTTTTATCTTAAAAAAATACACTGTGATAACATATTTATTAACTCTATTGCTTTAAATTGTTCAAAATAAATATCTGTGCAATACTTTTATAAAATAATTATTAAAATTAGGCAAAAAGTATTTTGGAAAATAATTTTCACTTGATAAATCAGAACTATCATTTTCCGACAGAGAGATAATGAAATCACTGCACCTCGAACTTTCTCTCTGAATTTATCATAATTATTTTGACATGCAACGGTAACACTAATGAAAGCAAAACTACAGTAAGTACAAAATTATTTTAATTTCAATTCAAAAAATTTTGAAGAAAGTGGGACTAGTTTTTGCCATCTCTTAGCAATGTTCAGAAATACAAAGATAATTGTAGGATTTAAAGACACACGCAAGTAGCCACTAATTAAATTTCAGACGCAATTTCTCTCTTCATTGCATGGCATACGTCGTCGACCGTACGGGCACAAAAACGTCAAAAGAATGAGATGCAAACACCGAGACAGAAGGATAATTTATTGTTGCTGGCTAGAAATGACAAGGCATTAAAAGAAAAAAAATTTAATCTATTAATATAAGAGTTGTTGAACACAAAGCTTTTCTTTGGTGAAAACTGAAACAGATAGGTATTTCTTTGCATAAATCCAAATGTTCATCCTGAAGAAATTGATGAAATTTATGTAACCATCAGCACAGGCTTAAGCAAAGCCTTACTCTAATTAGTAAATTGAGTTTTATTTGTGAGAAAAGATAATACGACGTTTGGGAGTGGTTTATGTGGAATGAGATAACTCCATAAATTCAACAAATTACATATCATCTATTTCGTAAATTTTAACTGCAGATGTCTCAAACATGCTGATTACATAAATTTCATATTTTTACTCCCTGAAGCACACAGGGAGGATTCAACTATCCACGCGTTGGATTTTTATAAATTGATGAATGGTGGCATGATGAATTCTTATTATATTTGAACTTTGAATGCTGACGTAACAAATAAAGAATAAGAAATTTGCAAAAAAAAACTATATGAATTATTGCCAACTTGAAACACACAGGGCGAAAAAAAATCAAGCACGCTTCTCAAAAAAAGGAAGTTGCACTCTCGAGATCTACGGGGAATACTGGTCTATCTCCAAAAGATAGCGTCCCCTCCCTAGCGGTTGCGAGAATCTCTAAAGATGAGCTAGGAGTCGAGCCCTAGAGATCCTGCAAAGGCAAGGAAGAGGGCGTTCCTGTTGGAGACAGCCCAGTAGGTATCAGGAAAAGTAAACATTGTGGTGATCCCATGATCATATCACAGAGATATTCAAAAGGGACTAACAAATATTTAAAAGAATCTAAACCGTATTGGTTCTATCATAAAAAAGTGTCGAAGGCATACGACACACAGACCCAATTAATGTTTCATAGATTAAACTAGATTGAGCACAGTTTGATAACATAAGACCTAGAAGTGACTAAACTGCATAAAACACAAACAGAATTAAATACAATAATAACATCACAAGGTTGTTAAATAAAAGAGAAAAAATACAAGCTCACTAAAGTACTTCAGAATCATGGAACCTGAAGTTAATAGCTGCTTGGTAAATTACGAAATTAAGTAAAACTTAGAAAAATTATAAGGATATAAGATTTACTCATTGATTTAAAATTTTACTTTTATATGTTCTCATTACAGGAGCGGGATGTTAATCTGGCAAGACTAGCAGCCAATTATTCTTTTTCTCAACCTGATATTCATGTTCATTTAATAGGGATGGAAAGGTAAAATACGTACATAATAAAAATTTAAGTAACTTAAATATAATTTTTATTAATAATTTTTCTTAAATATAATTTTTATTAACTTAAATATATTTTAAAAATTAAATTATTCACACATTTAAAAAGAAATTACTTTAGGGGTATTGTATCAGTAATCAATGTTCATATTGTACGAATGATATACTAGTTTAAAATCATCAGATCCACCTGCCATGTCAAATTATGTTTGCAAGTAACATACATACCATTTGTAAATATTTTCCTGATTTCTTTATAGTGAAAAAAACAAAACAAAACAATGAGCTGATTTAATCAATATTTAAATATAATCAATATATAAAAATTATTCACACATTTAAAAAGAAATTACTTTAGGGGTATCGTAGCAGTAATCAATATTCATATTGTAGGAATGATATACTAGTTTGAAATCATCAGATCCATCTGCCATAGGCTATGTCAAATTATGTTTGCCAGTAACATACATACCATTTGTAAATATTTTCCTGATTTCTTTATAGTGAAAAAAACAAACAAAACAAAACATTGAGCTGATTTAATCAATACTTAAATATAATCAATATATGAAAATTATTCAGACATTTAAAAATAAATTACTTTAGGGGTATTGTAGCAGTAATCAATGTTCATATTGTACAAATGATATACTAGTTTGAAATCATCAGATCCACCCGCCATAGGCTATGTCAAATTATGTTTGCAAGTAACATACATACCATTTGTAAATATTTTCCTGATTTCTCATATAGTGAAAAAAAACAAAACAAAACAATGAGCTGATTTAATCAATATTTAAATATAATCAATATATAAATAATTGAAAGTTCATTAAATTCAACATAAATTTTAAAAATGTTGGTTATGATTTTGTTATTTATCCTCATTCAGTTTCTTGTAATTAAAATTCAGTTTCTTGTAATGAACTTGTAATTAAATAATGATGAAAAAGTATCAGTTACATACTACGTACTAATTCAGATTTGGGAAATTTGGAACTGTTTAAATCTAAATGAACAAGTAAGAAATCATAATTTTTAACTAAGACTTATTTATTTATCTTGATAAAATAAACTGAAGGAATGTGATATTTTCAAGTTAGAAGTTTAATATCTATTCTAAACTAACAAATTATAAATAATGTATTTAAAATGATACTAATCATTTACAATATAATTACTATAAACCTTGTTTTTATAATTATTTTGATTTATTTACTTATTGGCTTGAACAAAGTGCAAGCAATCGAATTACATTGAAAAATACCCATTGTTGAGGAGTTTAAATTAGATAGTCACCAATAAACTCAAAACTAATGCTTTAAAATTTAAATATATGTACAGTAGAAAATATTTTATAAAAGGAAATGCTAAAATATAGAAAAATTCTCTGTTCATATGTAGATTCGTTTGTAGATAAGAAATATTATAAAAAAAAGTTCTCAAATTTTACATAACTAACACATTTTTACTGTAATTTAAAGTTGAAATTGTGTCCTGATATGCCTTATTTTATTTCAAGAAATATAAATAATTTCCCTAAAGGGTAGATTTTTTAAAAATTATTTTCTAATTAATAATTTTAATCTCTTGGTTTTGAATGGGTTAATGGATATAAATTCACTTCTAGGGTAAAATTTTTTTTTACAACATTACAGCATAGGATCAACCACATTTGAAATGAATATTCAATTTTTATGCAGTGTTTTGCCTTTCTTAAATATTATTGCTGCGTAAAAAGTAGTATTAAAAAGAAAAAAAAAAAAAAAAAAACATTCCCCACCCACCTAAATCTAAGGATTCCCAAATTGCAGTCTTCTAGTAAATTGTGATGTACCAACTATAGATATTGAAATTAAAGACAAATAAATTCATGAATTTATAAAATAACAAACAAAAAAGTTTCTTTTTATTTCTTATTTGTGTTCAGTCTGAGGCCCCCACGATTTGGGGAACCACTGCTTAGATCTATTAATTTTTTAAAGCTGAATTACTTTCCAAATGAAAAATATCATTTTAAAATAATCTAATTGTTTGTGTAAACAGTTTTCATTAAAATAAATAGTAACTTTTGTATGAAGTTAAAATAATTTATTTAGAACTTGAGTGTGATTTCAACACCAGCACTAATTTTATGTACAGACAGTTAATAATAAAAAAATATAAACATTTAATCATGACTGATTTAATTTGTAATGATTCATCGAATTTTTTTCTTCTTAATATTTTTATTGCATTTAACTGCAATATAAAAGATTTCTAAGAAGTTTTTTCAAAAACATTAATAAATTAATTTTTTTAATAAATACCTTTTTTAATACATTGGTACAATACAACTGTACAGAGTTTATTTTCACTTCATTTTGTGAATAAAATGATTTGTTCTTGAAAGTTTTGCCTCTCCTGATTATTGATATTATGGGAGACATTCAATTTACCGACATCCTCATGACTTGCATGCAAATGTATCTGAGGAGGATGCTTGTGGCTTTATTCAAAAACTCTGCAAAAAAATTTATTATATTTATACTATAGTCAAATACAAAAAGTTCAAAACACAGTAAAAATGCGAACAAATGATTAAAATAAAATAAAACTATGTATATTAAATAATTTAAACAAAACATATATCAGAATAATTAGTGAATATTAAAATTCAAAAATAAGAAAAACTAGAAATGAAATAAAATCAAAAGAAATTTTCAATAAAAAAGTGTGTCTTGTGAATTTTTTAAAAACATGTATTTGTCTGTTTACCTTTTTTTTTTGGTTGCACGTTTTTACTTAAAGGAAAATAAAAATGACATTAAAATGCACAAACTTACGGTTTTTATGTCCTTAAAGTTACTTTATTTTTTTAAATAAGATTTTACAGATAGTTAAATATTCAATTCATAAATAATTTTGAATCTTTTTACACCTAATTTAATGTTTGTACACTTGGAAAATGTATGATTTGATAACTTATTCTATTGGTACTCCCATTCATCGGCTGTATTAGATTGGTTAAAAAAAAAAAGGAATTTCATACCTGGTACATCGACAATGACATTTGTATTTTGTACTAAGCAGTTTGCATTAATTATAGAATAGTATTATACTTCCATTACAATCCATGATAACAGTTTGATTATAAATAACTAATATTAATTAAAGTTTAGCATTGACACAGTTGAATGGAATTATTTGTTTTCAGTGAGAAATTAGTGCAAGCAAATTTGTCTTCTCTTTATGATCCTCTCACAGCTCATGAAACAGAAGTTCTGAATCATATTATTGAGAAGTGAGTAATTATAAATGAATAATTATAATTTAGTTATTTTTCAGACACAAATTATAGATTTTTTAGGTTGGCATTATTTGTATTTTCTGAAGTTACTTATCTCTTCTGTATATATCATTCATACATTGTTTAGTTTACTTAAAGAGAAAAATAAAATAACTTGTACTCATTGCATGATTAAACTATTGCAGTTAATATACTTTTTTAAAAAAAATGTTGCATATTAAGAATGTGCTATATGTTGTTGTATTGTTTTGTATACATTCAAAATAATTTTTAATTCTCATTACAATTATTAATCTTATTTTAGATGTCAACAAAATTTTTCATATGTTTAAATTATTTAGTATAAAGTTGTTAAAGTCAATATTTTGTTTAGTTTCTACAGGAAAATTCCAGTAACCAATTGGGAAAATATAGAACCTCAAGCATATTGGCAAGATTTGAAAACACTTGATTTACAGAAATTGCAATAACTAATTCAAATTTTTAAATAATATTCAAGTTATGACATGCAGAAAATGTTATTTAAAATCTACAATAAAATTTTTTAACACTTTAGACATTGTTTATTAATTCTTCGAGTCCAGAGGAAGATATAACTTATATTATTTAGTAATCCCAAAATTATTATTCATAGTCCAGTACAGATTTATAAAAAAACTTTTATAATTTTGATAAATTTAAATTTAGAATCAATACGTGAAAAAATAGTTTAAGTATGTGAAAGGGAAGAATTTATAATTTTATAAATACAAATTTATAAAACAATAATTGTAGTTTATTCAATATATTTCCTGTCATGTGAGGAAAAAATCTTCAGCTAAAAATAAATTACAAAGTGCATATCTGTAGTATTTAAATTAATTCAAATCTTATTAGATGCAATTTTTACAAGGTTATTTCATAAAAATATTTAAATACTATATACTTCATTTTTGATTGAAATTTTGTGATAACAAGATTTTTGATCTGATTGCATTTTAAAGAGATAATTACAACAATTTATTTCATACATTATCATTGCTGTGCAGACAATTATATTTAATATAAGGAAATCAACACAAAATTGAAAACCTTTTCTATTTTTACAGCTTTATACAATATGCCCCAATGAAATTTCTGCTTTTGCATGAAAAAATATATTAAGCATTGTGCATACCAGATTATTTGAATCTAAACTGGCATAAATTGTAAACTGCTTAATAATTTAAGACTAAACTTTTATCATGCAGAATAACTGTTGTGATAATTCAATAAATTATAGCTCAATACTTTAACATTCAGTTTTATTTGAGCATTCGGTAAAAAAATGAACATATGTTTAAAATAACAAATACAATAACATATTTACAAAATGAACAATCCAATGCATGGATTACATGAGCACTAAATAAATAAATTAAGTTTAAGGGCTTGCAATCTGAGTATAGTTTTTATTAAATAGATGTGGTGTAATATGAAGTATCACAAACAAAATGATTAAAGAGTCTTTACTTTCAACTGCTTCATTTTGGGTGCTCTTTTCTTCAGTTCTCTGCGATGTTCACGTTCCTAAAAATAAAGTTGATGTGCTATCAGCTGTCTATGAAACTGAATACATTGAAACAGATTTAACTAGCAATATACAGATCTATAAATATTTTACCTACAGTAAACATGCATCAGATTAAGATTATTATGGACTTGTTGCCCTTCATACAGAAAAATTAAAGATAAAACTGTAAAAGCAATAATTTTTTGCTCAGAAACATTTTTGAGGACTATAAATTAGAATTATTTCAGTTACCAGTAGTGCATGAAATGCCAGAGCACTATAGATTACATAAGCAATATATAGAATGCCCAGTTTTCTTAGCATTATTTTACCAAGCATTGTACAGATTCTAAACATTCAATAACATATAATAGCCTTCTTGTGACTTTTTTTTCATACTTTATTAAAAAGAATTTCTTATTTTTTAGAATGCCTGTCATTGTCAGACAAAGCTTGAAAAATATGAATTAATACATTCTTTACCAGAACACTCAATAGATTCTAAGCATTTTATAAAATTAATGACCTAATCAACCTTTTTTAATACTTTAGCAAAAAATTTTTTTTTCGTTGAAATATGAGGATAATTACATTTTTAACCAAGGCAAGGATTTTGAGCATTCTATAATATATAATAGCTTAATCATGACCTTTTATTCATACTTCATTTTTAGGCAAAGTTTGAAATGCGAGAATTATGACATTTTCTTTTTACTCAGGCATTTTAAAATTGATAATAACCAAATCACAATTTTTTCTCTCTTTAAATTGACTTTTAATTTTTATTTTTAACAATTCAAATCTTTTTTAAATTTATCAATTTAGCGTGGCCTTTTTACGTAAAGTCAGAAATATGAAAATGATCTTATTCCTTACTATATCTTCTACAATGCCTAGGTATGACTCTCACTTACTTCCCACTTTCTTTGCTTTTCTGGATCTTCTTCATTCATCATTTTTTCTTTCTCTGCTCTACGTTTTTCCTCCCTTCTAGCCTGAGCAGCTTCCTGTCTCTGAGCATGTGTAGTTTTCAGAAATGCCTCTTCAACACGCTGCCGGTTTTTCTCAGCCTTATTTTTAGCCTATAAGTAATAGACATTTGAAGCCAAATCATTAATTCACCAGGAAAATAAATAATTTATTAGAAAAATTTCTTTAATTTTTTCCTCTTGTTTTGGTCATTTGTGTATTTAAAATTATATATATTTATCTGAGTTAGTTTTAGGAATATGCAGTTCTGAAATTCGAATTTTGTCAGAAAATGCATTAATGAAGAAGAAATAAATAGTCACACATAAAACTTTATAAACCAAATTAATACATTTTTCATTCATATTCAATGAAAGGTGCAAAATTGTAACAAAATGCTAATATAACAATATCATTATACCTCTTTACTCAAATGAAATCTCTTGACCTTTTCTATTGAATAAAACACTAGTTGCAGTAAGGGTTTCATATTTTCCATTACTTCAGGTGTAGTTTTACCTTTTCCTGGAACTAAAATAAGATATATGAGTAAATAGCTTTCAAAATATATCGTGCAGTAGTCAGTCACAAAAAAAACAAAAAAAAACTTACTATTAAAACCAAACATTAACATTTTCTTTGTCTCTGGCAGTTTAGTCAATTGAGTATCTCTATATAAAGAATATAGTTAATATATATAATTAGAAAAAACAATAATGAGTTTAAAATAATTTAAAAGTAATGAAAGGAAAAGAATATTTTATTTTACATAGAAATGCACAGAAATAAAAGGCAAAGCTCTCACTCACTCATCACTAATTCTACCACTTCCCATAAAGTTAAAACGCTGAACCATATGTTCTTTATGAGATAAGTGGAAATACTAAGTAAATTTTCATTTCAATACTTTTTATAATCAGGGTAAATATAGGCTATTTACCCTGATATTAAAAAGTACTGAAATGAAAATTTACTTAGTTTTTCCACTTATCTCATAAAGAACATATTGTCCAGCATTTGTAGCAAATCCAGTCCAGTGAAGCAAATCTAGGAAACATGTTTTTACCAAAATAGAAGTTTTAACTTTGAATTATGTGTTCTTTATGTGATAAATAAAACAAAACTAAATGATATGTTGAATGTTGATGTCTTGAAATTATCAAGGTATTATCAAACCTAATTGACAGTATAGCTAAAAAACACATTTTTACTGAAATAGAAGTCTTAAATTTACACCATGTCTTCTTTATGTGATAAATAGAAAAACTAAAAATTCTTCATTTTGATACATTGATATATTAGGGTAATTGGCCTAATTGACACTAATGCTAAATAACATATTTTTATTAAAATAAAAGCCTCAAATTTGGACCCAGTATTGTTTATAAGATAAAAAAAAAGAAAAAAGAAAAAGTATTGCTTTGATATTTTGAGTAATTATCCCAAACGAAAGTTATGTTAAAAGTCTGCCACAAAGATGTCTCAAACTTTGACCATATATCCCTTATCAGAGAAACAAAAACTAATCAAGTTTCATTTCGACAATTTGTTTAATTTACCAAGAAGTATTAAGAAAATTATATCCCTCATAAGCAATTTTGATTCCTTAACAGTCCTCAACACAAAATACATTTTAAACTTGTTTTATTATCCTTGACCATGTTTTACCATGAGACCATGCTTTGTTATTACTTTTTTTAATTATGCTTTTAAGAAATCAATAAATTAGTTTTAAAGTAAAGAATTTCATTATCATTGTTATTTTTCAATGAATTTATAAATTTTAGAATGTATGACTTTTTAAAGTGCTAGAGTTGCTTTGTATAAAAGGAACAGAGCATACCACAGTTTTCCAAAATATGATGTTATAAAGCCCACATATTTTACATTCAATCTATAGGAGAAGTGATTTTTTTATTCCTGTTTTTCTTCTTCAAATGAATAGCTTTTGATTGAAGGAGCAGATAAAACCAATTCGTAATATTTTTTACTTAAAAATACAAAACTTGAACTTGTATCAATCAATAATTTTCAACATCAACTGGTATGGCAAAGTTGCGCACCGCACAATTTTTAAATTATGAAATTTTTTCAAATATCAAATCCTTGTTGAAAGGATAAAACTTTATAGATAAAAAATATTCATAAAATTCTAAGAAGATGTCAAATAAGTTCAAATTCTTCAGTTACTTACTCAGAAAGTTTTGGTCCCGAGAATTGATCTGAAAAATGAATGAAATCGATGACATCAGAGTATTTTTGAAGAACTGTAATCAGCTGAAAAGAAACAAATATTTATGAAATCAAGAAACTTTACAAGCATAACATTTTGTAAGTGCCTTTTTTATAATTATGAAAGTTACAGTAATGCTAAGTTATTAGATTATTTTTCAAAATTTAAAAAATGCTGTAAATACGAGAAATATTTTAATCTAGATATTATTCAAACTTGAAGCAATTTTATTACCTATAATCATAAAAATATATATACAAGTTAAATCAGATTTATTAACTATAATAAAGCTTCATTTTATAGTATTAAATTTTCTTTGATACTTTCAAGGCTTTACAAGAAATGTTCCATTCTTTAAATGCATGACTAAATAATTATGCAACATTCATGCAAACAATTACAAAAAAGTGATCATTATATGACTAAGAAGTAAAAAGTCTTTCTTTTTAAACTATGTCTAGTCACAGTTATTAGAAAAGAAAAGTAAATTAATTTCCTTTAAAATAGTATCCTGTTAATAAAAATAAAGCTAAACAAATGAAAAAAATATTACCTTGCTATCTAGCATAGCATTTGCAGCTTCGCCTAATTCATTCATCATGATGAAGTTATCTGGAATGCCCAAACGATCAACAGTCTTTTTCTCAGGACAGTAAGTACTCTAGATTAGAAAAATTATTTCGCACATTACACAATAAGATCTAGTTCAAATTCAAATATTCTCATTATTTATACAATTAATTCTGAAAAACACATGAGTAAAGGCCATTCAAGCCATTATTAAATTCGTATTTAAAAAAAAAAAAAGCACGATAAATATTACTTTTCTTATGAATTAGTATAAAATAATTTTAAAAGCTCAATCATTAATAATTTTAAAAGCTCAAATTCAATTGCTATTTTAAATTTTTCGTATGAATGTACGTGCAAAAAGTAAAATGTGGCTTTGTTCTTAAATCTTCCAAGAGCTAGGTTTTAGTACTCTCTCTCACAGCTGTATCATCTTTGCTATGACCAGTTCCATGAGAAATGATCAATGGAGTTCTACAGAATGATGTATTCTTCGTAAAATATTAAAAGAAATTTTTACATTTAAACTAAGAAAATCAAAAATATTGCATTAAAAATATACAGTTTAAATAAGTTTCTATCCAAAACATTTCATCAACTAAATAAAATTTGATAAAGCAAACTTACTATATCACCCATTTCCTTAACTAGTCTAGTAGCTGTTTTTTTGTTGGCTATACAGAATACAAAATTATCCATTGCATCTGGACTCATTGTTACTTTAACAATCTGTGAAAATTAAGATTACATTTTCATTCATTCAATAAACTCAAAGCAAAATATATAACAATTTTTAAATAAAATGTAGAAAACATTTCTATTACGTTTAGTCCTGCTTAATTTTATCTCTCTTATGTTCTTTTTTAAAAATAAGGCAACACTATAAATAAACTATTATTGAAACAATGTAATGTTGAAAAGTGAATATGTTAGTTTTCTTTTCAAGAAAGGAAGCAAATAGAAATAAAACATATTCAGGATTATATATATATTAGTAAATTAGTACACATTTCTGGATATTTTCCCATAATAATCAGTGTTTAAAATGCAGATTTTAAATTTCTTACATCTTAAAAGCAATATAAATAAAAAATTATCGTGTATTAACTGACTACAATTTATTATTTGTTTAACTATTCTCTTCCTTTTGTTCAATCTTGTTTTACATTTACTTATCCATGCCTTCCTCATAATAAATATCACTTGACTTAAAATAAAAAAGAAAGAAATCTTTATTTAAAACTCCATGTCCTTTTTTAATAATAATTACAATTTGTCTACTATATTATTGAATAAAATCACTTTCAAAAGGCAATGATGGGAGAGTTTTTAGTGGTAATAAAAGTTAACATAAAGGTGACCAGCCCCCAAATTTTTTGTTCTATTTAGCTCACTTGAAAAACATTGCTTTACAAATTTATTTTATTTTATTATCATAATTTTTTTTTGCCTATTTATTTTCTTATACAGAATGTAGTTGAATTTTGATAAATGATAAAATTGGCTTGAAGAATTCAATTCAGGAAACAATTGAAACTTGTACTGACATCAAGCACAATAATCCAGTTGAAATTTGAGCCTGCTATTTAGTCAATGAACTGTCAAAATTTCAACTGACAATAAATTTTCCTTGTTATTCAATGCACATACTGACACTTCCCACTAGCTAGTGGACAATTGGTCAGAATCTGGGCTGATAAAAATGGCAATAAATCCTCCTGGTAAGCACGAGGAAATAGTTAAAAGTTGCATAGTCTCAGGGCACAGAGTTCAAGTAGAGATTTGTAAGGTCTGGTTAGTGAGAAATTTAAAATACAATAAAATACACTCAAATACAATACAATTTGAAATTTCAAAGATCTAAATTTCAAATACAAGATTTCAACACCACAAACAAACACTCAAGTGAGTTAATAAAAAATGTAGTAGAAATAAAATAAATATGGCAAAAAAGATAGTGATTTCCTGTGAATATTAATGGATTTATAGCTATTACATAATATGTTAATTAAAAAGAAATAAGTGTATAAATCAACATTTACTTTAAAATAAAAAGAGCTTCATGGTTCACTATGGAGTAGATTTGTCAAAAACTATTTAATAATAATTTGTACAAATTCCATATTTATAAAAATTAAGTTCATTATTTCTTTTAAGACTATAATTAAGATTAAAAAATTACATATAACAGAAGCTTACTTTTGTTTTAGTTTAAATATTATTGAAAACCAAAATACAGGAAACTCATTAGTATATACCAAGAATAAAACAAAAACAGGTATAGAAGAAATATATAATTAAAGCATTCAGTAGCTTAATACAGAATATTGAAGGAAACCACTTTCTTCAGCAAAAAAAGTGAATTTCATTAGTAATGCTGTTGATGTTTAAGATACATGCAATAATATTAGTTCCAATCAAACTATTTCAAAGTTTTAAATTAAAATTCAGTCATCACAATATTCCTCTGCTGCAAAGAGGTAGGGATTATTATTTTTTTTTAAAAATTTTATAATTTTAATATTTTTTAAAAAATGAGAATTTTTCAGACACTGAATTTATTTCACACCAAAAACTAGTAGTATCTGTGTTTAATTTAACTATTAATATTCTTAGTTTTAATTTACTGAAAATGTAGCTTTTATTTTCTTTAAACCTAAATGACCCATTATCTGAAAAACTATGAGCAGAGCCGGATTATACCTTTCGTAGGCCCTAGGCACAGCCGTTTTCGGGGCCCTTCCCTCCTTCCCCCCACTCCTCCCCTCTTTTCAAAATATATGCTAAAATTTTCTTCCATATTTTTTTTTTACATTTTTATTAATATGGATTTTAATTTACAAATTTGCCTATCGAACTTTATCTGCAATACCGACATACTGCCGATATTGCAGTTGATATCGATAATACGTACTATTATGATTAGTTCGATCGATAACTATGTAAAAGTAAACACTTCATGTCAACAATACAACAACAAACCAGCAAAGAAAACAGTGAAATTGATAGTGAGATAAATTACAAGAAATATTTATACTACAAATAGCTTCATAGTTTTCAGGATACTACTATGATAACTAAGTGAAGGAAATTAACATTGTCAAAAGTAAATCTTCTGAAATTATTTATAAATAAATTTGCAAGGTAGGTTAAATGTTTACTAATAGAAAAAAAATGATTTAATACTATTTTAATAAAATGTCAGTCACGTTTTGTCAGGAACGTATTACACCATTTTAGATGCATTAATTTCAGAAGTGACTAAAAGGCGTTAAGCTTACAGTGATTTGTGCGATAATTTCGGTTTTCTTGTTCACAAAAATCTGTCAGAATCTGAGATTAAACTAGAAGCGCAAAATTTGGTGAAAATTTACTCATCCGATTTAGAGGAAAACTTTGTAGATGAATTTTTACTGTTGTCAAATTTGTATGAACATAAATCTGCACAAGAAATGTTGAAGGCTCAAATTAAAGATAAACTTGTTTCCTAACGTTCACATTGCATTAAGAATATATTTGTCGATTCTTGGATCAAATGCAGAAGGAGAAAAATCTTCCTCCAGATTAAAATTGATAAAAAATTATTTGCGTTCAACAATGAATCAAGATCGTTTGGCATCGCTCGCACTTATGTCTATTGAATACGACATTTTGCGTAGTTTGGAATTCGACAGCATAATACAAGATTTCGTTGAACCCAAAAATCGCAAAAAAGTAATATATTAGATCATAAGATTATGCAAAATAATTTATTACCGAAAAATATTATACTTTTATTTGTATCTTCATAATTTTGAGCAAAATACACTTGTTGTTTTTAAAGCTAAATTATTTTTGTCAAAAAATTTTTTTCTCCCAAGTTTTTCGTAGGCCCTAGGCACGTGCCTAGTGTGCCTATAGGTTAATCCGGCCCTGACTATGAGGATAGGAATTTTTTCTCTAATTTATATGCAAACATTTTGTAATTTTAAGAACTTCCATTCAAAAATAGCTGGTAGATGGTTTAAATCAAATATTTTTCTACATAATTTTTTAGCTAAAAAAAGGAATATCAATATGTCAAATTTAAAATTGGTTAGATATAAACATCTGATACCAAGAAAACCAATCAGTGATTAAATTACATATGAATAATACCTTCTAACATTTCAAAGGCACTTTTAGCAATCTTTGGAGAATAACTTTGATACAGATTAAAAACATTCGTAGTTACCAATAAATCAATGGCTACTGAATCAAACTTTAAAATAAAAAAATTATGGAAAACAATTAATTGATAAAACAAATAATTAGTAAACAGATTGATCAAAAACTAAAACTTTAGACCTGAATTTCATATCTAAAGATAAAAATCAAGCTAAATGGAGGACTATAATATTTTAGGACAAAGAGATATATAAATTTTTATAAAAGATATTTAGACATACTTACCATTTGATCACACGAAGGGCGGATCATGTTAGAAATAACACTCACTAAATCTTGACGTTTCAAAAACTTTAATTCTACAAGCATGCCTTCTACACAAACTCGACCACTGCACCAGAGGGTATAAACATTTTCCGACTCTTTTTGTATACCACCTTTTTCAATTTCTTTTTTGCCATCATCACCTTAAAAAAAAAAGTAAAAATTCAGAATTTTAATAAAAAAACATCTAGAAATCTGGTAGCAGCAATGCTCCATCAATACAACAGATTATTACAGCATCTGCAGATTATTTTTCATTTTATTTTCAAAAAGCAAATAAATAAATATGGAATTTTTTTTTAGACTCCTTTTAAAATATCCATAAACTTGTTTTTAATATAAACGAAATGGTCGAATTGAGAGAAAATAACAAAGAATAAAAAGTAAAGAGTTCTTTCTTTCTGTTACTTAATTACAGACTTAACTGCTTAAAGATTTAATCAATTTTTTAGTATCATTGAATAAAATGCGAATTTTTAAACAACATAAGTTTTTATGAATAATATTTATGTACTTAATATTTTAAAATTTGGCTACATATATGTTAGATTAGACTAAATTTTTAGAATAATAATCTCGGTCTAACTGCATTGCAGACTAATTTGGATTCACGAAGCTTGTGTTGTAGATTCTTTGTAAATTCTGTACTGGGTCTACAAAGATGTTAATAAGTGCAGAACTTAATGAGTGCTTGTTTTCATATTCAGTTATTTATATTAATAAAATATAATCTAAAACTTTTAAAATTTCCAAAAAATAGAATATAAACTACAAATATTACTTTTAAGTTAAAGATTGCAATCAACTTTTATAAATAAATATGACTAATAACATTGTCTTACCAACTAAAGCAAAATTATTTTCAAATACTTGACAGTGTGAATTAAACCAGGCCATGGCTAATTTTTGATTTTTATTGCGTCCAGCGATGAAATTGGCAAAATATACAACAAGACCAGCAATCATCAGGAATTCTAGATAGAAGCTTTCCCAATTTCTACGAAGATGAAGAGGAACCTGCAAAAGAAGTTTCAAAAAAGTTAGTCAATTAGATAAAACTTGTTGAGAAAAAATCATCACCAATGTATTTGTAATATCAAGCATACTAGAACTACAGCCTCAAGGAAGAAGTGCAAGCATCACATAATCTTCTTTAGAAGTAAAAGGATAGTGTCTTCTGAAATGAACTCTTAAATTTTAACAACACTTTCGAACATTCAAATAGAATGTTATTTATGATGGGATTTAGATTTTTTAATAGATTTTGCTTTTAATACTTTTTACCATCACAATATTTTCGTCAAAGACTTCAGTAGCATAAAACATAAATATTTTATTTATATAAAATTTTGTGTATTTTAGGTACATATATAAAAAATAATTATTACCCTCTTTTTATTTTTTATTAAAACTTCTTTTAATATTTTAAAAATGTTTAGTGAAAAGGAAAGAGTTTCTTAATTAAATTTGAAATCCTAACTGTGCTTATCCCTAACTGAAAAAGTAAATGATAGTTAAATAGTTATAATAGTCATAATTTGTAAATGTATTTTTTATTGACATAAGAAAATAATATGAAATATAAAATAAAATTTTTTTTTTTTTTAAACATAAACTTGTGTGAAAATTTTATAAATTTGCTGATAAGTAATAAATAGTTGTATAATTAAGAAAACAGGGTTTTCCCCCTTTTTCTATTCTTTGTGTTTATATTTTAAAAATGCAAATTTTTTTTGTACTTTTTCTTTAACCAGACGCAAGGAAATTAAACTATTATCTTATATTTTTTAGCCTAGTAATTAAATTTTTTTGCATCTAAAAAATTAATAAAATTAAAAAATAAATAAAAATTTGGTAGGTAAATGTACATTTTTTGGTAAGTTTTCGTTTGTGTTCGTCTAATTGAAAATAACCAAATTTTCATAAAAATATGCCAAAGTAAGCAAATATTTTAGCTTAACTTTATATTATACTTAATTTGATAATTTGTCTTTACAGAAGATAAAACATAACTGTTACATTACTATCCTAAAAGAAATTACCATTAGAACATATTACATAAATTTCAAACTATTTTAAAAAGTAGAAAGGTTAATATAATTTAAAAAATTTAGGTTACTTCTTTATAGGACAATTTATAGCATTCCAGAAACTACAACTATCGTGAGATTTGATCATAACTAATTTGCTATGAGTAAGGCAATAAATTTGGTGAAATAAAACAGTAAGTCTTATTGTCTAATATGTATTTATAGATTTCTAGCTAGTTTTAATGTAATAAAAATAGCTTCTAAACTATGGTGAATGAAAATATATCTACTCAGTTTTTCACTGTGCGTCAATTTCAGAGACATAAAATAAAATTAGTATGCTTGAAGTATTGAATATTAAACAACATGATAGATATTTAGATAATTAAAAAAAATTCTTTATAATTAACACTTTAAGTTGTTTCACTATAATTTTCTACTGCATACAAAATTAATTCTGTTCAGAAATTAAATTTACATGCATAATTTAAATATATATTCATAAAAACATTGCATAACTATATTTAAAATACATGCATCAATTGAAATAATGAAAATAGCTGTAAGAAAAGATTCTTTAAAAAAAATTTTTTGTTATAAAAACACACAAAAAGTTGTTCACATTAATGTATATTATTATTAAATTTCCTTAAGAGTATCACCATTAATGAATGAGATTTAAATTTTTCAATTTAAATAATTTATCAAAAAAATATGAATAATAATTTGCATAATAATTTGCTTTTCATCACTTCATAAATAAATAAAATTTCACATCACTACAAATATAAACGTAGAACGACACAATTACAAGCTTTCATGATTCTTTTCTAGCACAGTTAAAATATAGGGTAATTAAAAAACTTACTTTTGCAATTTTAAGGTCTGGTTTTTCAGATGGTTTTCCTTTAACAGATGGAATTTCTTGATCAAGACCTTCAAATTCTTCTTCATCTTGAAAATGTTCAAATTCTTCTCCATCATCCTAAAGTCAAACAATAATAATTACTTCAATAAATATCAATTAACGCATACAGAAAATAAATTTTTTTAACATAAAATCACATAGAAAGCTCAATAAATTGTTTAATCTTAAATTAAAAATACTTAAAGACAGGCCTACAAACAAAAGATTTTTCTTTCTTTTTTAAAATATAAAATCAAGAATCAATTTACTTCAACTTGTACTTCATCATCAAAATTTTGTGGAGGGGGAGGAGACATTTTAAGGTCTGGCTTTTGTTTACTACTATCATCTTCTTTAACAACTATTTCTTCATCTTCATCAAATTCTTCAAATTCAGCAAATTCATTGTCCTCTATTTCTGCTTTATGATGATTAGCAGCGAATCCGAATGAGATGAAAAAAATGGAAAATAGTACAACATAAAATGAAGAATACATCTGAAAAAATAAAATGAGTGTGAGATTTTTTAAAAATTTCTTTTTACGCTAATGCAAATTAAAACTTTTTAATCATAAGTATTTGTTGTAATGATAAAGATTTTATGTCTCCAGTATTTGTTTCACATATTTATACTGAATAATTAATACAAATCTAGTAGAGATAGAGCAAATAAAAATTTAAATTTAATATTTATAAAGTTTTTGTTTAAAATTACAATTGTCTTACAATTAAACAAGAATCTTAAAACAAATGATTTCTTATGAAATCTTACAAGTGCCTAAAAGAGAAGACATACTAATCCAATTGGAAAGCCATACAAATAAATGAAAAAAAAAAAAAAATTTCACTGAATAAATACTGCAGCCTTAAAATTATTTGATTAATGTAGATAGTTTCAATTTAGTCAAAACCATCAATGCAATTTTTAAAATAGATTCTTTTAAAACAGAATAAAATTGATTTAAATGGATTAGCAATAAAAATATCAAATGAATTTTCATTTATTTTAAAAAGCATTACTTAAGCACCTGAACAGAGTTAGTGAGTATAAGTAGAGAATGGGTTGGTCGAGAATGGCTTAACTAAATGTATCTAATAAAAATGGTTTTTGTCAAATTTTTGACATGAAAAAACATTTATTAAATAAGAAAAAATCGTTTCGAAAATATGCTATGAAACTATTTAAAAACTTAAATTAATAGTATAGTAATTGTAACTTTTATGTCAATAAAATTAAATGAGACAATTTTTAATCCATTGACTTATAAAATCAAAAGTTTTATAAATGTAAGTATTTAATTAAATTACTCTACACATAACTTACTAGATATGGCTACGTTTTCAGTGTTTCAGTCTATTACATGATAAGCGCGTGTAGTTATTTTGGTACTCGTTTTTAGGTTACTAGTAGACGACATAAAAAAGGAAGCAAAGTAAAAAAACGATTATAAAAATAGACTTAAACAAAAACTAAATGAAATAAGAGTTTCCAGGAGTGAAAAATTGCGTAATATACAATACCAATTAAGATATTTCTCTTTGCATGGCAAAATAAATATAATTTATTAATTAAGAAAGCAATCGATAGTTTGATTGCTTAAAAATTTACAAGTATTTATTTTCAATAAATATTAAATTTCAAAAGATAAAATTAGTACTAATTTACTTTAGTTATTTTGCAGTGATCAGCTTTATTCCGGATAGTAAACAGACAGACTCACAGTCAATCATCAACATCAATTATCATTTCATTGATGATTTGATACCTGCTTACGTTTCTTAAAATTGATTACTTTCAGTATTTTTTTTTTCTTTAATATTATTTAAAATGATTTTTTAAGCAATTAGACATGTTTATAAATTTTAGGAATGCAAACATGTACAGCTTGATTAAAGTTTTTTGATCAATATTATCGTTATTATTATTATTATTTTTTTTTGTCAATAACGTCTGCTGTACAAGTACTCAAATCATGAAGAACAGAAATGAAGAGTTATTCGATCAAGGTTATGTAGTGGTTTGATTGTTTGTGTTTTTAACGAATTTTAATGTTTACAAACTTATGAGAGTTCTGTCTCCTCTTGAATATTTTCATAATTGTGAATTCGAATTTCTTAAGCCAGTTTCCATAAATCAGTGCTTCTACATGAAAAAGTAATATTTCATAAATCTTTTTTTGAGATTTAAAAGATTTGTTGAAAATATTTAATTCCTTCGCATATTTTGCCTTTGACGTCAGCTGATCAGGAACGTGCTATTTGTTGACATTTATAACAAATTCATACGAGAAATTTTTGAATATATTTTAATCGTTTTCAATTTTTCTCTAATAAATGTTCGATTTTGTGAATAGAAATTTGTTTATTCTTTATCACATATAACGTTAAAAATGTAATTTGTATATTTTTTCACTTTCCTCTTACTTTGCAACTTTTAATTTTTTATGCAATTATTAAAATAATAACAATCGAATTAATTTAGAATAATTTTGAAAATTTCATTACATGAAAATTGAATTTGATTTGTGCTGTTTTGTAAATAAGATAAGTTGGGTATAATTAATAAAGCTTTTTCCTATGACACCTAACCATAAAATTTGATTAAAAAAAAACTACTTGATCGAAATAAGTATAGCTAATTAATTGATCCAAATAATTATCTAAATCAAATAACTGAATGTAATTTAGATTTTGATAAATATTTTTTTAGAATTTCCATAAGTATAAGCTTATGCATTATATTAAGCTTAAGTTGCATAATTTGAGCCTCAATTAGTTTTTTTGTGAAGAGGAAGTTATTGATTTTGTGGGGCCATTTGCACCTTGTTATCTATAATTTACAATTTTTGAAACTATAAATTTTCAGTGTGTCAACATTTCTATATTATTATTATATTGTAACCCCACAGAACTGTGGTAAAAGAATACCTAATTTTTAAAAATCATTTAGTTGCATTCTTTCAGAAGCTTAAGGTGAAATTTTAAATAAGCTTTTAAAATTATTTTTGTATTCATATAATATATTGAAATAATAATAGAAGCAGTTGTATGTTGAATTTTTATTATATATATTTGTTGTGTTATGAAATACACAATTATATTCGAGTCTCTTAATTTTTTATGTCTTTATAAAAAAATATGTTTGGCCAAATATTTTGCTATTGTTTTTTTTTTTATAGTTAAGAAGATGTTATAAAGCACAAAGATGGCCAAAGTCTACCTAAAAAATTTATTTATTTATATTTTTAGCATATAGGTACATATATGACGATATACAATTTAATTATTAAAAACAAAGTGATTTCAAAGGTTTTTTAGTTTATTGATTAAATCTTGATGTTAAAATTTAAATTGAAAAATGTTGCAGGTTTGATACATAGATACTATCTTCTCAGAAACTTGGGGCAAAATTTAAAATGAAAATTTTTCCAAATGAAAATTTTGCGAAACAAAAATTTAAAATTAATCTATTTGCAGGTTTAATATAGAGATATTATTCTCTTAGAAGATACATTGAATCCAGGTAAATTATACCAAATTTAAATACTTTTATCAACTAGAGAGGAGTAGGGAAATTATGACGTGGCTATGCAACGCATGTCTGGTTATCTTCCTAAGAGGTTGATCAACTTCCTTCTCTCTGTCTTGACAGCAGAAGTTTATCTTTCCATCTTATTTACATGTTTACAGTAAGAAATATAGTTAACTTAAAAGAAATTCAAAAATTGTAATCGAATACCACAGTAATAATAAATTAATCAAATGCGAAAATCTTTAAAAAATCTAGATAATGAAATATTTTATGTAAGTCAAGACTGTAATTAACATGTTCTGTTAGACGATGACTCTCTTTATTTATGAATAAAATAGTAAAATTAAATAAATGGAATTATATGGGAATTTTAAGCTTATTTAAAGGAAAACTTTTGACTCAATGGTAAAACTCATAGCCACTGTTAATAATATTTCTAGATGTTAATAATAATAATTTTTAAAACTCAACAGATGGCGCTCTGTGCAGTAATGTAAAATCATTTTTGTTATCAGTTTCCTCCATGCCACTGTATCATGAACATCTTCCATGTTTTTGTTATTAAATATATTATGTTAAAGGCGTTTGTAATGATTTAAAACCCCGAGATCATCCTATATAACAGCCACCCCCTGGCAATCCTCTAGATATATATATTAGGGATGTAGCGAATATTCTGCCTCAATTCGGTATTCAGCCCTTTTGCCAAATATTTAGTTAGCCGAATGTTTGGCCAAGTATTCAGCAAAATATTTTTCAAATTTTTTTTTTTTGGTAATTTGTATATATTTAACGAATAATTATCAAAGTTGTATTTTTTTCTATACATATATATTATTAGAACTTATTAGTTTATGCTCTGAATGACAAATGGAAAAGCAAAATTTGAAGAATTAGAACTAGGTTACTTTACACTAAATCATGAGTTTTTTTTAACTACAAATCAATTTTATGGTTTTTTTCACCACTTTTTGTTTTAAGAACTAAGAACTTCTTTCGTTTTTACTTGTTTAAGTATAGTGCAGCATTTTAACATGTTAAGTTGTTTCGAACAATTTATTATTTTATTGTCACTTTTTCCAGTGCAGTAAAACAGATCATCAATGACATAGAAAACTGTGATTCTCATCATTAAAGTTATATTTCAGAACTAAGAACAATTTTTTTTTTCTGTTTCTCTTTCACTTTTTTTTATTAATTTTTCTTCTTATTAGCATTTTTTAATTTTTAAGGAGCATATTTAATGAATCTTATTCTTTCATGGGGAGACACTTTTTTTTATAAAAATACAGCAATGTGAAAAAGATAAATTGAGGTTTTTAATGATACATTTTTAGTTTAAAAATTAAATTTTTTAAAAATGATTTTTGTTTTAATTTCTATTTAACTTTCTCTTTTTTTGAAATTTTTCTTTTGCTTTTATAAAGCTTTTTATTATGATGTGGCAATTATGATGATTTCTATTAGACTCTATAATTTTTTTCTAATTTTTCTTTAAAATACAGTAATTGGAAAACTGAGATGTTTAGTATTAAAATTTTCTTTTGAAAATTAAGATTGGTTTTTTGCTTTTGTTTAAATTTTTTTTATGAGAATTTATGTGGCATTTTTATAAACCTTTCTGATAGATTATATAACTTTTAGCATTTTATGAAAAACTTTTTTTTCTTTCTGGAAAGTATTATTTTTGCTATTCAAGTTTTGTTTTAAGAAATATGAGGGAATTTTTTTTTCTTTTTCCTTTTTTTCCCCCAATAGCTGTTAGTCAGTTTTTTTTAAAATTTTATCTTAAATATATCTAATTATTGTAATATCTAATTATCTTTATTACCTTAAATATTTCTATTATTTTTCTTCTTTACCCCATACCAATAATTTGGCTAAGTTTTGATTATTTTTCAATAATGACTAAACTTATTTATGAATAAGAAACATTGATTAATGATTTAAAAAAAATAATGTTGCTATTCAACCGCCAAATATTTTCTATTCAGCTGAATCACTATTCGTTACATACGTAATATATATATTTAAATTCTTTGAAGTTTTCTATTATAAATGTTGAGAAATATTTCCAAATATTTTTTTCAAATAATATTAAAGTTAATATGTAATGAAAATTTTATGTCTGATGGGAAAAAAGTTTTTTAATGTTTTTATTATATCAAATATCTTCTGATAAAGTTTAATTTTTTTTAGCTTGTTACGATGACATCTTGTTCCTTTTCTGAAGCACTTGAAATACGTTATGCAGAAGATGTGGATTCAAATCCTATAGAGCCATGTGAAATTTTTCTAGTGGGTAGTTTTCCTGGAAGGTCAAGCCCAAGTGGGAGATTAGTTTTGCCTCGAATTCTTGCCTTGAATCGTTGTGATATTGACAGAGCTGGTGCATTGCACAAAATTGAAGAACTTTGTCACGATGTAGAAGAACTTGACCTTGGTCAAAATGAATTATGTGATTTGACTGAGGTATATTTTAATTCTGCTATTACATTATTAAAACCATTTAAGATGAAATTGTTAAAAAGAATACTTTAATACTACATTTAAATTTCTCTCTCCATTTATTGGTTATGCTCGATGTATTATAAAAATAGGATTGTGTTATTTGTATTAAAAGAACTTTGATTAATTAAAGTCAACAAGTTTGATAGTTTTTTATTAATAATAAAAATAATTTTTTTAAAATTTTAATATTAATAAAATATATAATAAGAAAATATTATAATATTTTCTTTTCTTTTTTAAATCTTAAAAGCATTTTTAAGAATTTTTTAAAACTTTTTCTTTATAGTCCAAAGGTTAGGGAAACATTTATTCTTGAGGTGGATGTACTTTTGTTGATTTATATTTTTTCCAACATGTTTAATTGTAAACCACTGGAACAATTTCATTTGGAATTAGAGTATTGGCTGCTTGTTGTTGCTGCTTGTTGTGTATTTTCAACAATTGCAACAGTTCTCACTGAAAAAAAAACAAATGATCGAAGTTTAACCCCGCCCCATCAGGGGTCACCCGTAGAATACTATAGACTCTAAGTGTGCGCGTGACCTTTCAGCAAAAGAAAAAGAGGATTAGAAAAGGAAGGATTGGTGGCGATCCATGGCAACACGTCGGAAAAATGGGCAAGGGAGGCAGAAGCAACTCCAGGGAAAATCCTGGTTGATGTGGGTTGGGCGCAGCGACCTCACCAAGATCCAAAGATTCTCTGCCCCCAACCAGAAGGCGTCAAAGAAGTTAAATCTTAAAATTAACAAAAGTAGTTACTCAGAAAATAGAATTTGGGAGTTTGAGTGTGCAAACATAATAGGTGAGGCATCAATAAATAATAAAAAAATACATAGAAAAAAGGTAACAATGAAAATACAAATGGTAAAGAAAATAAATTCACCTGGAATCATTTATTGCTACTGAATTAAATAATGAATTATACATTTTGTCGTATGTTCCATTTCCATTTTGCAGTTTAAACGTTAGAGTTTTTCCTCAATGATTAAGCTGGTTCGCTCTTCTCCATGAATGTAAATTTTTATTAAAGCATATATTTCTTGGCTTTGAAATCTAGTTGAAAATTACATGGTTATGGAGTTGAATATTAAAAATTCTATGGTTGCTCTTAGAAAAAAGGAAATATAAAGGCTATTGGAAACAATGTTCTTTTTATTTTTGTTTAAAACGCTGTGCTAATTTTATGTCTTCTTGAAAAAGGTAATACTAGACTTCGATAAAGTGAAAAACTTTCTGCAAATACAAAATCTCAATTAAAAAACATTCTGCACGCAATTTATTGACTCTTACAACTAATTTTTATCCTTATTTTCTCTTAATTTTGGTTAAATTTGTTCAAAAATTACAGTTTTTTTTAATAAGTGCTTTATAAGTTTTATAAAACTATATAATGATTATTATATATGCCAGCAAATATTTCTTTAAATTTAGCAGTTTTTTGAAAATATATAACTAGTTATTTTCATAACTTGTTTCACATTATACTTAACTTTTTTTTGTAAATTCAAAATCTAAGTCGATCAGAAACATTTCATAGCTAACATTTGATAAATATTTCTATAAGAATAATTTTTTAATTCTTCTACACTTAAATAATTTTGCTTTATTTCACTACTCATTTTACTATAGATAATAGTGGTTCAAAAAAATATCAATAGCAAGATAGAATAGGTGAGAAATATTGAATGTGAAAGATTTTTTTTTATAATGAATAAAAAGGTTTCGCACAATGGTGACAAACTTTCTGTCAAGTTTGTGAGCATTGTGCATGTCTATGTAATACAATATTTTTTGTGTTTAAATTATATGGCAGAGATTTTTTAAAATATATAAACATTATTTTTTTTTCCAGATTGATAACATATTGCAGCACATGCCAAACTTGTCCTTTTTGAATTTGAGTCATAACAATATGAAAGATGCAATTCCTATACATTTCACTAAAAGAGAAAATTTACAGAGTTTAGTTTTAAATCACACTTATGTTCCATGGACTGTTGTTGGTAAATTTTTAGAAGCCATGCCAAAGTAAGTATTTTTTTTCATCAATTTTTGCCGTTACAATAATAACGGGCACTGATTTTTTATGCACCTGCAACTATTTTATGGAATTTTTTCTACCCCAGCATTGGCGATAATAATTTCCAATATGGGATACTGATTGCACTTGTGCATGCATATAAGTGTGATGTCATGATTGGGAGAGTGGGAGAAGTAAAAGTTTTGACTTGATACCTTCAATAATTTTTTTTTTTTTTTTTTTAAGTTTAAGTGTCATTGCCGAAATAAATTTGTCTAGAATTCACTTCACTGAAACACTTTTTTTAAAAATGATTAATTGTCCATTTGTTTTGCTAATAGTAGATCGTGACTTTGAAGGGATAAAGATGTACAAATTCTTCATGCATATATACTTATTTTGTGTTTATATTAAGGTTCAGTGTCATTGCTAAATATAAATCTGCCTTGAATCCACTACAAGTATGTTTTTTTAAGGTTAAAGAATTGCCTGGATTTTTTTTAATCTGTTCGGATAAATTAAGAAAGTCCAAATTAATTTTGAAGAGAAACGTAGAATCCTAGTACACCATGGGAGCGGGAATATCATTTTTAGTTAGATGTGTGTTTTATTCTTTTGTCCAAATTAAGTTGACATATTCTATATAATTTTTTAGTTACAAGTGCAAAGAAAATTAAACGGTAGAATTTTCTTATTTCTCAGAAATTTTTTTGGTAAACTGTCTCTAAAATAACATTTTTTCTGCTTTAAATTCAGGAATTTCAATGTCAATTTCCAAATACTAATACTCATATAATAATTTTGTTTACTTTGTTAAATATAAATATATATATATTTCTATCATAAGTATCTTCTTTTCAGGTAGTAAGAAAAAATGACAAAAAGAAAACATATTATTGTGATAAAAAAGGTCAATTTAATTGTTCTTTGAAATGTAACAAGGATAAAAGTTTATCCTAAATTAGAAAAATTCTTTGAAATATCCATATGGATGTGCTGCTTACATGTATTTTTACCGTGGCCAATGCTTCAAAACTGTTTCATAAAATTTATCTGCAGTTATTCTTAATATAATTTTGTAACGAGAACTTTTAAGTTTTTGTAAGATGTGTAGCCACAATCTTTTTTGTTTATTGAATTATTTTTGTCACTTAAACTAACTAACTGCATTAACTACAAAAAGAAAGAAGTTTTGATAAAATAGCAAAACTAAAATTCAGCATGTTTACATCTCATCAACTTAACAAAATTTATCACCCAGAACAACACATGCTTATTGAATATAAAAATTTTAAAGAAATTTTAATGCTAATTATAAATTTAAAAGCATCTAACTTATTAAATTTTGTAAGTACAGTGCAGAAAAGTACAAAATTGCTCCTTAAATAACTTTTGATTTAGTGATCATATCTTGCACTAGAACTCAATCTTAATGTTTTAAAGGAGTGACCCTTTTAAACCATTAAACATAGGGTAGTAATGAAATCAGACATGAAAATGTATTTTCTCTGGTTTAATGTACCATTTTTTCCATGGATTTGGATACCTGATCCTCAAAATATAGGGTGTTACCACTCTGAGGAAATTATGGCCTTAAAAGTTTGGTTAGGAGTGCGATCCAAAATTTAGACATCTTAATGTTAATTTTATTTTTTGCATAATTTCCCATATCTCAAGACTTTGTACACAATTAAATTTTTTAAAATTTTTGTACACAATTAAATTCATTTATCGAAAGCAAAAAGTAATTTATGATTATTTGTCATTTTATATTTTATTTTAAAATAGCTGAACAGTTTCTAATTGTATGGTATATAAAATTTTACATTATTTTAAATAGGAAAAGTAGACCTTCTTTGTTATTCAGCAAAAAAAGCATTAAATTTAAAATAAGAACTCTTAAATGTAAATGCAACAATACATGTAACACAAGTAACTATGGAATTACCCTGCTGCATTGTGTGTTAAGAATTTCGTTGCATGTGGAAACATTTAATGTGACTGAGGGGTTAATTTTTCTTGCTATGGATTGGCTAAAACCATGATTAAAGATTGGTATAATTTTAAGAATTTTTTGAAGGAAAGAAATAGAATACACATTTATAAGTGAGTAACTTCACACTGTATATGAATGTTTTTTTAATAATATGCCTGTTTAACTTATTAAATAATTGTTTCGTGTGTATATATCACTGTATTTTATATGAAACATGTAGTAGAGATGTAACAAAACATGCTTAGTATTATAAAATAGTTTTGAGTGCCCATGTTATATTTTTATGAAATTTGTGGCTGGCTGGTAACAAAACTGTCTCTTGGAATGTTTGATATAGATTCTCTGTTTTTTTTAAAATTTTTTATATTTTATTTTATTAATTTATTTATTTTTACAAATTGCATGTTTTGTTAAAAAGTAACTGAATTGCAAGTGAACTTCTCATTTAATAGGATTAAAATATTTGATTTCGTTTTCGGCATGTGACAAAAGCAGTGCCAATAAAAATGTGCAAAAATTGTTTACCGAAAAAAAAGAAAAAGTAAAAAAAATCATCAAACATCGGGTGCAGGCATATAACAAATCAGTTTCTTATAATGTTAATTATAACTATGATTAAAAAAAAAATTGCTGTTAGAAATGTTTGATAAAAATAGAATAAATGTGTAATTTACCTTGCGACTTTTAGGTCATGAAATTTTTTAATCTATTGCTTGTCATTTTCACTTTTACTTATAAAGATAATTGAATTATATCAATTTTCAGAAAATATATAACTTAGTCTGCTTTTTAAAGAAAAATTAGTCATAATTTCTAATTAAATCAGTCAAGAAATTTTTAAAGAAATTCTGTTCCTTTTCTTGTAAGGTCTGAAAGTTTGTCATATATCTGTACAACCTTGCCTAATATTTTATTAAGCGAGCAAAAAAAAAAAAAAGAAAAAAAGAAAGAAAAATTATTAATTTACTCTGTAAAAATACTTTAATTTAAAGTGCAAATATCCTACATTCGACTAAAAATAATCTGATAATGGTTAATAAATTAAATGAGTGGTGTAATTTTTGGAGAATAATTTAGAGAAATTTAATTTATCAAATTAAAGTAAAAGAAATGAAACAAATAGTTAGATCTCTAACACTTAACTAAAATATCTTTTACACATAGCCTTAATCTTTAACACTAAACTACTAACGCATATAGTTTACTATTTTAACTTACCATATAAAATTTAATTCTCAGAAAAAAAAAAACTTTTTTTTTCTTGCATTAGCCTAAAACTTTCAATGCATTTTATATAGCTATATTACACTCTTATTTTCAGAAACCTTTGATGTTGATAATTTTTTAACATACAGTTTTGCCCAATATTTCTTAGCTTCAATTTTGTAACGTCTTTTTTATAATCTTCTTTCATCTTTACATGTAACTACTACTATTGGAACTATATAATTGCAAACATTTCTTTCAGTGCATTAAAAGATCAAATCTTAATTTATACCTTTATCAAAGAATGTTGTACAGAAAGAAAGAAAAAAATCTAGTAATCTTTTAAGAAAAATGATAATTGTTTTACTTTTCTTCCCCTTTGGGACCTGAGGTATGTTGGGAAATCAAACTTGTTGAATGATCTGGGGAGCTTCACCAGCCTATTTTTTTTTTAGTTTCTCCAAAAATGTAGTAGCTATAATGAAGCTTTGAAAAAAAACTTATCTTTTATTTCTCTATCATAAACAATAATGCAACATCATAAAAATCATTGATATATTTATGTTTTCTTTTTTATTGTTATTTTCTGCCAGCCGAAATGTTGGATTTGTAGTCACAAGAATAATTGGGTTTCACCATATTTAATAATGATAAAACCTATATCGTAATGCTTTTAACATTCTTTCGTGGGGTGTCAGATAAAATGGTTTAGTTAAAATCGTTTTAGTAAAAAGTTAAAATAGTTTTAATTGTTAAAATTTTTTTTGTTGATAGTTTTAGTAATATACATTAATAATAAAACACAAAATTTTGATTATTGTGCAAAGCATATTTAAAATTTTTCCAGTATATGTAATTGTGCCTATATTATTATCATTTCGAATGAATTAAATCTCTATAGTAAAGTTTGATATTTTACTTTTCTGAATGCTCTTCCTAAGTGAATATAAATGGCTTTACAACTGACATGTTTATAAAGTTAGTTGTTATAAACTGTATTGTCATTTTTTTTGCAGCATCCAGGAGTTACATTTAAGTCTTAATGATTACCGGTGTATTGATTTACCTTCGAATAAGCAGTACCCAAATTTGAAACAGTTGTATATTTGCGGTAATCCTTTTACATCCTGGAATGATGTTGCTTTAATTGGAAAGATATTTCCTAACTTAGAATCATTAGTTATGGCTGACACTCACATTTCCTCCATCCCTGATCCACCATCATGGCATCATCTTTTTCCCCATCTTCAGTCTTTGAATTTTAACAATGCACCTTTAAGTGACTGGAAAGACATTGATAAATTAAACCATTTCCAAAAGCTTGAAGATGTTAGATTACTTGGGATATCTGTTTTGGATGTGAGTATTCTTTTAATCATAATATTGTGGATTAGAGATTAAAATGAACCTTTAACTTATATGTTTAATAGCTTTGAGAGCTGATCAACATGTAAAATAAGCATGGATTAACTGAAAAGCAATATGAACTCACCTAGAGAAAACTTGAAATTTGAGAATATTAAAAAATAAAATTCCATAACTATGATATTTATTATTTATTTGCTACTTTTTAAATTCTGTTTTGAATCATGGCTCTATCTATCATGATGTATTTTTATAGATGTGTCAAATTTATCTTCTGCTTACTTTTTCAATAATTTTAATTTTTTATTTTATCAGTGAGATTTATTTTGTTATACTAACAAGGGAAGTATGCATCTTGAAAATTATTATTGAAACAAAGTTAAGTATAAATTAAGGAGCGTGGTTAAAAAACCTTGGATAGCATACGAATTAGCTGCCAGATTTACTTCTAGGGCAGGGATGGGTAAACTGTTTTGGTCGAGGGCAAAAAATCGAGAAAAAAAATGTTTAGTGGGTCAAGTAAAAACTTCAAAAAAAAAAAGTAATTTTTTTTTCTTCAAAAAAGCGATATACAAGTTTTAATTTAAATATTTAGTGAGATGAATGAGATTGAATTGATTCATTTTTAAAAGTTCCTTATATTGACGTTCGAAGTGAGATGTGCTTATTTTAAGACATGAGGCTGAATGCTTGTCTGTTAGTCTACTTCTGAAATGATTTTTTCTATGGTTCATAGTTGAAAACTCTTGTTCACATCTATAAGGAAACATAGCACTGATTTTCTGGACATGAAATATTAGATTTTGGAAACTAACTTTTGGTAATGATTTGTAACACTCTAACTTTGCCATATTTAGAAGCAACTGCTTCAGATGATTGTTAGATTGTCCGCTCGTTGGAACTTAAGATGCGCAGTCTGCCACATGTCAAGTACAATTCACTTATATTAGATTCCGTAAGTTTGCTCATCGAGAAAGACAAACGCTAGTTGGAGCCAATCTACGGCTATTCTATAAAGAACTCCTGCCTCCAACATTTTACCAATTGAAGCTGTCTGTCCTAACTATTTTCATCAATTTATGATTTGTAGAACAAAAATAGAGAAAGTAAAAAGGTCATCAGTACTTTGTTAAAAAAGAAGGAACAGAAATAGCTTTAAACAAAGTCGACAAGAAAATGAATGTATATTGTTTATATTTGCCACGGATCGGCAAATTAAAATTCTATCAGCGGGCCGGATAAAACCTTCCAACGGGCCACAGTTGGCCCGCGGGCCGTAGTTTGCCCATCCCTGTTCTAGGGTAAAATATGTCTCATTAAAATTTCAGTCTGTTTGCTTTTAGACTAATAAAACTTTTAATATGATGCTTATTCAGAATGTAACGGTTAGGCTGTTCGCCTTCTACCGAAGAGGTCTGGGCTTCAAATCACAGGTGGGACATTTGAATTTTATCTCTAATTTTCTTTATATTTTATTCAGTTTATAAATGATTATTTTTTTAATATTGATTGATTTTTCTCAAAAAATAAATTTTTTAAGACAAAAAAATAAAGATATTTATTTTTTCTAAATATTTTTTAATTTAAATATATGGATTATTCTGAAAAAGTTACGAAGTTTTAATCAAAATTTTAAATAAAAAATTTTTCAACTTAATTTTGAATTTTAAAAAATTTCTAAATTTTGTAAGTTTAAAAAATTACAAAACTTTAACTTAAATTTTAAATTAAAACATTTTCTTTAAAAAATAATCCATATAGTTTATAAAAAAATTACTATAAATTTTTTTGTAATTTAAATTTTTTCAAAAACGCAATTTAAATAAAAAATAATAATTTATAAATTACATAAACATCTTGATAATCAACAATCTTTTTAAAAAAGAAAATTAGAGATAAAATTTAATCGTCCCATCTGGTACTGAACCTCTCTTAGAAAGCAGACAGCCTTACTATTGCACCATGAATATATATCAGCTTGAAAGATTTTCTTAGCTTAAAAGTAAATGAACTGAACCTTTAATACCGTGTATTTTACCCTAGGGGCCAGATTTAGCTTTTAATTTGTCCTGTAAACAAGGTTTTCAAGCATGATTTAAACTTTGATTTAATAGAAAATTTTCCGATGCGTAATTCCTTAGAAATAATTTTTTTTACGAAACTAAATATGTAACCACTAATGAAACATTATTGTATTAAAATTTATGTTAATTGTTATTTATTTATGATTATTATTATAATTTTTTTATATCTTTTTTTTTATTATCCAGAAAAGTCTATTTTCTAAACTTGCAGAAGTCCCAATGATTCCAGATCTGAAACTTTCAACTGTATTTAGTATTTTAATTTGTAAAAAACATTTAGTGAGTTTTTATAGTATAGTCAAAAATCAAATAAGAATTTAAATATAAAATTGTAAATAAAATTGCAATGGTAACCAAGCAAAATGATCAGGTTTAAATTTCACCCAAATCCAATCAAACGCTGAATATGTGAAACAAAATCTGTGTTATTTCTGTAATCTGAAAAATTTTGGGATCTTTTAGTTGATTAATTTTAGAGAGATAATCAGAGAAAGAAGTAAAAGTTAATCAATTACAATTTGATAAAGATAATTAGTTACTTGTTACAGCAATTAAAAGAGACTAAGAAAGCACATGATCATTAACCCACTGACGGTTCTGCACGTAAAAAGTCGTATTTTAACCTGCAGTCTTCTCTGCATAGCAAAACCGGTTTTCCCATGTTAACTAATAGGGGAACTGTGTGTAGGGGAGAAACATTCTCCCAATTTTACCCATTTCCTTAACCGCCAGTGGGTTAAGAACCATTATTAAAAATTGGTATATGATTACACCAAACTATATAATAAGATATTTGTTAAATTTCTGTTGTATCAAATAAATTTAGTTAGAATAGAGGTTCACTCCTGTTTGGTATTTATGAAAAGCCACACAAAATGCAATCTTTATAAAGGAAAGGGCTTGGGACATACAGTGATAAGCCACATTTTCTAAAAGATAAATGTTTATATCACACTAATCCTTAGTAATGTTTCCAAAAAAGTACTTTAAAAATTTCCGCTAGTTAACAACATAATACAGTCAGACCTCGATATAAAGTCACCCTAAGGGACATAGCAAAAGTGACCTTCTAAGCGGGGTGACCTTTTAACCGATTCATTAGCAGTTCATAACTAAGTACGTAAATAGTACACATTGTGATTTTTTAAACCGATATAAATGGTAATACAAACGAAAACGATCGGCCATAAATTAAATATTTAAGTCAATAAATTTTAACAGAATTAATAAAGAATTAAAGAAAGTTAGATTTTTGAAAAAATTTTGATTTAAAATAAAGCTGTTTACAAATTTCCTCAAAGTGTACATACATACATTACATCTAACTTTATTTAAAATAATCAATTATGCAGGTCCGTCTCGTTTTTGGTTTCATTTTTCGAACAATGTTTTCTAGATTTTGTAACTTCTCAAAATGTTCCTCAGCTCCCTCATGGTTTGTAAAAACATTTCATACGACATTTATTGCGTTGAAGGCTTTCCTTTGGGATACAACTACAGTCTCAGGATCACTGTCATTGTCCACAACTTGTGAAATTTGTAAAACAATTTCAGAAATTGTAGCTTCAGAAGTGGTGACAATTTCCTCATCAATCAAACCATATTCAACCTCCCCTTCAATAGCATGGCCGGGATTTTTCAAATCTTCCATCAGAACAGATAGAGGAATATCGTCTCCTTCTTTGGTTTCGTCATCCACGATATTCAGAGAACTCACAAAACCAGCATGACGAAAACAATTTGCTATGCATGTGGTGGACACCATGTTACGCCCCAGATAAAAATGACCTTATAAGCGATAACGATTTTTAAAACTTGACCATATATCGGATAATCTGTAACAAAGAATTCCTATTCAGTGAGCCAGAACTTTGGAAAAGTGACCTTATATGCGGGGTGACCTTATATGCGGATGACCTTATATCGAGGTCTGACTTTATATAGTAGTGTCTTTTTTCCTACCTAGAAATCCTGTTGCTTTTTACAAAAAACGCTTTTAAAGGAAACTTTTTTCTGGACAATTTTAAACATGGCTTATCATTAGATTCTAGTCCCTTCAGATGTATATTTTTCATATACACTTATGGAAATGTTATAATTTCAGAACTTAAATGATCTTGAGAGACGTCAGCATTTAATTGCTTATCTTCCTTCTGTGATTCGTTTAAATGGTAGTGCCATACTTCAAAAAGAAAGAGAAGATGCTGAAAGAGCTTTTATTCGGCATTTCTTGTCCAAAAATGAGCGACCTAAAAGGTAAAAATATTTTTTTTTCTGTTTCATTTATGAAAATAAAATATCATTTATGAAATTTCATTTATGAAAATAAAATAATTATTTCATTTATGAAATAATAAGTCTAAAAACTCTGTATTGAAATTATTCTGTTTTTTTTTTTTTTTTTTTTTAAATTCTAAACTTTATTAATTGTTTATTATTAAAATTTTTTTTTGCAAGAGTAAGATAAATAAAAATAAAACCTAATTTTGCAGTTGAAATTTGATTAAATTTTTTTTCTTACATTTATTAAAATTATAATTTTTCAAATCTTTTAAAATAAGTTTCTAATTTTTTAACACTGAATATTAGACTCAATTTAGTTCAAATATTTTATTAATTACCAATAATATTCTGTTCTGTTTTGCTAGCACATAAACTTTAATGTAGTGGAATGAAATGTGGTTTTTAAATTCATAAAACTTGTTTTCTATAATTGATAATGTTTAGAATTTTAGCAACAAATAAGATGTTTTTGTTATTTTAGAATTAAGGGAACTTTCCTGCATGTTGTGACAGACTAGCCATAAAAATTTAAAAGAAAAAAATCCTCTAAATGGCGTTTAATTATCTGTTATAAATTAAAAAAAAATTTTTTTTAGTTTTTTTCTCTTTTAACTAAAAATTTGAGTTTATTTTAATACAGTTAATAAATTACTTCTAGTCAATTGTTTTATATTAAGTTTTATTTATGGTTTATTATGTGTATACATATTGGGGTAGGAAAGAAAGTAAACTTCCTTCTTTTTGTTCCAAATTGATGGATGTCATCAAAAAATTTATTGTAATGCACGGGCAGTTAAAATTATTGTGCAATCTGTAACTCACTATAAGACCGGAACAAATAGTTAACATACCTGAATTAAGTTGCTCATACTGCAACACATTCAGTTTTAGTTATTCTAGTTATTTTATGTGTTTTTTTTTGTTTTTGTTCATATAATTCATGTAGCGTGTTTTATGTAGGTTAAAATTTTCTGCTATGTTTTTTATGTTTTATTTATTTTATGACTTTTTCATGATTGTCTTATGTTTTTATTTGTTTTCTCTATATTTTCTTATTTTACTCTTTTATGTATAGTCCGCAAAAAAACTAGATAAATAAATGAAGGAAAATAAATATTTGAAAAACAAACAATATGAAACTCTCATAAATAACTTTTGATCTAATGATCAGATTATCATGCACTGGAACTTTAACCTAATGGTTCGAGGGCGTCGCCTTAAATATGCTAATGAGGCCATTCAATTATTCAATAAGCAATTTTGGACACTTTTTCGATAATTTTGGACTCCCCATTTGTCAGCAAAAAATAAGCAGCTCGCTTACACAAGAAGATTGTAACATTCACTCCTTGATTCTAGCATGAACTTTGACCTTAACTTTAGTATTCAAGTTTTGGGATTAAATCAAATAAAAAGATGTCCCTTTGCATTTTGCTTTTCATTTAAAGTCATTTTATAAAATTTGGAGTATAATATTCTTTAGGAATCTTGTGCTTTCTTTTGGTATTCAAAACTTTGAATTCTGAAACTCTGCAAAAAGAATTTTTTTTCTACTTTTTTTCTTTTCCTAAATTTAACTTTTATTCCTCACTTGTCATTTTTTTGTTAATTCTTTTATTTTGCTTTTGGATAATTTTAAAATAAGGGGATTTCATTGTCTTATCATTGCTTATTCTCCTCTTTCCCCTTGTCAGCGAAAATAAGCAAATCACCCCCTGAATAAACAAATCACCTAAATAAGCAAAATAACTGTTAGATGCTTATGTAATATTTGAAAGGGACCAATTAATTAGTGCAGATGATATTTTAGGTTAAAAAACTTGGTACAAAAATGTACTTTCATTGAATAAACATACCTTTTTTTTTCATCTCTCAAAATATAAGGGGTAGCTGCACTCTAGAAATGCAATCCCAATAATCTGGTCTGGAGAGTGGTCAAAAGTTTTGACTCCTTAATGTTTATTTTACTTTTTGCTTATTTTGCCACATCTCAAGAACTTTTAAGCAAATCAAAAATTTTTGTGCACAGTTATAAAATTCCTTTATTCAAAGATAATTCCAGGCAAAAAAAATAAATTTTAATAATTATTTTGTCGTTTAAAATTATATTACTTCAAATGATATAAAATTTTCTAAACCTTGCAATTCAAAATTTTTCAGCTATTATTAATAATAAGGGTACTAAAAAATAATTAATAATTATTAAAGTGTATTTTTTTCTATGGAATAATTCAGTCATGACTTAATGTCTTGTCGTTCAAAGAAATATGGACGTTAAACATGGGTACTCAAAACTATAGCAAATATTTACTCATAAATATTGGACTTATTTTGACAAATCCACTGCCAATATAATTAATCCATTTCTTTCCAAATTTTTAAAGTCTGTTCTAAGCATTATGCTTGTTGTGAGCAGTCAAATAGCATATGCACTGAGAGTTAATAAGTTTAACCAAAAATAAAATTTAGAAGAATGATATTACCACATGTTTTATCTCTGAAATAAGCTGCCTATTACAACACTTCGCAAAAAAAGTAAAGAGTTAAGAATTTTGGAATAAGAAAATTATGGTTAATGAGTTAATTTAATCCTTTAAAAACAAACTTACAATGGTTATAGATGCTTATTTTTTTCCCAGGCAAGGATTCGATGTACTCATCTAATTCTCTATAATGAATTAAATTGTTTGTAGCTCAACTGTGTTATGCCGTTTTTGGATTGATGTTCTTGAAATTGAAAAAAAATTAAACAAAATTTCGGACTTTATATTGGAATTGTTCTCATAGACATTAAAATATTGTGTTTATGGAATAGCAAACTGGACTTTGCGTATCATTCGTTGCAATGGAAGCATCACAATGATGGGGAGTGACTGAGGAGCATATACTGTATTCGAATTTATAAATTTTATAATTGTAGGGGAAAACTTTCAATTTGCTTAAGAAGTTCTTAAGATATGGAGAAATACACAAAACGTTAAATTAACATTTGGTGGTTCAAACTTTCCACCACTCTTTTGATTGGCACAATATTTTCCAGATTATAGCTATAACCCATATTTTGAGGGTCATAAATGCAAATCTGTTAAATAAATGAGGTATGTTTATTGAGAGAAAATGTGTTTCTGAGCCTGATTTTATTACTTGAAATATCGTTACCACTAATTAATTAACATATTTAAGGTGAGGCCCTCAATCCAGTAAGATGGAGTGTTAGTACTTGAAAATCTAATCATTAGATAAAAAGTTATCCCAGATGTTTTTTTTTTTGTTTTTTTTTTGCACACTCTGCAAACAAATTATTTGCCTTAGATTTGTTTCAGTTGTTTAGTTACTTAACTCAGTTTTAGGTAATTTTACTCAGTATTAATGTAAGAACCCTAATTCAAGATTTAAAATTTCTATTTGAATTGTTTAATGTAATAAATTTGTTAATCTTGACTTATAATGTTTAATTTAAAAAAAAAATTAATATTGATTAAAAGTTATCATTTAAAAAGATGTGTATTTCAATTTTATAATAAACTTTACCTTGTTGAGGTTGTATATTTTTGTCTAAAATTATTTTAAGATGTTTGTAAATTTAAATAATTATTCACCCACTTTAATTATAGAAGAAATATTAAATAGCTGTTTCTGTTTTATAGATTTTATGATTTAGAAGAAATTCATGGAAAATTGGATCCATTAGTTGATGTTGATTTATCTCCTAAGAAAACTGCTCAAGTGTTTGTTCATTTTTGTGAAGAACAGTCAGTTTTAACCGTAAACTTACAGCAATCAGTTCAAGAGCTTAAAGCTACTCTGAGTGATAAATTTGGCCTAAGACCAGCTAGAATGAGACTGTTTTATGTCGATCAAGATTTGAAAAACGCTTGTGGTCCTGATGAACTACGATATAACAACAGAAAATTATACAGCTATCAAATACGAGATGGTGATGAACTGTTGTTGGACTCAAAATAAATTGACCTTTGAACTAAATTAATTAACATGAACATTAACACTTTATTTCTATTTTAATTAAGATGAAATATTATAGTTATATTCTTATTAAATAAATCAGTTTGAAGAATGCCTTTTAATTACCAAAATTAGTTTGTAGTTTTTTGGAAGAATGGGTTGATTAAATAAACTAAAATGTTTAATTTTATAGACTTAGTTGTAAAATTTTGACTTAATATGGACTGTTGAAATATTTCTTCAAAATTGCTTTGTTTTAAATTAATCTTTGAAAATGGATTGTATTTACTTATTTTCAAAGTAAATTTACTTATTTATTAGTTATAGACTCGTTAAATAAATCTGTTTGAAAAATGCCCTTTAAATTATCAAAATTCGTTTGTATTTTTTTGGAAGAATGGGTTGGTTAAATAAACAAAAAATTTTAATTTTGTGGACATACACTGTAAAATAATGACTCAATGTGGACTGTTGAAATTTTCCTTCAAAACTACTTAACCTTGTTTTAAATTAATCTTTGAAAATAAATTGTATTTACTAATTTTCAAAGTAAATTTACTTATTTATTAGTTATAGACTCATTAAATAAATCTGTTTGAAAAATGTCCTTTAAATTATCTAAGTTAGTTTGTAGTTCTTTGGAAGAATGGGTTGGTTAAATTAACTAAAATTTTTAATTTTATAGACTTAAGCTGTAAAATAATGATTTAATGTGGACTGTTGAAATTTTCCTTGTAAACTACTAATTAAATAACTTGGAAAATGAGTTCTATTTACACTTGGAGGGAAATAAGGTTTAAAACTTATAATTTGACTAAAAATACAAACATATGAAAATAAAATACTTAAGCTTAAAGTAAGCAATCTGATAAAATTATTTTAAACTGAAAAATTGACTTATGATATCAAAAGGAAATATTATTCATTATACAAATCGTTTTGGAATACAAAGAAAAATTCTAGAGCTATATTTGTATGAAAATGCTCCGACTTGTAAATTGTATGGCATAAATATTCCATTAAAACTATAAATATTTGCCACAAACTACACTCACTAAAGTCTTCTGTGTTTTTCCATTCTCCACTCTATATTAGTAAAAAACATTACTTAACACGTTTAAAATGTTGGTGCTATAAAGTGTTATTACAAATTTTTAAAACTTTTCATTATTTATATCAGAATAGATTTTTAAAGTTTGTCAGTTTTTAAATTGTTATATTTATAAAAAGTTGTGTTAGTTTATGTTATATTACAAATATTTTAATTGTAAAATTAGTTTTAGATTTTTACTTTATATTACATATGTTTTTTTCCCTTAATGGTTTGAGAATAAATTTTTGTATTTTATCATTAATACTGTTTTAACTTTTTCCAATTAAAATTAAAACAGTTGACACCATTTTGATATACCTTTCACTTTATGAACTAATGGCAATTTTTGTATTAAAAAAGTAGCCTTGTTAAATACTAGGAAGAATATTGGGCATTTTTTAAAGTATGTATATTAATATATTTTATTGTAATTGATATTTTTATAATATTCAATTATCATTTAGATTATAAATCAGTTTGTTTGATTGCAATTAACTAATAGTTATGTAATTAGAACTCTATAAAAGTTTGTATTGCCTAAACATTCATTTTAGTTTAAATAAATTCAATTCAATAAATTCAAAAATTTTCAAATAAATTCAAATATTTTCAAAGACTTATCCGGTGACTTTTCCCCCTTCTTTTTTTTATTTACTTTTAAAAAAAAAATTTTGAATTTTCGTATAGTTATCTGCCTTTTTTTTCCTTTTTTAATTCGTAATATTTGTATTATTTGAAATTAGTGCTTTCTAAAATTGCTATTACAAGTCATCTTGTTTTTTTTATGTGATATTGTTTTATATTTTATTAAATTATTAAATGAGCTGTTGTGTTTGTTTCTTTATAAAATTATAATGACATATTTTATTTCAGTAAAAATTATTTATCTAAAATTTGGTGAAGAGAGACACTTAGCTACATTGTAAAAAAAATTTTCTGCATTATAATTTATGTTTACTTTTTATGAAAATAAAATTATTTCTTACAATATAATTTATCACTGATAACTATTTTCAATTTGAAGTTTTATCTTATTGCATTTTGTTAAATACAACTTTTTTATTATTATTTGCAATCTAATTCATTTGCAGCTATTATTCCTATGTAATATTATTTAAATGGAAATTACATTAATTGAATATAGATTAATATTACAATAAAATGTGCAAAGAGAATTCATTAAATATATTATTATATATTGTGTTAATTAGAATTTTTTTTAATTATTATTTTCTTTACCAATAAAAATTTAATAAAATATTCATGTTTGGTGCTGTAACAATGTGCACGTAATAATGTTTACATATTTTATGGAAATTTTTTAAATTTAATTATTGTTTTTATCTTATTCCAAATGGTTTGTCTCCTTTATTTGTTTATTTATCTTTTTTTTTAAATTTTATCTCAGGCTCTTCCAGATATTTTAATTGAAAAAATTTCTAAGTGAATAAAAATTCTTCTAAGATATATTAATTAAAACCAGTTTTTGTGTGAGTACTTTATGCTCTTTTCATAGTTTCACAAAGGCAACTCCTTTATTTTATATTTTGTTAAATACTATTTTAATTTGTTTTTATATTAACTTAAATATCTTACTTTTAATTTCCCCCAATTTTTTTTGCATTTATTAAATAATGACTATGCATCAATGTTATTTCAATATATTTGAAACTTAATTTTACTTTAAAGAACTTAATTTTTTTTTGTGAAGATGAATATTTATTCTTAATTTTGATATTTTTATATACAGGGTGATTAAAAAATAACTTTACCGAAATATGGAGAGTATACCATTTGAGTGATTGGAATAAACCTATTTGGACTTGTGGACATATCGAAACTCTGTGAAACAGGAAATGCTTTCATTGTAATTTCTTCTCAGTTTTCCAAGGGTTTATTTACCACCCTCTATTCTCGTTCGTGGTCAGGAAAAATTAGACCCTTGGTAAAGGCTTAGCATTGCAATATCTTGTGCTAAAAATATCTTGTTCATCCTCATTTTAAATTTTTAACTGTAAGGGTTAAGCTTGGATCAGAAAAAGTCAGTGTTGCCTTTTTAAAATTTTGAAACTGTAATTGTGAGAGTTGTGCAATCATTTACAACCCTATTTTTGAGCATATAGATCCTAACACCTCTTTCCAAAGTTTATTCCTTTCACAAAAATTGTATTCTCTCCAGAGGGTTATATGTTGACAGAGTATTTTTCATGCTCATTCTGTGCTTTACCAGCATTTTAAATTATCAGATTTTCAATACTTTTCAAAAACAGTAAAAAAGTATAAAAAGCAGTTTTAACATTTAGAAATTAATTCTAAAAGCTTATATTTTTTTAATTATCATTATAAAATATTTCTACATTGTAACATATTGTAAAAATTTAAGACTTTGGGGAATATGTTTTTTCCCCCTAATATTCTAAATTTTATTCTTATATTTATTGCGTTATTTAATAATACTAATAAATAAGCAGCAGTTTGATTATTTTTTATGACTAAAATGCTAAAAAAATAAATATATTTAAAATGAATTTTAATTGGCATAGAAATAATTTTCATCTGGAAAGATATATTTTAATCAGAATAAAATCAAATATTTATACTTAGAGAAAATTTGGGTGCAATTCAGAATTGATAAATCATTCAACTACTTTACATGATTTATACCAATTGAATGTTTAAAATTTTTGCATTTTATTCCACATCTAGATGTATGTTGTGTATTTAAAACATCGCACTATACACTTCACTATTTATGGCTTACCTGATTTATTTATTTTTTTCTTAAAAGGAAATTCTGAAAAGTATTTATGTTAAAAATTAAAAAAAAAAAGAATTAAAATGTATAAAATGAATGCACACAGTTTATTATTATTTTTTTTACTATGTTGAGTGATATATTTCGCCAAAGCCATCCATAATATTTCTTATCATATTAAAAATGTAAAAAAAAAAAAGCAAAAAAAAAACCTAAATAGAAGCTTGTTTATTTTTGTGAAATTCATTCATCAATTAAAATTTTTTACATTCAGTTATGTTGTCTGGTTGTTACAGTTATGGTTGTTATAAAAATATAATATACTTATATTCTTATAGCTGTAATAAATTTTATTTTTTAATGTAGTTTATGTTTTGAAGAGTATGTTTGTAGCCTTATCTTAAAATTTCTTAAATTAAATTTATATACAAATATAAAAGCAAAACTGCAAGTTTTTTTTATTATGATAGTATTCATTCCATTAATCATAACTAAAGGAATATTTGATAGTATTAATTGAATATTTCTATTTTGTCAAGTTAAAAAGCTTATGTTTGGCTTAAACATGCTTTTTTCTGTTGTTAATTTAAATATTAGTTTTAACCTGTTATTTAATTTTTTATTTTCTACTATTTTTTCCTTAATACTTCGTTGTTTAATGCTTCTGATTCCTACTGTTGAATTTATTTCAAAAATTAAGTGGAATATACATTTAATTTTACACAACAATACCGAGACAAGTTTAAAAGATTATATTATAATTGTATGTAAAATTGAAAAGAGTATTTTCTGGTTTGTATATAATAGTTTGTAATTACTAATAAGGAAATTAGTTTTAGATTTTTTTTATGTGTTTAAAAAATACAGCTTGGTGTTCAGCATTGTATGGTTTTCTGTGTTGCCCAATTTGTTATGTTATATTTTATTTGTATAAACATGTTATGATTTTAAATTTTTGTGGTTCATTTTATATGTTCTTTTTGTTTTTCTCTCATTAAACTATTTTCTATTAAAAAAAAATCCCTTTTTTAGTGCTCGCATTAGCTAAATTGCAAATTTAAATTTACTTACTCAACCGTGCATTTTTAATTGAATTTTGTAAAAATGTATTTGTAGTTATTGTTTTAGAACTATCTATATTATATAAAACGCTAATACATACGTATGTATGTATGTATCAATAAAACCGATGATATTTCTTTTCTCGCGCTGGCAACAGTTTTCATTTTTAATTGATTGGATTCGGCGCGCAAGAGCACGTAGTGAGCAACCAGATAACAATAACCAGAGTGAGCATTATCAGGTTGTTCAATTCAGATTCATGCACTAAAAACATGACAATATTTAATTTAAACTCAATTAGGAATTAATTAATTAATTGAAGTGAGAATGCTTTAAAAGGCCGCTGTTGAATTGATATTTTTCTACTGGGAGCTACCTAAACGTCTAAAAACCGTTTAAGTGTTTGTATTGAATGCATTGAATTTTTTTATATTTCGCATTTATTTATGCATTGAATTTTCACGCTTTAAAATGCAGAATATTGGTGAAGCAATATTTGATAATTTATTTTGCTAATATGTTTCTTATTTAGCTAATGTTTTGATTTTTTCACCATGTACAATCTAAATAGCTAATATACTTTTTTAAAAGCCAATAAGAACATTGGTAGAATTCATCTTCATAAGTACAATACTATGTCTTTGATGATAAAATACTATGTCTTTGATGATAATATATTATGTCTTTGTGCTAGAACATTGTGTTCATTGGCGAGCGAGCGCAGGGAGCCATGGTTCATGGCGTGAACCACATAGGATTGCGTAGCAATTCTCGGGGGTTGGCGAGCGTTAGCGAGCAGGGGGCGGAGCCTCCTAGTTTGTATTAAAGTATGATAAACATTTCTTAAAAGTTAAACTTTTTTAATAATATATTAATCAGTGTTAGTTAACTGTGAACCATACCAATCAGTTTATTTTGTTTGAAAATAAAACAAAAGATATGGAAACAGATCATTATAGTGCAAAAATTTTAATATTTAAATGCAGTCATTTAGGATTTTATTTCACATCTAGGTGTTTAAAAAATTAAATATTACTTAACTCAATAATTGATGGATTTTCTTGTTTACAAGGTCAAATTTTACTTTGCTAATTAATATCCCATCAATGTTATAATAATAGTCAATTGCAGGTTTCATAGTTGTCTTGATTTTTCGGATGACAAATATTTTGTCATTATTTTTAGTTTGTTTTTAATCCTGATATTGGCGTGTTTATGCAACATCTCATTTTTATGAACATAAATGTGTGTTTTAAAATAATTGATTTTAAAAATGGAAAGATTGTGATTTTCGATCCATCTTTTATTTACATGGAATTTTAAATTTTTTTCCACATGGATTTTTTTGCTTTTTCTTTTATACTTGTGTTATATTGCATATAAAAAATTAGAATGGGTATCAGTACATTCTCCCGTTTTTGTTTATTCTTTTGTTTATCTATTGCAATTATTTGAAACTAGAATGAAAATGAAATTTCAGTTTCTCTTCATATAAGTATTTTAATATAATTATATGTCCGATATAAATTTAGGAAAGGAATAATTTTTGATTGACATTCTTGTTTAATTAAACAGAGTCTTTAAAAAAAAACTTAAATAAATAATGTCTTAAGAGAATTTTATATATTTTAAGGCTATTTTTAGGAATTCTTTAAAGTTTTATTGCTTGATAGTTTATTTTTTATATTTTTTTTGAATTCAAATAATTTTTTCTGCCTTCAAAAATGAGTAATAACAATAATAACGTTCATTATTATTACTGCATATATTAAACTGTCTCAATGCACTAAAAAACTGAAAAAAATATCTGTTCTGAGGTTGTTGTCTTCTGATATTAAAGTAAAAGAAAGCTGTATTCATAATTTCATTATCAATACGTTGAAAGTAGCGCGAAAAATCTCGATGTGGATGTGGATTATTGTAACCAAAAAAAAAAAAAACAAAGTTTTTTAGATACCTTATTGTAAGCAAAAGCACTTTTTTAAATGAGTAATTAAATGTGCATATATTCCATCAAAAGACAACAGCCTTTTTTATGGACATGTCAGCTTACAATTTTTTTCATCAAGGTTAATTTTTATTTAGCAGCTAATTTACAAAATAAATATATTTTAAATATGTAGAATAAAAATTTATGATCACTAAAAATAATCAGTGCTTTAATTTTTATTAAATTTAATTACACAATTTAAAATTTTATTTGTCTTACAAGATGTTGCAGCTTTTACAATGCTTTTAAATGCAGGTTACAATACTTAACAGCTTAAATTGTCTTGGATAAAAATGTATTATATTTATTCATCTTGGAGCTATAGCTTAACTCCAATGTATATTGTTATTCGGATCAAGGAAAAGGCCATAAGAGATTATGAACAACTGTATATCAGTCTAAACTCACCAGATGCATGAAACATGTCTTATCACTTTTATTTTATTCGAATCTTTGTTTAAGGTCTGATAATTCTTTCAAAATGAAGAATGATTGCAGCACTAATCATTCATTTTGATTGAATAATTAGCAATCTGAATTTGTTGCATTTTTGTACAAAATGGTATGCATAAGAGATTAGATAATTTTACTTTAACAATGAATTTTTTTAGTGTATCTTAAATTTGGATCCAGATTCTTTGAAAAAAAAAAAAGGTTTTGGAAAGTCTCATAATTAAGAGTAAAAATTTCTCCCCCCTTTTTTTAAAACTTAGTTGTTCTATACCTGCTGGTATTATTATACTTTATACTTCATGGCTTGCCAAAAACATTTAAGTAAGTGTTCATCATTAGTAAGGAATGGATTTTAAAGTTCAAATATGAGCAACATGCTAAAGATTAATGTAGTCATGCCAGAAAAGCCCTGATAACTTTTTTTTCATCACATAGGGGAAAGTCGAAAGTTTTCTCATAACTTTATTTAAGTCGCAAAGTTCATTGTTTCCCTATGTATTATTTACTAATCTATTTTTTGTCTTAAAATTTTAGAAAGAATTTTCTTAATCCTAATAAATGTAGAAAAAGGAGACATCACATAATTTGCGAAAATGGTGCTACAATCCCTTATAAGTGCTCTAAGATATATTCAAAATGCACTTTGATTAAAATCTCAACCAAAACATTCGTACAACCTGTATGATAAATTAGTTATAATTTATTAGCAGTGTGATACATTCAAATCCGTTTTAAATCAGACCGAGGTTATGAGAGTATTATAATGATGGATTAATCAGCTTCGAAATCAATCGATAAAAGTTAACCAGATAGACGTTATTTCCTAAATGATAATATCAGAAGTACTTTCGGTTGGTGTATTTCAACAAATTTAAACAATGCATTTTGATAATTAGATAGTTTTAATTTTGATTTAAGTGGAATGTTACGAAAGTAAATTTTGCCTACTCTTTACAAAAGGAAGCTTTATTACAAAAAGATAACACGTCAGAACAAAATTCATTATGTTTATTAGCTGAATCATTACATTATATCTCAACCTGTATCAGTTGAATTATTCGATCAATTGAACATAATTGCTTGTCGATTCCCAGTGTTTTATACTTTTTCTGCATGGGGGATTTGTGTTATTTAATGTTTTGTTATTCAATGTAAAGGATTCTTCTGATATGCTTAACGTGCAGCAATTAGGATTGGATTCTTGACATGCTTTAACTGTTATCGGAAGTTCTTCACGAATATTTATTTTTTCTCACAAGACTTAAATTCCTTTGGACACCTGATGATTTTCTGATCTACACAAAGTTTTTGGGAATCATCAAGATCATTATAAAAAAAGTCACTTTCTCTTTTTAAAAATTAACTTAATAATGAAGAATTGCTAACATATTTGTCCCTGGAGAACGATTATCCGATAGAATAATGCTGGTTATTACCATATCTGACGTTGATGTATTATTCTGACGTGAATTATTTTTGTAGTAAAGTTTGTTTTGAAAAAATTGCACCTTTTTACTTTCATTATATTCATTGTTTGTAAATAATGCAATAAATGAACTTTGAGAAAGCATTGAACACATTTTGGATCTTTAACAGTTGGCCTATGAAATTTAACAGGATAGCAGTTTATTTCAAGAGAACTTTCATTTCGAGTTCTCTAACAAAAGCTATGATGAACACTACAACAATCAATGACAACATTTGGCTTAAATCGTCAACAACAATACAAAAAAACATCTCACAGGAACAAATGGAAAAAATAATGACCACTTGGAGGCATTCCTTTGCATAGAATTGTTATAGAAAATTCGAAATCGTGAACACAAATTTTTTGCCTACTGTTTCCGATATCATTCGAGAAACTAGGAAATACGTTGGAATTATGTATAAAATCTTTCGAAAGGAAAGGTTTCTTCGTGACTAACGACTTGCTCCACTTTGGTGACCAATGACTATTGCACCACCTGGATTGGGCATTTGACTTTTCAAGCGAGTATAACTTCCAGCTTGAGCCTATAGAATAAAAAAATTTAAGGAAGTCAGGATTATCGACTTAATTGTATAACATAATTGAATAATGTATTTCGTATTTTCATATAATGATGAAATTTTATCTCCTAAAAATTGCTTTCAACGTGAAAAAATTGCTTATGATATTCATGACTAATGCTCAAAATAAATTATTCTTTACAATATAGATAGGGATATTTCCATATGCAAAAATCCGTTCTTTTGTTATCAATTGTTGTCATGTTTAATATTTTGGTTTAAAATTCTAGCTTGCATATATATATTTATATATGCTTCTTATAAAAAGTACAATTGTAGTTAACTGATATATAATTTTTTTGGTTAATCTAGATATAGCCTAAATTTTGTTTTGAGTATAAAATCTTTGAGACGGTGTGTTCTTATTACCCAAATTTGGTTTTCGACATCTCGACGACCTACATAAAAATAGTGCTTTTTTCTTTTTTCAATAATGCTCTTCTATACAATTTGAAAAAAAAAGACTTATATTATTGCTCCAAGTCCTTTAAATAAATGTTTTTTTTCTTCATAATTCACTGTCAGATTTATATTATTCGATCTAAAAGTACGGTGTTGCAAGGAACAAAACGTATTTTCAGCTTTGAAATTTCAAATAGTGTAAATTAGAGAGGCTATAACTAACAGAAATCTTAAACAAAATCCATTTAGCTTTGTAAATAATATCGAGAGTGTTCCTTATTATCTTATAAATTTATAAATAAGGTGAAAAATATTCAAAATTCTTACATTTGCGGGTACTCCAGGATTGGCTGTGTCCCAAGGGGCATCATATGCATCGTCATCGTCAGGTATTCCTACAGGGTGCCTTGCACCCATAGGCGGTGTATATGATGGTGGCCTAGCGACAGGATCACAGAAAGCACCTGGAGCTGTACCTTGTAGCGGTATCCTAGCTTGCATAAGTCGACAATCTAACGGCTGACACGCAGCTACATTGGAAAGAAAAATAAGTATTTTAGTATCAGTCTTAATTTTTCTATAATTTTTTAAGAGTCATAAATTCTAATATAATCTTGACCTGCAAGTCTTTTTTTTTCATCAGTTCTTAGCAATTGACTATAGATACTAGCTGATCATGATCATTATTTTTGTGGTTGAATGCATTTAGAATATTTTATTGTTCAGATTTTAAAAAATCTTCATATATTTATATCTAGCAGTATAGTTTCAAAAATTTAGGAAAATGATTAAACTTTTAGATTTAGGAACGTGGTAATTTCTTAAGCGAATCTAAAAAATTTATGCACACATTAAAATTCGTTTATCTAAAAACAATTATGTGTAAATTTTTTCAATAATAGTTGTTTTTATAATTTAATATAATAATGGTAAAAAAATAGTTGAATTGTAAAGTATTCGCATTTTAACCTATAATTTTAAATTCTGGAGAGCATGTTAACATTCAGGCCCAGTATAGCGAATCTTGTGTCATTAAAGTCTACTTTCAATTTAATACATATGTTGCCAAAATCGTTTTTGTTTTATGACTTAAATTTTTCTATTTAACTATTGATGGGACACATACATTTCTTATGTTCTAAAGAGGAAAAACGGTATTTGTTAAACGATATGTCAATGGATAAGACATCCCAACGAATTTAGTTTTGTTTCTTCTCGGAAATTGTAATATATTAATAAATTTTTAACGTCAATTGAAAACACAATTTGGATTGAATTTGTCTTTTAAGAAACCATTAGAACAATGTTGTCGACATCTTTCATGACACATTTTATCTTTGAATTTTTTTCTCTCAACGCCAATAAATAAAAAAATAATTAAATAATAAAAAAAAAATCGGAAGAATAGTATACAGGTTTTGTGCCTCATTACAATGAATTAAAAATAAAACAAATAAAACTATATATAAAAAAAGCGCAGAATTAAGGAATGTAAAAAGAACTGAGTTGAAGAATAAAGAAAATATTTTCTTACAATTGTATATGCAACTAATATAGTATTTACTCTATTTATCAGTTCGGATAGATTTTGTATTGTGTGTATGCAATTAATGATTATCATAAACTGTTATTTTCTATGAAAAAAAAACCATACCAAGTAATCTGTCTTGTCTGAGAGTCATTCTTTTGTAACAGACCCAAGCTATAACGACTGTTGTAACTATGACTACAACTGATGCAGCTACAGGAATGACAAAGTAAGGTCTAAAATAGAAAGGAGTGTTGATGTGTGTTGCTGAGAAGGGGACTGATATTTCTGAAATGGAAAAATAGCTTATTATTTTCATTAGTAAACAGTATATTTTAGCATTATTGTTATTTTAAACACATAATACATCATCGAAATTTAATTATTCAGAGAGTAAATATAGTTATAGTCATTATTCAGCAGTCAAATGGAAATGCAATGTTAAGTGATAGTTTGAAAACACTCAAATTTCTGTGTTTAAGAATTTAGTGATTTCGATTTTGAGTATAAAAAATAATTTATATCACCAAATTATTATTTTTTTTAATATTTAAAATTTTTACACAAAGAGAAATAACAAAAAAAAGAAAAAAAAATCCTGTAGTTAAAGTGCATTGCTTCAAACTCGAACAAAGTTTTAATTTTAAACTCCACAGTCCCAAAAGAGCTGTTGCTTAAATATTCAAAAAAAAATAATTTTTTTTTGTTGAAAAGTACAGATTTAGCGAATCTTTTTCATCAAGATAAAAAGCATTAAAATCATTGATTTGTATACATATTTTTATGATCCCAAAGAATACAGCATTAAAGTAACCTTTTAGACATTAAAAAATTAGATTAAACTTTGTAATTAAACTTTTTCATATTGAGATTTTGTGCTATTTTATTGTCACGCTGTCAGATGTTGTTGAAAACCTTGTAGTCATGAAGAATTATTACAAACAGGCAATGTTATAAAAATAGCTTTTTAGTCGCTACAAAAACCTTGTTCAATATGACAAGAGCATTTAAAGAACAAATTTACTAAAAAAAAAAGTTGTTTTATGAACGAATCTTTTTTCGATGTTTGTATACATTATAAAATTTTTCTCAATTTTACTAAAATGTCATTTTATTTGTTTTTTCTTCTTCCCTAAGCTTTTTAAATAACATATTTCTAACACAGAAAGCATTGAAACATGATATCAAATACGATTTTTATTCATAGAATAAGTTTAAAAAAAAAGATGGTTTAGGTTCCATTTTTAAGTTTCATTCGGCTTTTTAAAAACTTATCAGATAAAATTTTACGAGAGAAGAAAGTCGCGGTTGTTTTCAATTGACCTTTATTTAACAAATGACGTCATCACCTAGACACTCAACACCTTAATTCCCAGACGGACAAGAGAGTTTTTATCAAAATGTTTTTACTGAACCATATATATAAACCCAGGCAAATATTTTTCTCTTCAGCTTTAAATGCGTGTTCAACTACTTAATTGCGAATGCCTTTTTTTTCTTCTTTTACTTTCTAAGCTGTTGGAGTAATGTTTTTCTTTTTTTTTAATTGGATGATTTGAAATGAAATTTCTTTTCAAAAGCGTATCAGTTTTCGGAACCCCTCTGAAACAGACTAAAATGATTTTTCCATAAGAATATATTTTTTTCAAAGTTTTTTTTTTCCGTTTAAACTTTAACCTCTTTTTTCGGAATGTTTGTCGGAGGTGAATCTATTGGACTCATTTCCAATTATTCATTATGAATTATTCATTTTAAATTGTTCCAATTTCATTTTTAATGTTTTTGTAATTTAATACTCAATGTGTAATAATGTTAGCGTATTTTTTATAAAGTTGTTTTTGCATTTCAATTCAGTTCTTTTTTCAGAAAACACTAATAAAAGGAAGGCGATGTCTAACGATGCTCTGGAAAGTCCCGCTTAGACTTAAATTGGTAGTTTTAGTCTAAATTTAAAAGTATTAAATAAATTGAATTTTTTTTTCAAAGAAAGGATTGTCTGAGGTGTTCTAAAATTGGTAAAAAAAAAACAAAGCATTCCCTCTTCAGCCTGTTGTGGACAGGGAGTCATTGAGGTTAAGCCGTCACAATTTCGTGATCAACTCCATGATTGGGGCAATGTAATCAGCATTGTGCGCGAATCACCTTCACTTTCCAGATAAGCTAAGTGGACTTCAAGCCACCACTGAAAATCGAACACCAGGTCTAGTAGATTTAGATTTATGGGAATAATGTGTTTTGGAATTTAACAGAGTATAAGAAACAGGAAAAGTACATATTTCTGAAGTGTCAATAAATGTTAGCAAATAAAATATTTATATAATTAAACCCAGTTATTAAAAGCTCGAACTTTATATGGTCAAATTCTTTTTATTATTATCAGAATAGAAAACGTAGACTTTTTTTACGGTATTGAAAAATTCGGGTTATTAAAATTCATGATATCGAAATCCGATTGTAATTCATATTTTATATAAGTAGTACATAAAATAACATAGCATCATAACAGAATTTTGCAGAAATTATTTGAGAAATTTTATTGCAAAACCTCATACATATCTATTTGTAAGAGAATATGAGTCGAGTACAAATATAGCATATTAACATAGAATAAGAAACCATTTAAATAATATTTAAAAATTATGATATCTATTAACCCTTTGATGCGGATGGGACATTGGTGTCTCTTTCATATATTTTTTCCTAACGCCCTAATTACAAGCAAAAAAATATTTTTGTGTATATTAATTATAAAAAACTGTATAATAGTTACTGAAAAATTTGTTAGATTATCGTAATTATATTTATACTAAAATACAAAATCCAATTTTTCTTCATTTCTATTCAAAAATGTATCAATAACTGATTTTATAATTAACGAAATTTCAATGAAGAATCACTGTTTCCTTAGTAAGTGCAAATTTGAAAAATTATTGTTTGGAAGTGAGCCGTGTTTTGACCTAAATTAATACAAAATAATGAATAAAAGTAGGAAAAATATGTTTTATAAAAATTCTGCGTCAAAGAGTTAAGAAGCAAAGTATATATGAAAAGTAAAGTAACTCCTTACCAGCAAGGCCTGTAGTGAAATCTATAGTGGGTGAAAATTCTCCCCGACCGAATACATTGTATGCAGCTAATCTCAGCTCATATCTGGTTGAGCCTTTGAGTCCTGTCAAATAAAATGAACTTCTATCTCCTGGTAAATGAATATGATCCCACTCTTCACCTTCTTCTCGAAACTCCAAAAGATACTCTGAAATTTAAAAGTTTTTAAAATCTTGAACATACACAGGTTAGCCTATGATGCTATTGGTTAAGGTCACGTTTAAGTTGTAGCATACGATTCTAGATAAATTCTAAATAAAATATACGCTTTTTTTTAAAAAAAAAATTAACAGTTTGAAGAAAAGGAGAAGAAAAAAACCTTTCAAGAGCATGGAAAACTTTACTTGCTTTGATCAAATTATCTTTTAAAGCAATATACAAACTATCATATCGATTTATTGTATTTTAATAGGAGCTACACTTTCGGTCAGTTTGAAAATCAATACCTTAAAGAATAAACAATACGAATAATTTAGATAATGATTTGCCTCATTAGTAATGCATGTTAAACTTTATGGATAAACGTAAAATTTTGGCTAACTAATTTGTTTAGATTTTTCTTAAAGCTTTAAAGTTAAATTAATCCTCGATTAAATGTTAAATTTTTAATTATGAGAAGTAAAATGAATAAAAAAGGGCAAATCTAATTAGGTTCAAAATTTTTCTTAATGAGAAAATATAAGAATATACATACGGACAACAGATGGCTGTTTGTCACTTCCTATATTCCAATGTATTCCAACACTAGATGATGTGACATCAGCTACCCCCACAATTGGTGGAGAGGGTGGATCTAAAAAACATTTTTTAAAGATAATTCTGTTGTATAAATGCGACAGAAACGCATGCTAGTAATAATAATAATAATAATAACATTCTATGGAAGACTAGACTAAACACTTTTTATATTGAGCGCCAAAGTGTCAAATATTTATTTCATATCAAATTTTTTGACCGTGATTTTCATAATTATTTTTTTAAATTTAATAATTCAAAGTTTATTTACTCTTTTTTGACTTTATTTATCATAGCTAAAGCAGATGCCCTGTAAAATCATATTACTGACTGTTAAAGAAGTTCCAAATGAAAATAAATCTTACATTTGGAGCGAACAGCCCAAAATATAATGTATAAATTGTAAATAAAATAATATTTTCTATAGTTGAATTGGAGAGGATAATAAAATTGAGAAATAAAGTTTTAAAAAAAACGAAAAACAATGTAACTTGCACGAATCAAGTCTTTCTACACATCCAAAAGCCTATTCTCTGATTAGGCAATTAAAAAATAAGTTATTATACTCTGTTGCAAGTTAAGAAAAAACCATTATCCCTCTGTTTGTATCTAAGTACATGCGTTATAGGATGCCAAGCTCCCTGTGCTAACGTATATCAATATCGTCAACTCTTGAAACGACATTGCACAGCCTCCTTTTTGCTTGCTTTCTTATTAATAATAATAATAGTTGTTAACAATAATAATCAATTAATAAGCAATAAGAATCAATAAAAATAATATTTAAAAAATACACGTCTTTCTGTTCGCATTTAAAGAAACTGATGAAAGAATAATAAATATCGTTACTTGCAGACGATTTTCATTTACAGCGAAACAAAAGTAAAAATTCTTTATCTCTCATTTGATTTGTTAAGAGCATGTCAGCATAAGACGCGCCATTTTTAATAGTCCAATCAATTCCAATTCTCTTGTAACGTCATATATTTGTTTCTTTTTGAAAAACGCATGTTCTCCTTTTTTATTGAAATATGTCGCTAAGTCTAGGATTCCAGTAAGGCGAAAATATAATCCTTTTTTTTTTTAATAGTTCTATAATATATATCGTAAAAGATAGCACGACTTAAATTTGTCCCCTTAAAATCTTTTGTACTGTTTTGAATGCATATTTGTATAATTTAATAGCAAACTAAAATGGAGCTGTATGCAGGCGCGGATAATTACTAAAATTTTATACCGCAATGGTCTTTTCTTAATTTGCAACGGAGTATAGTTGCAGAAAAATGATGCTCACGTCTAATTATTTTACTAAATTTCATGACGTCATTCAGATAAAACTTAACAAGGAATTTTTTTTAATCGTTTAATTAAATAATAATCATGTTATATTTTTTTGGAATGCATTTCTCACTCTCTTTTCTTCAATATAATTAAAGAGGTAAAATCATCTATTTATTTTTTTGATTCTTAAATAAAACAAATTGTATTTTTAAAATAGTAATACTAATTTGTGTATTTAAATTTAATTCAGTTTGAGGTTTTTACTTAAAAATGTAATATTAGGATTATTTTGACTAATTATCTATTGAAATCTGGTGAAAAATCTAAGAAAAATGGTTTCTAAGTTCACATAAACAGAGTTCCTCAAATTAAAGTTTAAAAAAAAAAAGAAAAAAAAAAGGAAAATTTTACCATGGTGTTATTTTTTCTATCATTCAATTTAGAATTAATATTTTTTAAATTTATAAGAATAAAAATAGTAGAGACTTTATACTAAACCACATGTGCTCATAAATTGTATTTTTCTTTTAGTCACTGCACTTTATTGTCTTATTTTTAATATTTATCCTTTTGTTTTAAACTTACACTTATTATGAATTAACGTATAAAAGAAAAAATCTATTCAAGCTATCCAAGCTATATCAAGCTAAATATTTATTCTAAATTAAATGTTACAAAAAAATCAACTAATTTTAGCTAAAGTAGTAATAAATTTAATAATGCTTATAGTATTTATTAAAATATATAGATCATTAATATCTTTCATTTGCACAGTTTATTGTTGTTCTCTTTTTATTTTAGAAGCATGTTCAAAGTAATAATCAACCCATGCATGTGGGCAAAACTGAATAAAAATGATGTTGGCAGCTGTAAAGAATAATGACGTCATGCCTGGCACAATATGAGTGAACTGATAGCAATATCAAACTCCCAAAATTTCCATTTTTGGCCACTGCAAATTTTTTTAGTTAGGTTAAATAATATATTTTATAAGTTTTTCCTTATTATTTAAGCATTATAATTTTAGTTAAAATTTTTATTCTATAGTTAAAATAATACAACAAATTTATTGCCTGAAATGTATGTAAGAGCACTTATATAAGGTGCATAAATCATGGAAGATTCTCGGATTACTTTTGGGAAATAACTTTTTTAAGCTTCATAATCTTAAAAAACTTCATATTTTGAATATATTTTACAAAAAAAAATTCATTTATGTGTACGTGGGAAATTGTACAATTTGTAATATTCAAAAAATTAAAATTTTAATTTCTTTTACGCGTCATGAAACAATTATAAAAGTCTTCGTTTCTTTTAGGATATAATAAGTAAATTATATAATTTTGTAAGTTCCTGTTTGTAAATATGGACAATAAGTTTTTTGAATTTAAAATGTGTTTGCGGTATCTGTAATTGGACATAAATTTGAATCAATTTGATATTTTTATCATTTAAAAAGGATCTATGGAGTTTCATTGCTACCCATGACATTATCATAATTTTCCATAGTCATAAAATATAAACATATGAATATACAATACAGCCGTAATATATAAAAACATTTATTGGAAAAATTTTTTCATAAGTGTGGCCAAAAATGTCAGCCAAATGGGGGAGGATTATTCATTTGCTTTGCGTTAGCAGAGAGGACGAGGGAGAAAGTAATCGTTAATATCGATCAATAAACTCAAAGCAGAGCAGGCTCTACTTCTCTAAACTGGAACATTTATGTTGTTACAAAATGCTCATTGGCAGTTTTTTGGTTTCAACTGTCTATGGTGTCAGCAAAAATAAACAATATATACTTATAATTATGAAAAAATACAATGCGTATTTATTAAGTCTGTGCACCGGTTTTGTGTAATTTATATTTTTCGAATTTGATTTGGTTTAGGTGTGCAGATTATAATATAGTTATTTAATTTCAAAATTTTAATTAATTATCTCTAGTTTAACTAATACAATATATTAAAAGTTAAATTTCAAATAAATTTTAACCAAATAAAGTTTTAAATTTTCCGTTTGATTTACCACAAACACTTAATTTAATAATTTAGCGAATTTTTTTAAAAAAAAAACAATTAATGAAAATTTAATATTGGTTATAGCTCGTGATTGAAGTTTTAAGTTGAATTAGTTACAGTATGATTATCATGTTATTAAGTTGATAAAGTAAAGTAACAAAATATTTGTCAGGGTCCAAGATATAGAAAATACATAAATAGTTCGTATATGTAACGTATATTTAAATATATTTCACTACATGTTCAAAATTATCATTAAGTAAAAACTTTTTATGTTTATTCTTAGGTATCTAAAGTTGATAAATGCGGCTTTCGTTAAATATATACATATATAGAAAGCGTGTGTAAACAGTCACATATGCTTAGTTTCTTTTCAACAACTATTAATCACTGTTTTAAAAGAATACAACGTTTTTTTAAAAAGAGGAGGCATTTTTTTAGCTACAAGCTCTACTAAACATGAGTTCTTGAATAAACATACCCTACATTTTTAATGTAGAAACTCGAAATAATATTTCCATTTCTAACGTTTCTTAAAACTCAAAATAAATTAAATAAAAAAATAAAACTTCAAAATGGAAAGTGGATTTAAGTATCTGTAATAAAGGGTAAAAAAAAACTCAATGATTTGCTCAAAACTTGTCTTTAAGAAATCACAAGCGATAAAATAATGCTACCAAGTTTACATTTTCCCTCCTCTCCTCCAGTCATTAAAAATCTGTATTTAATAATAAATCTATAATGTAATTAAAAATTGAATATAAAAATAATTTAATAAAAAATAATTTATTAAAAAACTGACAGATGAATAAACAGTTAATATTATTTAATCCAATTTTACATAACACTTATGTGTGTATAATATTTTTTCTTAACATTTGGACATTGGCGAAAGATTTTTTAAAAAATTATTTCGCAGTATTTTGATTTATTCTAAACTCTTAAGAACTTTTTCATTTTATATTTTGTTATATGATATGGAAAGCAAGCTTTTTCTATTCTCATCATAATATAAGAAGGAGTTACCAAACAAAATTGTTACTTTTAATAATACAAATGAATAAATAATTATTTATTATCACGTAAAGTTTAAGTTTTAATGTCTGAATTATTAACTATTGATTGTTAATTTTTATTTACAACTTTAATATTTTGTTATTTTAAATAATATATTGTTAAAAAGAAAATCATAAAAAATAGTATATAAAAATATAAATAATAGCACATTTCAATGTAAAATAGAGTTACTGAGAAAATAGAATTGTTAGTAACTATTATACAAAGTTTCTCTATAACAATGAATGGCAATCAACCTTCTTCCAGAGTAGTGATTTGCAGTTCATGCGTCGGGGGTCCAGAGCCAGCTGCATTGAAAGCTTTTACAACAATGATATAGGTGGTGGCTTTTTGGAGGCCCTGGATGAGGAGCGATCCCCCTCTCCTATCTGTTGTTTCCACTGTCTGGTATGTGAACGATGAACCAGAATGAGCAACTTTATTTCCAACGTAATAACCTCGGAGGGGACCGTTCCAGTGATGGCGTTGGGGAGGCTGAAGAATAAAGTAATCGATGTGAATATTGCTAATAACAATGTCTGTCATGATGTTAAATGTACATAAAATCATAATATAATGAATGTAAAATCACATTAATAAATATGTACAAAATTATAATCTATCACAGTATTTCCCTTATAAGTAAAAACTATTTAATAAATAAAAAAAAGAATGATCAGTTTTACGATTTTTAAGAAAATCTTATGGAAAATGAATAAAATAAAATGCAAAAAGCACGTTTTAATAATTATTGCCCGAGGATTGAGTTTTTACGTATTAAGATGCAATATTAATGGTGCTTAATTTCTACATATGCTAATTAATTAGTGATAATATTTCAGGTACAAGATCAGATATACAATTTAAGAATCACTGATTTTCTTTAAATAAACCTTTTTTTTAAACCCAGAAATTGAATTTCTGATACACAAATTAAGGGGTTTAGGTGCAATCTGGAAAATATGGTTTCAACAGTTTGGTATGAAGAGCAGTCAAAAGAGTTTTGACATTATAGATTTGTAACGAAGTGTGAAAATAAAAATAAAAAGTTTGTTTTTATATTAAAATAGATCGTTTCATTAATTTATCAATAGGCTAAGGCTATAATTTTTTTAATTAAAAGTTTAAAATATTCAAAAACAATAATGAAACTTTTTTTAAATAACACCTGAAGAAAAAAAAGTTTGAATAGTTTTGAAAATATGGGAAACTAAATTTTATATGATAAATTTGCGGGCAAAATATACATGAATCAAAGATAAAGCTTTATATATTTAATGGCTTAATCAAATGCTTCTTAAATTTGAAACTAGACATAATGCATTAATTGGCCTAACAAGGATTTTTAAAAAATATTTTTCCTAAATAACAATAAAAAGAAAAAGTATTAAAATTGCATTAAAAAACGTTTAATCTATTAGTTATTATACTTACTTTCCATGAAACTCGAATGGCTTTTGAGCTCACAGGTTCAACTCTTAGATCAAGTGGAGCTCCATCAGGAGCTAAATTAAAGTTAAAAAAAATGTATGAGTAAATGCAGGCCCGTGAAAGTGTAACGTGTAAAATGATAATGCCATTATATTATTTGATATGATGATGTTCATTACTTTAATGCAACATGAATTTATAAATCAATGTTAGATCCCGTTAAGTTCAGGATTTAAATTATGATAAAACGGACATTTATAATGAATTTAATTATTTTGTTAAAAGCCTTTAAGAACCTATGTTGCATTTTGGCTACACAACCACCATTAATACTACAATTTATTTTTAATACGATTTTGCATTATATAAATTTGAAATCTATAAAAATATGACTTAATAAATTTCAATTACAAAAAAGTAATAAAAATTAATAAACGTTAGTAATAAAGACAATAAAATAAACAAATTAATAACTTCATTTGCCTGCAAGTTATTATTGTATATTATTAAAATACGTAAAGTCGCCAATATAAAGTGGGATTTTCAGGGAAATATTATAAAAAGTTAGTACAGAATAGTTATTTCTAGCCAAAAATTTATAGAAACATATTTTCATCAAAAGTACACTTTCATGATTTAGAGTATAGTTTAAAATATATATATATAAATTAAAAAGCATAAATGTTTAAAGTAAAACAATATTATAAACCAGTTGAATACTAAAAATATATCCAGAAATTTACTCAAAAATAATATTATGGATCTTCCCCTTTTTCCCCTTCTATTTTGTTGTTGTCTCTAATCCTATTTAAATTATAAATACCATTTATCTACGCAAAACATTTTATTTGAATAGGTTAAAATAGGTTCTTTTTTAATTCGCATTTAAAACTTGTATTATATCTTTATTTAGTTTTTATAAAGTAAATAAGCATCAAAAATGAAAAAATTGTTATTTTGTTTGTAATTGATATAAATAAATCATGTAAATAAAAATTGAAACCTTCTTCTATAGTTCGAAATGTTATAGGCTGCGAAGGATCTCCTTGACCAACGTTATTTTGAGCAAACACTTGGACACTGTACGACGTCCCTGGATGTAAATTGGGAACTGTGACAGATGTTTGAACAGCTGGCAGTGTAACTTGATGAAGCTTGCCTCTTTTTTCTGAAATGCAAATAAAATTTTTTATGCTGCAATTATTAAAAGTTGATAAAGTATTTTCGCTAATAAGATAGATAAATTTTAACGGCAATAGCATAAAGATTCAGTGCATTAGAGAAATCCAGATTCAATGAATCAATCTTATTGTATGAGATGTAAATTTTGTAAGCCGAGCTGTGTACTGTAAAAACTGGCAATTTCGGTGTATTATCCGTAAAATACAACCTTTACCGTAAAATACCATACCATAATGTTTACAGTAATATTTATTCAATTAAAGCAGTTCAGAGATTTTACAGTAATAATTACTGTAAAAATTATGGTATATCAAAGATTTTATTCAGTAACATATTCCGGTTAAAAGGGATTTTACGTCCGAACATTATAATCCGAAAAATTCATTTACCCTAAAATACCTATACAATTATACAATAATTTTTGCAGTAATATTTGTTTAATTGGAATGATTCAGTGATTTCACAGTAATAATTTCTGTAAATGTTACGGCATTATACGGGTTTTTTCCATAACATGTTCCGGAAAGAATAAATTTTACGGTAAAGATTACCAGCACCCAGAGTGCCGTTACTTTTTTCGTAATTTGATCCTGAATTTTTTATAGTGCAAGTGAACTGGTTAGAAAAGTTCTTTTATTTTATAATAATTTAATTAAACAAATGACTTATTTGAAACTTAAAAAAATGAGGTATGAAATTTGTACACCGAGCTCTTATTTTTGTTCAATGGTGAGTTTAGATTGATTTAATATTAGTTGTACCAAGCATACATTTATTTTAAAAATAAACTTGCATTTTAAACTTATGAAATTCAAGCTGAAATATGCATGCAAAAATAAAAATAAGTCGATTTCTTTTTTCTAAATTCTGAATGCATAACAATTATGCTATAAAAAAATTAGATATTCAGAAACAAATATAGATACAAGCTTAAAAATTGATATCTTTAAAAATAATTTGTAAAGTAAAGATGTGATTTTTATTTATTTATATGAATCTGTAAAAAAGCATGCTTTTAGTGTCTTACCATCATTTCTCCAATATCTGACGACATAATTTTCAACTATCCCTTCATCAGAAGATGATGGTTGCCAAGACAATCGAATCGATCGAACTTGAACTTCAGATGTTCGAAGACCAGTCGGTGGAGATGGAGGTTCTGTTTTGGAGGAAGTAAAAATCACATTTGAATTTTCCAAATTAAAGTACAAATACATCAATGTATAAAAATAAAGTTAAATTTAGCCATAGATGATACCAAAATAATAGGAAGAAAAAATATAAAATAAATTTTTTAAACCTTCTTTCAGAGTACAAAGTGGAAAAGAAAATCATTCACCTTATATGTAACTTCATTTCATGTAATGATCAGATTTACATGTTATAAGATGCAATCTTGATGGTTTAAAGAATATATGTTAATTATGTCAAATTATTAACATATATCATATTTTAAGTAAGAAAAAATCAGACGAAAAAAATATTTTCTTTGAGTAGACCTGATTTTTCAAACATAAGGAGTAGCCGTTATTTGGAAAACATGGTTCCGATAATTTAGTCAAGAGACCAGACAAAAGTGTGTTTTTAACTGCTAATTTAATTTTTCTTTTACTTCACTATCTCTCTGATAACTACACTGAGAAAAAACTGTGCTCAATGCTATGCTATAACTATTCCCATAACCTTACCAGAATATGGTAAAGTTATGGGAACACGAAAAAGCTCAGTAATTTTTACAAAAGCATTTAGGTAATAATTTTGTAAAAATTAACAATAAAAGATTATTTTATAATAGGTGATAATATTCGGTTAATGTGATAAAATTTGGCAATTTTATCATGATACCTTAGACCATGGCGAAAAACAATTTATTTGATTAAATTTAATTTTTAATTTCGTATTTTTCACTAAATTTGCTGCATTTAGAACTATAATTTTGGAAACTTGGATTCTTGTTAAAAAGTTACCATATCAATTGAAAAATTGCCAAATGAATGGTTCAAATGCCGTATATTTTGATTTTATTAACCGAAGTTACGATTTTTTTAACCAGAAATTTCATTACCATAAGTACTGAGTTTATTGATTATGCACTGATTTCTTTTTATAAATGCTGTTACAAATTTTGCTTTAAGATATAGGTGATATCGTTTCACGGATTTCTTAAACGCTTATAATAATATTATAAATAGTTCATTTATTCCTAATTTTTCTGATTCTGAGATCATTTGAACTGCATAGCTAAGAATAAAACCAAATAATATTAATTGAATTTTCTTTATTTGTTTCCAATCACTATAAAGTCATGAAAAGAGTTAAAACACACAGGTTCTAAAATGAATTTCATGCACAAAGCTAAGATATACGAATAAAATAAATCGAAACTTAATTATATAAATAAAAAATTTTTTTGTTACACTTTAAAATGAGATTTTTAGTTACATTTTGTTTGATTAATTATTAAAATCAATGTCTGAATTTGGAAAAATGAAATGGATGTTTATTTGAAAACAAATTTCTCATAAAACACGCATGATCACAGTAAGCAGATTAGATAGCATTTGAGACATTTGTAAGTTAAAAATTTTTATTCCCTCCCTAAATATAAAAAAGTCACCTTTTCCTTAACCACTAATAACACCATTCCTTTATAATACCGAAATGTTTGGTAAAAATATTGTAGATACGTTTCAAATTAAATGACGAGTTAAATGGTGTATAACTATGTTTTTATTTGAAGATCAAAGTTATCTATTAGAGAGAATATAAAAAACAAAATCATATGATGATTCATTATTAAGATTGTTATGAGAGATTATTTACCAAACACCTACTCAACATAACTCTTATATTATGGTTGGTATTCAAGTCTTCATGGTTTATGTTTATTTTCTAAACATTATTTATAAATATTTCTTTTTCAACCATTTTCGGTAATATTTTAATAGATTTCAAGAAGACTTCATTTTTAAACAAGATAAAATATTTAAAAGGAAATGTCAAGAAAATATTTTTTATTGTTAAATGGAAATATTATGATGTACTACAGAAAAGTTTTTGATTTTATTAAAAATGCATTTATGTTTTTTGTATTATTATATTGTATTTTGTATTAAATGTATAATTTTGAAGGATAAGAAAAGATTTTTCAAAAAACAATGTGACCTTTTGTACTATATGTTAGTTTTTATGCCCTTTGTGTATGCTTAAAATGACCGCTCGGGAAAGGATATCTGATATTTTTGTTACAGATTCATACAAATGTTAATTACTGTAAGTATGAACTAAGACATGTAGAAAAGAAGAAGACCCAATGAGGCAATAGCCCATGCATCCAGTCAAAAGCAATTCAATGACTAAAATAATAATCATATTTTGAAAAATATTAAAATTTTACTACTACAAAAAATTGTAATTTTGATTTATTTTCCTTAAAAAGAAAAAGTATAAGCAAAAATGATTTGAAATATTTAAGAGATAAATTTTATGATTCAGAATGATGAATATAATATGATTTTGAATCTAATTTAATAATGAGTTTTAAGCGCATTAGAATTCTGAATTAACTTTTTACAATAGCCCACTTAAGTTACCAAAAAAATGAATAAATAAATAAATAAATAAATAAATAAATAAATAAATAAATAAATAAATAAATAATATTAAAGAGTTTTCTCAATGTATCCAAACACTTCTGTACTGAAAACTTAGTGGTGAGGGAAAAATTTGGTAATTTTATTATGATACCTTAGAGCAAGGCATAGAGACCATTTTTTAGGTTAAATGGTTAAATTTACGTTTAAGTTTTGTATTCTTTACTAAATATGTGGCAATAAGAACTACAGTTTTGAAAACAAAAATTTTTGGAATACCATTACCGTTTGAATAATAAAATAACCAAATAAATGGTTTAAATACCTTATATTTTGGTTTTACTAATCAGAATAATTATCTCTGAACATTAATAATTAATTCATGAAAATAATATTTGATTTCTTAATAGTTCATATTACCTAGAACTATGAGTTTCACTTTTCCTTCATCGTTACCAAATTGATTATGAGCGTTGCACACATAAGTTCCAACGTCAGCTTTCTGAGAATCGTGAACCAGCAATTCCGATTTTGTACCGTAATCTGTTGCATCTTTCACGACTTCAAATCTGAAAGTAAATGGTTTTGCAATTTACATAAATTAAGTATAACCGAAGATTTTTACAAGAAAGTTTATTACTAATTACAAGGCAACAAAAAATTACCATATATTTAGTTTTCATAAGGCATAACATATATCGTTAATAAAAAAATATTCATGTATGAAATTGTAAGCGCACGGGCCAAATAATTATTAGAATCAGATTTTCCCCTCAAGTTTGTTTCTAAATAAAATAATACTTTTAGAAGTCATGAATCTTTTTAAAGGGTTTTTATTGATATTTAAAGAATGTTCATAATTAAAATTTTGAATTGATTAATTGTTTTGTAATAAACAACACAATGCCAGAATTTTATATATATGTTTATACAACACGCGAGGAATTGAGTCAATTAAAACCTATTGCAATTTTTTAAAAAATATTAAGATTAAAACATAATGCACTCAACAGAGGGTTATACTCAATACTGAAGTGTTCATATATCCAAAAAATTTTAATAAATATGTTTCAAAAATAATGTATCTTTGTTATTGCCTTAAATTTTTTCAAAAGATATATTAAATAGTTTGTATATCATACTCTCAAAAACCTTAAAAAAGACCTAATAAAATTCTTTTATTGTCAAATTTTTAAAACTGTTTTTAGAAGATAATTAATAAAAAAAATGGTTGATAATTTTTGTTAACAGCAAATCTTTAGCCTATTTAAAAATAAAATTATGATTTTGTGACATTAATTTAATTGCTTTTTAAATCAATGTTTTTCAACGTGTTCTTTATTATTGTTAAATTTATTTAACTATTAATTATAAACTTTGGTTAAATTATATTTATTTTTTTACATTTGTGTACTTATATTAATTTGCTTAAGCTAATGTTTTAATGCCTAAAACAGTTTTAGCAGTTTCATAACAAACAGGGTTCTACAGGTGAAACAAATATGTTCTTAACAATTGCATGATCCCATTTATCATTTAATTTTGTGAAGCACTTGCTTTTGACATATTTTTATTATAGTACATAATTTTTATATTTTTATGATTGTGTAAAGACTTATCTATGACTTAAATTTTTTAACGAATTAGCACTCTGCAAAAGTGACTTAAAAACATAACACTCATAATATTGAATGACGTAATTCAGAAGTTATAAAACTTTTATTATAAAAAAAGTTAGATTGTTGTGTCATGTTATGCTATATTAAACATCGAAGTTAGCTTGATGTTTAATATAGTATAATATGATATTATGTTACTAATATCAACTAGTGATGAGTTGCATGCGTACTCATGCATGCATGAGTTGTATTTTATTAAATGGAAACGCATATAATAAAATGTTCAAATAATATCCGATAATAACTGCCGTAAATTTTTATTAAAGACACTGACTGAGCAGACTTTTTTATAGTAAAATTAGAAATAGAACAAAAAAGCATAAAATTTAGTAAAGAACATTCTTAGTGTGTATAAGTGGCAAGCGACACTATTATAACGTTAAACAGCAAGTAATAACCTAACATTTATTCAAAAATGGCATTTGGTGAATATGGAGATGGTCTGGTTTTTCAAATGAACATCTGCTAAATTTGGCTGGTTTTGAAGCAAAACGTAATTTTTAAATGCATGTAACACGTTGATTTGACCGAATTATCGAGGGTTAGTTATATTTAACTGACGGAAAAGCTTATTTAAAACTTTAAAAAATAAATAAGTAAATAAAAGAATGCATTTCCGAAACTTGAGGAGCTGGTAGATTTCAGAACTGAGTGAGGAAATTAAAATCTTGAGAAAGAAAAATTTATGTAAATTTTTTTTAACCATTGGATTCATTGTAATCAAATTGTTCTATTTGAATACTTTTTTAGAGTTTAAGATATATATTTTATTCAATCAGGATTTTTACCAAAAATATACAATATTTTTTATATCTGATTAATTGTTAAGAAATATGCTGATTAAAATTCATAAAAGATAACAGTTAATAGGAGCAGAAACTTATGCCAGAACGTTTTTATCACTGTATTATTAAATATATCGTATTATTATAGGAAAATCGATAATGTTAACGGTAATTTACCGTGTCATTTTTTGATGAAATGTTACTATAATTACGCGGAAGTTATTACTATTCCCATGCAATGATTGTTTTTTTATTTTATTTTTAATGACAAACTATTTTTGAAACAACAGTAATATTAAGTCTTTATGCTATACAAAAAAATTACCAACTAAAAGTGATTTAATAATAATTTCATTTAAAATAAAGGAGTTTTTCTAAACGGGTCAGAGAGTGAAAAGAAAGGACGATTAAATGAATGATTTTTTCTGTGAATTTCAGATGAGGAAAACACGTTTTTTAACTTCACATCATCAAGGTCATCAAGATTGTTAGACGACTGACAAATTAAGTGGCAATAATGAAAAACAAAACGAACTATAAGCTTTACTTTTTTTGAAACTTGATTGCTATATTCACTGATGTAACGGGAATATACGGTTTTATTGAAGTTTTCTTGATTCAATAAAGAAACTTTCATACATTGTAATTAATAAATCTTACTAGGAGGCTTCGCCCCCTGCTCGCTGGCACTCGCCAACCCCCGGAACTGCTTTCGCAGTTCATTTCGGATTGCTTCGCAATCCGATGCTCGCTTTGCTCGCTCATTGGATACTTTCTTAACGTCTAGCTTTTGTATACTTTTTTGAACACTGAAGTTCCGAAAACTTTTCACTGTAGAAAATTCTAAACCTGTGCATTTCAATATTTGAAATTGCAAACAGTTCACAGATTCTTCTTAATCCCACTATTCGAAATTTCAGTTGTTGAGAAAAGTAATAGTTGTAAGTTTTGTTTTGAAGTCTTTCCCACCAGAAGGCTAAAACCATGTGTTGTAAAACAATATGAAATAGTACTGAAAGCCGGATGTACAGCATCGGCTTCGATGAAGATACTTTTGTGAGATTTTTTTTGATAATTCGGTGAGAATTCACCCGATAAGACATATGAAGCTCACTACGTGCTCTTGCGCGCCGAAGCCTAACAAATGAAACGTATTAGTGTTTTATATAATATAGATTAGCCATATGATGCTCACTACGTGCTCCTGCGCGCCGAAGCCCATCAATTAAAAATGAAAACTGTTGCCAACGCGAGAAAAGAAATATCATCGGTTTTATTGATACATACGTATTAGCGTTTTATATAATATAGATGGTATTGTTTGCATTCGAACATTAAATGAATCATTGTTTAGAGAAAAAGTATGAAAATACATTGTATAATTTTAATTCACAAATAAAATAATCTTAGAAGACGTTTTTCTTAGGTATTAAGAGTGTATAATTATTTGCTTAATTTAAGCAGCTTAGAAATAAAATAAAAAATAACATTAATAGTTCTGAAAAAGGATATTAATAATTCTTATTCATAAAATATTTTCTACAGGAAAATTATTATTTAAATATTTAATGTAATTGTTATTTTTTTAGACATTCTAATGTCAAAATATTGATTAAATAAAACTGTGCGTTTACAAAAAATGAAATTACGTTACAATAAAATTTATACATATTTTATTTTAATTTTACGAATAGAAACGAATCACTATGTAAATAAAAATTTTAAAATTATATTCATGTATAAGATTGCACTTAAATACATAATTTTTTTTCTGCATATAATATCTCAATTAAAAATCATTATTAATACAAATAATAATTTTAGTCAACCTATTTCATTTTATAGCTCATGTAGAATAATATTTTTAATAAAATGTTCTTTGATGTGTTAACTTAAACTTTTCTTCAAATGAATCAGCACTTAACACATTAGGCTTATTTTCTGTTAATTTAAAAAGCTAATAAAAATATAAATGCACCAATATTTCATGATTTCGTATTATTAGTTTTTAAATGTAGTAAATGTTTTAATATTAAGGCAATCAACTATTTATAACTTAGCAGATAATGCGTAATATTGTAAATTGTATTTGCAAAATTACCTTAATTCGAAGATAGTTCTCTAAGTGCATCAAGGTATAAAATTTACAATAGACATATGGCATTTTGTAAATAATTGATGTAATTATGTGATTGTAGTTGTTAATTGATGTGATTTGTAGGGGGAATTTTGGAATGTATTTATTGTTTCAATTTCTGGAGAGTGACATTTAATATTCATGTATTTAAAAAGTTTTTTTAAAGAGTCCCGATAAGAACTATTAAAATTAATGACTAATTAAAATTCAGTCAATAAATAAAACTTGTCAATATACTATGTCAGACGAAAAAAGATTCGTGAAGCAATTAGACTCGTAAATTTTAAAATAAAAATGAAGCTAGCATCGGTTTTCTGTTTCTATCACTTTATATTTAAAATCGAAGGTCAGTTTCATTAATTTCTATTTATGAAAATACACTGCAAAAAAGTTTGGATAAAATTATGGGGAAAAGTACCAGCACTCAGGGTACCGGTACTTTTTATCGTAAAATCTAATTTTACCGAAACATGTTGCTGAACAAAAAATCAGATGGGCCATAATTTTTATAGTTATAATTACTGTAAAAACACAACATCACTCGAATTAAATAAATATTACTGTAAAAATTGCGGTATAATACTTTACGGTAAATATGGAATAATAGATTTTTCGAAAGATGCCCTAAGTCCCGGTTCTTTTTACAGTAAAATCCTTTTTTACCAGAACATATTACGGAATAAGAAATTTAATATACTCTAATTTTTACTGTAATAATTACTGTAAAATAGCCAAAATACACTAATTAAATAAATATTTCTGTAAAAACTATGGTAAAATCTTTTAAAGTATAATATTTATGTTTAAAATGGATTTTATGGTAAAAATGTATTTCACTGTAAAAATGGATTTTTAGGTAAAATGGATTTTAAGGATGATGCGACTAAAGTGCCGGAACTTTATATCGTTAATTGACCCGAGCTTTTATACAGTGCATTTGTTTTATTTAAATTTTACTTTTGGTTTTTTATCACTATGTAATGTATTTGATTTTTCATAAACATGCGACAAAGGCTGCGTGAAGATATTGATCCTCTAATTCCTTCATAAATGTTGTGCTTCTGTAACATATTGTTTTAAATTTTTTTGCATTTATTTAAATTTACTATGCATTTTTTACAACTGTGTTGCCAGTCACTTTAAAGAAATATTTTTGTTCTAAGTTTTGCGGTTTCTAATCAAGTTCAATACGGAGTCTGTGTGCTTTTTTCCTTTTTTATTTCTTTTACTAAAGTGTTTTTTTTTTGGAAATATTATGTACTTATTAAGGAATAAAATAAGTAAAATAGTTCAAAATATTTACCTTGTGCCAAATTGTATATTGACATCTTGGTTATCTTTTTTCCATGAAACATGAAGCGGTTGATCTCCATTTACTTCACACAAAAGGCGAGCTGTATGTCCTCTTCTTACAGTTACTCTTTGAAATCTCTCTTTCAACTCTGGAGGTGCTATTGTTTTTTACAAAAACCAATTTTAGTAAAAACCATTAGATTTTATTTAAATTGTATTTTTTAATATACTTTGACAGCATTATTTTAAATTTTTTAGTCTGGCAATTGTATCAGAATTTTTAGATAGATTGATAATCGATAATATGTTTTATTTAGTGAGTATCCTTTGAATTAACCGAAGAAGTATGAAAAATAGCCGAGAGTGACTGAGAGAACGGGAGTTCGTGTCCCATTGTTGACACCAAAAAATTTCATCCATTTCTTTCAACAGATGCAGAGTTTCCGGTTTCCTGCACTTTTCAATGTGTATACTGCGCTCTCCAATGCCTATTATCCAACGAAAAGCCTGTCTCCAATGTCCTGTTAAAGTTCTTTTTTTATGGTTTTGAAACCATGCTAGCAGTAAATGGTGAAAAACTATATAATTCCGTATTCATTTTATAACCATACTAATTGTGAGCTGTTTCAAAACCGTAAAGGTGAAAAATGTTTTCATCTGTAAACTTTATGGTTAATTCGATGGGCAAACTGCTACCGTTTATTTTATCATAATTTTAGAATAAATATTCTAACAGTGAAGAATGCTAGATACTCATTTTAGCGTCCCACCTCATTTGTTTCCATTATGTATAAATAATAATGCGAATGGTTTAATATTTTTTTTATTTTTGCAATTGATAGGAAATATGTACAATCAACTAAAAAGATAATTTTTAATAATTTTTAATATAACCATTTGGTTTTAATCCAATAATTTTAATTATAAAGATTTAAGCTTTAGTATGCTAATCATAAAAATAACAGCTCATTTCAGTTACAAAACGATACATAAAAGTGTAATTTCTCTAAATAAATATAACTTATTCTTTTTAAATTTTTGAACTACAAAATGTAGAATAGAAAAAATATGGTTCAATAGTATAACTAGAAGAGGCTCCTGATTCTGAAATTTGTTCAAAATTTTCAATTAGTTCATTTGGTAGAGCTGTTTAAAAAATATAATTTTCTCATTGGTTGCTATTGTTTCTATGCCTACCAGCCAGTAATGTAAATAAGTCTTGAGTGATACTGTTTTATCAGAAATTTTAAATATAACGTCGTTGATGTCTGCTAGATTATGGTTTCTCTTTAATCAAAACAGAAATTTACTGCACATTTTTTAATACTTAATTATACTTTATTCGTTATGTCAAATAAACTCATGTGCAAGCATAAGTAAATTACGTCAATGAATTAGTGTTTCTTAAATTGTTTGAAATCACGTGTTTATTTTCCTTATAGTTATGCTCTTAAAACGCGTTTCTTTAAAACTAAATAATTTAAAATCAACGGTAAATAAAATAAAAAGTAATAAAATATGCGTTAAAAAGCAAAAATTATGGGAAATAGTACTAATTGGCTTAAGATAAACAAAAAAAAATTCGCTATATTATTGACACCAATGATGCTTGATTAATTTTAATAATAGGTTCCAATTGAAAAAAAAAAGCTTTGTACTTAAAACCAAAAACAATAGAGAAATAGTATCTATTCGCTTAGGGGGATCCCATAAATAATCGGCATACTTTATTATCGTCAATGATGCTTTATTAATTTTTGCAATAGATACTAATTGAAATGAAAAACAAACTATGTATTAAAAAGCAAGTTTAATAGATAAACGGTGCTAATTCATGTAAGAGAAACGTGTTAAGTTGGCCTCGATTAGTAGCATATTGTGACAAGTGATTTCAAATACTGTTAATCTTTATTTCATTGAAATAAACTAAAAAAAATGTGTTTTGCTTAATATAATAACGTAAAGCTCAGGATTGAGCAAAAAATAATAATAAATAATTGGAATTATTTTAACATTTTTAATTATTTCGACATTTGCTTTTTAGTTTTGTGCATAGTTTCGTAGTATTATAGTGGTTTATTGATTATTTTATTATTTTATTCACCCCGTAAGAAAAACAAGCATTCAACTAGAAAAGTATAACAAATTTTTACAATATGTAATATTATGTATTTTAAAGCTAACATTCAAAATTTAATAAGGCGATTGAATAATCATAAGAAATAAAAATTTAAAAAAATGAGTTCTTTTAACTCTCAGAAAATATTCGACCGATTTTCTTAATAAAAACTATGTAGTTTAGTTTGTTGTACAAAGTTTTGTATTTTGCAATTCAAATGTTGTTTGTTCCTTATTAAATAAAATAGTAAATAACGATAAAAATACTTTTCTCCTAAAGTAACTTTAAACCTCTCTTTTGGATAAGCTATTAAAACCTCATTTTATAAATTGCGACAACTTCAATATTTTAAGGATCAAAAATAAGAATCTCTCGAAAAAAATGTTTATGCGTGAATGAAGTTTTTTTTCCCTCCTTTTGTTGTCCAAAATATTGTAAGAACGGTTTGTTTTGTTGAAACAATTATTAAAACATTTGTGTTCCAAATATTAATACATTCGAAAATAGTAAAAAAAAGCATGTTTGTTTCAATCGTGGACTAACTTCTGACAGCACATCTTTACTGAGCTAACAAAGCTGATTTGGATATTGAATTGAGTTAAAATAAGTTTTTAAAAGTTTCCCATTTATTTAAGATTTGATATGCTAATTCACTCATGTTACTGAAAAAGACGGAAATTAAAGAATGTCTATGTTATACCTTATTTATCATTTACGGTGAATGACCTAACATTTCGGCTGTATTCTTATGTATTAGAATAATCGCTGGAGCAAGACAATATCTTTTGCTGGTGCAAGTTAAGATGTTAATATTTAGAAATTATTTTGGTTTTCCAATCAATTGACCATGTGAATATTTGAAAATGCTAAAATATGCCATATCTCTCAGGAACATAGATTTCACTGTAACAAATACAATAATCTTTCGATGTAGAAAGTGAAGCAATTATCCTTATTAGTATTTTCACATACATGGATTATATGGTACAATATACATATACATGGTTTGCCTGAAAACCAATTATAGTTGGTCGATAAAAAGTATTTACTGATTCACTCACATTAAAAGTTTAAAAGTTGGCTTCTTCTATGTTGATACATTGTTTTCAACGACATTTTTAGCCACGAAAAATGTCAGGTTAGATCTTTTCCAAAATATATTTTAACACCTTGATATCCCACTGTTCTGGAATTATATCCTTTTTCGGATTATCAAGAAATTAGGGAGAAATTTAAAGTAGCCATGTAGTATTGTAGAGCTGAGTAACCGTTAATATATTTGTGTCATCTATAAAGCAGATCATAAGGAGGAAGAAGAGACATGGCTTTTTTTTCCAGAAATTTTTGCCTCAGCAGATTGATCATCAAAATCTTGTAAACGATAATTTTTCGTCTGCTTAGTGTCTTTGCCATAAAACGGTCACTCAAACGACTGTCTGAGTTCTAGACTTTATTCAGACATGACACGTTTTTTTTTATAAATATGCTCTTTGATAGCTTTTCAGAGCTGGTTTGATCAATCAATTATTTTGTCATAGTTTTAAAAAATGCCTTGTCCCACTGGTAGACTTGACCTTCCGGTAAGCAATCATCACCAAATACAAATTCTGCTCCTCCCAAATTTTCCTAATCTCAGTGCAGACATAAAATTTCCCAAGTGTTATAATTTCTTTACTTTCTGAGTTACCGAGGGAGGTTTTCCTTTGCATGTAACGCAAATGCGTATTAATTCCACCAAGAAGTCCTCCTCGAAGGCCTGCTTAGTGTGAACTGCTTGGAAAAAGACGGTCATCCTAACGACGGTTTGAGCTCAAGATTTGATTCACACGTGTCACGTTTTCTTTAGAGGTGCTCGTTAATGGCTTTCCAATGCGGTTTCCATCCATATTTTCTCAAAAAAAACCCCTTGTCCCTGTGGTAGTTCCGATAAATAATCATCACCAAATACCATCTTTATCACGGGAATAATTTCTCACTTCAAATTTTCAAAGTTTCACAAAAAATAAATAAATAAAAAATTAAATAAATTAGTGTCAATAATTTTGTTCCATGAGGCGTTATATCACTGCTTGCAAGGAAAACGAAAACAAGTTTCTAGAAAATGATTATCTTTGCTTTTCGGATAGTTGGAAGTTAGTAAGCTGCTCTTTATATGTAAGCTAACATCTCCACAGATCAATTAGTCTGGAAAATTGCGATGCGTCATTTGTTATAAGGTAAAATTACTGACATAATATTTTTTCGACAAAGCCTGTATGTGTATTATAATATTTACTTCATAATGCTATCATAATTATAAAATGAAAATGCTATCATCCTTACTTACAGTGCACACTGATTTGAATAGTTTTGGAAGTCCCGGATCCTATACCATTGTGAGCTTCACATACATATGTCCCAGCATCTGATTCTTCTATTCTAGAGAAAACAATCGAGCCGTTAGACGCAGTTGTCCATTGACCCTCGTTTCGAATCTGCTCTCTCATTTCTGCACCTAGTTGTAAAATTAATGTTAATTCTAAAAGCAATGTTATTGTTCATTATTATTATGAAACAACTTCAAAGTGTTTCAATCTTCAAAAGTTCGTGTAGCTCGCTAAAGCTATTAACTTTAAGAGAGCTACATGTACTTATTGTAGGCAGATTATAGAAAGTACAGGTCTGTAAAAATTACAATACTGTCTTATCTCAGTGGAAAGTTTTTTTTATTGCTGATGCAACGTATTAAAATAAACACGTTTTATTGTACTACAATGAATCGAAACTAAACTTTTCTTATTTTTTTTGTTTTCATTACACGTACGCATTATTTCTCAGAATTTTTATTCATAATAAATATTGCTCACATTGTAATCAACTAGCAATGGTATCATTCTTGTATTTAAAAATTTTATTCTGCTATATTAGCATTATAAGCATTATAAGACTGTGTGATTAGCATTATAAGGCTGTGTAAGAGTAAGATGTCAGGCTGTTAATTGCTGATAAAATTATAGTTTAGAAAACTTTTTCATACGTAAAAACAAGTAATAATAATTGAGCTTAACATAAAATGAAAAATACTTCCGTATCTATGTTTAAAAAAAGAAGTAATTTTCATTTTAAAATCAATCAAAAAATTTAGAAATTGTGTTTTTATACATGTTTCATAAACTTATAAAGAATTAATACAGGTAAACTATACTACACTTTATATATATATATATATATATATATATATATAGCTTTGTCATTTTGNCAACCTTATATATATATATATATATATGAGAATTATGAGATTTTTTCTTTGATAGTGTAAAGGATTTAGGACTCTGCCAATAACTGAGTTTTACATAGGCAATTTTATTTGCTTTCTAAAATATAAAATCTTATTTTTCTTCAATTTGATTCCATATATTTAAACTAATTTTTCAGTAACGGAAATGAACATTTTTAAGTTGAAGCTTCGAACAATATGTTTATGGCAGCAGGTTGAATATTATGGAGGTTGTTTTCAGAATGTACAACTCATAAACATACACAGCTCTTTCTATATTAGTATGTGGCTGTTATCTATTTACTTCTATAATTAAATAATATTAAATGAGTATCAGGGCTGTCATTTTTGTAATCTTTTGTAATCGTAAAATAATTAGTGTGCCTGCCATTGAAATTCCATGATATTTAATATTTTAAATGTCTTTTTAATCTTGATTTATTAAATATTCCCATCGCTTAAGTAATTTCATTTTTCAAATCATAGAATTTGTTGAATCGATAAAATATTTGAAACGCATAGTATTTTTTGGAGAAATGGTTGTACAACCTCACATTTTTTTTAAACTTTAATAAACTTCCAACTAATTCAAACCTTTTTGCCTACTCCAGGAGACTCTGGGAGATGGATGACCTGTGGCAATACAGTCTACAACCAATCCTGATCCTTTAGCAGCTGTGGTATCCATAGGTTCTTTGGACCAATGCGGTGGCACTGAAATAAATATAAAAGTTAAATTCTGAAGATTTTTGAAAAAATAGATTATTTATTCATAAACAATGGAGATTACACTCAATTGAATTAAATCTGAAAATAAAAATATAACATAATAAATAGAAGTATACTGTTTCTATATTATTAAATAAAATTTAAATTTAATATTAACAAAAATGTTTAATGATACATTTAAAAACTCGCTTTACATGCATATTTGTTATACACATTTCACAGTACATACATTATAAATGCGAATATAAGTTTGAATTTCATTGAATAATATATTTTTAAATATTTATTTATACAAACATAAATAAAGTTTTCAAACTAGCAAAAATTTCAGTTCAATCAAAGCATTTAATTGAATTATGAAGACATAGAAATTAAAAAAATTATAACTGTATATTCAGTAGCAATTTATTATCATGTTTTCCTACAATTACGAAAGGAATGCACATATTAGGTCAATATCAGCATTGTAAAAGCGCCAATCTCCTTGATGCCATCAAAACCCCATCTTCTTTCAATCTTCTTTTGAAGACTGTTTGTTCTAGATTCAATAACTTTAAAAATATATAGAAACATGTTACATAATTCACAGGGCAGTTTTACTTATAGAGTTAAAACGCATGATAAGTTTAAGTTTTATCGCAAATTTAAGAAAAAAAATATGTTAAAATAAGGCTTCCACCTTCGACTTGTACGAGAACGCTCTGACTGTCAAAACCGAAATTGTTCGAAGCTCGGCAAGTATAGTTTCCTATATTCAAAGCAGTAACATTCTCTATGTTACACATTGATCTTCTAGTGTTATGCGTAATTCTCACAGATTTTTCAATGGAATTTTTAATATCCTTTCCATCAAGTAACCAAGTAAATTCCACTGGTAACGTCCCTTTTTTCAGACTGCAAGTCAAATCCACTGGATCTCCAAGCACAATTCCAGGTGGTACAAACATTGTATACAATAACGGTTTTTCACAGATCGTTTCTGAAAGAAGGAAATATTCTATATCAATTTTTAAGAGTTAATACTAAAAGTAAGTTACTACTAAAATTGTTTTTTATGGATTTATATCTAAAATAATTATCATTTTCATAAAATAAAAGAAATTCTATAGAGCTTATTTGAGATAAAATTAGAAGACAGCCCCATGACGAAAAAAATGAGCAAAAATACAAAAAATAAAATAAAATTTAATGAGAAATTTTTTTATTTGGAGCTTATTTGTTGCAAAATTCAATATTTGTTATGATTTTTATCACAATTAAGTTTTGCAAATGTCATAATTGATGTTCTGAATAACGATAATTTTACACTTGTTTAAAAATCAATTACTATTTATTTAGAGTAACCAATACATAATATAATGACTGTTTCGTAATGATTATCTTTTTACATATTTTTAGAATTCATGCCAAAGAGGAACTATAAAATAAGTATAAAATTATGCACATTAGGGGTTGTCAATTAATATTTAAGCGAGTCAAAACAAAAATGACAACAAAATCCAACTATTCAAAACAGAACTATTCTAGGTGGAACCAACTTATATAAATATCAATTGATTTCTCTAAGCAACGTAGAGAAGTTAAAAGGGCCTAATTAGGAACACATCGAATTTTATCAAGCAATCACACTGGTTCTGATTTTTTACTCTCAAATGTTTTTACGAATTGTTTGAAAGATTTGGATAAATAATTTGTTTCGCCTTCGTTTTAATATTAATCCTTACCTTAAATATGTACACTTTTAATTATTCATTTTTGGCTAGGTATCTTAAAATATATATACATTAAACTCAATGCAGATTATCTGTATACTTGAAGTTTGATTGTTTAGGTGATCTTTATCGATTAGAAAATCATTTTTAAACAAAAATAGTTTAAACAACGGCATCAATGTTTATAAATAGTCATATGTTTTTCGATATCATTCAGATACTTTTGATTATATTTTTATTTATAGCCTATGTGTGATAAAAAGTGTATTAAAATATGGCTTTGATTATGATTCGAATCATAAATAAGGAATTGAGTAATTTTATAAAGCCGCAGTGTAACAAAAAATAAAGGAAAAGGAAGAAAGTTATGCTGCGATATTATTAAAATTGTTTTATTTTATTTTTTTGCATTTAACTAATTTTTTTTCTTACCTACAAAATAAAAGTTGTATTTTTTAAAATATTGGTTTAATGCAATTAATTAAAGATTGGTTTATAGACAAATGTAATAATAATTTTTCATTTGCATCTGAGCTTTGATTTTTAATGATAGTAATTATATTTATGTATATTACTCTCCTGAATTTCTTTATGCCTCAACTAAGAGTTATAACTTATTCATTTAACTAAGCAGTTCTAAAACTTTAAAATATTAATTAATCAAGAAATAATTATATAATATTATATTACATAGAATAATTATATTGTATAGAAATAATTATATTGTATAGAAATAATTATATTATATAAAAATAATTAGTAAGAAATAATTATATAAAACATTAATAATATTTACTAGATTCGTATTAATAAGTGGCATTATTTTTTTATAGTTTTCTTTTTGTGTTATATAACAATGTATATCATGAAAAAAAAACTGAAAAAAAGGACTTTCTTTCTTCAAACACCATAGTAATCAATGATTTCAAAAGTAAAGGACAACTAAATTATATAAATCTTTAAGTAAAACATATAAAAAAAAGGTATTTGTGCTATTGAACTTTATAAAAAGCTATAAAATGTTACAAGAATATGTACAAAAATAAGATTACGTTTAAAAATCAATATTTAATTTTAATTAATATAAAATTTAATTTTTTTTATTACTTTTATACCGCTATCAAACTTTCTTCTTGTAGATTTATTCAACTTTTATATTTAGTTTTGCTTTAAAAACATTTTTTTGCATATTTGATGTTAAACTTATAATGCTCAATTTTGATACTTGAAAAGGTAAGACCATTTGAATCAGATTAGAAAAAGATCTGTTAAATATTCAAGAAATTATGCTAAAATGACGAAAGTATAAAAGTCATAGTGTTTTGTTTCGATGGCAAACATGAACCATTGAAGAAGTTTGAACTAGTAGCAAATATCTTTATTTAGTTATTTTTTTTAAATAAAAAACATGGTTCAATTTGTTGAATGTAAAAAAGTATGTGATTTGAGGTGTAAAAGATTATGTAAGCATTAATATGAAACAGCAATATTAAATACTTTAAAAATAAAGAACACTTTTTGGCAAAAAATTATTAAATTTTTAGGTTATATTCATAAATGGCAATTATACTGAATAACGCTTTAGACTGAATTTTCAAATATGTTTAAATATATTCGTTAGTAATGATTTAAATAAATTATATAGCTTACCTTTGTAACATATCATAAAGGAGACAATAAGCAGTAACAAATTGATGCAAATCATCAGAGTTTTCAGATGCAATCTTCTTCGTAATAAGCAATCGACAAACAGTGCAAACTGTACATTTATAGATATATGAGCAGTATTTTTGGTCGTTTGATGGTGATCACTAAGGTGAACCAGCGCCACACATCGTTGTAATATCGAATTAAAAAGAAACACACAAGAATCAACTTAATAAATTTAAATTACAAAAAATTCATCAATGAGTTAGTTTTATAAGAATAAACCCGAAAAAATGAATAAATATATTTGAAATAAGTATTATTCAGCTTCAGCCGGTTCTCGTATGAATGTGAAGTGCGAGTTAATTACAAATAAAGTGAACTTTGTGTTATACTAATAAAACGTAACAATAGAAATTTTTCAAAATAATTTATTGTTCATTCAAGTAAATGAAAAGATACGGTAAAATTTAACGGTAAAAAATAACTTACGACACAGAATAATTCCTTTTATAATGTACTATAAAACGTATTGCATTTTGTATATATGTTAAAATGTATTATATATTTACAAAATATATACATTGTTATTTAAAGCTTAAAGGAAAATGCATTTTCAAATTTTTTTTGGCATAGTAATGACTAAATTCAACGTTAAGATCATAATTTTGCTAATTTACATAGCATAAGGAACATATATGCTTGATTTCCTAGACGTGTATGGCATAATATATCACTACGCTCACGGGCGTTGAAATTTTTAAGACCATTAATGTGTACAAATTTATAATAAAAATACGGTATAAAATTTGATTACACATAATTTTTTTATACTTTCGAAATTTTTGCGCACATTCATGTGCAATGAAAAATATTTTATATGAATAATGATAGCTTCTTTAATGATACATCATAAAGATATATCATATAGATAAAATTATAATTAATGATACAATATCTTTATGATATATTATTAATTATAATGATCGGCTATTATAACTACTTGCATAACTGGGCGGGAATGCAATTATATCTCTGTGTGTCTTGTCACTGTGTTTTATTAGAGCATTACATGTTGACATATTAATAATATAATGCATTTTGTAGTATAATTTATTATCCTATAATACCACAATAATTATTAATGATGTATGAATAGATATAGTTCTGAAAGTGTAAGTATTAGCAGTAAAGTTAGAAAAAAACTATAATCTTATAACATATCATACATACAGGCAAATTATTTTCCTGATGTTTTAACAATATATTGTAAATATTAGAACACTTTTTATGAGACTTACATTTTTTCTATTTACAAATAAGAAGTATTCGAAATTTTCTTCAGAATTTTTACGGAAAACTGTACAATTAGAAACTATTCCCATTATCATATAACATTTTTGTGAAACAATTATTAACATCAAGAAAATAATCCCTAAAATCAGTAATAATCATGTATATTTCAGATGGCTTATTTAATTATCAGATTTAAATGCACACAAATACGAATCATTTTAAGCTAAAAATATTTTATTGAGTAAAATATATGCACGGAAATTAAAAAAAATTGGGTAATTTTCAACAAGAGGTATAAAAATATTTTTGATCATAATATATGATCTAAATTTATATTTTACTTAATATAAGACTATGAAAATGAATTGATTAGTTATACATGAAAAATTTCCGTCATTTACATATGTTTGATACTATACCTTCCACTTTAAGTTCAGCACTAACTTCATCAAAACCGTCATCATTGTATGCCTTACATGAATAATTTCCTATATGTTCGTATTGAATCTTTTGTATCGAAAAACTCGATTTTCTCTCAGAAGTATTGATAACTACTCCAAATATGTCAGAAATTTTTTTGTTATTTAACTTCCACTCAAATGTTATTGGAATCTTTCCTCTTTTTAAACTACAAACCATATCCAAACTGTCTCCAAGTATCAGTTCTGGTGGAAAATGTAGTGGATGAAGAACAGGGATACTTGCCGCAAATACTGTAAAGTTAAAAATAATGTTTAAGTTTATGCTATCTCTAAGTTATTTAAAGCTTATTAAGATGCGAGTGCATAATATAAAAATGCAATTTTTACAATAATAGAAAAATAGCTTTGAAATTATAGCTCACAACAAAAGTTAACTGTTTCATATAGAGAAAGAAAATTAAATAATAAACCTGGTAATTAATCAGTCTCAATTAAAAAGTTATATGGATTTAAAAAACAAAAGAGTAAATATTTGAAAGAGATTATATTAAGATATTAATTTATTGAGATTGAGTCAAATGAAATCTTTTATAGGGTTTGAAGAAACCCTTTTGAACTTTGCGTTACAAAATCTGATATCGAAATTTACGCAATCAAAGTAAATTTGTTTGATTTTAATTAAAAATAAAATCCAAAGATTTTCATAAAATTTAAAAAAAAAATGCTTTAAAACAAATACAAGTTAAATACATTATTTTGAATTTAAAATTCAATACTAAATCATAATTTATGTTGTATAGTTTCTATATTTAAAGGGAATGCAGCTATTTAGTCAATTTATGTATTTTAGCAGCTAGCCAAGAAAATATGCATTTTACCATTTAAATCAAATTATGCTATCCTTAGGCCCAAACGTTCCCCATAGATTTTAATATATAAATTACCTTACTAGTTCAACATGATTTACAGGTGCGTTAAGGCTCATTTAATTAAATTTACTTTTACAGCGGGGGGAATTCTGACTGAAACTAAAGTTAACAACTAATTTTATAAACTTAAACTTATTAGCTTAATTATAAAGTTAACTAGTCAACTGGAAACTTAAAGTCAACTATCCAACTTAAATTCAACTAGAGCTCTTTCAATTATAGTTTATAGCATATATGTATTTAAGTTACATAAATTACAGCTTTCATGCAACAAATTAAATTTTTAAAAATTTTATTTGCTGGTTAATAAAAATACATCAGGGTATTTCGTATTATCACAAAATATTTTTAAAAAATGATAAATTTGAGAATGAAATAATTGAACAGCCTTTATTGCAATAGACATTTTGGCAATTTGATGTTCTGTCACATAAACATGAGTATTACATTGATTTAAATTCGAAGTATAATAGGGAACTTTTAATAAAAATTAATGTGCCATGTACCATAAAAATAATTAAAGGAACGATAAATTAAACATGTGTAATAAAATAAAAAGAATATTATACTTAATGGAATAACTATAATGGAATTAAAAGTCTTCAGACTGAAATATACAAGATATAGTTTAAAAAAATAGGTATAGCATTTTTGTACTCTATGACATGTTTTTAATTTAAACCTTGTTAACCTGTTGTTTTTTTTAATCATTTTATCTATTCTAAAGAGCTATTTGACATACATTACGTTACCTTCGTAAACGTTGTTATATAATTTCAAATATATCAATGAAATGCATTCTAAAAGTTTCGAAAAAACTATATTATTAGCGATATTTTCAAATTTCTGATTTATTTTTTACGATATTTAGCTACAACTTTTAACATATGTTTGTTATATATAAAGAAAACAAACCGATTTACATACGGTAAATTATTTCCATAATGATATACAATTACGTTAGATAAAATTAAATTATCAATAGTTATATAGTAAAAATGTCCGGGTCACAGCATCGATGTAATTTTAAAACTTACATTTAAAATTCTGAATCAAGGGAAATAAAATTATTTTAAGGAAAGAAAAAAACGAAATTATTAGATATTCATCTTCAAAAGTGTGATGTTCATGTTCTGAATTTTCAAATGCCTAATGTAATGACATAAATTTATAGTGCGATAACCAATCAATGGGAGCATAACATAGTAACAAAAGTTCATGGTATCTTAATCATACAGAAAAACGATACATTTAAATGTAAAACCAATCTGAATACATTATAAAACATTTCAAATGGAAGGTATTACCAGATTTTTTCAAAACCATTTGCTGTGAAAACATCACGATTATAAATGTGATCAATTTCATCTTCTTAATTTTTAGTAAACTGTACAATAAAGCCCAAATCTGAAAGAGAGATAAATATAATAAAATATCTACTAAGCAATTAATTAAGCGATAGACAAGAGTCAAGTAAATATTAGAAACTTACCTGCTAAACTTCTAGGACTCTTTCATGTTATGTGCATCAACAAAAGGCATTCAAATGTGTCTGAAGCGCCACTCCGCGAAATAAATTTGAATTAAAACACATTTATTTAGTTTTTCTTCAATAAAAAAACGAATAGCATGCAAACTATTTTCCATAATAGAACTACACTGGTTATCATAAATTAAGGAAAAATCACAAAAATAGCGATAACTCTTTCAAAAGTAAGCCAAACCGTGCAAAATTTGCATATGTTGTCCACTAAGAGTAGCTGAGTAAAATTGCAATATGCAAATTAGTGGCGCTGCACTCGGCTTACGTCATCTGCCTGGAGCATAAAAGTCCAAGTTTGAGAGAAAGCACACAAATTTTACTGTGATTGCGACATTGAAAATCTGAGATAGCCAATTCGTAATAATGACCTCTAGGCATCATTTGCCTGAAGAACTACGATGGAGAGCCATCGGGAGACTAGAGGCAGGGCAGAGTCAATCAGAAGTGGCCAGATGGCTAAATGTGAGTCCATCTGTGGTTCATAGACTTTGGAGGCAATTTCAAACCACAGATTCGGCATCTAGGAGGTTCAGTCAAGGACGGCCAACTGTTACGACCAGTGCCGATGACCGATATTTGACATTAAGTGCACGCAGGAATAGAACCGCTACTCCGACACATCTTAGATCCTCTCTTGCTGCAGCCACCGGAAGGTTGGTGTCAACGTCAACTGTGCGCAGAAGGCTCCACGAAGGTGGTCTGTATGCGAGACGACCAGCCATTTGCGTGCCGCTCACATCACGCCATAGGAGAGACCGTTTGCAGTGGGCCCGACAACATGTCCACTGGACGTCAGATCAATGGAGGCCTGTTCTCTTTACGGATGAGTCCAGGTTTAGTCTAGAAAGTGACAGTAGACGTTATTTGATATGGAGAGAACCTGGGACCCGTTATCATCCATCAAACATCCGTGAAAGAGATGCATACGGAAGAGGCAGTGTCTGTGTTTGGGGAGGCATATCCTTAGGAGGGCGCACATACCTCCATGTCTTTCCAAGGGGAACCGTGAATGCTCAGGTTTATCGAGACAACATCCTTGATGCTTATGTGCGCCCATATGCCGGGGCAATTGGTGATTGCTTCCTGTTACAGGACGATAATGCAAGACCACACAGAGCTCGCATTGTTGATGATTATCTTCAACAGGAAACAATTACTCGCATGGAGTGGCCAGCTCGATCCCCGGACTTGAATCCTATCGAGCACGTTTGGGATGCTCTAGGGAGGCGTGTATCTGCCATCAATCCGCCCCCTCAGACCCTTGCCACGCTTGCAACTGCTTTACAAGAGCAATGGCTCTCACTTCCTATTGAACTGATAGACCGCATAATTGAAAGCATCACACATCGCTGTTTGTGCTGTATTGCTTCTAGAGGCAATCATATTCCATATTAAAGGTACTTTTTCTATTGCAAACCGATACTTCCAATTTGTTTATTTTATACATGTGCTAATTTCTATACTACTATTAATGTCTGATAATTTCTTTTTATGTTGTTTAATACCTTACTATGTGTTGTATATTGTGGGTAAGTTTCATAAAATTCCATGTGTAATTTCTTGAGTTATCGCGATTTTTGTGAATTTTCCTTAATTTATGATAACCAGTGTATTATAGTTCAAAAACATATTAGAAAGATTTGTTTCATATGACGAAGTAATTGTCTAATAATATTTAAAAATGATATTTTAAAAGTTGCAAAACAGAATTGATACGATAAATATTTAGGCATTAGACTGAAATATAGTGTGCATATAATGTAAAACGAGATATGAATTTTTTCATACTACAAAACGTTACATACTGTCATTATAAATTTGTATAATTAATTGCAATGTACACGTCAAATTGAAATATAAATGTAATTAATATCAATTAAAGTTAGGATAATTTTTTGCAATTTAACTGGAAAATAATAATAGTCAAATTTATCACTATTATACCTTCAACAATGAGCTGAGTTAATATTTTATCATACGCAATACTGTTAGATGCTTTGCAGGAATAGTTTCCTATAGATTCCATGCTAATGTTTTGTATTACTAAAACAGATCTTCTTTCAGAAGTGTTTATTTTTATTCCAGAAATATTATTAATCTTCTTATTGTTCAACATCCATTCAAATGTTATGGGAAGAGTGCCCCTCTTTAAACTGCATATGATATCCAAACTATCTCCAAGACCAAGATCAGGAGGAATTAAAAGAGGATGAAGAATTGGAGCTTCAGAAGGTTGTGCTATAAAATAGAATTTATTTAGGCACTTTATTAAGAATTCTAAATATACTGTTATTGAGAAATTCTGTATTAAATTCCTAATTTTTTAGAGCATAACGTACAACAATAAATATGCAACGATATAACAAAATATGCACAGAAAAAATCCTATTTTTATCTGTCTGAAAGCACTAGGCGTAAATTTTGTTTTAATGTCTGAAGTTCTTTAAATGAAATTAAAAGAACATAAGAATTAAAAAAAACATAAAATTTTTGAAAAAACATTTTTATCTAAATTTTGAAGAAAATTTTTATATGTAAATGTAATTTCCATAAATACGATACAATTTAATAATATGCTCATTACAATTTGTAATAAGTATATTGTGAATATTATTAAAACTGTTGTTACGTTTTATTTTACGGACGAGTTTTACTTAAAAATTAATATTTTATTGCGTTTTTCGTAACATACAATTTTGTTGACTAATAAGTTTCCGATTTAGTATGCACAGACAATCATACATTATTTATATATAACTGCATCTTATAAATAACATAACTTAAACTAGACTTAGGTAGATTTGTAATAAGTAATCAATAGAAGCCTTTAATTAGTAAGAAAAGTCATTAATATTTCATTGCGAGTAAAGATAAGTCATTAATATTTCATTGCGTTTTTCGTAACATATCATTTTGTTGACAAATAAGTTTCCGATTTAGTATGCACAAACAATCATGCATAATTTATATATAACTGCATCTTATAAATAACATAACTTAAACTAGACTTAGGTAGATTTGTAATAAGTAATGAATAGAAGCCTTTAATTAGTAAGACAAAAACATTTGCATTTCATTAAAACCATTTAGCCAAAACTCAACCACTACCAAACCATTAACCAATATTAAAACAGGAATTAAATAAATGATTTGCTTACGTCAGGCGTATAAAATTAATGTAGAAAACTAATAAACATTAAAATCAAAACAAATAAATGTAGAAAATGTTACCATAAATGGATGCTTGTAATATGAATAGAAAGATAAGTCTTAAAGCAAACATAATGGAGCTATTTTTTTCTTCGATATACAGATCTTTACATTTCCTGAAAAAGATAAAATGATATATTTACATCATTTTCAGTTTTATACATTGGAAAAAATGCATGAGAAGAATCAGTAGTGTTTAATATATATAATCTAAATAACAAACATACCTTTACGACGCTTTACACATGATACTTCGTATTTCCTGACACTTCGAAAAGCGCTAGGAGCGCCACATATCGAAATTATAAGAAGTTACTTGGTAAAATTTATAATCTATAAATGCAAGAACAATGAAAAAGGTCCACAAATATTTAATGCGTAGAGCTTTAAATATTTGTTGTTGTGCTGAAATTGAAGTAGAATTGAAGTCGTGCAGATATAGTTAGGACTTTTTTTTAAGAAAAATGACATGAAAACAAAAAGTAAATGAGATAGAATAATTGTAACTCATTAAAATAGCATTAAATCAGCATTTTCATCATCTTATTTCATCATATTGTAAATCATTTGAATAGTTATTATAGTATTCGAAGGGATTGATAAACAGTTTAGCATAAAATCAAGAATTAATATTTTCTGAAACAAATATTTCGAAAGTTGAATAAAGTTCAATAAAAATGAGTAGTAAATTTTCGATTTCACTCTAAATCCGACTCATTATATATTGGTATAACGAAAATATAAAACATGAATAAAGTTTTAAAACATTTCGAATGCGATATTATAATTAATGTGATGTATTAAGAAAAGGTGTGTATAAAATATGCAGTCTTAGTAATACATGGTGCAAGCACATTTATATTACGTGACGCTTTTCTATTTGTTCATGTATTAATAAAATATTGAGTATTTAAAAACTTGTTAAGGAATAATAAACATAACATTTTACATAATATCATAAATTTAATTGAAAAAGAAATCATTATTATTTAATGTTTTTTATATTTTACATCTCTAATTATCACATTTATTGCTAAACATTCTATATAAATATTACCATTTATTCCTATTTACAAGACTTGAATTTTACCTTCCACATGCAGTGTTGCACTAACTGTATGTGATCCATCTTCATTAGAAACAGTACATGTGTAATTCCCCACATCAGATGCAGATATACTATCAATGATATAATTAGATCGCTTTTGTGATGTGTTAATTTGTACACCCAATTTTTTATCGGGTTGTAAACCATTGAAATTCCATTCAAAAATAACAGGAATAGTGCCTCTTTTTAAGTTGCACGCAATGTCAAGGGTATCGCCTAATCCAAGGTCCAATGGTATGGATAGTGGATGCAGAATAGGAACATCTTGAGATTGTGCTACCGAAAAAAAAGAACAGTTAATTTTCACCTTAACAATACACATCTTTTAGGTTATTACTTAAGTACTATAATTACAATCAAATAGTTTTTTTTGTTTCAAAAATATGCACAATATTTTAAACCAGTCATAAATAAAAATATTTATTATATAATCAACATTCTTTGATTGCTACATGTTTATGCAAGGATGTCTACAGTCGAATTATTAAGAGTTACTTACCGGTAATTATGCATATCAAAATTATCAAAGTTGTAAAGCTATATATCATCATTTGATGTGTCATGTTTTGCCTATTCAAATAAAAAACGTTTTAATAAACAAATTTTCTTTGATACATTTCGAAAAGTCATAAAAGTATTAAAAAAAATGAGTTGCAAAATGGTGTAAAACATAAAACTTACTTGAGAGTCCCTTAAACTGGTAGTATCTGTAAATAAAAAATGTGTGTACATTTCCGTAATTTCGGAGCACATCGAGTGTGGCGCCACATATCGGACTTAAGGTCTGTTGCCATTTTCTCTTGATAGCTACTAATTTAATATATAGAAAATAAATGCTTGAAAAATTTCAAATCTTTACCCATTTTAAACAATTTAAATACTTTTACTAACAACATTTCTTAAAATTTTAAATTGTTTAACTACTATATTCTAATATAAAGGAATATTTTTATAAAAAATTTTTTTTATGGTATAATGATATGTAATTACAATATTTAAAATAGAGTTTTAGAATATCATCATGTAAACACTTAAAATACACTAAAAACATACTTCAATACATTTATAATAAGTTAAATATAGACATGTAATAGGATACAATAAGTATGATATGTATTTATAAATAGTTTAAAAACCTTTATTTTATTTTTAGTAGTCATTCCTAATAAAATTTGTACTAAGTTCGTTGTTCAGATGCCGGCATTAAATAATTTCCAGAATGAACTTAGAGTATTTTATGCTAAAAAATATGGCGAAATACGTATAGAAAATATGTATAGAAAAAGAGAAATCGACAGACTTCAAAATTGTAAAATCTATTAAGTAATTATATTTTACATTAATTTTATCGATAAATATATTGATCACTTGAACCAAATGTGATGAGAAAAAATATAACTATATCACATCATATTTAAAAAACGAATTAAATTCAAAAATTTTCAAAATCATTCAAAAAATTACACATTCTAAGTTTATTTTTTAAAATACAATTTACAATTGAAGAATATTTTTAAATGACTAAAAAAGTAAATCGAGTAAAAAAAAATCATGCGTTGAATAGTAAAACTTGTTTCAAATTCTATGAAAATACTCTACCTTCTACAGTAAGGTGTGTTAAGACTGTGTCATATCCATTTATATTAGTTGCTGTACAAGAATAGTTTCCGATATGTTCCACATCAATTTTTTGTATAACCAAAACTGATCTTCTTTCGGAAGTATTTATTCTTATTCCAGATACATTATTTATTTTTCTATTTTTCAGTAACCATTCGAAAGTTATAGGAAGAGTCCCTCGTTTCAAACTGCATGTTATATCTAAGCCATCTCCTATGCCAAGATTGGGTGGAATGAATAAAGGATGAAGAACTGGAACTTCAGAAGACGATGCTATAAAAAAAACTTAAAATTTATTCCAAATAAATGTATAATAAGTATCAAAAATTATATTTTGTGATTGCATACACAAAGGAGATAAGTGACTCGGATTTTCGTGTGCATAAAAATATTAAAAAAATTGCATTACAGACATTTTACTATTCATAAATTGATTGTTCATTTTGTGGACATTCAGTTACATTTCATTCCTTCTTTTTATAAATTATCATATATATTATGTATATAGATGTTTATTATATTCATTATATTATATTATAATCATTATATTATATATTATGTATATAGATTATTTATATATAGATTATATATATATATATATATTATATATCGATGTTTAAACGTCGTTATGATTAAACGTTTAAACGATGTTATAATATCAAAAGCAATATTTATTTTAAATTCTACAAAAATAATACGTTAACTTGACGTATGTTACCTGAAAAAAATGATTGAAAAAGGAAAAGCGCCATCAATTTCAAAGTAAACATATTTAGATGATGATAAGTGTCCCACACTTTCAGTTTACTGTGGAAACAAAATATTAAATTTATTACTTTTTAGAAAAATACAGTATGTGTTTCATTGAAAATGTATACATATATATAGTTATATATATTTGATATACTTAAAATAAATAAATAGCATGCCTACCTTCACTTAATCTTCCACAGCAAACATGTTCTCACTATTTTGCTGATACTTTGAGAGAGCGTTTGGAGCGCCACATATCGAATTAATATGGAATTAATTATTATTTCTTCAAATTTGATTGAAAATAGTCATCCTTGATATAAATTGCTTTTTTAACCGGAGTTCTGAAGCAAAATAATTAATATGTTTAATTTAATTATGAGAAAACAAATATATTTCAATAGAACAAGTTATCAAAAATGACTTTATTAAAAACTTATATTAGAGAGCAATATTGAAGCTGAGAGTCACTGAAATTTGTAAAATTTGGAAAGGAAATTAAAAGTAGAACAGCCTTTAATGTCTAAATAGTTCATCTTAATAATTGTGAATCCAATACTTCGTATACATTTTATTAAAAATTCTCTTAAATTTATAGTCATAAAAGCAAACAAAACACTTTTTGTGGCAGGTAATGATTAAACTACTATGCTGCTATCGTAAATGCAATTTTTTAAAAAATTAATTCAACATTTAACCTTAAAGCAAGAGCATAGCACAGTTATGCATTTTATTACAAATATTTAGAAATAAACTTAGTGTGCAAAATAAATTAAACTGCAAAAAAAATAATATTTATGTTCTTTTTCACTGTTTAATAATTTATGTACAAAATATAGCTTAAATAAAATTATTTAAGTACAATATATTGAATTAATGTAATTAAAGAAACAGATCAATAATTTAAAAAATTATCAAGTTCTCAATTTTTTTAAAAATTATATAAGTTCTTCTATTTATTATAACGTTTTAGTTTTACCTTCCACATGTAATGTTGCACTAACTGAGTCTGATCCATCTGCATTAGAAACAGTACAAGAATAGTTTCCAACATCTGAGGCTGATATACTGTCTATGATATAATTAGATCGTTTTTGAGATGTGTTAATTTGAATACCCAGTCTCTTCATTGGCTTAATTCCATTGAAACTCCATTCAAAATTTGCGGGAATATTTCCTCGTTTTAAGATACATGCTATATCAAAACTATCACCTAATCCGGCATCCGATGGAATTGAAAGGGGATACAAAATTGGAGGTTCTTGGGTAGTGGCTATAACAAAACAAAAAAAACATCCATTGAAAATATGTATCATAGTAACACTGTAAAGTATTTCATTGCATGGACACAAGAACATTGCATGGACACAAGATTATGACTGAAACATTATAAATACTGTTTTAGTTTTAACTGAATTAGGATTAAATTTTTTATTTGAGTTAGTACCTAAAATTACAAATGAATAAACAAGGTTGATCAAAGCAAATTTGGACAAGGTTCATGACAATTATATTCTTATGGTACTACTACAGACAAAGCATCAGAAAAAGAGGTAACATTGATATAATACATTATTTCACAAGTATGGTAAGTTTAGAAATGCACAGGGTTTAGTCTTTTACTTACTAAATATTATTTGTAGACTCGAAATCAGCAAAATTGAAAGATAAACCATTTTTTGAACAGCTATAACTCTCTCAGTAACTGTTGAGAAACAAAACAAGATTTTAAAAAATCATTCTCTGAACAATAATTTAAAAATACTTCACAGTAGCTAAGCTCGCAAAACTTACTTCGTATATGATCAAGCTGCATCTGATTCCAATTCACGAAACGCATCGAGTGGGGCGCCACATATCGGAGCAATGTTTTCAACTGTTGCCATGATGTTTGTTTAGTTTAAAAAATGTTTCAAAGGTTTAAAACTATTCAAAATTATAAGAAATAGTTATCGACATGATATATTTTCAAATAAGGATTTTACAAAGAAAAGTATAGTTATGTATTTGTGTGGGTAAGATTTGTTTTACCGTAAAAATATTTGAAACTTACAATGAATGTTTGAGTATCAATTGTAAATTTATATATAGTAACAATAATATAAAATTCAGAATAAATTTCATTAAAACGTTTCTAATTTTAATACAGTCAGTTAAAGAAAAATAAGAAATTGTTTAATAAACAAAATTTTATTTTTACATACCATCTAAAATTAACAATTCTGTCTGGCTATCGGAGCCGAACTCATTACTTGCTAAACAAGAATAGTTTCCTATATGCGAAGTTTGAAGAGCATTAATTTGGAGAACAGTACGCCTCTCTGTTGTTGTAATTTTGACATCCTGGAAAGATACGACATCTTTCTTGTTATGAATCCATTTAAAGTGTACTGGAAGACTTCCACGTTTGAGACTACAGATAATATCCATACTATCTTCAACAGACGGATTCGAAGGAAGCATCAAAGGATACAAAGATGGTGCATCACCTCCAAAACAGACTTTTTTAAAAGAAAAAAAAATGTAAGTATCAAATATGCATTTCACCTGATCATTATCAAAAAGAATTGATTTTAAATTAATGATAATGAAACATAATTTTTGAAAAAAGAGCTGATTTATTATCAGGGAAAATCTTTAATTACGACCTCTAAAATATTGTAAATTAAATATTTTTTACGCAACAGTTTTAATTTGATTAATTTTTATTATGTTAAAACATTACTCTTGTATGTTTACATAAATATCTGTTGTAAGCCTTTTGATTTTTTAAAAATTCCATTTGCAATACAAAATAAATCTTAAACATTTAAATTTTTAAAATTTTCATTCTAAACTAATCATATAACTACGCTGTTAAAAATAATATACCAAAATCGCTTTATCGTGAATAGTTGACGTAACTAATTTAACATTTAATTCCTGTAGCTAGATTAAAAAAATTTCAGTTATTTACTAAATTTTCATTTTAAACTAATCATATAACTACACTGTTAAAAATAATATACCAAAATCGCTTTATTGTGGATAGTTGACGTAACTGATTTAACATTTAATTCCTGCAGCTAGATTAAAAAAATTTCAGTTATTTACTAAATTATTATTAAAAGTTTGTTAATTAATAAGAAGGTAACAATGATTACAATAAGAAATGACAATTGGGACAATTACTTCAGTAATTTTACAATTTTACTTTGCAATTATTCTAAATGGATAGAAGTTTAATATCTGTCATAATACGAGAAAAAGAAGGGGGTGAAAGATTTGAAAAAGCAACTAAAATGATCGCCCCATTTGATCGATTAAAAATTCAATTTTTCCATCAAAAATTAATTTTAGAATTCTAAATCCACATTAAAATTAAATTGAACTAATATTAAAATCAGTACCTTAAAATTTAGGTTAGCTAAAAAATAAAACCGTTTTCTAAAATGAATAATTCAACAAAAATAGTTAAAAAGCACTAGTTTGTCATTACTAGTACATGAAATTCAGAACCTAGCAACGTGAAAATTATTATGAATCTTTTTCTTTATGAAGTTTACCCTAAACTGTCACTCAAACCAGTTTTATTTGAAATTTATGCAAGCAATAATAACCACATAATTAAACACATATAAATAGATATAAAGATATAATTACCTGTTTTGGAAAGCCAAAACACATTCAAAACTGCGATTATCACATACAATATCATTTTTATTATTACTACCCTTCAACAGCGGATTTCATATAAACCTGAAAAATAGTTTATATACTTAAAGCTGTTGATATACTAAAGATGTTACTGTTCATAGGAGTATTATATTTGCATTGAGGCTATTAAACACACATTTGCAAAAGTCTTCAACTCGTTAAAATTGATAATATATTTCTTTTAGAGAAAATAGCTTACACTATGCTTTAAAGTTCATGAATGCTATATCTATGATGTAAATAGACCTTGTTTTCAAACGCAGCAAGATAGCAGCGCCATACAGTGATAAAAAGGTAAATTTTTTTTCAGAAATAAAATATTTGTCAAAACTTACGAATGCTAAAATATTTGCGTAATTGTTTTGAAATAAACGAAGAATGTTCCTTAATTTTAAAACTAGTGGATCATGGATCATGGATTTATTATAGCTCAGAATCATATTTAGAAGTAATGAACACAAAGAAATAAATTAACACGAAACATTAAAATCTAAATAACACATATTACACCTTACTTTAATACGTTTATAGCTCTTATAGAATTTAAGAATTTATTTAATAAAAAATTAATATTTGTGTTAGGCATATTAAATTAATTAAAAGACTCAACTATAAAACAAACCTTCTATTAAAACATTTTCTGTTTTACTATCCTGTCCAAATGAGTTCCTTGCCATGCATGTATAATTTCCTATATCATCCATTTGAATGCTTCCCAATAAAAAAATTGAAGAACGTTCATCTGTTTTTACTTTTAATTTTTGATTGGAAGAAATTTCTTTCCCATTTTTAAACCACTGGAACTCAACAGGCACAGAACCTCTTCTTAGCTTGCACATTATGTCTGCTTCATCTCCAAGTGTTGGATTTAAAGGAATCATTAGTGGATATAGAATTGGAGATTCTTGATTCATATCTGAACCTAAATATTTGGATAAAGATTTTAGTTCCATGGGTTCCATGGAAACTTAAAAACTATCAAAATGTATAGCAAAATATTTGATTAAAATATTTAGAATAATACTCACCTATGTATCTATCAATAAGTAGAAGAAATGATACCGCAAACAAATTATATTTAAAAGGTAACAAAGTTAGTCTTCTGATAGAAACCATTTCAAATAGTTAGATATGCAAAAATAACACAGAGAAAAATGAATGTCAGTACATGATAAAGCTGTAAATACAACAAGGTAGATGGTAGCGCCACAGTTGTTTATGAATGAGAGTAAACTGCTGCTTAATATAAAAAAATTTAAACGAAATAAATATAAATATTGCAAAAATCACCCTTTTTCGTACGAGTTCACACCATTTTTGAAAATAAATTATTACAAAATAAAAGTTTAACAATTATCACGTAATAATTATTTAAAACACAAGTATTACTGTAAGTTTTTGAAGAAGTTATAAGCAAATATAAAATTATTGACTAAATGATTTTCTTCAAAAATAACTGACGTTTAAACTCGATAAAATCTGTTAATCGGTGAACTAGTTCGAAAAATAACGTTTTATAGATAATTATTTCTACATATTAAGTACATTGTGGACTTTTGCGCCGCGTAGTAGTTGATTTCTGCACTAAACTCAATTCATGAAACACTAGAGTGAATTCATTGTACTGAAATAGAATATATTATTATCTAGTGTAAAAAAAAATTTAATCAATGAGCAGTATTTTAAGAAAAATGCATGATACAAGTTTGAGTTTCCCATTGTATTGATAATGAATTTCTGATTTTAATATACAGCAGTTGCAGCGCCACGTAGTGAATTTATTCAGAGTTATTTTCACAAAATTTATACTGTGTCTGCATAAATGTTAATCCACTTTGAGATACATAAAATATTCGTACTAAAATATGAAAATATTATATAAATTTTCATTTAGAAAATACAGAATTCAAGCAAATTTAACATGACATCTGGAAAAATTAGTAAGAAATAATATAGAATTTACATGCTTTTAAAATCTTACAAATAATACTTAATAGCATCAAAGCTGTAGATAAAAGAAATTATTAAAATCTCCTCAGAAAATTTCCTGAAAATAATATATATTTGAAAAAAAAATTTCAATCTAAAATTTAACAGTTGAATATATAACTTTTTTCCGATTTAAGTGCTTTAAAATTGCAATTTCTGAAGAGTGACAGAAATAAAGACATTAAAAAAAGGAGCATGACTTTAAAAATATAACAAATTCAGAAAAATGTTAAAAACTTCACTCAACTTCCACCTCATATTTTTAAAATAATACGAAGATCTTATCTCTTAAGTACATAAACATATGCGTTTACAGATTTTAAGGAAAGCAAAATGTATAATCTATATTCAAAACCTTAAAAGTTTTTGATAGCAACTATTATCTCATACTTGCAAACATTTAGAAATACAGTTATTTATTCGATATTATCGTGCATGATATCAAATGACCCATTTCGTAAGAATTTATACTTAAATTTATAACATTTTGTGCAAACGAAACTCATCTCAGTTCTTAGTCAGTCGTATTTACGCCATACAATTCGACTTTCAAAACCTCGAATTATTTTATTTAGGTCTTAAAAGTATCACACAAAGATGTATACTTATTAAATAATTTAATAGAAGTTGTTTTGTTAATAAAGTTACCTATCTTAACACTGATAGTGAAAAATTTATAAAAATTCTAAAGTTGGATCAACAATAAAAAAAGTGAAAAACTGAAAATATGCTGCTGAAACTTACATAAAAATTATTTTCTGAATAAATATAAAAACACAATACCTTAACACAGTATCTAAAAGTAAAGCATCAAAATGCACAGTTATCCTTTACCTTCTAAAATAACTTTAACAATGTTTTTATCATGGCCAAATGAGTTTTTAACAATACATGTGTAGTTTCCGATGTCTGAAGCATCGATTTTGCCAAGAGATAAGTGAGATGTACTTCCTATTGTGGTTATTTTATACTTTAAACTATTTGTTATTTCAATTCCATTGTGAAGCCACTTGAATTCCATTGGTAAGCTTCCTCTTTTTACAGTGCAAATTATATCGGTTATGTCACCCAATGCAATATTTGTAGGAATGAGAAGATCATTCAAAATTGGTGCGTCATCTGCCATATTTCCTATTAAAAATGAATACTTTTACAGCAAATAAACAACACATCTGTTCATAAAAGTAATTAAATCATGTAAGTTTTTTTTAAACAGTTTAACAAACATCAGTTTAACAGTGGTCAGAGAGACTAATTCTAACAAAACAATTATTCGCATAATTTATCCAATGATTAACACATGCCATAATTTATGAATGTTATAATTAATTTACATGTTATGAATTTGCATGTTATAATTAATCTATGAAAGTACAATTGTGTTCAAAAATAAGTAATATATGCCTTAAATTGTAGTATTAAGCATAAAATAATATAAAATAGGTATAGTTTAAACTGTTCCTTAAAAATTTTTTTCATTTGAAATTAATTAATAATGATTAACATATTTATTACAACGTTATTATAAGGGTTAACATATTTATTATTTATTAGAATGATTAACTTATTTATTTATTTAAACATTTTTATAACTAAGCAAATATTTGTGATAAATATATTTAAATTGTAGTTTTCCAAAATTAAACAAGAAATAAAAATAATGAGAAATGAATTTTATAAGCATGAAATATACTTCGTTCAATTTCTTTTATTTAATCTAACTGCGTAAATCTGTTTACTAGAAATATACATGTATAATTTAAATAAATAAAAGTTTCGAAAATTTCACTCAGACCAATCAAATATTAAATATAGCCAAGTCAGTCAAGTCAAGTTAAATCAAGTTAAGTCAAGTCAAATATTAAGTATAATATAAAAAAAAGACTATATTACATTTTATACTTTCTGGCACACAAAAAGCTCTAATAACTGCAGAAATTTATATCTTTAACTCTTTTCAAAATTGAATGCATATTTCTTTATATTTTATTTAATTTTTCAAATGATAGAGATCCTAGCAATCATGTTATTGTAAAAACATTACTAAATTTTATGTTAAAGAAAAATTATCACTTACCTTTGTGGATAATGAAGAATACGAGAGTTAGCAATAATAATTGAAGCTTGACTTGAAACATATTTATGCATATAGCTGTGAGTAATTTTCTCTGAAAGTAATTTATTAATACTATAGAAGGAAAACTAAGACCTTTACGTTTTGAAATGTACGAATTGTGAGTGCTTAGTTCATTGCATTCGGTTAGTTAATCAAACAATAATGCTTTAGGTATTCTTTCAATCAGTATTGTAGCGCCACATAACGATCAAAATTCGAACAACTTAAAATATGTGCAAAGATTTTGCAGTTTCTTGTGCTCTGTTTTAAAACTAAAATAAATATAACTTAATGCTATGTGTAATGTCTACAAAAACTAAAAATATATAAATTTGTAGTTAAAATGACATGAATCGTTATGTAGTTTTAGTATTAAACAAAAATAACAGTTCAGTAATGAACAAAAACAACACGTTGATTATTTTTAAGCCTTGTTTTTACTGCAAAGTTATGCAGAGTAATAATTGTTATTTCTTTACGTTTGACATTTTTAAGTGAATGACAGGTTTGAAATTCAATGCATGAAGTTATAAGATTTCAAATATAAATTATCAATATTAAATATATTTTTTAAAATACATACATGGCATCTGTTGATTTAGAAAAAAATTACAAAACATGATATAGGATCACGCTTTCGAGTTGATTCAGTTTTTAACGATATTAATGACATTACGATAGAAACTTTGCTTAGCTTTCGTCAATTATTCTTATAAATACGTTTGACATGTCTTAATATTACACATATTTTTCCCTTTGAATTGTAAACCCTTTCATGAATTGTAATAAAACGTTCTTCCACAATACATTAAGTAATGTGCTTTCGGTACTTATTAATATTTCTATCCTTCCACGCAATTAAATGCGCAAAAGATTATTTTGACCAAGCATAAAAAGTAACAATTATAAATTCATATTATTATTCATATCATTTTTTAATATTATATTTTTTAATATTTAACTATGAATAAATACTCTTTGTTAAAAAAATATTTTTCCCCTGAACATAACGTTTGCTGAAATAAAACACAATTGCAAGATATTTGGAAATAGTTTCAAACATTTCAACTACTCAAGGAAAACAATACCATTCAATCACAATACATTTGTAGGAATTTTGTTTCCCTGCAAATGGTTGCTGTAATCACTTTTACAAGATGTTTAGAATTGGTTTCAAATATTTCAACAGCGTAAAGATGATAGTACCATTCAACTATAATTTGTACGAATTTTATTTTCCCGGGAAGTATTGGTTGCGACAAGGAAAAATATTTACAGGAAGTTTAGAATTAGTTTCAAACATTTGAAAAATGTAATCAAGACAGTACTATTTAATTTTAATTTGTATGCGCTTTGTTTCCCTGTGAAGTAATGGCTATTGTAAGGAAACACATTTACAGGATGTTTGGAATTAATTTCAGACGCTTCAACAACGTAGTAAGGACGGTACCATTCAATTACAATTAATTTGCCATATCGAAGTAATTGTTGCTGTAACAAAGCACATTTACAGGCTGTTTGGAATTAGTTTGAACTACATAGAAACAATTCAATACTTTCAATAGCAATTAATATGCATTCAAAGTAATACTTGTTGTAAGGAATATCAATGGTTACTGTAAAGAAACAAATTTACAGGGTGTTTGGAGCAAATTTCAAACTTTTCAACTATATAAAGAAGACAGCACCATTAATTTAGAATTAATTTGTAAGAATTATATATATATATATATATGAAGCATCACGGACAAAAATTACTCACCCTTCAAGAAATCATGAAAAATATCCTTTAATAACATGTAACACCGCCTTTAGATGCGATAACCACCTGGATTCGGTTAGGAAGGGAGTCCACAAGGTTTTGCAGGTACGTCGAATCCAATGTAAGCCACTCGTTGAGGATGTGATCGCCCAAATCCACCAAATAGCGAGGATGTTGATTTCGGCGTTTTACCCGTTGTTCCAACACGTCCCACAAATTTTAAATGGGGTTGAACACAGGTGACTTTGCATTCCAGTCGAGATGAAATTGAGTGTTCATAAGACCAGTCACATATTCTTCCTGCCCTATGAACTTTGCTGTGGTCTTCTTGAAAAATAGGGGTATCGACAACACACTCTTCATGAAGATGTCGACTGAAAAGCAACATCTAAACATTCAGAATGTTCAAATAAACATGCTGGTTCGTGTTAGTAGCCACCTTAGTGAGGGGGCTCAATCCATAATAAGATAAACGTCCCAAAACTTGAAATACTCACTCTCGGCTTGAAACTGACATTGCACGCAGTCAGGATGAAATGCTTTCTCTTCTCACCGTTGCACTCGACGACGTACGTCTTTTGAATAAAGGCAAAAAGGTGATTCGTTATACCATGTTACATTCCGCCTGTCTGCAACTCTCCACGTTCGATGACTTCTGGCCCACTGAAGCAGCGGAGCTTTATGTGCATGTGTGAGCAATGGCCTCTAACGAGATGTTCGACTCCAAATGTCCATTGCTTGCTGCTCCCGTCACAATGCTTTCTCACCAACGAATTGGGATGTACCTTCATTTAATAACTGAAGCAATTCCTGTCGGATTTTGAAGCGATTTCGATTGAGAAGTCGTGAAACACGTCTCCGGTCCCTTTCATGCAGCATCTTTTTCCGACCACAATTCTGACGTCTTCTTCTTGAACACGTGTATTACACCACTGCTTGTAGACACGTTGAACAGTTCACATTTAAGCACCAACAAATCCAGCTGCTTAATTCACCGTATGACCATAGATATGGCCAAACACAATTTCCCCTTTTGCGACTCTGTCACATCCTTACAGTTACCTATATTTACAAACAATTTCCGCTTCAAACAAAAATATCTTTCTGATAGCTATTTGCCATTTATCACGTTGAGGCAGTGTGCAAGCAATTGAGCACGTCACTTGACCATTGCGTCATCTAACGAAACCTAACGATTCATCGGTGCTTGGGCACTAGGGAGACTAATTTTTTGTCCAGATATATGTGTATATATGTATGTATATACCCGCGAGTACGCNATATATATATTAAATTTCTAAATTCTTATATTTATATTAAATTATAATTTATTCTTATATTCGTAATTAAAATTTCGCCATAATAAAAGTTAATACAGAGACATGCTATACATTAGTTTAACATGTTCATCATACTAATATGTTTTCATAGTTTGTATTAAAAAAATAAATAAAATGCTGGCTTTTGTAAAACATAGTGTAAGTATAGTATTATACAAGATATATTTTGCCATTATCTAAAATCGGAATCATGATAAAATGGGATGCAGTACACAAGTGTATTAGTTCGTCAATGTGTGAAACAAAAATATTTTAAAAACATCATTGAAAAGTAAACAGAATAGCCACAGTATAATGGAGTATAATAATAGGAAACTCAGGATCAGTAAGAATTAAGCACTTAAGTGGACTTCACTTGTGTGCATAAGGCAGGGATATTCCATATTATCCATAAGTAAATAATCGGGTTAGTCAAAATTCATAAAATTACCTAGTGTTTAGAACTTAGTTCATATTACAAAGAAACGAATTAGTAAATGCATATACAATGAGTGAGGATGGCATAGATGAATTGAATGAGTAGTGATGTTTATTGCAGGTTTATAGAAATAGCTCGTACAAATAAAAAGTTCATACAAATTGATTTTTCATTTCGAAGAATCATATTCGAAGAAATAGATAAATTATACGTGTAATTATGTTTAAACACCGTGTTACTAATGCCATTTGATAAGAAATGGGTGAATGATGAAAATTTTAAATCAACTTATGTAAATATGAATTGAGTAAAAAATGAATACCATAACCATTGAAATCAAATGAAAATAAGTACAGAAATATATAAATGTCATAAAAATATTACTGACCTTACTTAATCATTTTAACAAAAAAATGTATAGTTGATATAGCAATGAAAATATTTTAGAACACACACCATTATTTAATAATCGAAATAATTTTAGTTTAGAATAACAAAGGTTTAGAAACCTATAATAAAATGCAAAGTATTAGTTATATTATAATTAATTAAAAAACGCTATGCAGTGTTTTCTTTCACATAGCAGGATTTTTTTAAGAAATCTAGATAATTCTTTGAAAGCATGATGAAAACTTCTTATAGTGTTATTGCGATTTAATTTAGCGTCATGAGAAAAACATTGAAAACGATTACGTTTATAAAAAAAACATTATTTTATACACCTAATTGCTTTATTTGAAGAGCTTACAAATTATATGCATTATAAAATATTTGGAACTGTGCTTTAAAAACCATAAAATTCTAATTTCTGGAAAAATAAATATCAAAAAACAAATACTCAAACTTTTTTTTAATAATTTGAAATTTGCGCATAAATATAAGAAAATGTTTTGTAGAGATTTGCTTTTTGTATAAACATACACATTTTCAGTATTAAAAGTAAAAAATATTAGCTATAGAAATGAATGTTTTTTTCTTTAGCCGAGCAAGAGATGTTGTAAGGAGACACATTTATTAATTGTTTTGAGATATTACGCAAATTGCACTATTTATCAATGTAGATTTTGCTTTCTCAATCTATTTTGAGAAACCACTTTTGTAGAAATTTAGAAATTATGTGCTACAATGAAAAATCTTTAAGCCTGCTGAAAAAATATGAAGAAAAACTTTACTGTTTACGCAATATTGATGACACTCCCTACTTAACATAAAAAGTTCAATTTATGTTTTGAATTATTCAGAATTTCCCAGAAATATAGAATAATTTACATAAGCTCGGAAAATAGTTATAAAACTTAATCTTTGAAAGAAATGTATTCATGAGAAAAGTTATGTATAAAGAAATATATATATAATTTTGTAGAATGTAAAACGCTTTTCGGATAATTTCTTTAAATGGTATATTTCTAAAATTTGTTAATTGTGATGCAAAAATAACAAAAAATATTTACAATATGTATTAATACTTTAACTGGTTTGATTCATGATTATTAGAATATTACCAGAGAGATTTGAACACCTGATTTGCAATTTTTTGATAGAGAGACTTGTTCTAAACAAATGTAAAGGTAATATATTCATTTATATCTGCGTTGGGATCAGGCGGATGCAAAGATACTAAGGAAAATGATTATTACAGAAACTGCAATGTTGCAAAATTATAAGACGTTACGAAGTTATAAAAGTCCTTTAATATGGTATTGTGAGGACTATTGTAAAAATGCATAATGATCAAAGTTTTCCTTTTATACGCAATTTTTTAAAACCATTTATTGGAAATAGATGAAAACAAGCTATTAAAAATTACTAAGTGCTGTAGTGCTAGTGTTAAAAGTATATCAATCACAGCCAAGAATAAGGCATGAGCAGGTTTCAAATTTATTAAACTCATATTAAGCAAGTTTTAGTTAATTTTCTGGTTCGAGTTCCATTTTAGGTACATAATGGCAAAAATCACACATATATAAAAATATTTAATTAATATTATTATTGTAGTAATATAATTAAACTACAATCGAGAGTAAATGGAAAATTAAATAGGTGAGATTTGTTCAACCTTTCAATTCCACTGTTTTAATGAGTCATTTTTCGATTCCACAATTTTTTTTCTGTATAAACACGCTTTATAAAAAATGTAGAAATTTTTCCTTGAGTATCGAATCTAATAATAAACCACGTACTCAATTTAAAAAAAATCACGCCTTTTTTAGCTTTGCGATGTACCAAAAATATCTGTAATAAAATAATGCTATGGACTGTTTTGATAAAAATGACGCATTAGAATGTTAGAACACCTTCACATCTCTATGCATTATACATTTGTTTAAAACTTCCTTTAAACTTTCATACAACATACTTCAACTTTATACAAACATACTTTCTCAAATAAATTTCACAAGCTGCTTAGGAACATTCAACTGCGTTTCAGTTTATTCTACATTATAATGTTTTCAAATATTTCACTTTCATTATGCTGTATACATAATTTTTTATCGCTAAAATGACTTAATTTATGAATTTAAAACAATTAAATAAACCTGCATTTACATTCTACTATATCTTATACGTGATGATGATGCAGGTATATGTACTTGATATGAATTGAGTATGTTGTGATAGAATATATATTATTCCGTATGACTTAATTAATTAATTAAAAGCAAGTAAGCAACATATCACTTAAACTAAAAGATTATTAACAACATAGATAAAAATTGTGTTATACAGTAAAAATTTAAAAAACTTCTCAATACTTTATTAATGATTTAATTTTAACCATTCAACACACCGGCATTTATATTTTGTATTCCTTTACATGCGATATAATATAAGGGCGTTTATATATTTGTTTCGAATAATTAAAAATTCTTAAAAAGTATAGAAACAACATTATGAGCTTGATGTTATATAATACTTTATTATTAAAAAGTTACCTTCAATTATCAAATTTCCTGTAATGCTATCTTGCCCAAATCTGTTCATAGCTATGCATGTAAAATTACCTACATCCGACGGTTGTATTTGGCCAACAGACAGTTGAGAGCTTGATTTCCTGTCAAAAATTTTATACTTCTTGTGACTTTCAATAGGTATTTTATTATGGAGCCATGAAAAAGATATTGGTTCACTTCCCCTTTTCACAGTACAAGATAACTCTGTTTTATCACCTATTTCAAGGTTAGGAGGAATAAACAAAGGACTTAATACAGGAGCATCATCACTTGAAGCACAACCTTTAAAAAGTAAGGGAAATTGTATTTATTGCATTCATAACATGCTTATCACACATACGTTTCATTTGTTAAGTATAAATTTATATTTAAAACAATATTACAGTTTAAGTTTTGTTTTTATGAATATAAACAATAATTTGAAAAAATTCACTTACCTAATTTCATAATGAAGCATACGTTTAAAATGAATACAATTGAAAATACGTTCATTCTGAAAAAACTATAAAATAGTTTTAGTTATTCATTAATCATGTCAATATGTGAAAAAAAAAACACAAAAGTAGCTTGATTGCAGTTAGGCTTACTTATTGATGTCATTTGATGCTTTCAAACTTCCAGAATCGAATTTGTTTGGAATACGCAAACTGTGACAGTGGCGCCACACAACGAATAATAACGAAAATATGAGCAAACTAATTATAAAAAATATAAATAATGGAAAATATGGCTTAATTTTATAGCAGTTATTGACAATTATAATAATCTTGAAAATAATTCTTACAAACATTCGTTTAAAAATAAAAGTTTTCCCAACTTCGAAATAAGAAAGATTTTATACAATAATCTGATTTTTATAAAAAAATAGGGTTCTAAAAGCATTAAAGAACATTCAATACTTGAGTGGATTTCAATAAGCGAAAATCAGCTAATCAGCTGAGAACTAAAATCAGTTTTAAAATAAATAAATAATAACTTTTTGAGACGTTTCAATACAAGTCAAACTTCTTGTACTCATGATTTTAATAAAAAAAAAACATTTTCCTCAAAAGGTACTGAATAATACAAAACTGCAAATATAGTTTTGACGCCATAGTGAAACCGTGTAAAAGTAGAATAAATTTATTGAAAGACATAATACACAAACATAATACACAAACTTTATAATACACAAACTACATAATACACAAACTTTAAATTTAAAATATATAATACAATAAATTTGAAAATATTCATATAACTGATAAAAATCTAGTTGAAATTATATCAAGCAGCAGTATTATAAATTATTAGATAATAAATATTCTCCTTAGAGATACTGTAAATAACACAATAAAAAAATTTTAAAAATATGTCTGAAGAAAAGCACATTTATAAAAACATTAAAACAACCAAAAAGTAACATCTTTCTTTATTAATTGTTTTAATTTTATAATTAAAATAAATCTTACATGATAAGACTTACCGTCTAAAACTACATTCACTGTGTTTTTATCCTGACCGAATGAGTTCTTAACAATGCAAGTGTAATTTCCGATATCTGTTGCTCCTATTTTACTTAATGATAAATGAGAAGCACTTCCCATGGAAGTTATTTTATATTTTGAATGTGAAAGCATATCTTTCCCGTTATGAAGCCATTTAAATTCTAAAGGCAAACTTCCTCTTTTTACTGTACACATAATATCAGTCATATCACCGACAGCAAGATTTGGTGGAATAAGAAGAGCGTTCAAAATAGGTGCATCTTCTAAAGTCAGTCCTAATTAAAAATAATAAAATATTAATTTGCAATATTTATATTTTTTATTATGAAAAAAAAAATTTAAAAAAAAGTTTGTTCCATAGTTTGGTAAAAACATCCTTTTTCTTATAAAAAGTTTTTCAATACAATTGAAAAAATGAAAATTTAAAAGTTATTATTTTTAGTCGAACTATTACATAATTTTTATAACTTCGAAAATCATTTCTCTGAGGAATTGAAAAAAAAGTGCAAGCATCATTTAACTGCATTATAGGAGAGGATGCAAAAATATGGTCAGTTTTGAAATGATGATAATTATTTTTCTATTTCGTTCTATTTATATTACTTTTAGAATCCTAATTTGTTTCATAAAACTAAACAATTTCAAATTTTAATATATAATTCTAAAGGCACATAAGTATATTAGCAGATATAAAAGTACATGATAAAATTAATACAGATTCAAACACAAAAAATTATCTTTTTTCCATTAATAATGTGTTTAAATAAAAAGTATTTTTAAAAACAATGTTAATGAGCTTTCAAAAATATTCGAAAAACTTAATGATTAGGTGACAATGAAAAATATCATGATATGAGCTCTTCTGCTTACCTTTATGAATCAGACTTGTTATATACATCAAACAATAGTATTTGCAACTGAGTGTGAATTTTGAATTCATTTCATAGCTGGAACAGGTAGCTATATATATGATTCGTTTCTTTAAAACATAAAATAAAAATATTATTGATACATTGAATCACAAAGACGAATAGATCTTTAATAACAAGACTTCATTTATTAAACGCTACGGAACTTAGAATGAACAAACAGTATTGTAGCGCCACATAACGATAAAAGTTTGAACAATCGGATCAGATTTGAAAAATGTTTTGAATATTAACAAAAGTAACACTATTATTACATTTTCATTTATTTTAAAATGTTTTTAACGGAAATATAATTTATTTTTCAATCATGAATGCTATTTACTTAAATGTCAAAAATAGTATTTGATATATACATGCATTTCTTCTAAATGCCATCTCCATTTTACGTTATGTCGGTGGCAATGTGCAAAAACAAGAAACAACTGTATAACATATATAAAATTCGCTCATAATGCGATAAATTTATTTAACATAAAATTAGAAAAGTTAAAAAAGGAAAAGTTGGAATAAAATTGACACATCTATATTTGAAACGTTAATTATAATACAAACCTTATTTTTGTTTATTAAAAATCAGATGACCCTGAGACATTAATTAATTGTTCAATACTGTTTGATTTTGTTAAATCCCTCAAATATTATTTTGCACTTTGCTTTTTCTTTGTACAACTAAGAAATTGTAAATTTTGTAAAACACGTTTTTAAAATTAAATGCTTAAAATATAGAAGTTAACATTAGCTAATTAGTACAGTTTCAAATTTTTATTAGCTGTTTCAGTACTTTGGCAAAATAAAATCGATTTTTATACATGATTAATACATATTGCTTGAAATAAAAATTAGTTATAGAAATAGTACTTTTTTATTCAAAAATGTCGTTGATGTATTTATCTATCTTCATTATAAAAGTGTATTATTCATATATCCTTAATATATTTCAAACTTTTGTTGGATAGTCAAAATTGATATTCAGTAAATTAAACACAGTAAAATTGTTACACAACGCCAATCATACTTTTATTTATTTTTAGTATTACAGTTCTTATTATTTTAGTTCAAATAAGGAAAACAATTCTATGTAAGTTTGGTTATTGTAGTAAATCTCTATATAGTAAAAAATTTCAGTAAAAAGTACCGACACTCTGGGTGCCGGTACATCTTACCATGCAATCCTTCTTTACCGAAACATGTTAAGGAACAAAAAATCTTATATATCATAATTTTTACAATAAAAATTACCGTAAAATTATTGAATAACTAAAATTAAATCAATATTTCTCTAAAAATCATAGTACAATATTTATGGTAAAACGAATTTTACGGATGATGCACCCAAAGTGCCTGTGCTTTATACCGTATTTTGATACTGGATATTTCACTGCGTACTACAAATAATTCGTTTTTACTTTCACAAACCTTATGGCACAACACAAATACTGTAAAAGAATGTATTTTTTTAAATTATTTTAAAATAAAACGATTTTCAACAAAACTGTTTACAATAAGTTTTTATAATAGAAATAAATATTTGCATTCTGAGTTAAAAGCTCATAAAATAAAATGCATCTATTCTTTTTACTCCTAATTCGGTGAGAAGTAATAAAGTTTCTAATATTTCAAGATTCTATGATAAATTTAATTGTTTTATATTTAAAATGCTTTGATAAATTATTAAAATACAATGTAATAGAACATGTATAAAGTATGCACGATTATTGGATTCTTATAATTAATCCATACAATGCATCAGTAAATATTCATCATTAAAATAATTTCAGTAAGATTGTATGTTGAAGAATAGATAAATGGGTTTATTTAAGAAAGCTGTGAATGAAAATATTGCTATTATTATAGAAATAGTAAGATAAAAAAGTTTATAAAGATTTTCAATAATTAAATTCGCGAACTGATAAAATCAAATAAATTGTATTACAGTTTCACACTGCACAAACAATCAAGCAACATTTAATGTTATTCTGTTTTAATCTTACACTTGCAATGCGTATCTGCATTAGTAAACATTCCTCAATAAAATAATTTCAGCAAATTAGAACATTGAAGTAAGCGATTTGTAGCAACTGATCTAAGTAATACTGTAAAATAGTTGTCTGTAATGATTAGTAGCATTTTATAGATGATACATACGTTATAGAGATACGTTATAGACAGAGACATACGTTGTAGAGATATAGTATAAAAAACACTGTTTCAGAGTTAAATTCATTATAATATACATAGTTAAAATTTTGTAATATTCAAAAACATTTTACCATCAATTATTAAACTACCAGTCATGGTATCTTGTCCAAATCTGTTTGTTGCCACACAAGAATAATTACCAATATCAGATGCTTGAATTTTTCCAATTGATAGTTGCGAACTTGTCTTACCATTAGATGTTTTATACTTGTAATGTTTTTCAATCTCATAACCATTGTGCATCCACGAAAAAGAAATTGGTTGACTCCCCCGTCTTACTGTACACAAGAATTCTGTTGTGTCACCAATTGCGAGATTCGGAGGTATAAGTAATGGACTTAATATAGGGGCTTCTTCTGATGCGTAACCTTTATAAAATAGTTTTTCAAAAGGATTAAAATACATCATTTAGGGCTTAAGAAACATTCTAAGCCCATGAATTTCAAAACTGAGAAAATAATCGATCTCCTGTTACAGGAGATATGACATTTATAACAGTTACTAATAATACTTACTAAATTGAATGAAAAAGAAAATCCAAAATGTAAATATAACTGCAGAAAGCTTTTTCATATTAAATAAAATGAAATTGTTACGCTCTAATTCAGAAAAAACTTTAAATATACAGATAGTAATGCCAAGTGAGTTTACAATTTATAAATCAAACAAGAGTCAGTCTTTGATAGCCATTTGTTTATGCATCGTAAACTGTGACAGTGGCGCCACATAACGTTAAACATTATAAAAATATTTCGAAAATAAGTAACAGAATTAATTTTAAGGGCAAAATTTGAGTCCATATTTAAAGAAATACATATTATACAGAGAGTACAAAATTTATTCATTTTTAATAATATATTTTGTACTCAAGAAAATAATTATTTGCGTTGTGATATTGTTCTTTTATGTATACTTATAATAATGTAACGAGATACAAGATGTAATGCATATTTATTCACCTTAAAAAAGAGTATATCGAATTTACACATCAGGATACATTGAAAGGTCAGCGGTACAATTTTCAATTTTAATAATCACTTTAATAAACATTTAAAATAAGCGGTGATAAACTAAATCATATAAAAAAAAAGCATCGCAAAATTAATTATGTTTAGACAATAAAGTTCATATATTTAAAAAAAAGTAGTTTCAGTGGTGTTAAAACCTCCATTTTATGAGTTGGGCAGTTCGTAATTTCAACAGATTCTTTATGAGTTTCATTATTGAAATGAGTGTATTAATACAAAATAATAGAATGTAAACTCAATAATATACAGAATAAAAATGGAGACATACTACTCGAGCAAGTAGAATTACGTGTACACGAGTGATTGGAGACAACTACGCGTACATGCAAAGCAATATTTAATACAAAAAGTGTCTTAATACTGTTGTAATTAACCTAAAAAATTGTAGCACTAAAACTCCTCAGATTTAGCAACTTTTAACACATGAGTATTTATATTTTATGTCAATATTTACAGAATTTTTTTTTCAACCAACAACAATAAAAAATAACTCAGCAATTTCTAACAAGTGATTGCAGAAGTTGCTTTATATTCAACGTCAGCAATACTGAGCCTTATATAGATTTAAAACGAATACATTTCAGTTGAAAACATTTCAAGTTTCAAAAATTTCAGTCAATTATGTAACAAGTAATAAACTAATAATGAATCAGTTTCACGAAGTTTATCAGGCAGCCATCAATACAAAAATATGTACGATATATTTTCAATGCAATAGTGATGATAAAATTTTTTTTTAAATGAAACGTTTCAATTCTGAATTATTTGAAATATAATGCGCTATAAACCAGAAATATAATAAGACATTTTGAATCTATAATAGAACAAATTGAGAAGACAGCATATTTTAAATAAAACAACATATTTTATAATAAAATATGTTGTTTCTTGTTCTAAGTTGTTATTTTGAGTAAGATGTTTATAAAATATGCGCATTTTTTTTACCTACGATTATATATTTCTCTTTTTAAAGAAAAAATATTAAACTTCTATTTTACCTTCGGAACAAAAATTCGAATCTAAATAAATATTAGCAAAATGTGAAATAAAACTTTAGATCTTAAAAAATTTATTTATCTAATAAATGTTACTAAATAACGTATTTCCATTAAAATCAATCAGAAAGCCAATATAAACGAAAGAGTGGAAAAAATTTAAAAATATTTGTTATACCTTAAAAATAATATTTTTTACAAATAAAAGTAAAATTATTGTCTTCGTTTATATTTTAAACATACCCAATAATTAATTTAAAGAAACTAGAAAGCACTAGTGAAATAAATGCTATTATGGATATTTTGCTCACTAATAGGAAAAATATCAATTATTCTAAACCAAACAAATTAGCAGGCATTTATTAATGAGTAGAATATAACACATTCATTGTAAGACATTTAAAATACACAAAGTTATTGCATGAAAACAAAACATGCATATATTTTTACGAAATCCTGATATTACATCAATATATGCATACCTTCTATAAGAACACTCCCTGTTTTACTGTCTTCACCATATAAATTTCTTGCTTTACACGTGTAGTTACCATTATCTGAAGCAGTAACTTCTCCTATACGAAACATAGAACCTGTTTGAGATTTGGTCACTTTGTATTTTTGATGATCATTTACAAGATTGTAATTGTGATACCAATCAAAAGTAATAGGCAGACTGCCTCTTTTAACAGTACATGAAAGTTCTGTCATATCTCCAAGTGCTAGATTTGGTGGTATAAACATTGGATTTAGAATGGGGGATTCTTCCTTAGTAAAAGCTAGAAGTAAAAACAGAATAAATATTTTTTTAATAAATTCAATATTGATTTAGAAATTTATTTTACAAAATAGGAATATCGGAAGCATATAGAAATGTTTGAATAAGCAATGAGATATAATTTTGTAAATAATTGCGTTATTGCTGTTCTGTGATTCTCGGATCGTATTTGAAAATTACAGTTTTGGAAAACTTTGTATTATTTCTCAATTTCAAATTTAAATGTAAATTAAAATTTCGCATAACATTTTAATATGCAGACTAAAAACAATAGTTTATTTAAATTTTAACATAAGTTTTACATGTTATTTATAATTACTTTAAATAAATGTTTTGAAAAAAAATACTTTAGTTTTTCAAATAATAATTGTCAATGAAAAATGAATTTAAATACAATTTTCTATAATTAAAAAATTACATCATTGTATATTCAATAATCCTGATAATAATTCCACTGTACATTTATTAATCCTGAAGTTACAAATAAATAAATACTTACAAAAACTACAGAGAAACGTAAAAGTCTAAATTATTATTCTTTAATTATATAATAATGAACAACCTTAAATATAAAAGAAAATATCTCAAAATACTGTTTTAAAACTAACGTAAGAAAACTGCTAAAATTATACTGATTTATTGGATTATAAATAAAACGTAGATAAATAGGTATAAATTATTTTGAGCATAGAACACATACCCTTTTGCAAAACTAAAAGGCAGCATATCAAACTACATTTCCACATTATATTTTTCAGCAATTTATACCACGTTTAATGTATAGTCTTTTTTGAAATTCAATTGAATCAAAAGTTATATAAAGCATAAAACTAAATGCAATCAGTTTTAGCTAAGCCTTAAAAATCAAGCCTTAATATTGTTTGTTGAATACTGAGATAGCAGCGCCACATGTCGTTAGAAAAATAAAGTTAAAAACTATTGTTAATATTATGTGAATAAATTTATATGGATATATTTTATAAATATAATGCTGATTTTAAATACATCAAAGAATGCAGTAAAGAAGAAAATAAAGAACGTTTTTTTAAATAAAAATTAATAATTAGAAGAATAAAAACAGAATTAAGAAGTGATAAAACATTTTTAAATTGCAATTATTGGCACAAAATAGTATTTTGTTAATATTAATATGTAAAAATATACGAAAAAGAAAGAAAGAATGAAGTGTATTATATGCACGATATTTAGCCTAAAATACATTCTTGAGTTATACTTAGAAAATAAAAATAGCCTAAAACAAATTGATATTCTTGTATTAGCAAAAAGAGAAATAAATAAGAAAGAATGAGAATAATGCAAATACAGTAGCAGCGTTAGCACATAAGGCATAAAGATTGCATTGTTCAGTTCACATGGTTTCAACGTAAAAAAATAACATTAATTTAATTATGCTGTAAAAGTATTAGAACTAGTATATTTTATGTGTATTTAAAATTATTTTATGAACTCAAATTATAAATATAATGAAGGTACTCAATTTTAAGAATATGTAAATTAAAACATATTCAAAATATTTTTAAGAATATTTTTAAATTTAAGCCAACAAGTAATTTAAGTCTATAAAATGTAATAAAAAATAGCATTAATATTTATATTTAAAATATTAATATGTATAAGTAGTCATACCTTCATAGACAAAATCAGCAACTTCTTAAAAACTTTTAATTTTTGAAATCCTCGCAAAATAAGGTTTCATTAAACTGATACATCTAACTATTTTCTTAGGAAAAAAGTGATATTGTTTTTGAAATTTAGGCACATTGTTGAACTAAAATAATTTAACTCTAAACAAAAAAAATTTAAAAATGGCATATCTAATACATTTGTCGTTTCATAAAATATTTAAAAAGTACAATTTCTATGCAAAAAAATACATATCAGAAATTCTTTACAATAATAGATGCACAAAATAGATAGATACACAAAAATAAAAATGAAATAAATGTAATATATATAATTTAACTTACCTTCATCTAAAAACATTATCCCAACGCTGTTACATAATAAATCATCAATTTGAAACTCAAAATTTGCTTTGTTTTGGTGAAAAATAAAATGAAAATTTTTGAAATTAACTGCGCTTAAATCAACGAATGAAGAAGATATCCGGAAGAACTTTAAATGCTGAGGAGCAATAGAAAAAACAATACATAAAATGTTAAACAAACATTAACAAAATATTCAAATATATTACAAAATACTTTCAATCTCATTTTTACTTAAATTTAAAAACAATAAATTTCTAAAATCATACTTTCAATAATGCTTTTTTAAAATTAAGATGTCATTATTACCTTCAATAATAACACTCTGTGTTTTACTATCTTCACCATATGTATTTTCAGCTTTACAAGTATAGTTACCGATGTCGGAAGGTTTGATTTTTCCAATGAGAAAGTGAGATCCAATTTGAGAGCTTGATACTTTGTATTTTTCATGCTGTTTTATTAGTTCATTGTTATGAAGCCATTGAAATTGAATTGGTAAGCTTCCTCTTTTTACGGTGCAAGAAAGTTCAGCCATATCTCCTATAGCTAGGTTTGGTGGTACAATCATAGGATTTAGAACAGGAATTTCTTCATTTCCTTTAACTAAAAATAATTCAATTTCATTTAAATTAATCATCGAGAGTTTCAGCGTACAAATACACAAACTTCATATGAATTAAAACTATTGACTTATATAAAGTATTAGGTAACATAAATATTTTAATATACATAGTTACAAAAATAAGTTAAAGAAATATATTTAAATAATAACAGAATTGCCTAGACATTAGTGAAAAATGTATAAGAAATATACTAACCTAGGTGGGTGTATATCCAAATGATGATAACCATTAAGCACGTCATCTTAACTTGAAAATGTATGCTTACTTCAAAGTATTTCAATTTTTCAGTAATTAACAATTAAAGAGGAAATTTTTTTAATTATTAAATATTATCACATAATCTCTAACAAATGCCTTAGGGAAAAGATAAGCTTTTGTTGTGTAGCTCATTGTGGAAAGCTAAAAAAGAAATAACATTATAAATTACACAATGTGACTGCAGCGCCACATATCGTAATATTAAAGAAATAATTTCAGGTAAGTTAATATTAAAGAAGATTTCGTTTTAAAATAAACGATATTTTTTAAAACTTTTGAACATTCATGTTTAATAAATTTTAAAAGATCCTTCATGTCTATTTTTTCTGAAGGTTTCAATAACTTTGTAAGTTCCAGTAAATTTTAAAAAAAATTAGAAATTGAAAAGCAAGAATAAATAATAAGACCAAATAATTAAAATAATAAAAATTGTCATCATAGTTACTAATTACATTTATTCAAATAAAAGTATACAGGAGTTTAATAACATTTATAAGTTAAATAGTAAAACAATATGATTCAAGAAATTTTCAAAAGTGAATGCATCTGAAGGTTTTTCCGTAATATAAGTTCAAGTATTATGCATTTAACTTTAATTAAATTTCCAATGGATAAATAAATTAATTATTTTTAAATTCAACAAATCACCAATCAAAGTATTAATCTTCTATGCATATTTACATTAGATTTTGTATAAAAAATAATTTGCAATTTTAATTACAAATTAACTAATGTAGACTTCTAGACATTGTATAAGTAAATTGTTTCATTTGTCTTAGAAACAATGAATGTAAATGCAGTTTTGAAAGTATTAGTAAAACAGTTAGCCTTACAAAATTCTTAATGATTCATACGTAAATAGAAAAGTTTTGAAATTCCATAAGGCAAGAGATAATTTGATAGCACTAAAGTTTTATAAAAAAATAAATTAAGAGTAACCCAATATTTTAATTTATAGGATGGAGAATTAAAGAAGATTTATTGTGATACCTCTTGTTACTATTTCGAAGTTAATGTACATACACATTGAAATTGGCTATTTTCGCATTTATGCTCACAAATAGTTCCACAAAAATGAATAACTTCAGCTAAAAAATTATATACGTATACATATTTAAGTTATTTTTTCTAAAAGTTCGTTTTAGACACAGGCAAAACACAAGATATTATTTCGCTTCTTTTTAGAATTTTCTAAACAAATAATAATAAAAAAAACACAAGGAAGTCTCGGAAAATTAAAAATTGAAAAATTTTGCGCCATTTTATTATTTAGAATGACAGGAGGTGAAGTTAGCCATAAAAATAAGAAATGAAGTAGAGCATGGTAGAGGAAAAATTGAGGAAAAAGGTGTATAAGAGCTTTATCCAATGTTTCTTCATCATTGAACTTCTAAAAATTATGATATTTTCAAATTTAAATTAGTTTAATATTAGCAAATCATCATCATTTTAATTTAAAATGCATTTTGAAAGACAAAAGAAAGATATTTAAAAAAAATTTGGAAAAGGACAGTAATTTTAAACACAGTTCTATACATACAAAAAATGACAAAATTACATTATCTAGAAAAGAGAAAACCCTATCCCAAATACGTATATGTATGTGAAATTGAAATTAAAAATGTTTACAGTCTATTAGCTTATACCTATTCATTTCAATAATATCAATAATATCGGCTGGAAAGAAATTTTAAGCTATAATATATATTTTTAGAATTCCTTGTATTCATACTGTTAGTCCAAATGTCTGTGAGAAAGCTATTACTACTGTAAAGTTACCAAAATCTTAATTTCATTGATAGTCAACAAATATAAGTTTTCATAAATAGATTAAGTCTAAGAAGCAATTCTCTCAAAATAGTATTTACACTGTTTTATAATCCCATGAAACACAATCACACAAATTGTTCTATTACACATTATTGAAGATAAACTTTACAGGATGAAAAAAGTAAGTACACAAGAGAATCACTAAGAAGAATAGGTATTAATTAAGTACTTAAAGGTCTAAATCACGAATTTTATTATACATTCTTTAAAAAAATTGTGCCATTGAAGTAACTTTATTTGAGATATTTTTCAATACAAATATTTGCTGTCGATAATTCTTACCTTCTATTAATAGAGATATAACTTTTTCATCTACTCCATAAGCATTTGTTACACTGCATGTATAATTTCCATTATCTGTAGGTTGGATTTTTCCTATTTTTAAATGAGAACCACTACCACTGTCGGTAATTTTATATTTGGAAGAAGCAGAAACCTCAACATTATCTTTCAGCCATTTAAATCTTACTGGCACACTACCTCTTCTTATAGAGCACGATATCTCTGTGATATCTCCTATACTTAAATTTGGAGGAACAAGTAAAGGATTTAAAACTGGAACTTCATTGCAGAAACCTAAAAATGATATAAAGAAAACGTATTCATCTAAAGACATTTTAATTACACTCTTCAGCATTTATAAAATCAAATTAAAAACAATATCATGGTTTTAAGGTAATTGTAAAATAATTTTTATTGAAATTATGAAAAAATAATTACCCTGAATTTAGTTTTAGAATTTAGAAACTTTTAATTTTTAGTCATTAATAAATGTAATTATTAAACTAAAAAAGTTTAATCACAAATTTTAATTAAATCCATCTGATTAATAATTTTGTAATATATTTGAAATCAGATATAAGAATATAAACTACCTATTTGTAAATATTTTTGTTTATACTTTTGATATCTAGGAATATGATCAAGTTAAGAAAAAAAAATTGGACACTTTGAAAAAGACGCACAATAAATAAAAGAAATACAACAATTGGACATAAAATGGCATTAAAAGCAAAAATAGTGCAGCATCAAGTTAGTTAAATTATGTGAATAACAGTGCAGGATTTTTCGAAGAAAAAAAAGATTAAAAACAAAATTAAGTTTTGTTTTACAACCCCAAACTGCGAGTACTATTTAAAATATATTGATTAAATTTAATAAAAATGAAGCAACATTAATGCATACAAATTTTAAAATATTTGTGTTTTTCGAAAACTAACAATTTAACTACAGGTTTTTTTTTATATTTTAAAATAAGCACAGGCAATAAACTAGGTTCAGGAATCACTAGATTTAGAAACCATTCAGAAACGTTTAGAAAATAATAGGTTCAAAATCAATTTCAAAATATGTTTGTTTAAACAAAACAAATAAATATTTTTAAAATTGTAGTTAAAAAAGAAATGATAATAATATATAAAATATAATCTTAGTCTTTTTTCTCTTATTATAAAGGTTATAAAGTTTGTATAATTAATTCTGGAAGCTTTTGCTATGATCTTAGTTAATATATTTAAGTACAAACATTATGCTAATTAATAGAATGACAGAAAGGTAATACTTTTATCATCGTATGAACATAATGATATTTTTTAACTTTAAAAAAGTTGTTGTATACACTAAAAACAATTTCAAATAATTGATATTCAAACGTCAAAAAGTATTATGCTGTAGAAGACTAAACTATGTTAAATTATTGGTATAACATTTCATCTCTAGACATTACAATTTGTAGTTATAATTTGCTTATTATTCTATTGTTATTGTATTCAATAGTTCTTGAAAATTCAGATTATTTAGACAAAACTCATCTTAATTGTAAGCAAAAAAAACCACAAGTACGTACTTTTTTGTCCAGTTATTAAAAGAATTGAGAAAACAATGAACGCGTTATTCATGATTGATAAGGCGTTATAAGTGTCTATGATGTTAGTTAGAATTATTCACAAAATAAGCAATTAGAGTAAGAAAGTGATGAGGCTTAGTTCGAGTTTATAGAGACAAACAAAGCGTAAATTTACATAAACGTGACACTAGCGCCACATATCGCATTAGGACACAACTAATTATAAATTTATTTACTCTAAAAAGGAAAATTTTTTATAAAATTCCTTAACTAATCATTCGATTCAATTTTCGGATTATTCGGGTACTTCATATATTTTTTGTTAATAATGAATCATTCAATTTTAAAAGTTATCAAAGTTTAGCTTAAAGCTCATCAGGGGATTATAGGCACTGAGAATAAAATAATTTAATGCCTTAAGGTTAATTCAATTTTTAAAGAAATGTTAATTTGAATTTTCATTAAATAAAATTCCTAAAAGTAAATAAGGCTGGTAAAAACTTTTATAAATTTTAGGCGAAAAAGTTTAAATCATTTTAAGTACTTTCTGATAATTATATTATTTTTAAATAAATTTGATCGTAAATGTGTGTGGAAATCACTAATATTTGTTGAGTCAGATGCTACTAATTCTAGTACATCAAAAAAAAAAAGACAAAAACAACTGAAACATATCTTAATGAAATAAATTTTAAGTTTTAAAATTTTTTCTAAAAGATCTTGCATATAAAATTTAGAAATGTAATAAAAATATTACTTTAACAATTAAAAAAGTTAAATTTATAATTATAAAATATAAAGTTTCTTTTCTAATGAAAAAATAAAATAAAACATCTTAATTTTTGATTAATTTATGGCAATTATCAGGAAAAGAAGACGCTTTTTTAAGAATATATATAAAATTTTTTACTAATAAAATGATTCTTCAACATGCTTTAAAAAAATATTGTCACAAAAAAGAAGCAATTTCAAACCTTTTCTATTTTTGAGTCTTCAATATTATAACTATTTGGCTCAAATTACGCTTATACATTGTCACAGTTACTCCTAAAATTAAGTTGCATTACTGCAACGTAATATTACTAATTCTTTGCAAAAACATCAAACATAGAAATTTTTTAATTCTTTTTAAAAATGAAATAATAGTATAGGACTTTCGTTCTGAAGTGTAAATACATATTACTTAGTAAAAGATTTATATTTCTGGGATTTAAACTATTTTGTTAGTATCAATAAATTGTTATGTTAACATCAAGTATGTTTTGTAAACATCAATCTGTCGTACAACATAATTTAAAAAAATTTTAATACTGTTTTTGATAATAAAATCAAATCTTTTAAAACAATTACATGATTAAATAATTACGAAGTTTTTGCGATGTACTTTTTATAAAATATATTCAATTTTGAAGATATTAAAGAAACTGCATTATTTTTTAAAGGAATTTTAATATTCCATTTCATATTATAAAAAATTTTTGTGCCTTAAAATTAATTTTTTAATAGTTTTTTAATTATTACCTGAAGTTCAGTTAATTAAGAAATATTTCCCTATGTAAAAACATGTCTTGCAATAATTTGTTTATCACATCAAATCAGGAAAATATCTGGTAAGTTCTTCTTTGAGTTCTAGTATCAAACAGATTTTTGATATCTTCTGTAAATATCAATCATCTTCTTTCGATCACATACTCTTTGAACAATTGACCTAAAAAATTTTCAATATCAGTATGAATTAAAATGACTGTTTCTTAAAGCTGTTTAAAAATTAATAAATAATTACCTGTTTTTTTAGTAGTCTTATACTTTTCTTCAAACAAATATGAAATCATGATATGATTTAAAGAAGATTATTTTATATATCTTTCAAGTAAATGCATAAACTTTGAAGGAATAGTTATTTTCTAAAAAGAATTATATGATTACAATGTAAGATAAATAAAGGCTAGGTCAAAAGTTTAAGGAAAAGAAATTAAACAATTCATAATAAAATTTATAAAGACCCTTTAATTTTGAATTCAATACATGAATATTTATTTTAAAAAATGCAGAAAGGACGCATTAGCAACATGTTTCTTATATGAATCTAAAAGAAAATTTATATAAAATACAAGCTGTTCCATAATTGCGACCCTTAATAAATATCTTTAAAATCCATTTCAAACATAAATAAAAAAAATTTAAGCCTTGGGGGCTAAAAAGTTATTAATTAAGCTTAGGAGAAGCAAAAAAGAGTTAAAATCAGTAGTTTAAATACTTGGGAATGTGGGATAAAAAATATCTAAACCTGTTTTATTAATAGACAAAACCTGAAAGTGTTTCTAATTACCTATTTTTAATTTCTATTTGCAGATACGTCTATCAATTAATACATCTATATTTCAATTCCTATCTGTTTCTGCATTAGATTAGATTTTAATATTTTCCTGCATTTAAATATAAATTTAAGACTAATTTTTTTGTATTTGTTTTGGTTTATTTTTCTCAAGAATTCCAAACTTTTAATTTATTTAGAGTGCTTTTTTACGGATAATGCATGAAAGTGTCAAGAATATAATAATAAATCATTTTATGCTAAATTTTGATTATCTACACAGCACAAAATTTTCGCACAAATTATATAGCAAATAAAAGAGCATTTTACCTTCAATTAGAATAATTTGAGTCTTACTGTCCATTCCAAAATCATTTGATGCTGAACATGTGTAATTTCCATTGTCAGAAGCTGCAATTTCTCCAACTGAGAAATGAGAGCTACTTTTGCTGTTAGAAATCTTGTATTTATGGTGAGATTCTACTTCAATACCATTGTGATACCACCTAAAATTTATAGGTAAGCTTCCTCTTTTAACACTACAAAAAAACTCTGTAATATCACCTATAGCCAAATTTGGAGGTGTTAATAAAGGATTCAGTAATGGAGGCTCATTTAAAGTGAAACCTAGAATTTAAAATTTTTTTTTAGCAAAGATCATTAAGAATAGTTCGATAAAGTTTGAGTCATAATTTAACATAAAATTAAGAAGCAACAATTAATTGAAATTGTAAAAAGTTTTGAAACGATATAGCAGTGTGACAGACGAAATAAAAATCACGAATGAATTTAATTTGATATAACTTAATTAAGTTCATGTCTGAAATCACTTGCCTTGAATATGAATAAGTTTATACATAATATATAAAGTACTTGTACAACGCAAAGCTAAGTATTTTGTGAAATTGCAAGTTTTTAACTATGTAAACTATGTTAAATTGTACGTAGAGAGTGAGAAGAGCCCTTATTAAACTCAAAAGTATGTCATTTTTAAGTTTTGTTATTGTTTAAAATGTTTTGGTGCAGTGAATTTTTAATTAAGAAATACACAATTTTATTGCTTTATGCTTATTTTTAGAATTAATAAAATGTTTTTTATCAAAAATATTTTTTAATTCACTGCATTGCAAACCTTTCTAAAAACATTGTAATTAATTGGACATTTTTTACATGTTATGTAAAATAATTTTGAAATATCAAGTTTTTATAGTAATTCAAATAATGTATCATTTCACCTGTATACTAGATTAAAAAATCTGTGACTTCAACTAATGGTCATAAATAAATTTTTATTAATAATAAATAAATTTCGACGTTGCGGTCATAAATAAATTTTATAATTATTAAATGCAATTTCAAAATAAAAAAAACTTATTTTTATCAAAATCATTGGTAGGTTAGACTGGTTACCTATTTAGCGATTGTATTAGGAAATAAAAAATGGACACTTTTGCAAAATAACACATGCTTGCTTTTTTTTTAAAACAAAAACTAATCCTTAATAGATTTTTAAAATTATTTGACTGTATAGATTAACTAAATTACCATTCTAGGTTTTGTAACATGCATACATTTTCAACCATTCTCGATATTAAAATAAAAGTATTTTCTTTTCGTTAAGTTGAATAATGTAGACCACTTAGAAAAAATACAATCTCAAATTACTCAGCATACTTAATAAGTTTCAATCAGTTTCACATTTATACATAATTTCATTATGAATGATAGACAAAAAAATATATAATCATGTAAACACTACACGGTCATTGTTAATTTCTAAATACATTATTTCTAATATTATATGTTACTTACTTATAATAATTACGCGTGTCATTACTGCACAAAGGAGCCAAAAATTGGTTGCGGAAAAAGTCTTAAAAAACATTATGTACGTTAAATTTAGAATAAATTTTGCATTATATCCCAAAGCTCTTCTAAGTAGTGAACAACAGTAAAACTAATATATAAAAGCTGATATTGAGTACGCTACAATTATTGTCATAACACGGTATAGCAGCGCCACTCAACGTATTATTTTAAAACTATTGTTAAAACATGTCTGATTTAGTTACACTAAAGAATTTTACTCATTAGTTTTATGCAAGCAAACAAAAAGTGAAACATTGAAAATTTAGTATCAAATAATGTATAATAAAAGCAAACAGCGACAGATATCAATAGTATTTAAATGAATTTGCTAACATTAATAAATTTTATTTGCTAAAATATATCAATTATATAATTAAAAAATTGTGCATGGTATACATAATAATCAATTAAATAATAAGACCTTTTAAAAGGAAAGATATAAGCATATATGTTTTCAAAAGTGAAAATAATTTTAAATTAAAATAAATTCAAAAATTTAACTAGCAAATCGTGTATATATATTTTTAATAAATAAATATTAATTCGCATAATCAAATAAATATCTAAGTTCATATAACCATCTTTCTTAAAAAACATTTTAAATTAACAAGAAAAATTCTTTAAAATACTTAGTATTCTATTTTTCGCCTCAATTCAATATTTAAAATTTATATTTAGTTTATTACAGAACTTAAAATATCATTTGTTATAATAATGATCATTTACTTAATTTTCTAAGAAACTTTCTTCCTATTTTCACACTATTACTATTTCATAAAACATTATATTTTCTGTATTTGAATAAAGTATTTATGACTACGGTAAAATTTTATGCTTTATAATGCAAAATATTATTTGGTTATTTTATTTCAATTTTTGTAGATTTTTATCCTAACTTTAATTCAAATTCTTGATATACACAAAAGTTTTAAAAACATTTACCTATAAAAGTATTTTTTTAAACGTATGTTATGAGACAAAACAATTACCTCCATTCAAATTCAATACTAAAATATAATTTTTGTAAAAAAAATATATAAGAAACATGGAAAAATAGTGAATGTTGTTAAAATTTTAGAAATTTTACCCATAATTTTAGAGTATTATTCAAATATTAATTAAACAATCTGAATAATACACTGTCAATAAAAAGTTTACATTGAATTAAAATCACTTACTGTTAAATTAATTCATCACAATCTAGGTTAAGAATTGATACTTCAAAAGTTGTTATTTCCTTCAGATATTAACTAAAATAAATTTAAAAAAACTGTTCAATCAAAATTATTTTATCCTAAAATCAAAATATTCAAAAAATGTAAGGAGTAATTACTTACTTAAATTAGGAGTGCTTCATTTTAAGTAGTGTAAGAAATAAATTCATTATCATTTTGCAAATCAAGCTAAAACAAAGTTCTTCATTCCTTGAAAATTTTAACATTATGGATGTGACATTTAAGTCAACTCTACTTCTAAAATATTTGAAGTAGCATCAATAGCACTTGATAAAAACAATAAAACTTTTTCATAGGGATTAAGAATTTTCATAATTCTCATTCAGGTAAAATGAATAATGATACATGTTTCTTACAACATGTTTGAAGAAACAGGATACATGTTTCTTTAAAGGTTTCTTACAAAGGCCATCTGATTGCTTAACTCACTAAGGATTGTTTTGAAATCATACAACTTTATTTTTCGACCTAAAATAGACTGTTAGCTCCAAAACATTAGTCAATTTAATTTATGGTATTTAATTTCATGGAACTAACTTTTCTTCCAATTACTCATGTCTAATTTGTCTGATTTTATGTCTGATTTTAACCAATTCAACGATGTTGCCATGTACCCTTACCGTAAATAATTTTCTTTCAATTATTAAAATTTCATGAATAAAGATACCTCTATATTTTTTTTTTAAAATTTAAGCATATATTCAAGTCATAATATTTTTTTACAATTTTAAATACTCATTTTTGATTTGATACAGTTCTTCATACAGTGGGATAAAAATAACTATTTATTTATGATGGATTAAAAACATCATATTTTAGTTAATACTTTAAAGTGAAACGGTTACTAAAATAGTTTGAAGTGAAATGGTGCGTTTATACTATCGTAAAACTTATAAGGTATTTCTAAACGAATACTTATAACAAAAAATACAACATTTTTATTTTGAACAATAATATAAATTTTTAACGCAATAAGAGCAAAGAATAGTTTTAAAGTTCAAATAATAAAATTAATGATATACGAAATGTGTTCGATTATGGAAGTGCAATGTCACGTGATTACTTTGCTCAAATAGAAGTCTTCAACAACATGAGAGACTCAACCAGACAAGGCTATTTTAACATTGTAGAGAGATGTAACAAAATGGAAGTATTTTTACACTTTCATAATATAAGTAAAGGGAGTAATCTAATAAACTTTTATACACTTCTTATTTAATAATGTTTATAAAAATTAAGGAACAAAAATGAATCACTCTTCAGTACTACATCCTTTTCCACATTAATGGCATCTAGATTTTAAATATAATGATCTAAATGTCAATATAAAAGCTACAAGACGAATCTACATTTTTAAGTTTTAAGAGTTTTATCAATGTATTTTAATGCATAAAATAGTTCTTTTTTAAAATGTAAATAACTGAACAATAAGTATAATACCTTCAATTACAACAGTTTCTGTTTTTTTATCTTGACCAAATGAATTCTCGACCAAACATGTGAAATTACCAATATCACTTGCTTGAATTTCTCCAACGTAAATAAGAGAACTGCTTCCTGTATTGGATATTTTGTACTTAGAATGAGAAAAAATTTCTTCTCCATTGTGAAACCATTTAAATGAAACAGGTAAAGATCCCTTTTTAATCGTACAAGATAGCTCTGTTATATCACCAATAGCTAAGTTTACCGGCACAAACATGGGGCGTAAGACTGGCTCACTCTCAGCAGTTTTGCCTTTAAAAAAATAAAGAATAAAATGTATCTTTTTAACTCTGAAGAAATATTAGTTATTAATTTTATTGTATGCTCTACTTTTAGTAGCATCTAGTTTTTAAATAAATAGAAGTTTCTACATTAATTTTTAATTTCTAAAACAACCTAATAAATGAATTTAAAAACTTACCTTCTAAAAATAGAGTACATATCAAAAATGAAGAAAATAAAATAGATATCGCCATTTTTCATATAAATTTGTAAATATTGCTGCCCGCTTCACGAGTTGTTCTCTAAAAATGATTTTTGTTAATTTACAGATAAATTTCAAAATTATGTTCAAATGAATACAGATATTCTACGTTAAATAACCTAAAATTATAAATGCAACGTGATTATATCTAAAAGGATATCTAAAAGGATAATAACCATAACACACGTAAATACACCAATGGTATTGCAGCGCCACATATCGTCAAAATATAATGTCAAATATTACAAATATGGATAACAGTTATTTATACCGTTATTTTGACAAACTATAATATCAGAAATTTATCAAAAATAAAAGAAATAATCATATACTTGCATAAATATATAGAAACAAGTTTATTTTAGTAATCTGATTTTGATAAAATTCAAAATTAGTTTATAGTATGATAAAGATGTAACATGGGTAAATTTTTTTAATGCATTCATTCTAAATAATCTAATAATTTACATTAATATATAACAAATGCTTTTAGCATTTGAAATTCTAAAACAATGCAACTACTGACTTTTTTTTTAATTTCTAAATCTAAAGTTTTTTATATCTTTGAATCACAGAAAAGATGTATTTCTTGCAATTATAATTTTAGAAAATTCACTAATGGTTTTGCAGGAAAGAGTTTTATTTGCAGTGTATCATATAGGGTGTAGAATTTAAAATAAGCCTTTGTAAAAAATCTGCAAAAATAATGTAAAATATTAAAAGTATCAATCAATGACATATTTAAGGATTAAAGAAAATGATTACATATTGATCAGCAGCAATCACATAAAAAAATATATATTTTGAAAAATTATTTATTTGGAGAATTCCAAATGATTAAATATTAGTAATGCAGAAAACAATTATTTATGTATCTATAGAGGCATATATTGTTAGTATATATTATAATATCTTCATGCAATATCGTTTTTATTATTGATTTATGATAATATTGAAATATTTAATATTTAAAGATGGAGTGAATTATTCACTCATTTAAATTATAAAGTATTTTTAGCATCAGTACTTTAAATACAATACATAATATCGAACTAATATTTAAAGTTGCTATAACTTGAAGATTTATTCATATTCATGAGAGATTTAAAAAAAGAAAATAGAAGTTTAGAGACTTTAGCTGAAAAATGTATTCGATATTTGAAAAAACAAATGAAACGAAAACAAATAAATGATTAAAAATTAACTTAAATAACAATATTGAGCATATTTTTTCATTATTATTTGTTACAGCAATTAAAGAAAAAACTCAACTATTTAATAACGTATTACCTTCAATCATTACAGCTTCATTTTTTTGGTCTTCACCAAATAAATTACTTGCTTTGCAAGTATAATTTCCAATATCTACAGCTTTTATCTCTTCAATCAGAAATTGAGATCCAATTTTAGAACTTGATATTTTATAATTTTGATTTTCTGATACTTTATTGTAGTTATGAAACCATTCAAATTTAATTGGTAAACTTCCCCTTTTGATTGTACATGAGAGCTCAGCCATGTCACCTAACGCTAAATTTGGTGGAATAACCATCGGATTTAAAAATGGAGCTTCTTCCTTTGCTGACACTGGAAAAAAAACATTTATTTAAGTATATATCTCAAAAAGAAAATAAAACTTAATAAAACTGAAATTTTATGATACAGATTGGAAGGAAATTTCTATTTAATAAACTGTCAGATCATTTAATAGTTATACTTGACAATAATTTTGCATTAAGCATGCATGTAAAAATATTAATTTATGAATGTTTTTGAATATTTGTGAAGTTTTGTAATATTTCGACGTTAATCTTGGTTGCATATAGAAATATTCTTGAATAATGAAATTTTAGAAAACGTCTATTGTTCTTTTCTTAACGTGAAAATATATCTAAAGTGACAAAGATAAATTTTCTTTAAATCTCTGATCAGTTCATAAAATATAAAATTCAAACAAATGTTATATTATAACTTTATATAAATTACTAAAATGCTTAACTTACCTTGGTTATGCAAAGCTTTAATCCATATTAGTACGATGACGAATACGCTTTTACTTTTCACGGGATGGAGAACGGGAAACATGCTTTTGAAACAAATTTAGTTTGTATTATTAGAGATAAACACACAATACACTGCTTCTTTTTTAAATAGTTGTAGTTTAAGCTGAAGTTGTTGTAGTAGTAGTAATAGTAGTGAACGAAATTAAGATAATAACAAGGAAGATCATGATACTAATCCATAACAAATAGTTTGCAGCACTACTGTTTGTGGATGCACGCTCTCCACATTTTCAATTGCAGCGCCACACATCGCTAAAATTTGGAATAAAAGTATGAATATTAAAAAAACAAAAAACAATTAGATCAAGAAATATAATTGCTACTTGTTTAATATCAAAAATAAATTTTTTTAAAAAGTATATTGTTTGTGTCAGGCTATTGTCGAAATAAATATCAGTTAAAGTTTACAAAAATTTGAGAAGTAGAGATGCTTAAAATACGCATTCCTGCTATTTAGAACTCTAACTCTTAAAAAATAATCAACTTAATTTTAAGCCATAATATTGCCATAATAATTCGTTGAATAATGTTTCGTAAAAACCTTAATAAGGTGTTAATTTGAACATTAGTTTTGCTTAAATCAACACATATTATCATGTTATCAAGTACTAGAAAAATTCATTCGTATGATCAAATGGTTCACCTGACATAGTACAATGGTTGCAGTAAATTCGAACTATAATTCAAAAAAGTTTCTAATTGTGTATGAATACTAAAAAAATAATTTTATTACTCTAATTTTAATATATAAATACTAACAATTCTTCAATTGACACTTCAAAAATAAATAATGTCACTAGAGTTCATACAGGTTTTTATACAAAATTCTCATTTTTTCATAATTTTTTTTTTACACATATTTGTATTAATACTTGTCATAAGAAAACAGTTACATAAATTTCAGTATGAAATTCTTTTATTCACTTTTAAAAAATAAATTGGAATACAATAACAATTGAATAATAACAATACCAATTGAAAAACAATTACATTTTCCTATTTACCTTTATTATTAAAAATTAAGTAATCAAAACTATAATACCTTCAATTACTACGCTTTGACTTTTGCTATCTTTTCCATAGATATTTAAAGCTTCACATGTATAATTTCCAATATCAGATGCTTCAATTTTTCCAATTCGAAGAAGTGAGCTGATATCAGTTTTTGATATTTTGTATTTTTGATGTAAAGATATAGGTTTATAATCATGGAGCCATGTAAAGCTGATTGGTAGGCTTCCTCTCTTTATAGTACAAGTCATTTCTGTCATATCTCCTATTGCTAAATTTGGTGGTATGAACATAGGATTAAGAACTGGTGGTTCTTCTTCACAAAGAGCTAAACAAAGAGTTTAATTTTATTCAATATAGAGGATGAAAATAATTGAAAACAAAATATATTGTAGTAATTATTTTCTTTAAATGTTTGTTACTATAGTATAAAAACTAGGTGAGTAAATTTCGAAGATATTTGATAGCACTATTGATGTTATCTCACAAATAATACATAATTTTGCAAAAAAAAAAAAAAAAAATTGTATCATCATTAGTTTGCAATAGCCTATAAAATATAGCTGTAAGTTTAAGATTTTATTTAAGAAAACAAGGAAAGTGGAAGAGAATGTGTGTGTTTTTTTTAAATAATTTTACTGCGAATTGTTTATGAATTTGTACGTTGCAATTAATTTGATATTCAAGATTTTTTGAATAAAATTTCAGGAAATTTTGCAATAAAAATAATATAAAGTGCTTAATGTAAATAATTTTTATTTATTGCAATGTACAAATATTGGAGGAAAAAGCAACTTTCATGATACGAATAAAAGTTTGATTTCTTCTTTTAAAATATTTTCTGGATTGTTAAGTTTGAGAGAGCACGAATTAATAAATTAATTCATTTTAAACCATCTCAGCTGTTAGTATTGTTTCTATTGGAAATGATTATTTAATGTCAATTTCATAATGCATATCTTAAACTAAAGTATAAAAATTTCCTTTGAAAAGAATTTTGCATTTTGATAAAAAAGCGTTAACAACTAATAGTCGTTCAAATACTCTTATCATAACCAATTTATGTAATTATTTATTAATTAAAAGGTTTTTAAAAAAGAGCATAATTTCTTAAAGTGAAACTGATTTGATTCCGTTAAATAAAATGTTAACACCATACTGTTGAAAAAACTGCTTATTTATAAAATTGCTAAGTATTTCATAAAAGTAAATAAATAAAATTTGTTAAAATTAAGTTGTGTTTTCATCTTTGTAATTGAATTACAGTCATTATTTTAATTTATGATAATATCAAATACTTTTTTGTAAACTAAGCACTATGTGTGCATCTCATTTTAAATTACTTACTTCAAAATTACAATAAAGAAAATATTTGACCTAGTAATTGACAAAATAATTGCTTTAATGATCTTCATTAAATTAATAAAATAACTTGAGCAAAACATTTGTTTCAGGTGTTGAGACATTTAATTTTAATGAATATATTTTATTAGTCAGTTAAGTATATTTTGGAAGAATTACAATAATAAAACATGGTTTGAACGACAAAGGTAAAATTAAAATAATTAAATTTATTATGACTATCAAATATTATGTAAAAATACTAATTTTGTTAAAAAGAGTACCTGATAAGCTGAAATTGTATATATTGATAAAAACCTTGAAAATACTACTCACCATGTTGAAAGAAGACGTCAATAAGCAGCGTCAGTAAAATGTAATAAATCCTAAAGCGTTTTTTCCACTTATCTATATGGATATTCGATATCATAATAAAACTTTAAAAAACAATTTATGCTAAATTGATTGACAACAATGTAATGTAATAGTTTTGAATTATATGATAAATTCAAGTAATAAAATTAATATGTGTATTTATTGCATGCTGGTAGGAATTAGGGTTAATAAAATATTAAACAAGTTGCGTAGTTTATCAGACTGCAGCGCCACACATCGATTAATATCGGAACGAAATTTCAAGAAAAGGAAATATGTAAATAAAATAAAGAAAGATAAAATTTGAAGGAAGTATTCCTTTAAAAATTACCTTTTTCAACACTTTTATTCAGTTTTCGATTTCAACTATATCTGGAATGTTCAAAATATGTCAATGCAACCACAAAATTACAACACTCGAATTTCCAGAAATTCAGAATATATATTCGTTTTAAGAAATAGTTTTTTAAAATAATAGTTCATTGAATATTTTCGAAAAAATATAATTCATACATGTCTGATGGTATTCTGTATGTATGACATTTACAAAATGTAGCATTTTTGGTGATACTTTGGAATAGTAAAATAATTATGCAACGGTTTAAGCGGTAATTATCCCTAATTACCCATTGAACAAATTACCAGATTACAATGGTAAAATTTTTTTCAAGTCATTGTTTCATAAGTTTTAAATGTTGTTTGAAAATATATACAAAAAATATAAAATCACTTTTTGGTGGATTTTTTTCTGGCTATCTTAAAACGGGTGATTGTAAGTAAACTAGAGCTATTTTTTTACATTTTAACAATAATTTAAGTATGGTAAACTTGAATATAATAACAAAGCACATATATTATTACTCAACGAATTTAAAACAATATTTTTCCTAATGGTGCTAAGAATTAATTATCCGGAGAAAACGTTTGTTAACATAGAGCAGCAAACATACAGAGTGGATATGTTAATTGATAATATCCTTTACGTTTTCTGGACACTTAGTATATTAAAAATATATCACAATATAATATCGTGACCTTGTTCAGCATTATAATTGTTGTTCGACTCATAAAATAAAACCTATTAAAAAATTACTCAAAATTGCATAATATCACTTATATTAATTTTTATAATGAATCACTAATTTTAACATTGCGGAAAGAAATAGCAAATCAAGTAAAATTACAAAACTTTTGTCTTTGTTAAAAAAAAATTTAAACAACGTGTTTCCAAAAGTACATAGCTAAGAAGGATAATCATTTGTTCGCAAAAAAATATGCAGAGTATGTACAATGTATAAATTTAATAAAACAAATGTACAGAATTTATATAAGTAACTATTTTAATGAAATTGTCATTTCCTTTACTTTTCGCTGACATTTACAAGTCCTTAAAACTACCAAAACCAAACCTAGTTTAAATAGATATAAAGTAAATCAGTATATTTTTACTTTGTGTACAACATTATGTAGTACAATATATATATAGTACAATATTGTGTAAAAAATGGCAAATCAAACAGAAATACAAAATATATACATTTTTCCAACTTTAAATAACATGTTTCTTGACTATTACCTTAACGAAACTTTTTTCCCTTCACGAATAGTATCCATGTAACAAAACAAATGTACAGGGTCAATATAAAGAATTATTTCAAGTAAGCTGAGTAATAAACAGTCTTTTAAACGACATATAGAACAGTCAGAAGAGTTATGTATGTAAAAGTCATATGTAACAATATTAAACTGTATATAACAATATTAAAATGTATATAACAATATTAAATTTCTAAAATATTATTGCTATACTTAAAAATTACTTTCAATCAAGCATGTAAACATTTAAAAATTAAACAAATCTCACTTAAATTTATTTAGAATTAAACTCCATTATCTGAAAACAAATAATATTGCAGAATATATAATTTCTTTTATATCAAATAAATTGTTAATCAATGCATATAAGAAGAATGAAAGCAATTTCATTGCAAGAACATGCAACAATAAAAAACACACAGTGCCAATATAATCAAAAGTATCTAATGAACATGTGTGATACAGAGAGCATTAATTGAATATTTTGTAGAGAATTATGTAGCAAAATGAAGTCTTACCTTCGATTACAACATTTTCTGTTTTTTGATCTTCACCAAATGAATTTTCTGCAACACATGTGAAATTACCAATATCAGTTGCTTGAATTTCTCCTATATAAATGTGAGAACTGCTCTCTATATTCGAAATCCTATATTTAGAATGGGATTGAATCTGTTTTCCATTATGAAACCATTTGAACTTGACAGGAAGGGATCCTTTTTTTATAGTGCATGATAGTTCAGTTATATCTCCTAAGGCTAAATTTGCTGGAACAATCATCGGACGTAAAACAGGCTCGCTGTTAGATATTTCACCTTCAAAAGTAAGTGTTCATAATAATCTACGTTTAATGTTAGAAAATTTGCAATTTTTTAAAATGTAACTATGGATCGTAAAAAAGAAATAAAAACAGTAAAAAAGCTTACCTCCAAGTGTGCATGAAACCAATAGGTAAAAGTTAAAGAACACCAATCTCGCCATTTTATTTAAAGGTTTCTGAAAAATCTCGAAAACTTTTTTAATGCTAATTTTTTAAATATTTGCATGTTAAGGCATAGCTAGAAAATATTAGTCATAATATCAAAATAATGCTTTTTAGGTAATAAATACACAGTTTAGCATATATCATCTATTTCACTTAACAAAACATTTTCAAATATAGCTATTGTAAATGGAATAAAAGAACATTTATGGTATTGTAGCGCCACATATCGTCTGAAGATAGAAACAAATCAGAAAAAACTTTCTGAAAATAATCAAAATTGTGATGTTTTTGCGAAAATAGTCGCCCAAAAATTTTTTTATTGTGCTATAATATTCGTAAATATATAATTTAAATATAAAAATATTAAGTCTTAATTGCAGCAAATGTTTAATCTAAATTTTATATACGTATTTGTTTGAAATATTTTAATTAAAACATAGCGAATAAATAGATACTAAGAAAAAAGTACACATTTTTGTACCAATTGTGATGAGTTTTATGACCACAAAATGAATTACTCGGAAGAATAAGGTAAAGTACAGTAAAAATACAGAATAAAGTAAAAATTCGCTTTAAATATTTCTATTAAGACATAGCGGTTAAAAAAAGAAAATAAATGTAACAATTGTTAGGAGTTTAAAAATCACAAAACAAATCACTAAGCAGAATAAGGTACAGTCAAAGAACGGAATAAAGTACGGTTTGAATTAAATATTTCTATTAACATATAGAGGTTAAATAAATACTGAAAAAAAACTTTTTTGTATCTATTACGATAGGTTTTAAGACCACATAACGAATTATTCGAAAGAATAAGGTAAAGAACAGCATAATTACGGAGTAAGGTAAAACACGGCAATAATACTTTTCTAAAATAATGAAAAGCGTAATGAATGCAAATTTATGGATTTGATTAAAACAATTTACGCTTTAATAAATAATGCAAAGTTGTTGCTTGTATTTTCAATTATATTTGATTGAGCAATGTAAACATTTTACCTGAATAATCTAAAATAACACATTACAAATATTGCTTTCTCCTTTAAATTTTTTTAGCATTTCTTTTTGCAGAAGATTTGAAAAATTATAGAAACGCTTATTTAGCTAAAGGAAATAAAAATATATGATTAATTTGTTTCATTAGTAGAAGTTGCTTACAAATTTTATAATACAAAAGCTTCATAATTACTATAATATAACAATATAGGATAAATGGTGACAATTAAAATTATTAAGTTTTCTTTTGGAATGACCATTAAATTTAGAAACTCAGAATAATTGCATAACTGATATCAGTATCTTATAATCATAATATGTTCATCATAAATTTTCATTATTTTAAAACAATGTATTTGAAACTGGATATAAACACGAAACTTCTTAAGAAAAACGCCCAAGTATCTCAGTACTTACGAGATATTTTGGCGAATATTCAGGATCTCTATATCCCCATTTAATATATTGCACTTTATTACCACACTTTAAATTTTAAAAAAATTTAATAGTGTGAAATAATCAGAAATAAAATTCCTCTTTAATATAATTACAAATAATTATTATTGTGGGAAGTGAAAAGAAAAACAACACTTTCAAATAAACAAAAATAGAAAAGCTACTGCAATTTCTTTGAAAATTATGATTGGTATATGAATATGAATGATATAAATTACCTTCGATTGTGACTGCTCCTGTTTTTCTGTCTTCCCCATACGTGTTACTTGCTGTGCAAGTATAATTACCAATATCGGTTGCTTTAATCTCTTCGATCAGAAATTGTGAACTTATTTTTGAACTGGATATTTTATAATTTTGATTTTCAATTATTTTATTATGATTGTGAAACCATTCAAATTTTAATGGTAAACTTCCTTTTTTGACTATGCAGGAAAGTTCCGTCATGTCCCCGAGAGCTAAATTTGGAGGAATAAACATTGCATTCAAAACTGGTAATTCTTCTTTGGTAGAACCTATAAAAAACATTTTTAAAGATCATATTTTAACATTTAATCTTTTTCTGCTTATTATACATTATAAAATATTGTGTTCATTTTCAAGAATAATAACTTTTTAAATTTATTACCATGTTGCATAATTGATCTTGCAGTTTAAAACTTAAATAAATAATCAAATGTGACATAAAATATTTCCACCTGTCTTTTAATTTTTGATGTTAATTAATTTCTATTTATTATCATACAACAAATATTTTATTTTCATTACATAGAAAATTATCGAAATACTAATAACGATTAAAATCTAGTTGCATTTAGTTGCAGTTTTCTTAAAAAATAATGAAAATTATTTCATAATATTAATTATAAAGTAATTTTAATATATTAATTCGAATTGTAAAGTAAACATTTAAGAATAGGATGTATAAAATGTGTAAACAACTTACCTGCGTTACATGAAGCTACCACCCATAATAGCACAATGAAGTGACTGGCAATCGGTCTATGTTGAGCGTCAAGCAAAAATAAATTCATAAAAAGTTTTTTATTTTGAAAAATATAAAAAAATTGCTTTAAAATTGAATCGTACATGATTGGTTAATAAAAACAAAAATGAATATATGAATCAAAAATGGGAAAATGTTTACAGACCAAAATACTGCATTGCCACTTAAAAGAATATAATAATATGAAACTAAGCGTTTCCTTTACGAAAGGAGTTGCAGCGCCACATATCGCTTAAATCAGAAACAAAAAATTATTTATTTTATTACTACTTTTAAAAAGTATATTTTATTTCATTTATCTGCTCAAAAACATTTAGTGAGTTACATAAATTATTACATAATTATTTCGTAATGCTGAAAACAATAAGATTATTTTTGCAATTTTTCAAGTAGTAAATTAAATAAAAATAATGATTATGAAATAAAACGTGCTTAGTAGCTGTATCATAATTTCACGGATGAAAAGCATTTTTTTGGTCTTTTTCTTTCTTTTTGTCGGGTTATGTTTTACTTGTGTGGTAAAAAAAATTCTGAAAACCAAAATAAGTAGTTTCCTCTCAATAATAAAAATAGTATTACTTGTAAATATAAAATTAATAAATATAAAACATAAATATCGAATTAATTTGAGAAATGCAATTAATAAGTGTTACAAACACATCCCAGTAGAATCCACTGTAAATAAAATTAAAACAGGCGCTACGTAGTTTATCAGACTGACGAGCCACGTATCGATTAATATCGTAAAAAAGAAGAAAAAAGTATAAATAAAATACAGAAAAATCTGTGGAAAAATTCTGTGCAAAATTATCTTTTTATTTCATTTGATAGTAATTAATTTTCGATTGCAATCATAACCAATAGTATAAAATATATCATAACAATGAATTTTATCATTTCCGGAAATTGAGTATATATGATAAAGATAGACTTTTACTTTAAGGAAATAATTTTATTCATTACGGTCATCTAAAATTGTAAATATTTTAAATGTTACAAGAAAAAAGTAAAATCATTCTTTTTTGTGGGTATCTTCTGGCCATTTTAAACAGAAAAATATAGACAAACCAGCACTAATCTAATATGAAAAACTTCAAAGATTATGAATTTCAAACAAATTATAAAATACATATATTCTTACTTAAATTAAAAATATTATGTTCTCTATCGATGTCTCCAGCAAAAAAATTTAAATGTATTATAGTTACTCTGCAGATTGGATATGATGAATGTTTATATTCTTTATTTTTCTGTACATTTAGTAAATTAAAAATAGATCACAATATAATATCGTATCCTTGCTAAAGTAATATTATTGCTGACCGACTCATCAATTATTTGCTTGCGAGAATATAACCTACTAAAAACAATCGAATTTGCATAATATCACAAACATTAATTTCTCAAAATAAAAATTTATTTAATAAAATATTAATATTCATTAAATTATAGCTATGCAGAAAGAAATAATGAATGAAACAAAACAACAAATTAACACATTTTTAAGAAAAATTCAAATAGCATGTTTCTTAAAATCTGGGAAGGTAAACTTTTTTCCTGTAAGTATATGATGTATGTAACGAAACAAATGTACAGGGTTGATATAATAATCTATTTTAATCCGTTTCAGGGGCGATATAGACAATCATCATCTTAGACAACAAAAATTTCACAAAAATTGAAAATTTTTTGATTTTTTAACCGATGCAATTCTTAATCAACCATTTTTAAATTTGAAAAATGTAAAGATAAGCAAATGTCTTTATCATGGATATGCATACCATAACCACAATTCTCTTGGCTTTCCTAGACTAAATTTTTAATTAAACTTTTTTGCCCATAAAGGGTTAAAAAAAAGGATCATTTCCTTTATTTTCGAAAGGAAAACTACCAAAACCAAACAAAATAGATGTAAAATGAGATATCACGTAATTTTCAACATTGAGTAAAGAAAAATACAATTCAAATAAAAATATATACTTTTTTCTCTTAATTCAAAAAAATATGTTTTTGTTTGCATAGTAATGGTATTAAAACTGTTTTCTCTGCAAGAATATGTTTCATGTAACAAAGCAAATATACATAGTTGATGTAAAGAATTATTTCAAAGGAGTGATCATTTCCCCTTACATTTCTGGATATCGTGTAAAGAAAGTTACCAAATCTAATCAAAGATAATTTAAATTCATATGAAATAAAATACAATTTTATTTACGCTTTTGAAATTGGGTACAAAATTGCAAATAAAATAAAAATATGAAGCATATACTTTTTTTTCAATTCAAATAACATGTTTTTGGCATATTATTAGAAATTAAACTATTTTTCTTGCAAGACTATGATCCATGTAACAAAGTAAATGTAGATATAATGAACTATTGATAATGAAATGTAGATAGAAAGACGTTACAATATTAGATTTTCTTGTTTATGTATTATTTGTTGTCGAAGCTATAAATCATTTCTATGTAAGAATTCAACCACCTAAAACCAACCAAACATCCCCTAAATTAATTTAAAACGTCGACATTTCGCCTTTTATATATCACATTTCTTGTTATGTTCTATAATTGCTTAATAAAAATGAGAAACAATGTAACTTTTCTCTAATTCACGCAACATGCTTCTTATAGCATATAAACGGGAATGTAAATTATCTTCTCAGGGAGAAAATAATGCATGTAATAAAAGGAATGTACAGGAAATCAACTATTTCAAGGGTCATTTCATTTACTTTTACTAGACATTTACATGTCTAGAAAACTCCTAAAATGAAAAAAAATATCCCCTAGATTAATTTAATAGAAAGTAATAATTCAAAAATTTTTCTCAACTTTAAATATCACATAAAATTATGACGAATCAAGTAAAATATCGTAGTATATAATATTTTGAGTTTCATTGTTCCAATGTATTATGTTTCAAAACGTGTCGCTGGGAATAAAAAGAAATTTCTTTTCAAGAAAAGGATCTATGTAACAGAAAGAAAGTACTGACGAAAGATATTGAAGTATTTCTAATGAATAATCATGAAACAAAATGCATTTGTTGTACATTTTATAGAGAATTATGCTACAAAATAAAGTCTTACCTTCGATTACAACATTTTCTGTTTTTTGATCTTGACCAAATGAATTTTCTGCAACACATGTGAAATTACCAATATCAGTTGCCTGAATTTTTCCTATGTAAATGTGAGAACTGCTTTCTGTATTCGACATCCTATATTTAGAATGGGATTGAATCTGTTTTCCATTATGAAACCATTTGAACATGACAGGAAGGGATCCTTTTTTTATAGTACATGATATTTCAGTTATATCTCCTAAAGCTAAATTTGCTGGCACAATTATTGGCCGTAAAACTGGCTCACTGTCAGAAATTTCCCCTTCAAAAGTAATTTTTCTTATTAATTAACGTTTGAATAATGTTAAAAAAATTGCAATTTTTTAAAAATATAACTATGGTTATTAAAATACAGTAAAAATGCTTACCTCCAAGTGCGAAGGAAACCAATAGGTATAAGTTCAAAAACATCATTCTCGCCATTTTAGCTAATGATCTCTGAAACATCTAGAAAACTCTTAAAGTGCTAACTGTTTAGTATTTGCATGCTAATGTATATCTAAAAATATACCATGAAAATAAAATAATGTTTTTATTAGCAAATACACAGCTTCCAACTGCTGTTTGCTTTTCATTAGAAGATATTTTAAATATGGCTATTGTAAATAGAATCAAAAGTATTCAGATAGTATTGTAGCGCCACATATCGTCAGTGGACTGAACCAAATCAGAAAAAAACTCCTTATTGTAATCATAATTGTTATATTTTATTCTGTATTGAACCAAAAAGTAATTACCTATGTTCTAAAATTTTCAAATGCATTACTTGAATACTTTTTTTAATCTCAAGATATTTTATCGTGAATACATATACAAAATTCAAAATCGAAATTCGTACAAATATTTCTATTGAATCAAAAAGGGCTAAAAAATATTAATTCAAAGCAAACTTCTTTCGTATGACGAGTTTCAATTACAGTATAATAGTTTGTTAAGTGAAATATAAAATACAGAGATTTAATTAATAGGCACTGATAGTTGCTGGGAATAGATCAACAACTTAATAAATGTGAATTAGAGCTCAAGATTATGTTCAATAAGTATAATTTGCGTTTAAATACCAAAAAAATTCGTTATTTAAATGGGACAAAGACTATGAATATTGAAATAAGAGCTTCTTAGCATATACAAGTTGGATAGCATGGTACATTTGTTATATTAGTAGTAGTTACTAAGCATAAAGGACCAAAGTTTAAAATTCAATGAATTTTACATTTATGCATAAATGGGCTTTACATTTGAAAAAATTTAGCATTAATGGACTTACAAACTACAAATACGAGTTGCGTAAAATATAAACAAATGTATCTAGATGTAAATGTACAAATGTTGCTTGATCAAAACCCTGTTATTTGTAAGATCAGACATTTTCTATATCTATATAAATGACATCAGTACTCTATAACCGTAATACGTAATGTGTAAATTTCTACTTGCTTTAAAAAATGTATTGGAAACATGAAAATGAGGCATTTTCTTAAAAAACTTACTACAAAATCTTTTTGTGTACAAGAATATTCTAAATTTCGATATCATCATTTGGAATTGTTGTTATATTAAATGCTATTTTGAATAATCAGAAATAAAGTTTTATTGAGCATTATAGGTACCAAAATATTTTGAAGATATTTCTACTTTACATAATATTTTGAAGATATTTCTACTTTGAAAAAAATGATAATTCAATGAAAAAAGTAAGAAAAGGAATGATCGTAATGTAAAGGAAATGATAAACGTGGAAAATTTTCCTACCCATAAACATAATTTTTAAAACATATTTTGGTAATGAATGTTTATGTTAATACTATGGAAAGCATAATTAATGAAAAATATAATTAATGCGTCTGAAAATATATATATACAGTAAAAACATAGTAAAAACCAGTAAATTAGCTTTTTTTCCTAACAAATTCCTTTCGAAGTTTATTGTTCCTCAAGAAATAATAATCAATTTTAAAATATATAAATTGAAAATAAAAATCATTGTAGCATTTTTTTCATTAATAAAGCGTTGATTATTAAGGTAAAAACTGTTTCTGAAAATTACAATTAATTGCAATAATCACTGTTATTCCAAGAAAAACAATATATTTTAAATTAACTTAAAATAAAAAAAAATAAGTATCCAATTTTAATGTTAATCTGCAAAAATTATAAGTCATAAGCAGTAAAAATGATATAAATTACCTTCGATTACGACTGCTCCTGTTTTTCTGTCTTCCCCATACGTGTTACTTGCTGTGCAAGTATAATTACCAATATCTGATGCTTTAATCTCTTCGATCAGAAATTGTGAACTTATTTTTGAACTGGATATTTTATAATTTCGATTTTCAATAATTTTATTATGATTGTGAAACCATTCAAATTTTATTGGTAAACTACCCTTTTTGATTGTACAGGTAAGTTCAGTCATGTCACCAAGAGCTAAGTTTTGTGGAATAAACACTGGATTCAGAATTGGTGATTCTTCTTTGACAGAAACTGTAAAAAAAAACATTTTTGGTAAGTCAATTTTAAGATCAAAAAGCATTTGCCAATGTTTTGTACATTAAATAATTTATTTATTTTTAATAATTATAATTTTTTTCTTAAATTTAATACCAAGTTGTATAATTGTAGTATAAAACATAGAATGGGAAATAAATTTCTCGCACCTATCTTTTGAATTTTGTTGTAAATTAATTTCCGTTTATTATCATACGCCAAATACTTTATTTTTATTACTTAGAAAATTATTCAAATACCAATAACGATCCAAAAGCTGAAGTATTTAGTAATATATATCTTACAAAACAACGAAAATTATTTCAATATTTCGATTATATAATAATTCAAATAGTGAAACTGTTTAAATTAGGATATATAAAGTGTGTATACAACTTACCTGCTGAACATGAAGCTACCACCCATAATAGCACAAAGAAGGGATTGACAAGCAGTCTGTATTGAACATCAGGCAAAAATAAGTATAATAAAAATGTTTTATTTAGATAAGGATTAAACATTTGTCCTGAAATTGAATCATACATGATTGATCAATAAATGTAATAATGAATATTTTGATCGAAATTGGAAAAATGTTTACAGACCAGAACACTTCATTGCCACTCAACAGAGTACAATAATATAAAACTAAGCGTTCCCTAAACAAATTGCGTTGCAGCGCCACATATCGTTTAAATTAGAAACAAAAAATATTAATTTCATGACTACTTTAAAAAGTATATTTTATTTAATTTATCACTACAGATACCATTATTGACTTGCACAAATGATTGTAATATTATTTTTTAACACTGAAAACAATAAGGTTATTATGGTAAGCATAATAACGTAATTTTTAGGCAATTTGAAGCTTAAATTATCTAAAAATTGTGTTCATTGACTTTGTTCTTTGCTCTTACGTTTTGTCGGAAATTGTTTTTATGAATTGGTAATGATAAAAATATTTTTTTAAAAATAAAAGTAAATAATGCAAGTATTTTTCTTTCAATAGTAAAAAAAGTATCATTCATAAACATGAAATTAACAAATACAAACATAAAATTTAAAATTTAAATATCGAATTAGTTTGATAAATGCAATTAATACGTAACAAAGGTGCATGCCAGTAGGAATTAGAGTAAACAAAATATAAAGCAAGCACTACGTAGTTTATCAGACTACAGAGCCACACATCGATAAATATCGCAGTGACGGGTGAAAAAAGAAAAAAATTAAATAAAATTTTAAAAAAAAAATAAATCTAATATATTCCATGGAAATTATTTTTTTATTTCAATGGATTGTAAATAGTTTTCTATAGCAACTATAACAACTGGATAGTACAAAATATATCACTGTATAACAACATTTGGTTTTCCGGAAATTTAGAATATGATAGAAGTTTATTTTTTCATTTTTTTTGCTATGGAAGGTGCCGGAAGTGTTGCTCATTTTACGTTTCCTGATGAGCATCTTGTGATCAACGTCACGGAGGCGAGTAACATCACCCACGCCACGCTGCAGCATATCCCCTTTCCTAACCCCTAGGGTCGGCGTAACACAACAGAGGACAGCACCTAGAGAAAAACATTCATACCCTGAACGGGATTCGACCCCGCATTCATTGGCTTCGCAGTTAGCCACGCTAACCGCTCTGCCACCTGACCGACACCTATTTTTTAAAAGTAGAATACTACTCGTAAAAAAAAAAAAAACATAACAAAAACATAGTTCCGTGTAAGTTTTCTAGTAGAACATATTTTATGTGTCTTATAATTTTTGAAACATATTAACGAAACGTAACATTTTGAGGTGAAATTGCTTTGGAATCGTAAATTATTTATGATGCGATGGCATCATTCAACCTATTACCCCAATTAATTGATATCTGAAATGTTTTATATATCACTGTTTTAACAAATTATTGACATTTTAAATGTGCCCCGGAAATATAAAAAGAGTGAAAGTATTTTTGTGGATATTTTCGGGCCATTTTAAAAGGGAAAGTATAGATAAACCAGCACTAATCTAATACATTTTTGGAAACAATTTAAATATCATAAATATCAATCAAATTATAGAACTTGTATGTTTTTACTTCAACCAAATAAAAATATTATGTTTTCTAATCAAGTTAAAAATTATTTCTCCAGCAAAAATACGGTAACATAACATAGCAAATCTGCAGAGTAAATATGTTGAATTATTATATTTTTCTGAACATTAAATAAATTAAAAAAATGTATCGCAATAATATAGCATCGTTGTTGTAGTAGCATTACTGTTATCCGAATCAACAGTTATATGCAAGAAAATAACTCATTGAAAGCAAACGAAATTGCTTAACAACACTAACATTAACTTTTCCAGATGAAGCATCTATATTTCTGAAATTGCAATGAATAAGTAAATAAAATTAATACAACTTTTTAAATTTAAATAGGATGTTACTTAAAGTATGTTACAGGATTGCAAGGGAGTAAAAATAGTTCCCTGTAAGAGTATGATCAATTGTAACAAAACAATCGTTTTATTTTTTTTCTTTAAAAAAACTCTATTTCGAAAAATGTAAATGCTAAGCAGAGCTGTTCGTCGTGGATGCATGCGATCACCACGATTTTCTTGGCTTTTCTGGAATATAATTTTGAACTGGAATTTTCTAATTCGCAAAAGGGTTAAAAGAAGGATCATATCCCTCATTTTTACTAGGGTGTTTACGTGTCCAGAAAAAGACTAAAATTGACTAAAATTTTATACAAAATAAAGCAGAATTTTATCTGAATTTACTGCACTGCCAAGAAAAATTAGTTATCAAATAAAAATAGCAAATACATACTTTTTTTAAAAATTCAAATAGCAAGTTTCTTCATATCGTTGGGACTAAATTTGCTTTCCCTGCAAGAATAAGATCCGTGTAACAAAACAAATGTACAGAGTTGATGAAAAAAACTTGTTTGTATTTACTTGTCCCGAAATCTATCAAAACCAACCGTATGTCCCTTAAATTGATATAAAATTAAACAGTATTTTATTTAAATTTTCAACATTGCGTAAGGAATGACAACTAAAATAAAAACACGAAACATATACCTTTGAAAAAAAATTTAATAACATGTTTTTTCCATGTTACTGGGATGTTTTTCTTGTTGCAAAGCAGACGTATTGGGTTAATATAAGGAACTATTTTAAATGAATGACATTTTTTCAGGAGTTATAGAATAATAATAAAAACGTAACAGTATTAAATCGTATTCTTATTTTAGTAGTATCAATATTGTCGGAACTATAAATTTTCATGCAAGAAGTTTACCGTACAAAACCAACCAAAGATCACTTAAATTAATTTGAAACAAACAGAATTATCACATTTTTTTAAAAGTTTAAAATTGCGTAATAAAATTAAAAATCAAATAAATACACAAAATAATAGAACTTTTTTTCAATGCATATGGCACGTTTCATACAGCATATATATAAAGGGGAAAAATAATTTCCCTGTAAATAAATATATCATGTAATAAAATGAATGTGCTGGAGATCAACTACTTGAAGTGAAGAATCATTTCATTTACTTTTATTAGATATTTACGTGTCTAGAAAACTAACTGTTAAGGTTCTCTAGTATAATTTAAAACAAAATAATTATTTTACTTTTTTTAAACTTAAAATATGGCATTAAGGTAGGACGGATCAAATAAAATTTCCCAGTATAACAGTTTTCAATTTCAATATTGTGTTTCAAGACATGCTGTAGGGAATGAAAACTATTTACTTGAAAGAATATGATCCATGTAGCAATAAAAATACACAGTTCCAATATATTCAAATGTATCGAATGAATAATTGTGAAACAAAATGCTCTTGTTACATATTTTATAGAGACTTATGTGGCAAAAAAAACACAACATTTTCTGTTTTTTGATCTTGACCAAATGAATTTTCTGTAACACACGTAAAATTACCAATATCATTTGCCGGAATTTTGCCCATATAAATCTGAGAACTACTTTCTGTATTCAAAATCCTATATTTAGAATGTGATTGACTCTGTTTTCCATTATGAAACCATTTGAACATAGCATTTATGTTGAAACATAACGATTAAGTCGATGTTAAATTGAAATAAATATTTTTGTTTCTGCGGCGGCGGGTTGAATAACTGTATAACGGTTTATCAGAAGAAATAAAATTCAATAGTTAAATTGTTAGGTAATAATAGTCTCTTGCAATAAATGAATAAAGTTTAAAAAAAATGAGCAACAAGTTTTTCAGTTTAATAAATGCAATTTACGCTAAAATGAACGTTACAATGTGGTACAACATTATAAACTGTTGGTTGACCGACTAACTTTACATGTTTTTTTGAGTAGTTAGAAAAAATAAAATACAAAAACTTTCTTCTACTCTTTTCAATAACAAAACTCAAAAGTCGGAAATATCAAAGTAAGAGTTCTTTCGAGAAAAGAAGCAGTATAATATGGTTCATTTTTTGTCTTGGTAATAAGATTAGTTACTAAGCATAAATAACCAACAAAAGCAAGACAATTTAATTTTGCAATAGATGTAAATAAAAGAACTACACGTTTTAGCAAACATAAAATTAAAATACTAAACTACGAAAAACTAAATTTGCAAACTATGCAAACATTTAACTGGAAAGTTCTTTCTGCTTATCCAGTTTATTTATAACGTAGCATTCGCATTTAACACAAAATATAGACCTGTATAATGATATCATTACTTCATACTTGTAATATCTTATGCTTAAATTTTCATTATTTCAAAACAGTGTATTATAAAAAGGAAACACACACAAAAAATACAACTTCTTAAAATCCCTCTAACATTTCCCTCTTTTTGAGAATATTAAAGATTTCAATATCATTATTTGAAATTATTGTACTACGAAATGATGCATAAAATTATCTAAAATAAGATTATATTGATTACTGTCATCAATAGAACACTTTGAACATTTTCCTATTTTGTTACTTCGGAAAAATGCAAATTAATTCACAAGGAAACGAAAAACGTATAACTTTATCCAACCTATTGACATTATATATAAAAACTACTTTGATAAAAGTTTTATAATGAATAATGATGAAAAACATTTAAAATGTAATTAGTACGTATAAAAATAAGCATTATAAAAACCAACAAATTGTTTGTTTTTTTTTCATTATGCTACCTTTAAAAATTAGCCCAAAATCTTGAAACTTCAAAAAAGAATTATTGAAACATTCTGTTCATTGATAAAACTTTAGTCATTTCAAAATTTAAAAAAATGCCTTCAAAATAAGTATTCTTAAGTACTTATTTTGAAGGCATTTTTTTTAATTTATCTTAAAACTTGTATCTTAAAACTTGTTTAAGAATTATGTACATTGGAATAAATAACTCTTAGTTAATATAGCACACGTGTACTATTTTAATAGTTATTATTGTAGTAGTTACTATTGTCCTGTGCAGCAAAATAATCCTCCAGTTTTTATATTCTGAGAAAATTATGAAATTTTAAAACATAAAAATGATATAAATTACCTTCGATCACGACTGCTCCTGTTTTTCTATCTTCCCCATACAAGTTACTTGCTGTGCAAGTATAATTACCAATATCTGTTGCTTTAATCTCTTCGATCAGAAATTGTGAACTTATTTTTGAACTGGATATTCTATGATTTTGATTTTCAATTATTTTATTATGATTGTGAAACCATTCAAATTTTATTGGCAAACTTCCCTTTTTGATTGAACAGGTTAGCTCAGCCATGTCACCAAGAGCTAAATTTGGGGGAATAAACATCGGATTCAGAATTGGCGACTCTTCCTTGGCTGAAACTGTAAAAGAGATACATCTTTGTAGTATGCATTTAAAAACCATTAAGCATTGGTTTAATACTTGTATATTTTTTATAATTTAATCATTTGCAAACGTGATATCTTTTTTAAAAATTGTTAATTAAGTTCGTGTGTGGTTGATCAAATCGCGTAAGAAATCAGCAAGTATAAAAACTAATCAATATCGATTCAATTAAATGGTTGACATCTGTCTTTTGACATTTGATGTCTCTTAATTTTTAATTGTTTTGCACCAAATAAATTATTTATATTACCTCATAAACAATGAGTGTGATTCTGATAATGATTATGATGTAAAATATATTCAGTTCTTTTGTTAGTAGAAAATTAAATTATATTTCTTTCATACATTACATAAACGTTACTAAAAATTTGTTTTAATTATCAGGCATTATAAAATATTTAGAATGTAGTAAAAGTATACAAATATTACTTACTTAGTTCAAATGAAGCTACCATCCATAACAGCACAAAACAATGTTTGATGATGATCTTTCTTTGAAAATCGGAGGAAAATGAATTCATTAAAACTGTTTTACTTTCACAAATAATAAAAAATGTTTTTAAAATTGTATGATACATAATTAGATAAAAAATTCAACAATGATTATTTGAATCAATGTTGAAAAAATGTTTACAGATAAAAATACTGCATTGCCATTCAACAGAATATATATTAATATGAAACTAAGCGTACCCTTAAAAAAGTGATTTGCAGCGCCACATATCGTTTAAATTAGAAACAAAAAATTATTAATATTATAACTTGAAAAAATAGATTTTATTTAATTTACTTCTATTGAAAAATTTGTTGCGCATTATAAACTAATTCTACATTAATTTGTTGTTAATTTTAACACCATTTTGATAATAATTTGATACGTAAATCACCTAGACATATTAATCATTAACTGAAACCTGTATATTTTCAGCATGTTTGAAGCTATATAAAAACTACATATGTACAAAGGTGTTTGTTTGTTTTTAATCTCACTATTTATAGAAAATAATTTTTCAAAATTAGTTACAGTAAAAATATTTTCCATTTAAATCACAGCAAAATATATTTTTTCCTAGGAAATCTCAATTTATAAGTTTTTGTTAATAAAATCTATTATTAAAGCAAAATTTACGGAAAAAATTAAATATTCACAAGAAATTTGAAATTATGTAATTTACAAGAAATACAGTAAGTTAGAACTGGAAATACAGTAAGTTAAAACAAGAAATACAGTAAGTTAAAAGAAGAAATACAGAAAGTAGTTCAAATACAACTAAATTTGCTTGAATAACTTTGTATTAGAATAAAAAATACTTTACCGGAAAATAAAGTATTAATACGATGAGAATATCCCAGAAGTTAGTTTCTACGAAATATATCAGTGTAATAGTAAAAAAAAGTAAGACAATCATCTTCATGTAGATAAACAGGTAATCATCATCATATTCATTAATACCAATGGAAAATATAATCTTAAATTCATTCAATAAAACATTTAAGGCACTAAGACTAGTTAGAAAAATATATTAAAGTATTAGTTAAAAATATATTAAAGTATTAGTTATAAGTATTAGTTAAAAGGTAAAATTTAATAAAAAGATGTTATAGATGTTTAAAAAAAAACTAAAGCCACGAAATATTTTATATATTTTTGTCCATAAGTAGATTTTACAATTCAAGATTATTAAAATTTTATTTACGGAACAAATATATGAAGTGATCAATTACAGACTTACTAATTAGTTAATAATAGTAATACTAATAATTCAATTTATCATTATAAAAAAAAGATTCACTAGGCAATTATTATATGCATTGTTTTATAATATTAAACTAGAGGCTATAATATTAAACTAGAGGCATAAATTCATTTTTAGATAAACTTATAAATTTACTTTATTAAATATTTCCAACTTATGTAATTCACCTTCGATAATTAACTGGACAAATTTGCTGTCTTCTCCTTCAGAATTCTTTGCTTTGCAAGTATAGTTTCCAATATCCGATGCACTTATTTTTCCAATTCGTAATTGAGAGCTTATTTCAGAGTTTGATATTTTGAATTTTTGATGATCCGAAACAATTTTATTATTGTGAAACCAAACAAATGAAAATGGCATAGTTCCTCTCTTCACAGTACAAGATAATTCAACCATATCTCCAATTGCCAAGTTAGGTGGTATCAGAATAGGATTTAAAATAAGTAATTCATCGCGGCAAAACACTGAAAAAAATTTACGAATTAACAATCTTTATTACAAACATCAATATTTATATTTATAAACTAAACAACCGCAGTTATTGCGATGTTGAAAAATATTATACCTAAGATTTATTAAATTTTAAGAACAAAGCTGTATCAACTCTTAAAGTTTTTTTAATTGACTGATTTAAGTAATTTTTCCTTGAAAATGCTTATATTAAGAGGTTTTTTACTGTACATTACAAAAACTGCTTTCACTGTTAATTCTTTTTAATCTTCTGGTTTGTTTCTAATTTTTTAATACAACTGATGGAGTAAATTGATTAAGTTAAGAGGGTTTTCCAAGACATATATTTACTAATACCATCTTTAAAATTAACACTGAAGTTTTACTGGAAATTACAGAGTAAGAAATTATATTTAATGTTGCCTTTTTATTGATTTAGTTTTAGTGATTAGTTTAAAAACTTATTTTTGTTTGTAATTTTACTGCATAAAACACAATAATAATTTATGTAAATTTAAAATCTAAGTAATATACCAATTATGCTAAATTAAATTTAAAAATTTATTAAAAAACAAACTTTTTCAAGATCATTCTAAGCCATCACAACATTTTGAAAATTAAACAAAAGGTGTTATTTATTGATTAATTATAATTTCTGAGATACGGCTTTCAGTTAAAAAGTTTCACTTAAAAAGTAACAATTTACGCGTGGAGAAATAGACAATATGTTTAATTGGAAAATAGTTCCTATACATCATATGTATGTCATAAGACATTGGGTTTAAACTTGTTAAAACGTATAGCAAATAATGTAATTGTTTAAATGTTTTTCTAAACCACTTTTTTTAAAATTCTGTTTCATAATGAATGCATTTATCATTCATTGTACTTGAAGAAATTAAAAAAAAATCATAAAGAATTTGTATCGAATTGTTCATAATCAACCATTATAATTCCATGAGTAAACATGACTCAATATGTTACCAGAATTCAACAGTGTATAAATTAATCAATTTATTAAAAAGTTTAAAAAAATATTTATCACATTTATGACCATTAAAAGATTTTTTAAAAAAATATAGTAATAAACTCACCTTTTGTAATCATGACTAAGAGACTCAGAAGAAGGTACGCCATTACTAAATGTCAATATTTTAATACAATTCCTAAAGAATTTCGGCGAAACAAAAATAAATATTATCCAACAATTTGTTTAAACGTTAGTCTTAAAGGTTAGCATTGAAAACTATTGTTTAAAACAAATATTTATTATTTACTACAAGTAACACAACTGAATTAGTAACTGGTATCCATTAACTGTACATTACTGAAATAGATAGCAGCGCCACATATTATCGAGTTTCGAAAAGAATTGACATAAATTCCATTCGCTTTTTTTAAAATTAAAAATAAGGAAGAATATTTTCGGAAAGTTTTCCATATTATGCAATTGATATACTGAGTAGTTTTTGATTAGTTGACATTTTATAAACTGTTGACAAATCCGACAAATTATAGATACTTGAATTATACAGTATATTACATTATACAACATTACATGAAGTTTCATTTCTTCAAGAAAAACTATCAAATACATAAGAAAGCATAGAAAAACGTGCAGAATTTATGGAAAACCAAAAGAAAACAAAGCATTAAAAGTGCATAATAGTACAGAAAAATTCAAAACGTCATATGTAAGAAAAAAATACTTTTAAAAGGTTGTGTACAAATTAACCAACGTGTGTTGTATGCTATTCTAGCACAAACAACGTGACTTAGTTTCTTATTTCGTTCAAGCTGTTAGAAGTTGGCAATCTCGTCTAAGATGGTCAGTTTACCCTTACTTATTATATTACAAATTTTTAAACCAGATGTATAGTTAACTATTCAAAATGATCATGGTAAACAAACCACATATTCTTCTTTTTATTACAAATATAACTTTGGTTAATACTTAATCCAAAACTAAAACGTATCATAAATAAATTTTACAAAAATTAAGCCATTTGTAGTTCAAAAGAAATTAAGATGTTTCCTATTTAAAAAAGGAAACATTTTTATTTACCTTCAATCATGACACTTAGGGTTGTGCTGTCTTTTCCATATGCATTTGTAGCTTCACAAGTATAGTTACCAATATCAGATGCACTGATTTTTCCAATACGGAGCTGTGAACTAATTTCGCTGTTTGAAGTTTTAAATTTTTGATAAATAGATATCGGTTTATGATTGTGGAGCCATGAAAAACTGATGGGTAGACTTCCTCTTTTTGCTGTACATGATAATTCCGTCATATCTCCAATTGCGATATTTGGTGGTAGAAACATAGGATTCAAAACTGGTGCTTCATCCTCACATAGCACTATTAAAATTAGAAAAAAATTATTTAAAATCTACTATTTAGAAGCCAATTTGATAAGTCTTAGCTTGCTTAGATAATAGTCTATTATCATTATCATTATTAATGAAGATGTTCATTCTTGCTCACGAGAAATAGAATTATGAAATTTTTTTTACAGTTATATACATATTACGAATTTTTTTTTAAAACACCAAAGAAACGAGCATTTTATATTAATGAATTTTTATAACTGGAGGAGCACTTTAATTTTCTGACACCCATATTCCGACAATTAACACAGCCCAAATTCCATCTTCAAAATACACGTTACCGATTTAAAAATTCTTAATTCTCAAGTCCTAAATACCAGTTCCTAATTCACAACTCTCAATTTCATCAGAAACAAATTTCAAACTCAATTTTTTAGATCCAATTTTATAAAATTATATATCAAATAACTAAAAAATTGCTTGAAATTTTATTAACATAAGATAACTTACTTTAGACTATAAATTCACGCTCTTTAGTTGATTTGACTTATATAATTGAAATAGAATTTTGCTTTTTATAATTAAGTATCTAAATATCAATTTTATTACGTACATTTCATTTAAAAATTAAAGTATATACATTCCTTCTTTTAAAATACGTTTGTTTTATATATGATCTAAGTAACTTAAATAGACAATAAAATTAGCAAAATTAATATTTTTCAACATTGGAAAAACTGTTTTGCATAGTACATTGTTATTACGTACATTAAGCAGAAGGATTTAATATGATCTAAGTACGTTAATGTTAACAAATTAATGAGCAAAATTAAGCATATGTAATGATGTTTATGGAAATAACATTTTTGCATTGCGTTACTGTATAAATAATAAATTTATAAATATTATAACGCTATGTCAATAATTCAAAATTCAAGTTTAATAAATTTAATTTCAAAAATATTCTAAAATAATAAAAAATGTGGTTTATTAATGATTACATAGTTCAAATACTTACAGGTTAGAGCTTATTTTGTATTTCGAAATTAAATATAATACAATAATTAACTACCACATAACTGTGATGTGTTTAGAACAATCCTCAAAGAAGTATAAATTCAGCGTGAATATAATGTGTAGAATAATTTTTAAACAATACAGTTTTTATATTGAAAGTATAACAGTGTTTTTATAAAAAAAATAATGTATAAAGTTGTTTATACAATATCATTTGTTTTAAACCATTTGTTATGAATATGATATTTTAAATAAGCTAGTTTTAATTCAGAGTTTAAATTAACATTTTTATTACAAAATAAAACAACAGCCCATTCAAAGAAACGGCAGCATTCTAAATTTAAAGGCATTTTAATTATGCTTAAACATGTTTAATTCATCTCTAATTTAGAAATTTTATTATTACAATACAGCGTATAAACTCACCATACTCGAAAATGTCTGTCAACACAGCAAAGCAACAATACAGTAAACTACTTTTCCAGTTTTGCTTGCTACATATATTCATCTTCAATATCATAAAACAGTTCCTAATTTTCAATGCACATGAAGCTGATGAGATTTGTTTTCATTTATGCAATAAAATATAATAAAGAAGTAGCTTAGTCTTTAAAAAAAGCCACCTCAGTATATATTCAGAGAAGAATAAATGTTATGAACAGAACAGCAGCGCCACACAACGTTGATTTCTGTAACCAAATTAATATATTTTTACAAGTATAAATTACCAAACCATATTAATGCATTAAAACTGTGTTTTAAAATATTAAATGAATTAATATTTCTAATGATTTAATAACGGTAGTGTTAAATAAAAAAAATCACTTTTTTTTCAATAAAATTTTATTAGTAAACTAAAAAAAATGCAGAGACTTACAAGAAAATAAATAAATATAGTACAAAAAATTAATAAATATTGCATTAAAAAATGAATACGAAATTATATAATTAAGGCTTTACTTATAACTAAAGCCTTGCATATATATGCAATGTAATTAAAAATTTTATTACTTTATTATGATATTAATTGTCTTTCAATATTACCGAAAAAAACTCAATAATCACAAGGGTTTTTGGAATTTTTATTAGCATAAATTCGTGTTTATAATAATTTTTCTAATTGTAGTACAATTATAATTAATTTAATCTATTATAAATTAGATTCAGTTCATAAGTACCATCTAATTTGGAATAATTATACGAAAATCATTTAAAACGTTCCATCATCTTGAGAAAATATTTTTTAACACTCTTATTAGTTATATAGTATAATATTATAAAAGGATAGTAAGCAGTGTTTAAATATGAACTCAACATTAAAATAAAGTGCAAAAAAATTACGCATAGTTAGTTCATTAAGTAGTCTTTAAATAAAGATTCTTATAGTATAAAGAATTAATTAAGCTATTTATTTATCAAATTACATTTGTTTTCAAATTAAACAAAAATAGAAACTATAGTACTTGCCTGTTTCCCATCCAACCGCATATGAAGTGTATTTCATCATTCATCTAATCTAAAATCTTCAGTACTAAGAAAATATAAAATTCACAAAGAATACATTCAAAATTAAAATGCCGAATATTTATAATAATTTAAATAAAAAAAGTGAGGGAGCTAAACTTTCTAAACCTTCTATTACATTAAAACATGATGGAGTGTATTTCAATAACTGCTTTTCGTATATCCAAAAAATATAAGATATTTTATTAATGTAAAACGGATTGAGCCATTGGAATGAATTTCATTGATAGAAACTAATGAAATTCATTCCAATGGCTCAATCAGTTTACTTACAAACTATTCAGTTTAAAATCATTGTCTAATAATGGACCAATAACAAAAGTGATATTTAAACTAAAAATGTTTATTCTATATTAAATACCTTCAATGATCAAACTAATTATTCCAGTATCTTGGCCGAATACATTTGAAGCAACACAGGAATAGTTTCCTATATCAGATGCTTGAATTTCTCCAATGGAAAGATGGGAACTAGTTTCGGTATTCGTAACTTTGAACTTAATTTTTGATGTAACTTCTTTGCCATTGTGAAGCCATTTAAAAGAAATAGGTAGTTTTCCACGTTTTATGCTACAAAATAACTCTGTATTGTCACCGAGAGCAATATTCGGAGGAACGAACATTGGATTTAGAACAGGAATCTGTTGTCCATCTTTACCTATAAAAAACGAGTAATATTCAAAACATCTTTCTCTTAACAGTTATTATAAATGTTTTTCATTTAAATTTTAATAAAATTATATCAATATTGAAAAGATCAGTGTGATTATTTGCACCACTAAATGAGAGAGTTCTCTATTCAGTGTACGTAGTGATAGTTTTAGCAACAGGTAATACTTGCTGTCTTAGTGACCATTTTCAGGTTTTTAGACATACAGTGATACACGAAAGTCAGCATACACTTGCAAATTTTCCCATTTTTTGAAATAAAATGCAAATAAATTTCTTTTTCTCATTCGTATAGCTACCAGTATGCATGTGAATCATTATGTGTCTAATAGACATCAAACATTTTAAGATTATCATAATCATTTTCAGATTAAGTTAAAAATATGAGTTTTTTCAAACTCACAAAAGTGAGCATACAGTGGGATTTAAATAGATTTTTGCAGGTATTTGGCCATCTTTTTATTCTCTTAATATATTTGTAAGAATTGTGCCTTGTTTTACATAAGCTTTAGAGGAGATTTTTGAATGAAATTTATTTCATTAATTCTAAAATGGCAACTAAAAGAACTGAAACGTTATTAGAAATCAGAGAACTGGTTATTAAATTGAAAAATGAGGCAAACTCACTCAATCAAATAAGTCAAATCATTGGTAGAAGTGGAGCTACAGTGCAAGGAATAATAAGGAACTATAATTTGACAAAAACTTAAAAGTTATATATAACTTAAAAAGTTATTTTTACAGACGAATCTAAATTTAACATTTTTGGCTGGGATGGTAAGCAAAAAGTTTGGCGACAACCCGGAACAGAGTTAGAATTGAAGAATCTGATTCCTACAGTAAAACATGGCGGTGGTTCAGTGATGGCTTGGGGCTGTTTTTCATCTTCAGGTGTTGGCAATTTAGTCTTTATAAAAACCACTATGGATCGTTTTGTCTATTTGAATATATTGAAAAACAATTTGAAGCAATCAGTAAGAAAATTAGGCATAGAAAATGACTGGATATTCCAACAAGATCAGGATCCAAAGCACACAGCTGGTGTTGTCAAGGAATGGCTGTTGTACAACACTCCAAGACAACTGCACTCCCCTCCTCAAAGCCCCGACCTGAATCCTATCGAAAATTTATGGGATGAACTGGACAGAAGTATGAGAAAAAGGCAAATTAAAAGCAAAGACGATCTTAAAAAGGCATTGCTTGAAGAATGGCAAAAAATCCCCCGCACTGTAACCGAAGGACTGGTCTATTCAATGCCTAATCGTATGAGAGCTGCTTTAAATTCAAAAGGTGGACCAACTAAATATTAAAATATGGAAATTTCAAACGTAGAATTTCCTGTATGTTCACTTTCGTGACTTGCGAAATGACTGATTATCCAATATTTTATATTATTTTATGTCTAATGATAAAAAAACTGCTGATTTTGCTCATCAATTCCTTATTTCTAATCAATTTAAGCTAAATTGAATTTAATTCTTAGGTAAATATTTGAAATAAATAAGTTTCTGTTAATTTTAAAAGGTGTATGCTGACTTTCGTGTATCACTGTATGGTGGAGAATTATTTTTTATTCTTTAGTTTCTGGATGATTTTTTTAAACAAATTTGATTGAAAAATAGCACTCTGTCCATTGTCTGCCCATTTGAAATCAAAACTGAAATAGATAAATGCCAAACTGTCATCCTCTTTATGATAAAATAACTTATTTTTGTTAGGCCTAACGAATTCAGAAAAAGTGTATGCGTGTTATACCCTGCACCAGTCACTGTATCGTACCTCAGATCAGTTCAAAGTATGAGCTACAATCTTGTTAGCGAAAATTCATTTCCCTGTGGATTAAAGTCACTAACAATGTGTGAAACTGTTTGTGTTTCCAATTTAGATAAAAGTTTTTTAAAGGTTAAGTGAAAAATAAATTTTAACTAGCAAGTTCAAAAGAAGAGAACTGAAAATAAGTGTTATCTAAGGAATAACATCGAATGATGTAAAGCATAATAGATGATGGTCCAAAGTGCAACACCATGTTGCACCTCGGATTGATTTTTCTATACTTTTTTTCTGAAATGCATGACAAAATTCTTCTCAAAATATCATATTCATAGACAAACGCAAAATGTGTTTCTCTCACAATTTTTATGTTATTTGATTATTTTTAAAATACAAAAAGGTAAAATCGGTTCTGGGTACAACACTCTTCCTTAATTATTATTATTTAATACAGAAATCCAGCCTAACGTATTCGATTTTCAAATTTTTATGTCTGTTTCTGTAAACGATTAGAGATATGATTCATGAAAACAATTTTAAGAAATAACAATCATATAAATTGAAGTTTCTAAAGATAAGAAAAAGATGGAATATTTATTCGAGTGTATATTTAATATGATTACAAAATTGTAAAATAATATTTTTTTTCATTAATTTTCTTTAAAAAATTAAATAAATAGTGATTTTTTAGACGTTAGAACTTTGGTAACTATTAGGCACCGTTAAGCATTTTTTCTTGCTAAATTTTTTTTAAAAATTAAAAAATAAAATTTTGAGTATGTTGTTTAACCAAAGTAGCAATATCAATCTGCAATTAAGAACAATTGAATTATCAAGATTTTTTTTTAGATTGTAGGTAATTAAATTGTGCCTAATGAAATGACTTTCGTTGACTGTTTAGTATTTTTATATTGTATAAAATCTCGTTTCAATACATATATATATATATATATATAATAATTTCGAATTCAATAGTTTGAATAGAAACTTTATTTTTAATTAATCCTGAATTGGGAAATATAAGTTTGTAAGTTACCTTGAAAGTATAGATGAAATTTAGAGCTATAGCTATAACAACTTTTTCTTTTCCAGACTCAGAAAATTTTTTTGAACGAAAAATTATATTTATAATATATTTTTAAATAAAAATAATTAAATACTTTTTCTGTTATTTATAAGTTAAACATTTCGTATTTAAAATAAGTAGTTTCTTTTAACAAAACACTGATCAACCTCAAATCAGTTCAATTTAATAATTACTAAATGTAATTCTATCATTAAATGTTGAATATGAAGGTCTCTAAGTTTCATATGACTGATATGCATAAATAAATTTATGTTTTTATCTTCCATAAAATCTTGCTTGATTCAATTTTGAGCAGGAATTAATTTGAAATAAAAGAAACTTTGAAAATGTAAAATCAAAGATTAAAAACTTAAATATTAGTATAATCTTAAAAATCGAACGCAGTGAAAATACGTTTAACTGCTTTAAAGTTTAGAAGTACAAAAGTTTAACTCAACGATTTAAATAGTGGAGAAAAGCATGAATTGAATTAACAAATTTAGATTAAAATTAAGTATATGTAATGATTAATTACTGGTAATTATCAGATCTTATCCCATACATTTTTATAGCAGTGTATAAATTAGATTAAATTACTCACTTGTTGTTAAAAAGCCTTTGATGCAGAGTAAATAAATAGTTAGTAAGTACAGGACAAAGTGCATCGTGATTAACTGAGACAGGCCTAAACGTTTCTCATATCAATTAAATTCAAGATTAGAAATACAGTTAAGACACTGTTAAAGAAAAAATAACATTAGGTTGTAGTTTTTCATTTACACATCAGAATGTTTCCGAAAAAAGTAGAATGGATAATAAGAACGCTTACTGAACACTGACACTTTGTATATATTAAGACAGCAGCGCCACTCAACGGAATTAATCTCAACAATCGAGGTTATAATTATTAAATTTTCTAAATCTATCTAAAGGAATATACGAATCTAAATATTTTATCAGTGACCACTGACATTTAATTCAAAGTAATTTTATCTGTCAGAATTAAGAAATAAATTATTAATATTGTAAAACGTTCAGCCTTTTTTTACCTAACATTATTAAGCTATTAAATTTTTTTAAAAATTATTTTTTTAAAATTGATTAAAGGTAAATACAAATTAATAAAAGCATGTTTTTTTTTTGTCTTTCTTAAAGAAGTCAATAGAATAATGATGAGTAAAAACAATTGTTCATTTAAAAAATATAATATATGAGTCGCCTGCTTACTGCAATTTTGTTGAACGAAAAAAAAAAAGAACTATAATGTCATTTATCTTTCAGTTTCTTTAGCTTAATATACGAAAATCTTACTCAACCCGTTTTACAAATTATTTCCTATCACATTATTCATTTCTCCAATGTTTCATCTCGAAAACATGCATCATCATGTGACTTGCTTCTAGGCTATTATATCGTCGTATAGCTATGAGACTTTATTATTTTACTTAGATAAACTTGAAAACTGTAGCTGAAAGTTAATAAAATTGCATTTGAAGCCCGTGAAGAAAATTTAAGTTGATCATTGAGTTTAATGAATTCTAAGTGAATCCAAGAAATTGTAACAATTTGTAGAAGAAAACTTCTCGTCAATAGGAAAAGCCATTCAATTGCTATTAATTAAAATTTAATCTGTAACAATGTATCTACTTTTTTTTATTTTTACTTTGCAGAAAAATAGTGATAATTTCTAAATATCCTTGATATAATCGCAAACGCAAGAGGAGAAGATTGTGATGCACTATTGTATTGCTCCCCATTTTCTTGAGTTTTAGCAAACATACATACTGACAGACAGACTTCATCTATGTTATGTAAATTCACAACTAACTCGAAAGCAAGTGCACTAAACTGAATCATGTTCAGTAAATAGAACATAAAATAAAAAAAGTAATTGAGCTTTCAATCATCACCATTAATCGAATGTTGGAAAAACCAGCTTAACAAGTAACCTGCATCAGCTCCTTATACACTTCGATCGCAAAATAATAATAATAATAATAATAAAAATAATAATATATATATATATATATGAAATCAGTTGATTTAAATCAACAAACCCTGGTATCAGCAGTATAAAAAAAGTGACTCTCTATTTTAAAATATAAAAAAATTCTGTAGAATCACATAAGAAATTACTGAAAAGTATCTAATTAACAGTGGTATACTGATTTACTGCACAAATTAAAGAGGAATGCTAACAAAATAATCGATAATAGCTCACTGTTATGGTTTCATATNATATATATATAATATATACATATATAATTTTTTTCTTTTTTTTCTCACAAATATATGCAGAAAATCCTCAACGGCCATGTCGTATGATTATGCGACATGTAAAAGATCCCTGG